CCTTCAATCATATGATTTGGATGCCATGAATGAATTGATGGTGATGGTGATGTTGCCAACGACGAACGGCACGAACGATAATTGTATGGATGTTGTAAATGAATTATTTCCGGTGTGCGTTGAGTTTGCCGATAATGAGGTAATAGAGAAACGCATGTGCCGATTTATATCCTTATATGAATACAAATAGAAAGGAAAAAAACGTGCAATATGTGCACCAATTGTGTATGGGTGTTCTTTTATTTTCAAGGTCCATCGAATAATGAGGAGAATATGTTCTCTTTTTTTTCTTCTGTAGGTACAATCAAAACATCAACATCAATCAGACATAATCAACAATCGACTGCAAATAATCACTATGATGCACCGAAATTTCACTACAATGCCGATGCCGATGGAAGTTTGATCGTAAATTCGAATTGTTTGGTTACTAATGGTAGCTCTGAAAATATTCCCGGCAATGAGGCAACTGACAATGTGACTGCAAACGATAAGGTTGGTGTACGTTCTTTGCCTGTCGCGTTTCTTTTTCTCTTTCCGCCCCCCCTCTTCGTCTTCTTTTTTCGCGCATATAAAAAGAACAAGATAAAAAGCAAGTTTGTTGTTAATTGTTTTTGTCTTCTAGCAACAAGACAATCATCTTAATTCAAATGAATCTCGAATAATGCCTATGGCAGAGTAAGAAAAATCAATTGTGATTTGTATGAACAAGTCGTTTTCTATTTTTTTAATGGATTTTGTTTTAGTGTGCAAGAAGTTGTCTGTCGCGTTGAATTAGAAGATCAAACCGATGGAGAATATGACAAACGATCATTATCGATGGATACGAAGAGACCTACCACAGATTTATCATTATCAAACGATCAGATTGATTATAATGTCTTGCTGGAACGTGCGGCAAATGATCTAGTTCAAACAGTACTTTCTGATGTGTATTTATTAGAAAATCTTGATGACGTTACTGATGACGATGATGATGAAGATGAAAAAAATCGCGGTGTTAGAGAATTATCCGACGATGAAAATGGTCTTCGAGAATTAGATGAAAATGATATGAATGATACGGATGAATTCATTGTTTTTGCTACCAATGCAAGCCTATCGGACAATGATCAACCATTGACGACGCCACGCTGTAGCCTAAACAGGATATACACATTTTCGAAAGCACATAATCACAACAATAGCAATAGCAATAGTACAGAAAATTCCAAGCATACGACTTCCGAACAGGTATGTCAAAATCGATTGATATTCTCTTCGGAATTTCTATTTAGTTGTAGTAAATAGATATGTATATTTTTAAAATAGAAACTAACGTTTAGTAAGTAATCGGCAGACAAACAACGAACTATCAATTATCTATTTGCTTTTTGTCTTGTCTGACGCGTGTGCATTACCATATGCGTCGTTTTCCAAGGAGAAGTCCGTCATGTTTGCCTTTCGTGTCGATTTGACACAAAACCGTTAAAGAAAACGAAAAGATTCTTTCCTTTACGTTTAAATAATTTCAAGGTTTATTAGTTGTTTCTTTTCATTTTGTTACCTATGTATTTGTAATCTATGTTTCGTGCTTTCGTATATGATATGTGATTAGAACCATCAAACTCAAGGAAAGATTCTCCTCTCGCTTATGTATACCTTTACATTTATATATACACACACGCATATATATATATATATATATATATATATATCGATAATGATTGTCGGCTGTCCATAAGATAAATATTAAACGAAGGACATAAAAACTACATATCTCTGTCAGATTGATTATTGAATAACTTATTAATGACTTTGTTTTTTGTTTATTTATAGAACTCCCTAGGATCAAGAGATGATCAAAACGATGAGCAAACAATTAGTCTACAGTCAAATACTATCACAGAGCAAACTTATGAGAAATTTTTGCATTCAACTCCAATGTATCACTATCTTGTTGACAAACAGGATATTGCTTTACCGACATTTATTGACAAAATCATTTGCCCTTCAAATCGACACTCACCACCACATCAATCAGAGGAAGGCGTTAATGAGGAAACAGCAAGAATAGGACGACTTCTACTTGATAGTATATCAACACCATTAATTGAAAGTATTCATGACTTGTAAGTTATTTTTTGAGTAATCAGAATTCGAACACTTCCGCTCTACTTAGATCACCAACTCCCACTTCTAATGAATTGTTACTTAGTGATACTGAATATGTCATATCAGATCAAGATAATCATTATGAATCATTTCCAGATGATTCACAACGGCATGAACAACGAATTCTTGGAAAACAACAGACAGGTAATCTGATCTTGACGACTAGAATAAGCTTTTTCGTTTACTGAGTTCTTGAATAGAATTGCAAAACAATGTTCGTCGTGATTCAGCTTATTCAAGTAATCAAGAACGAATCGATGTGCAGCAATCCTATTATGAATCGCTCTTCGAATGTCATTCTGGTTATTCATTTCTTCAAAGTGATTTTCTTACTCCGAATATCTCCTCTGTACAATCAACTACCGACGAAGCTTACGAATCCGAGCCAACCACCATGAGTTCATCGATAGCCACAACGACACATGTTCATCCCGATCTCGAACACGAATTCGAGTATCCTGTACCTCCTCCACCTGTGCCAGACCGCCGTCTCAAACCTGCCTATCTAAAAGCATCGCCGACAACAACATCATCATCTCCAGTGTTGACGAAACCTTGTCTAATTAAACAGAATACTGTTGATTCAGCTGGATACAGTATCATCCAAAAACCTAAACCGTCACCCCTAATTGCTATACAACAATTGATTACTTCTACTGCTAATAATTCGACTGCCTCAGCGACGAAAACAATGAGCAGTCGGCATTATTGCGGTACAATACCCGTATCAAATGAAGTCACTCAATCATCTGTCAATTCTGTTACACCAGTGAAAACAAACGAACAGTCAAAAGATAAGAAAAAAGAGAAACGAACTAGTAAAACATTGAATTGTCTGCACCCATCGACTGCTGATGAACAAGATCATAAGCGACATTTATTACCAAAACTACCGTTATCATCACTATCGAATAAGGCTAAGATTAAAAAGCAAAAATTGATTACCAATATTGATGAAGCAACTAACGGTTTAGCAATTCGTCTACCGGCTCCAACATCCAATGGATCGAGTTCAGTAGACAAACAAAATTCCCACAAGTCAGTTGGCATTCTCAATGAAATATGCTAACAAGTTGATGCTTGATTTTTCTTCTAGGTCGTCAGCACTCTCTTCAATCAAACGAACGAATGGAATGACGAAAACTCGGCAACTTCCTGAACATGTATGTCATGCCAATATTTCTAAGTTTTATGGAAATATCTTTACTATTTCTGTAGGTAAAATCAGCTCGACCGGCATTCTATGAAACATCAGTTTAATTATATAAAGATATTTTCTCTTGTTGTACAGTATGTGTAATCCTAGGAACGGTATTTGACATTTCACCGTATCACCACGTGATATAGGAGAAATATTCAGTATACTTTGTTCTCTAGTAATCAATCCTGTGTCGACTTTTTTTTGTTTGTAGATAGTTTTCTTATTAATGATATTTTTTTGTGAAGTGTCTGCTTTTCTTTTCTTTTTTTTACAATACAAAGTAGACTGTGCACTGATAAAGATCAAAGCGAATATTTAAAAAATGTCAATCTTTCATTTCGAACTATAAATACTGAAGTAATACGCAACCGCAACTATTGGATAACATGAAGATGAAATTATAAACGACAGGTGTAATAGGACTTCTTCGAGTAGCCGAAAAATCGATAAAACGTGTTAGTTTTCACTCCTATATGTCCAAACATATCGTTTTTTGCTTTCTTTATTCAATTCTACTCTTGTACCGATTTGCGTTGCTTAAGACTGCCATCTATATTAGTTCCGACCGGTAAACAATTAGCGTTAATTAAATAGAATTAAGCATAAAATCTGATTTTCACCCTTTGAAAGAACAATATGTGTAATTGGTATGACGAATTTGTCTATAAGTAACCTTGACAATTTAATTTACATGTCGATAATAATGACGGAAAGAAATTTGATAAGATTTTAAAATGTTTTGGCTACATCGAGTGCGTGAAGTTTTTCTTTTGTTATCGAAAACAATTCAAAGAAAAATATATAAATTTCTTTCTACTATTTGTAGATATTTTTATTCAAAAAGGAATTACTTCGTTTATCAGAATGTCTGTTTACGATAGCAAAGCAAATTATCATCCTGTATCGGCACTGCCAGGAAGTTTACCTACTGGTGCGTGAATACGAAATGGAATCTTTCTCTTATTTTTGTTTATTTTTCATACAGGATCGTACCTTCTTCCTGGAAATGGCTACTACAGGTAATGTACTACAGACAACGATGCACTCTGATAATAAATTTCATGCATTTTCAATAGTGTCCAAGGACAATTACCACGTTTACGATATGATTCTCAAAAGTTCCTCAATGATCCTAAATACGCTTATTCTCAAAGTTACCGAATCGATGCAATGCAAGCATTACAGAATGCAAAAAAAGGTTAGAACTAGTTGCATACACGTCAAGTGATATTTTACACATATTTTGCTGAACGATAGGCACGAGTTTACCACGATATTATTCTTACTATCCTCATTTCGAATCTGCACGCGAACGATACATATTTGTTCCCAAACATCTTCCCAATGAAAACCCATCCTGCTATGAACACAAAGGCTTTCAACACTTCAAAGACGTATGTTTTCTTACAAATTTGAATTCTTCTCCTAAATTTGCTCTTTATCAATTTAGCTTGCTTCAAATACGGACGGTTATCCACTTCGCAGTGTCAATACATTACCGCCGATTGATTATGTCACCATACCAAAACCGGATGCCAATGATGAAACGTACCGTACTTATCAGCCCCAAATGCCCTAGTAAGTCTATTTATTTAGAGCTTTAATTGCAATCGTCTATCTATAATAGTGACATGATGGTTTTACGCGATGAAAATATGTATAAAACACCGTATTCAAAAGATTGCATGACACGAAGCCATTCGTATGTTTCAAGTACAACATTAGTACCTCGTGGAAGTTAAAATTGGATGCGAATATCCTGTATTATTGAACTTTTCTCATTTAATCCGATGAAATACATATTTTATTCTCTTTTCTTTGACTAATCGAAATAAAATATGCCATAACACATACTTATTGTAACATACATAGCGATTTTATTTGCGGAGAGAATATGAACTTTCTAATAAACTGCATTCTATTTTTTTCAGTTAGATGATTCTGAGAATATTGAAGCCATTTACTTTAAACATCATAAAACATAAGCGCACACTTTCGTCTATGGGGTGAAGTTTGGTTACACATTGTGTTCCCATAGTTAACGAAAGCCGGATTTGGGATTGGCGTTCATTTTCTATTTTATCTTAGTTCTTGAACTTAGTAATTAATTATCATGAAAGTCTTGACGTTTGTGATTATATGACGTAGAACTAATCGAGAGTTACTTGAATTGGTAGCTGAGCGCATACTAGGGGACATTCTGAATCATAATCAGAGAGGTACGAGCACAGACGTTGCATTAGTTCACATCTTCACTGTTATCAATGGTTCATTCGATTTCTGCAATAGTAGTTTAATTCTCGATAGGCATAATATTTGCATTGTGAGAGTTTTATCACGTAAATCAGATGTCTACAGAAGGAAAAAATGATTCCCTTTTCTGAAAGAAAGGGTTTTGCAGCGTTTAAATGCTGTGCTAAAAAGCTTAAAGTTTGTCTGTCTGTCTGTCTGTCCTATCCAATCAGAAATCAGCATTTCTAAAATCAATGAAATTGATCGATAGTTGTTAGAAAATGATTACCGGTAGGGTAATCAAGGTCGGGGAACTTGAATCTGAGGTTAGTTTTAACTAATTATTAACTTATTATCAACTATGCATAGAATAATAATGTTCACACTAAAGGTTGACCGATGGATAATCGATGCCGCAGAATTCAAATCTGAGCTTACTTTTTTCTTATTCACCAAGCTTAGACTTCTTCCTTTCTTATTTCAAAAGAGATATTTTTCTGTGTGTTTTACAAATTCTGTTTTAGAAGGTGGTTGTTTGAACGCTATTCCCAGATGTGATATGTACGAAGACAGTAGTTTATGGAGCTTACACAAAAAGATCTGGTATATCTTACATTATGATACAAGTAACGCTCATCCATTGGATTCGCTGACCCTTTTCTGAAAGACTTTTCCTAACGCTGAACACATCCAGAGACTTTGAAAGAGAAAAAGCGCACTGCGATTGCTACTAGTACTCAACTGAATCATAGCACTATGTCACACACTAGAGTGAATAGGATGCAGAGGTCTTTTTAGAAAGCAAACCGATTAGCCATTTGTCAGTGAATAATTCTCTAGCACACTAACTATATTGACGGAAAAATTCATCGCTCAACGGCTAGCCAGACGGCCACTCATGGCCAACCATTGACCTGTGTCATCTATTTTTCTATTTTCACATCATGCGCATCGGAATTTTCATAACTGCTTTACTAAGTCACTCATAGACTGACGATATACAGTAGACTACTTGAAAAGTCTGAACATTCGTCAGTCTTCCAGTGATAATCCGATTCTTTTCTCTCCTGTCAACGAAATGATACCTTGTCGAATATTTTCATTGAGGAATATCCATTCGTCACATCCCTTTCAAAGTTATCAGAAGCTTGGCAAGGTTATTCTAAGCTTACACTTTAGGATTAATCTGGCATTTAAATGCCTAGTCATTCGTCGGCCACTCATGTCTAGCGGCTGTCATGCTGTCTTTGTTATTCCTTTCGCCTTTGATTAACTTTCAAACTGAATGATTGGACTTTCTTTTATTGTCGCTTCGACTATCAAAAGAAACTAGATAAGAAAGTCTTATTGTATGATTTGCTTCGAAACGAACATCTTTCATAGTGCTGCATGTGTTCAGAATACTGTATGTATAGTCCACGCGTCTGTAGTTACTAAGATGAAATTTCACCGACGGGTATATCACTTTGCGAACTACTTCTACTAAAATCCCATGAAAAGAACTGATGTACGTAGCCTAAAAAGCAAAGATGGTGCTAAGCTCATATCACTTTTTCGGATTTCTTCAATTAGAAACATCATTATGTACAATGCATTAGATCTTTTCGTGTAAGCTCTTGAGCTACTATCTTTGTACACATGACGTCCATGAATAGCGTTCAGCTCACCATCTTCTACGAAAGATTTTAGAACAGATAAAGTAAAATATCTCCTTTGTAAAGAGGAAGGATCAAGCCCACGCTCAGCGAATAAGACGGAATTCACCCTCAAATTCGAATTTTCCGACGTCAGAAATCCTTCGATCTACTCTGACAATGGATGTTAATAAGTCGTGATTAGTTAATGAAAAATGAATAATTAAGTAAGCAACACTAACCTCGGATTCGAGATCCTCGACCTTGATTACCCTTCCGGCGACCCTTACTCGACGACGAAAAACTTCCCATTCCTTAGTTCGCTAATTACCTAATGATCTAATTGGCATTTCGAGAAACTAACCGCAGATTCAAGTTCCCCGACCTCAGCTACCCTGCCGGTAATCATTTTCTAAAAACCATCGATCGATTTCATGATTTTAGAAATTTTGATTTTGTGATTGGGTCGGACAAATAGAATGACCGACAGACAAACTTTAAGCTTTTTGGCCCAGCATTTAAACGCTGCAAAACCCTTTCTTTCAGAAAAGGGAACTAGAGACATAATCTTAAATCGAGGAGTAGAATGATATGCGAAACAAATATTTCGAATGTATTTCGATATTTTTTTTCAAACAAGGTCATTTTTTACTCCGCCCGGTACGACTAGCGTTAAGCAAACGAACTTTGAACGCAGCTATAACGTGTTCTTTCAGACAAGAGAACAATGACTGACATCTTTTTTTATGCGTCCTTTCTCGATTCGACGTTCATTTTCTCTCTTCGGTCACTTTCACTCAACGGGTAGAAACAACAAATGAAAACATGGACTGACATTCTCTCTTTTGTATCTATTCTAGACAATGGTTAGTCGTGCATATAAATATATATCGATTTCCTTCACTTTCATTCGTATCAACAGCAATCAAGGTCTCGTTCAACAACGCAAACAAGCAATCCTGTCAAATCATTACTTTTTATTTCAACTGAAAATGGTACAGTAATCTTTTATTTCTTCATTGCTCTTTTACAATTTTCGATACTTTGTTTCACAGATTTTATCTGAGGGTGATCCGCTGGTAATGCACGTTGCCAAATGTCCAAAGCGCGTTCAAAACAGCTAAGTGCTTTCGAATACTGTCTCATGTTCATGTACACCAAACCGATGTTGTCGTACGAAGTAGCCAACGAAGGGTGATTCGAAGGGAGAGTTTTTTCTCTAATTTCAAGTGCTTTTTCATGGAATGAAAGTGCTTTCGAAGACTCTCCCATGTTCATGTACACCAAACCGATGTTGTTGTACGAAGTAACCAACGAAGGATGATTCGAATGAAGAGTTTTTTCTTCGATTTCAAGTGCTTTTTCATAGAATGAAAGTGCTTTCGAAGACTCTCCCATGTTCATGTACACCAAACCGATGTTGTTGTGCGAAATAGCCAAATCAGGGTGATTCGAAGGGAGAGTGATTTCTCTAATTTCAAGTGCTTTTTCATGAAATGAAAGTGCTTTAGTATACTCTCCCATGTTGATGTACACCGCACCGATGTTGTTGTACGATGTAGCCAAATCAGGGTGATTCGAAGGAAGAGTTTTTTCTCTAATTTCAAGCGCTTTTTCATGGAATGAAAGTGCTTTAGTATACTCTCCCATGTTCATGTACACCGCACCGATGTTGTTGTGCGAATTAGCCAAATCAGGGTGATTTGAAGGAAGAGTTTTTTCTCTAATTACAAGTGCTTTTTCATGGAATGAAAGTGCTTTAGTATACTCTCCCATGTTGATGTACACCGCACCGATGTTGTTGTACGAATTAGCCAACGAAGGGTGATTTGAAGGGAGAGTTTTTTCTCTAATTACAAGTGCTTTTTCATAGAATGAAAGTGCTTTAGTATACTCTCCCATGTTGATGTACACCAAACCGATGTTGTTGTACGAATTAGCCAACGAAGGGTGATTTGAAGGGAGAGTTTTTTCTCTAATTACAAGTGCTTTTTCATGAAATGAAAGTGCTTTCGAAGACTCTCCCATGTTCATGTACACCGCACCGATGCAGTTGTACGAATTAGCCAAATCAGGGTGATTCGAAGGAAGAGTTTTTTCTAGGATTTCAAGTGCTTTTTCATGGAATGAAAGTGCTTTAGTGTACTCTCCCATGTTGCTGTACACCAAACCGATGTTGCCGTACGAAATAGCCAACAAAGGTTGATTTGAAGGGAGAGTTTTTTCTTCGATTTCAAGTGCTTTTTTATGGAATGAAAGTGCTTTCGAATACTCTCCCATGTTCATGTACACCAAACCGATGTTGTTGTACGAAGTAGCCAACGAAGGGTCATTCGAAGGAAGAGTTTTTTCTTGGATTTGAAGTGCTTTTTCATGGAATGAAAGTGCTTTCGAATACTCTCCCATGTTGTCATACACCGCACCGATGTTGTTGTATGGAGTAGCCAACGAAGGGTCATTCGAAGGAAGAGTTTTTTCTAGGATTTCAAGTGCTTTTTCATGGAATGAAAGTGCTTTAGTATACTCTCCCATGTTGCTGTACACCAAACCGATGTTGTTGTACGAAGTAGCCAACGAAGGGTCATTCAAAGGAAGAGTTTTTTCTTCGATTTCGAGTGCTTTTTCATAGAATGAAAGTGCTTTCGAATACTCTCTCATGTTGATGTACACCAAACCGATGTTGTTGTACGAAGTAGCCAACGAAGGGTGATTCGAAGGAAGAGTTTTTTCTCTAATTTCAAGTACTCTTTCATGGAATGAAAGTGCTTTCGAATACTCTCCCATGTTGTGATACACCGCACCGATGTTGTTGTAGGAAGCAGCCAAATCAGGATGATTCGAAGGAAGAGTTTTTTCTTCGATTTCAAGTGCTTTTTCATAGAATGAAAGTGCTTTCGAATACTCTCTCATGTTGTCATACACCAAAGCGATGTTGTTGTACGAAGTAGCCAACGAAGGGTGATTCGAAGGAAGAGTTTTTTCTCTAATTTCAAGTACTTTTTCACAGAATGAAAGTGCTTTCGAATACTCTTCCATGTTCTTGTACACCCCACCGATGTTGTTGTACGAAGTAGCCAAATCAGGATGATTCGAAGGAAGAGTTTTTTCTTGGATTTTAAGTGCTTTTTTATAGTATTGTATAGCCATTTCATAATCATATTGTCGAGTTTTCAGCAAGCCAAGTTGATGATAATAGAGTGCTCTGTTATTGTTATCAGGCATTTGTTTCAATAAAATATTGTAGAGTTCTTCGGCTTCATCCAACTGTCCGAGTTTAAGGAATAATCTACCCAAACGCTCCCATCCTGTACTACCTGGAACTTCACTTTCAATATGGCCCGTTAACACACGCAGTTGTGGATCGTTATCAGCAGTCAACTGAAGTTGCACCTCATGGTAAAGTTCATTCTTGTCACCCTTTTGTCGAATTGTACCAACTCGAAACACGCTGTGCATGGAAAACAGGATCTCTGCTTTGTCTCCGAAATAGCTAAGATCCCCAATTGACGCGAATGGCGTAGTACCAATATTTGGATCGATTGTGATCACGAACATAACACCCACCTTGTCCGGATCACCGAGAGCGCGGTCGGTAAACTCAAGAGATTTCTCTTGTTTGATACTGGTGGATAAAAAGTTGTTGAACGATAAAAGACCACCTACAGTTTTTGACAGCTGGTCAAAATTTTTCTTACATAGTCCCTGCCCACGGTAGACTACGATAGGTTTTCCTCTGTAATTACTGACCTGTTCTTTGTGTAGTTGTTGTATTTGTTTGTGCAGATCATGGAGAAAAAATCCCATGTTAATAATGACTTCGCCATCCAAAGTGCGAAGTGCTTGATTGAGCATTTTGTAAGTAAAACACTCACGTGTATACCACCAAATGGCCTTGTCCGGACGATAGTTACGTTCAAACTCACCAATAATCCTTTGCTCTACGATGTTGTCTTGAAAACGCTGACGACAATAACTGACCAGGTCTTTGATTCCTTGCTTGTCATGTTCCATGTCGAGGAGAATCTTCTTAAATATTTGCGTATACATAAAACTGGGTTCCAGTTGATTGAGATTGGCATTGGGACCCTCTCCTATTACAGGAACTAAACTCATGGCGATGGAGTCTTGATTATATTGTTTAACACCTGTGGTCAGCGCTTCACAGATTTCTTTGATATTTGTGTGAACACCTTTGATTTTTGACCAGCTCTTTGTCCAGGTTTCATGCCTGGAATTGTTACTACAGAAGATGTAGATGGCATTCACTTGTGGTAAGTGGTGAATCTCGGGAACTAATTGTTGACCTAAGGATCCCGATGTGATGACGAAAGCCTCTTCATCACCAATGCTGTTGAGGAATTGAACGGAAGCAGCTGGTTGAGTGTATATATTGACATCATTGACAACACTTCGTAAGTGAGTCAAAGTGTTCTGATAGTCTTGGTCCTTTTCATCGATGTTTGCATTCACCCAAACTAAGAGGCAGTTTTGAACCATGCGTTGTCGCGGTTGATTACCATGCTTCCTTGTCGTGGAACTTGATTTTGATTTTTGTGCACCCATTCTGTTGAATAAACTGAAATTCACAGTATTTTGTTTTTTTGTGAAAATGAAGAAATTCGCTTCTCTTTTTATATAGACAGCGAATGACGTTGTTCTCTTCTTGAATCTTTTCGCGGACAAAAAATATTTATGTTATTGTTTGAATCTTGAGCGAGCTTTTTCATAGTAAAATAAAGAAGGGAGAAGAAAAACATCAACACAAAAATCGCTTTAAGATGCTCGAAACAGGCGCAGCAGGTAAGAAGCCATTAACGAACTTGGTTGTTATTCTTTGCAACTTTTTGTTGTCGGTAGTCTTCAGGCAACACTCATTCGCGGAATTGGGTGATTTTTTCTCTGAAAGGACCACATTTGAGGGTGAGTAGAAACAAACCGGTTTTAATTCCACAAGGAGTATAATTTAAAACAGTGGTTCTAGTTGGTATGATTGAAAAAGATCGAAAGTCAAAACGTCGAAAATTAATATCGAAGTAACCAGAGGGAGTTACAGAAAGATGCATAGTGAAAAACAACGAAAAGGAAAAAGTCGAAAAATAAAATATCGAAAAATATTCTTCTATAGAAAATAAAGAAAGACGTATTATTGTTGTAGTAAATATTTTATTCTGTACTACAAATTTTTATTAAAGACGATACACAATTAAAAAAATATGAAAGAACGTGTGCAGTCTTGAATCACAAGTTTCACACCGATTTTTACTTTTTTCTTCCGACCGATAATGATAAGGCATTTAACAATTGTTCACTATTGATATCCTGATTGTTATATCGACTATTTAAAGTCTCGATTCGCTTTTGCATTGTATCAGCTGCCTTTGCTTTTAGCAGTTGTTGTGTACTAGCATTAATTCGACTATGTAAGTGTTGAAACCTGCATTCTTCACCGATAAGACAATTGAGGGCGAGTGGGTGGGGTGGGTGTGGTGTGGGTGAGGGTGTGGGGGTATGTATGCATAAGTAAGACTAAATCTATTTCTATTCCTAAACTCATAGGGGTGCGGGGAGTAGCTGCCTAATTCGACTTATAATATAAGTGACGAATTCCTAATACACTCCCACACATACCTAGGAATAGATAGCGATAGATTTAGCTATGCCTATTCACCCATGCCAGTTTAGGAATAGATTTTGTTATACATAGTTTCTGGAATACTCTCAGTCGAGCTATACGTCAGCCTATGTCCATCGGTATACACAGGTATAACTAAATCTATCACTATCTATTCCTAAACTTGTAGAATTATATAGATATACATCTATTTATATTCGAACTGAGATTAGTCTATCAGATGTCCATTTATAATATAAGTCGAATTAGGCGATTCATGGTGTGTTAGTTTGTCCAAGCCAATCAGATTGCAATACTTCATAAATCAATGAAAACTTCACGATGTTCCTTACGAAGTGATTGTTGCAAGGTAATCGAGGTCGACGATCTCGAACCTGGGACTAGTTTCTCGAAATGTTAATTAGCTACTTACTAATTAAAAAATGAAAAAGTTTCTGGTTGTCGAGTAAGGGTTGACCGAAGGGTAATCTGTTCCCAGGAACTGTAATCTGTTGTTAGTTTCTCAATAAAAAATCCTGTTCTGTTCTTTAGACAAAGGTCGATTTTTTGCACGGAAGTCTTTTTAGGTGATAGTGTTTTAAGCAGCAATATCTAGAACTAAAACGAAATAGCTGATTAACATCAGATTGCTGAATATTCATACACATCGTGAGCACATTGATAACATCACGATTATACAAACAGTTATATTACGCAAACGTTACCTGATGCTAACCGCTCAAAATAATACTTCCTCTGAGAAATGTTGTTTTGGACAGTCGCAACGGCACAAAGTTGGTGATTCTTCAACAGGGGATGGAAGGAAACGGTTCGATTCATTCTGAAGGGAATTCTAAACTAGATGAAAGAATGAAAGTTGGACATCAACAGCTAGTGGTGAGTGACCGACTGGAGGCAGGCTGACGAACAACTCATACATGTAAAAGTCGAAGAGACTATTCGAGTATTAAACTTTCAGTTCGAGTTTTCAACTTTTAACTAATTGGCTATTAAATATCCACTAATTAAACGATAATTATTAAATGACTAACTGATTATCAATTATTATCTTACTGATTACGACGGTGGGTGAGGGTATGGGTGTCGGGTGGCAGTGTAAAACTCCAATACTCGAAACTTCGAGTTCTAGATTTATAAGTTTTAGAATTCGAAGGAAGTTTTAATACTCGAATCAAGTTAACGATTTCTACACTACTCGATTTAGAAAGAGATTTCGGCTCTTTTTCTAGTCGAAGATTATTCATTATTTATGTAAATCAATATGTGTTTTAGTATTCTTCTCATCAAATATTCTTGTTATCAAAACTCTTTTTGTACAGTGTAAGTTTGTTCATCAAATAGCTTGTTTTCTTTTCTTATGTTGTAAATAAAATGAGTCAAAAAGATGTCAACAAAATTTGTAAAGATGCATCATCTTGAGGATAAGGATGGGCGAGGACGATGATTTATTCTGCAGTTTCACACACTTTTTTCCAATAGGTTAAGTAGTATCAAGTACTTTATGAACTAAATTGATGAAAGGTCTCTGGCTAATCAGATATTGTTGTTATATTTCAATACTATTTTGCTTGTCCAAAATATATGTGTTCGACCTTGATTCTTCAAAAATGACATAAAATATATAGTTGTCTCTTTTAAAATTTCACTGGAAAAGTAGTTAAACTAGTTGCTATGATGCCAAGGGTATAAAGAAATTAGCGGAGACATGAACCTAGCTAGAGCTTTGGACTCTTCGAAAGTCGTTGTCAGTAGATAAACATGATCATATAAGACGAAGTAAGGATGAAAAATCAACTTAGATCATGACCAATGTGACTGTGAGATTACAAATCATAAGCAATAAGTCATCTGTTTTTAAGGACTTTTATTTGTATTTTGAGTTATCTTTTGTGATGATGTTGATGTAAGGCACATTTGACGTTCCTCATTTTATGTTGACTATCTTTAAAACATATTGTTGAGAAAAGAGTACCTCTTTGTGGACCTTTTAATATATAGAATCTTTTCGTCTGACTTAAACTGAAAGAGAGAGAGAGAGCCAATGTTGAGATGAACTACACAGAAAAAAATTCGAATTACAATAGAACCCTCGCTTACTAATCATTCTTCCTTAATGAAAAATCCTGTTATACTGGGTCTACGCTCCGTCGGAATTGTCAAAAGTGTCTTTTTGGTTTCGTGGTAAATAGTTGTTGTCAAGAAAATAAATCGTATAAATTGCAGCAAAGAAGAATATTGGTATTGTGTCAAATATGTAAAAATACACCTCGTGTACTGCTAAATAACCGGTAAAACCTTGGGCAAATTCTATAACACGAGAACACTGCTCAGATAGATCACATGGAGAAAGCGTTGCCATCGTCTCTCATAGGTGCTTCCATCCGGGAAAACAGATGACAATTTTCCTATTGGATACTCGAAATAGAAGAGTTGTAAACAGAAAATGGCAAAGGAAACAAGATTAATGATGAGACAGGGTAAAAGAATATTTTCTCCAATTCGTCTTTCGCTGCTGTAAAGAGACCTGCGCCGCTTGAGTGAATTAGTAATGAAAACGCGTTACAGATGATAAAGATCCAGGATTGGTATCGCGGCAGAACTAAGATATGCTCACGTTGCCAATTCTCTCCGGGTCCATTTTTCACTAGATCATGCAGTTCACTCGTATGGGATCATGTTGTCTAAAAATAAAAATGTAAAGACAATCTTCAGATTACTGTTGGTTGACGTGATTGTTAGCCATTACACATTTCAGCAAAAATAATATGATTAACTCGATTTCGTATTCACCGACGACATAAACAATTACGCGGTGTAGAAAATAAAATGAATTGGCATGAGAGAAAATTCTTCGAATAAGAAAGCAAGACATCGTATGGAATCGAATCGTGCATCGAGATGATCTGACGATTTAATATTCGTCTCCTGTACATGGACCGAACCGACAAACTTTTGGCATTTCAAGCCGATTATTTTAACGCTATATAAGTTTTTCTTTTAGAAAAGCAAATAAAACTAATGCATAAATCAGTGATCAATTTGCTACTATTTTGTCTACTAATTTCTGGGATCGAGGGTGATATGCAGCGCTGCATTGGAGCGTTAACAAAATAAATCCGAAGAGATTATTTAAACCAAACAAACTCAGTCACACTAGCGGCATGTTCAAAGCTAGTTCAACTCTGATTTAACTTACTTTTTTCTAGCACTGCTACGGGGGAAGATGATTGATTTACTATCATATATGTGGACGCTAGCGACCTCTATGAATTTCTTGAAATAGTCACACAATCTTTAACTTGAAAATACTAAATTTTCACTAAATTTTTTATGAATCTATTCAGTATATAATCTTTTTCTTTGACTTTTGAAAATTAAGAATTTATGTAGAAAACCAATATAAAATGTGGACTTCGCCGAAGTAAATAATACTAAATAAAAACGCAAGAGATTGGATGTCTTGTCAGTTCTCAGTTATTTATCTTCTTTTTATCGATTTCTAAAGACAACTTTGCATTGATTTGTTCTAGACCTGTTTTAGTCTTCATTATATCCAATTCCAACATGACGGACAAAAAGACAGCAGCTACATCAGCTACCAAGAAAGCTTCCGTTGCTACCAAAAAAACCGTTACAGCAACTCCAGCTCCAGCAAAAGCTGAAGTACGGTTGATTCCCTTGTCTTTTCTACATCTATCCTCAAATTGTTCTTAGAAAGTAGAAGCAACCAAAAAACCAGCTGCTACTCCAGCAACTGCGCCAGCAACAACACCAGCTCCAGCTAAACCAAAGGCTACTGTACCAAGTACAAAGAAAACAACATCCTCTTTGGCTAAAACGTCGACAAAAGTCACGAAAAAATCGACAACAACAAAAGGTGGTGCTAAAAAGAAACACAAGGCTATTAAATATTACATCGATTGCTCACATCCAGTTGAAGATGGCATTTTTGATCTCAATGCTTTCGTACGTATCGTTGGTTGTCGTTTCTATTGTTCTTCAAATGAATAATTTTACTTTTAGGAACGATTTTTACTTGAAAAGATGAAGATCAATGGTAAAACATCAAATTTAACTGGCAATGTTGGTATCGAAAGAGCGAAATCGAAAATATCTGTTACATCCGAAATTCCACTTTCAAAACGGTATGTATTCTTGGAATTTCCTTTGGTTTGTTTCGATCAGTCTAAACCTTCTACTTCTATTTTAGTTACATGAAATATCTAACAAAGAAATTCCTGAAAAAACATGAACTTCGTGATTGGTTACGTGTTATTGCCAATTCTAAAGATGCTTACGAATTACGTTACTTCAATATCAACCAAGAAGAAAATGAAGGTGAAGAAGCTTAAGTTAAGCAATTATTGGTCGGCAACAGTTTTCACTTTTGAACATCAGAAGAAAAAACAAGAATAACAAGAAAAAAAGATCGTATTGTCATTGTTTTTTTTGTTTTGAAAAGAAAAGAAACAAAACAAAATTTAATATAGATCATTGTTTCTTCTGCTAAAGATTATTCAAGGACAATACACGAGCTCGTTTGATGTTCTTTGGAGAGCAATTTGCCAGCTCAAATTATCCATAGCTCGATGTAATTTTAGACCATTTTCATTTTCTTTGGTCATATATTGCGTGCTCATTAGATTTTTGTCGAGAATGGCATTGTCATAAGTTTCCTGAAAGCGTCTTTTTGAACTGTGTTTAGAGTTAAAAGAACAATGTGAGTTCTCGCTGAATATCATCAGTCCGAGTACATTCGTATTCTATTCAATATTCATTTTATTAACATAGTCATACATCAACATATTCACTATGAAAATCAAAAAATAAAGATTCACTTCACAAACTAAAGTATATTTCGTATTAAATGACTAGAACAAACATAGAATTGATTCGTTACAACTAGATGTCTGCGGTTGTGATCGTACTGATTGTTGTTGCAATTGTTTGCAATTTTTTCTCTTCCTTTTTATCTGATGTTTTACTATATGCATACCATGATAAGCCACAGAACAACGCCGATAGACTTCGAAAGCCAAAGCCGAGCAATGCTAACGATACCGCCATACGCTTATTATTATAATGTTTACATTGATACTTATATCCACATGTTTCGCGTATCCATGTTTTACAAGTGCGATCTATAATTGCACCGAAAAGTATCGTACCTGGAAGATAGCCGAATGATTTAGTTATCGTCGATTTGAATCCGAGTGAAAATGCTCGATGAGTCAATTCAACACTGTATAGAGTACATTTAAGTGCCGGTATAATCACACAACAAGACATAAACACAACGATAAATGCACCGCATAATGTGATTACGAGATTAATTGTGCATTTACGCTCTTTACATCGCCCTAAAGTCAAGATAGTGATGACAAGGTGTTTGTCATGCTCAATTTGCAGCTATCTTACCAGCACTAACTGTACTATTTTTCGGTAAACATGAACAATCCGCGTATTTTCCTTTGAGTAGTTTTCGACAACCCAGTAAACATGGATTTTGATACGTTTCTTGATTGGCTAAGTCACATACTGGTTGATAAATATTCATATCGCATTCTACAATAATGAACCGAAGTGGTTCCTTCCAGGTCAATGTCAAGTCACTTACTGCACTTTCGTTTACACGGACTTTCAATACGATCAGATTCCACTAATGGTTCATCGAAAAAATCTTCATCGAATGCTGTAGAAATAACAGGCATGGAATGTGTTGTACCTAATTGAAAGTCATCCTTGAGACAAATGTATTTCTTTGAGAACAAGTTTTACCAATAGTTGGTTCACGACAATGCAGCATTAGGCCAAGAAAGATAATAGACGACACTGCCAAAACTATACAACAAAATTTGGCACATTGTCGACCGTTCATATCAAATCGCTTAACAAAATATGCACCCAAAGGCGTACCAAAAATAACAGAAAATAAAGATATAACTCCCATAAAAACACTCGAATGAGAAGATGTTGTTCGAAATTGATATTCAATGTGTTTACTTAGAAAAGCTAAATAGCCTTTAATTAACAGAGCTTCAATAACAGCACATCCAGTCACACCAATATAACGCAGATTAAAGAGTAAATGTTTGATTAATGATACCATATCAATGCAAAAATCTTTGTTTTGAGCGGATTCATCTTCATTTATACTTGACACTGGTTGTTCGACCGTTAATAAGGACTCATTTTGAATTCCATTGATACTCAAACTCAAATTAGTTACAGATGAACTTGCACGCGACACACGCGTTTCAGTGATTGCTGATGCTGAAACGACTTGAAAGGTTGGGTTAATTGACGATTGTCGCGGTCTTCTTGATGCAAAATAACGATGATGACGACTTATATCAAAGATGCATAGGAGTAAACAAAGAATCAGACTGAGACATGTACACAGTGCGTAGACAAGCCACCAAGCGCCAACCCATTCCGAATAATTCGGTGTTAACCAGACAGGCTTTTTTATATATGTATAAACGTTTAAGAATTGAGAGGTTGCAAGAAAACCAAGACCAATGCCGATTCCGCCAACGGCATAATATATTCCTGTAGAGAAAGGCAAACATAATTTTCAAATCGTTTGCATATTTAATTATCAAACCTTGAGCAATCGGTGCCTTTTCCTGTGAGAATATATCTTCGATCAATGTAACAGCTAATGTCGGAAGTGCAGCAGATCCGCATGCATTGATAACATTCGATAAATAGAAAACATATTTTAAATGACTTAAAAATCGTAGATTATTCGAGAATGAACACACGCTAATAGTTCGATTTGGATTACATAATGTTAAATGATCAGCAACGCGTGGATCTAACGGCGGTTTACCACGCTTCGACTCTAGTAAATGTGGAAAGGACATGACGAGAAAGCCAATTGCTAACACACCCATTGATATTGCAATCCAGCGTACTTTTCTCCGGCTTCGATCTCCGAAGTATCCAATAATTGGGTAAGAAAATATGGCCACAAGTTCATAGACCGATTGAAATAAGCCAGTTTCTGTTGACGTCATATAAAAACCGGATTCTAGTGTTGTCATAATCGCGTTGTTAGCTCCGCCAACAATCGAATTTTGAATCAGGTTACAGAGACAAACGAGAATGAAGATGACTTTTTCCGATGTTGATATTGATTGTTTCGACTTTGTTGTTGAAGAATCGACCATGGTACCGTCATCATCGCTTTGATTCATTGTCTGTCGGGTAGTCAACGAGGAATTATTTCATCTAAAGTAAAAGCAAACATGGTATTCGATTCGACGTTAGTATATAATCGACTTCCTGGGAAAGAAAAATGATGTGAGCATCAGACCATCCACAAGAGAGTAAAGATAGACGACAAAGAAAGAAAAATCTCTTGCTATGTCTACTTCATAACAAGTATATTATGACTCATGTGATTGGGCGAACTAGAAGGCCTTTTTGTCAGCTGCTTTTGCTCGATTCTCTGCTAGCATATATATCCTTTACTGTTATCTTTCTGGAAAGGATAATACGCAAGTATAAGTCGACGTGATCTTCATATTCATGTAATCGTTAGCAATTTAATCTTGATCAATTCACTTGGATTTGATTGAATCTTACTCTTAAAAACTAATGCCAAGACATTTGTATCTATCGCATCGATCTTCTCCACTTCACCTATTCACAAACCCTCTGACGTCAATGTGCGAACGACAGTAAAAGATTGTTTTTCTTACGTTTTTTTTCAAACTAACAATTTGTGTCATAAGCGTTTCTATTCTCGTTTCGACCGTTTTTACTAATGCATTTGATGATGTTACTATTTGAAGATTCCCCTATCATGCAATTATTGAATATACTATGCATCATAACATCTCGCATGTGTTTGCATATAAAAAAAGCCTGACGATGATGTCGATCAGAAGTTGATTGTAATATATAAAATATAGATAAATATTCATTTTTCTCTCAGGAAAAAAAATCTAAATTATCATTGTGTGTGTAGACAAATAGAACAAATGCGGAAATTGCTCTTGAAAATTCTAGTATGTCATTGAGAAGAGTGTATTGAAAGTCGGTCTTTTATGGTATGGTTTACTTGATAGGAAGTGTTATCATATTAGTTCTGAATAGATTGATCTTGTCATTTTCTTTCTTCATGTGAAAGCAACGGAAGAAGAAGGAAGATGGTAGGTACTGTTCGATAATTTAAGATTCTGCCAAAACACGAAAAAAAAATGGTGAATTCAATGATAGAAAATGGTCTTTCTTCGTTTCTTTATATATTATTAAAAACTCGTCTCAATTTAGATAACGACATACTTGATGGGCAGAATCGGATAGTATTTCTTTAGCGGGGAGCATACAATCGAGAAGGAGAAGTAGAAGAAAAAGAGAAGAGATTATTAATTATATGCGCCGTCTCCCTTTATTATCTACAACATAAACATCGAAAGTGCGTCATTAATTTTTTTTTGTATTATTATTCTCCCCAACGTCGATGAATGTTTCAGCATATTAACAAGCAGAAAAAACGATAAAAATATGATCACCATAGTGAAATCATGTTGATGAGACCATGAAACAGCATGATTACTTCGAAGTCCACCTATAAAAAGGAAACTAATGACAAATAATCAGGGAAAAAAGAAATATTACAAGGTGCAAGTACATTTTTCGGATCGTCACATCGATGTTTCGCAGCATTCCATTTTGCTCCCCCTAGACATTTGCCCATCTTTGTTTTACGATGTTCAGTACACAGATAGTACGATCCACATTGACTCTCATGATCGGCGTACCAGCCATTTGCTTGAAAAACACCTAATCGAAAAGAACATGTGCTTCTGTAATGAAAAAAAAAACGAGTCAAGCTCATACATGGATCATTGCCACGTTCATTCACCGGCCGATTGCCACAGAAAACCTTTCGATGATCATTGCATATTCGTAGATCTTCGTCGAATAACTGCCTCTCTGGACAATGAACACGTGTCACAACATCTTCTCGGCAGGTGTAATAAACTATGAAAATAATACAGAGAGCGACATGTCTTACGGTAGAAAACTATTCGCATAATTACATTGACAATTATCTGGATCGGGCATATTGCCTTGGAATGTACAGTCGCTACTTTCAACAAGCTGGAATATGGGTAATGTCACTCGATCACGTGCGATCTTTGAAGCAACAGTAATTGGTTTGACTGTTGTTTTCCGTTTCTTTGATGCACGTGTCTTCTTTGTCACTTCATGATTTTCGTCAATGTGCTCATCATCATCGCTTGGAGTACGAGAAGTTGTTTTTGTCACAACATAACCTGTTACACTTTCACTTTGCCCCCCTAAATTTTTGTTACATTAAAGGAAATGTACAATGAAACAAAAGCATGATTTTACAGCCTTCTGGTGGTGTCCAGTTTGGCCTTTCACCGTTTTGACATTCGATATTCTTCGTTAAGTCACACCGCTGATGATCAGGATCATAGGACATACCACCGCCACACCTAAAAAAGTGGCCAACAACAGTCATTCGACGTGTTACAGTAACGGTTTTCTTCGAACGTCGTCAACTCACCATCCTTCGATACTGATTCCTGTATTACAAGTATAATATCTAAAATCAATATTTCATGAGGCACAAAATTTTCAGTGATCAGAAATTTTACTTTTCACAATCTCCTGGATGAGGCCATCGACCATCTTTTGGGCAGGCGAATTCATCCGTTTTCGAAAAAGCACCTAAGTATTTGAAAAAAAAACTCCAGATAAATATTGTTCACAGTACATCGAAAATTTACTGTGAATATTGATGATCAAACAAAGAAGACACAGTCGAAGCATGCTTGTTCTCTTCGTTCGAAGATAGAGTAGAAAGCTTTGTGTCAGTTTGAACAATTTTGTTATAAGCTAAGATTGAGTAAATATTTCTACTCCGAAACATTCATTCATGATCAGAAGAGAACATGAAGAGAAACTATGTATTCAAAACAATCCACATTCACTATCGGCTTAGTCTCTCTTCTTCTTCTTCCTCCTCCTCTTCGATCCGTTCACGAAAGCAGTATAAAAGAAGGTAATCTTGTCGTATACATGTGTATGACCTATTGACGAAAAGCACATCCGATTGTGCAGTCTACGCATGTAAAATCAAACGTTCTCATCTAGGACCACACATTTATCAAAAATCAAAATTACTATGTTTCTTCTTGCATCAGTGCTTAAGTAATAATGTACAAAATATCTAGCAGCAAATCGTCTTTATCTTTAAGTTGTATAAATGCAATAGACAAGTAACACAAGCACAACAAGTTTCGATTAGTTAGTAGTACAATCTCATATAATTCCTAGGGTTGATATCAACCCGTCTAATTCTTAAAGATAAAAGCAAGGATACGAGTATCCGTATCTTAAAAGTTCACTTTGTATTGAGTAGTCGAATGAGTCAAACGCAACGCAGGCATGTATGAAAATATATAAACTCGTTGACTTCACGAGGAAATGTATTTAATTTCTTTCAAAGTGTGTTAGTAATGATTGACATGTTTAAAACTATTGCACTATATATCTCATGTAATATTACGGTAATTTCACAATTATTGCGAAACGTCACATAATAAAAATGTCGGTCGTGTGTTAGTATTTTGAATAAAACATTACACAGCAAACTATGGCTACATGCACAGTTGTGTCTTCGGGTGTTAATGCACCTTCGTTAGTCAAACTACGCGCGCCATTTCAGAATGATAAGCAAAATGAAAGTTATCTTTCGCAAATTATTCTTGTTATTGATCGATCGGGATCGATGAGTGGAGGTAAAACCGATTGTTTAATATAATTAATCAATGTCACGGAAAAATTCAAATAGGCCCATGGAGACAAGTTCAATCAGCTGTTAAAGCAATACACGAGATGAGCCAATTGGTTGGACAAGATCCTAGTCAGCAACCAATTGTCATTACATATAACGATAGTGTATCGATCACAGATTTAGCTGCGATCGCCTTTACAACAGCAAGTGGATCGACCGATTTTGTGAAAGGTATTGTTCTTTCTGAGGATTTGTACGAGATGTGTATGGACATAATTTGTTGATTAGTATTTGAACAAATTAGAAAGACTGTGAAGGAGTTGGGTACTGAAAAACGAATTGTCATAATTTTTATGACCGATGGATGTGATTCTTGTAATCGTCCAGGTGCAATCCAAGATGCTCAAACGAAAATGAGTGCATTTTTAAAAAAATTGCAGACAAACTCGGTTGTCCATGTCATTGGGTATTCGGCTGACCATGATTTAAACATGATGATGGCGTTGAAAAGTTTAGGTACAACCGAAGGTATCTATCGATATGCACAAGGTTCAGTAGGTCTCGATGAGAAATTTCGTGAACTATTCGAATTCGCTGATACAGCAGTTGAGTTTTTGATTGAATTACCCGGTATCAAAGAACCAATTAAAATCACTGGTGAAATGACGGATGTAGATCATGTCGAAGCAGAATGTTGGTTATCTTTGGTGGACAACATCAAATTGCCAATTCAAATTAACATCGCAGGCAACCAGTATCATGTTGTACCAGAATATAGTGAACCAGATACGATTTTTCATCTGAAAACTTTGTCTAGACGTGCTACAGAGGTGACTACTCAACAGGAATTGGATGAAATTCAAAGCGAATTACAAGGTATTAAAATGTTTGGAAGCAGCGTTGGAGGAAGTAAAACTGATCGACGATTGGCTATGGAATTCCGTGCTGAACTTCAAACACGTTTAGACGCTATACATGCTATCATGGCAGACATCGCACGAGGTACGTTAAATCAGACGGCAGCATTGGCCAAAATGAATGATTTAAGATACGCAGATAAGTAAGATAGTGTTCGTTTCTTTTCTCATATGGTAATCCTCTCTTTTTTGTGAAGATTTTCGAAATCATCACGCCAACGACGAATGAACCAACGCGCTGTTCGCAATCAGGCAAGTCTGCAGTTAATCGATTCTAAACTTGATGGACTGAAATTCGATGAAAACACAGTCTTCGATAACATAGACTTGGTCACTTTTACGTGCTGTTTAACATTAAACAATTGCCGAGATATGATGGTCGATAGTCGCGATGATATAATGGGTGTTGGTCTTGTTGTTGAACGACAAGAACATGTTGTCGACGCGCCAACATTGATCTCAGTGAAAGATGTATCTGTTACAATTCTTTCTCGTTCGGCATGTGATGATGCGATTAAAATGAAAATCAATATTGGTGATGCTGCTCAACTTCATGGAGGTTTTATTCCGTCGAAAACGAATGCACCGACGACTAGTACTAACCTAACTTCGAAAAATCCGACTCAACAAAAGTCAGAATTTACTCGAGGTGTGGCTGCTGAGCCTATCAATACATTTCTACCTCTCTACATATGTGATGCACATTTCGAACGTGTTCAGGTAATGTTAGAACCAACGCTCGGCTATTTATTTACACTTGATATTAGTGGTTATAAAGATGATCAATTACTTGGTCTTTATTCTATTCTTGGACAAATGATGAATGCCAGTCGAGAAAATGGGTCTGAACGAGAAGAAATCATTCTTCATGAATTTACGCGCTTGTGCCATGCACTTCTTCCACGAACACTTCAATATCTTGGTGCAGAGAATGATTTGTTGAAGAAGTTCATGGGTGGACCAACTGGCCGCAGTAAAGCGCACATTCAAAACATGATGACACTCTTCGGCTACATCCATGCATCGGGCATCAAAACTATTGATGATACACTTCGCTATGCCATTGTCGAAGAGTTATATCGACGACATTTCGCCTACATCTATCACGGTACATCAGAAAATGTAGTTGTCGAACATCTACAAGGGTTATTATACGGTACGGATGACGATGTTAATGCTAGTAATTCTGAAGATATCGACATTCAGAGTATATCGTATGTGAAAACTAAAAATACTCGAACAAATGATGGTCGATTCGGTGCGTATGCTCGATCGGTATTGAAATTAAATGCAAACACTTCTCAAGCTCCGACTGAAGACCTCACCATTGAATTCGAGATACCCGAAAGACCAATCAGTGAAATGAATGATAAAGTTCGTTCGAAAATGAATGAATTACTATCATCTTTTTCAACGAAACCAATTCAAAACGTTCTCAATCGATTAGGCATTCGTATGATGGATATGTCGGATGAACAAGAATGTCTCATACTTCGATCCATGCTTGTTCAATGCCTTCGTTTTCACTCGAACGAATCAATTAATTCTTCTGTCTTGGATAAAACATTTTTCAATGCTCAAACCGACTACCGAAAGATTCTCACCGTTGCGCACGAAGAATTCGACTCCAACCGTCAACGGCTATCAGCAAATAAAGTCGAACAAATACGTGCGTTAGAATTGGCACGACGAGCAGTGTTAACCAATGACATTGGCGTGTTTCTTGGAAGAATGATGGTCTATGCACCCACACGCGGTGGAAAAATATTCGATACGATCATGAGCTTATTGTTAGATCGAAGTCAAAAACAAGTGCCTTTATTATCAATGAAAATATCCATCATTTTTACTGGTCGTTACAAAGAACATAAAGATGCAGAAAAAGAATTCGATGTTATCAGTAATGGCCTCGCTTGGTTTCCTGATCGGTCCATCATTAATCGTGTTCGAGAAGTGTTAGCCGACGAATGGGATAATTTAGACCGTTTAATGAACGGTCGTACTTGTGGACATGTTTACCGTCTTTCGGACATTCCTAATCGTCATGGTTACCATAATTCACATCCTAATCCCAAATTAGTTGTTCAATGGAACTCATAAGAAAACAATTGAAGATCGAGCTTGTTGTCTTTTTCTCCGAAGAAATTAACAAGTATAATTTTGAATATAAAATATTTCTCGGCATCAGTGTCTACGTTAAAAAGTTGTTTTTACGCATTCTATAGAAAACAAATAACAGATCGAGCAGTAGGAGCACCATGATTGCTATTTTATCATTCACTCTCAAGTACACTCTACTATACTAACAGTTCACAAGTGTTTTCAAGCGCTTTTAGATAACTTTGGCAATCACACCATATATCTTCGGAAAAACATTATCGGTACTGTCTACAAACTAGAGTCGCCCAGCTATTCATTAATCAAAAGATATTCTAGAACGAAAGGAAAAAAAACACTATGAAGTAATAGAAATCGCCATGGTTACACAAATGAAAATGCTCGATGTACAATAGTGTCTATGTCATTGCGATTCTACTACTTATTCTGAATTATAATCGTGTTCAATCTTCTTCTTATTCTAATCCTACTCGTTGCCTTCCGAATCGCCGTCATCTGAAGAGCTCGAGTGGACACTACTTGCTAGGAATTGAACATGCTATTAACAACGAAAAAATATGTAAACAGCGATGTTCGGTTAACAAACGATGTTCAACAGCAAGATTCAACGAACAGTTTCAACGTTGTTATCTATTTCAAACTATTCGGAAGAATTCGCTTTATCGACCTTATCAATCGAACTATATACAAGCAGAGTCTGCTGACTGCTCGGAAAAGTCTTCTTTTCTATCGCATATCGAGCAATTACAAGGCTTGAATACTCATTGTCTCTACGATGCGTATGTACCGAAGTTTACACATCGTGAGAACGATTTGCAATTTGATCTTTCGATAGTTTACCTTGGCAACGTGCGCAACATCCGAATATTTTCAAATCTTATACATTGATCGGTACGTCATATTTAGCTTGTCAAGAACTTTGCTCATCTGTTCGTCGATGTGCTGGTGTTCAATATCAAGTAGGACGTCATGAGAGAATATTCTATTCTTTCATTTTGAAAATTGATATGGAGACACGTGGTGTACAACGTCACCAATGTCAATTATTACGTTCCACGAATCCATGGGAATTGACATCGAGTAAATCAGGGATCGTATTCGCTAAAAGATCATGTCAAGGGTTAGTTGACACAAATAATCCATTGTCTGAGGACCAAATACCTGTATGTCACTTCGAATATTTCGGTCAAGGTCAACAGTAAGTAATACTCGTATTTTTCCTTCTTAATGGTACTGTTCTAGTAAACATGACAAAGAGATGATTCAGAGATTACCTAATCTATCCGAAATACAATGTCAATATTTGTGTTCGACAATGGTGAACTGCATCGTATGTAGCTCGCTTTATATTTGTGATGTAGAAAGGAAACTAATCTTGTTTCAGGGCATTGAATTCATCGAAAAGCGATCTGGTAAATAGACAAATAATCATTTATCTCATTCCGTGTTCAATTAGAGAAATCGAGAATAGCAGCGAGTACAATGAGTTATTTGTCAGTCGATGACATAATTTGATTAAGTAATGAAAAGATGCATTGATCTGTATTTGAATAAGATGGATGTGACGAAGAGAAAGAAGCGAGAAAACGAGTTCAGAAATCTACCGGTCACATACTGTGAAACTGAGCAATTAACATCAGTTTATCAAAATCTAAGCCATATCTAATCTTGTCTTGATTTTCTTAGAATGTATTCTTCTCTCGTCTAATTTCATTCAAAACGATGGTACAATCCATGTGAAGTATCATCGTCGCCATCATCTCTACATGAAACTCTCATGCAGTACATCGCTTCCTGAATCAGTTCTACCGAAATGTTTACTCGATGATATTCATTGTAATTGTCATGAAAATCTCTGTCAACACGGAACTTGTCTAACTGAACAGAGCGAAGGATATCAACGTATGTTCTGCGAATGCGACTATGGTTTTACTGGTCAACTGTGCGAACAAATGCTTGATGTTTAAATGTACAAGAGATCAACATTTGGGAGAGAGATAAAAAGAAAGAAAGAAATACTTTATTATGTTCGAACATGACATTTGTTGTTTTTAATGGCCTGTAGCAAATATCATTCGTATGGCATATTTTAAACAAAAATTCGGTCCTTGACCATTCCGACGGCAATACCGATAGAGAATATTTGCATTGCGTTGTGAACGTTTAACAATTGTTGATCGACGAAGACTATTTTCTTGTGCATGATATACTAATGTTCTTGGATCGTTTTCTATGTTTTCGTATTCTGCCAATATATCGTGATGTTGATCCAAATAAAAAGCGGACTAGAATAGAATGAAATATAAATGGAAACATTCCATGAAATGATATCGTTTACTGTTGTGGTTGTGAGAACGAGGAGAAGGAGAAAGACGCACCATACCTGTTTATAAGAAAGGTTGATCAATCTGTGGGAAAAAAAGAAAATTTTGTCGCCTTACTGTCATGATTGTTTATACAAAACGATTGGATACAGATTGAACTCGAATTGACGTTGATAATTCTCGCCGAGAGACCATCACGTTAGAAAGAATCCATCTTCCTTCTCTTCTTCTTTTTTTTTCTTCTGATTTTTTTTTTGTTTTTCTCTACTACTCTATAATTGTTGAGAATGTTTTCTTTACTGTTATTAATGCCGAACAAATCAAATAGGAGTCGGTTAGGTTAATCAACGCTTTGGATGTCAGAGAAGTGATTCTAAAAGAAAATATAGCTTATTCCTACTAATCTCTATGATGTGATCTTTTAATCAATTTCGTCATTGTGCAAACAAGATTTCCGTTCAAATTCTACTTAAAACACAACTGAACTCTCTTGATCTCTTCACATACCAATACAAACGCAAGTTTAGCTATCTATCAGCAAAGTCCCACGAGATCTTCCTCTTCTCCTCCTACGTGTTCTTTTCTTTTCTATCTCCTTCCCCTCCTACTCATCCTCTCTCATGTCTTTCATAGATGCTCGAACAAAAACCAATTATTCGAGTCAGTAACATGGCTTGCAATTCGTTTCTCGATTTATTGTCTGACAATTGAGAATTAACAGGTCGATAACGACAAGTTACAAACAATGACGAACAAGCAGCAAACCATCATTATTACTATCGATGAAGGGGAAATGAACAGCGGAGCAGATGTAGTGATACTTTCGTGCGTTCGAGTCGCTGAACACCTCCGCATTCTTCTCGTACATACTCAAGTTCAGTCATCTCAAACAATTGAACTTGTCATGTTTTCGGAGTACAAAAAACAAACATTGACTCGGAGATTTTCTTAAGATATCTGTATGTTTGAAGTGATGAATAACAATGTGTTTTCCTTTCTTTGAAAATTTGATTATCTGGTGGTTTAATTTTCATTCTATATTCCATAAATAATCATCAACTATCCATGGAGAACAAATGTCAATTAGTTTCTTTCGGCAAACATGAACAGAATGAGTAAAATATAAACATTGCGAACAATAATATCGACATCTCATTTCCTGCCGTATATCGATGCAAATTATCCTTCCACATATATGCTTGATCACATTGACACAAGGAAGTGATTTTCGAAAACGCAACGACAGTTTCACAAGAATTTATTTACTCTCATTTCTCATGTATCTTTTTCTTGAAATCCAATTGAATAAAGCTTCTTGACAATGATGCATTGCTTTCCTCATTGACAAGTTCGTTTGTGAGTTCAAGTCACGCTGTACGTGCTGAATTTTGCTTGAGAGTTTCTTTCTCGATTGCTGCCAATGGTGATTAACGACCGAGAGTTGATCGTCAAGTAGTTGCCTACTCAGATCATCAGTTATGGTTATTCCATCAACACTAGTCATACAAGATGGTATCAATGAGTTTTCGTATAACTGAATATTTTGATCTATTCCCGCAAATCTCTGAGAATTTAAAGGTGCTGGTTGCGGTCTATGAGTTTCTCTGAATCGTTCATTTTCACGTCGAACAAACATAAGAAACGATCGAGAGTCGAAGTCGTGCACCAGTAAATCAATCGGTAATTCATTTAATAGCATATTTGTATGCATAAGGAATTTAAGAATTGTTTGGCGCGTCAAGTATTTCTAACAGAAACACGATTGCAAAAGAAATAGGACAAATAACAACAACTATGAACATGGCAAAAAAAATTATATACGCAGGTTGATATTGCGCATTACCAATGAAATTCTTTCTGACTTTCCTCTTTCTCTTTATTTTTTAGCTGACACACTTGCACTTTTTCGAAAAGAAATTCTTCAATGGGTTGCGGTGTGTCAAACAATGTCGTTAACAACGATGCACAACCTGTTTCTAACGCTCCCGTTCCATCAACATCAAGATCATCTCAACGACAGAAACAAGAACAACAACAGCAGAAAGATGTAACAGAACAGCCTGTTGTTGCACCACAAACGTCAACAACAGGTAAAAGATTATTTAAATTCTTTCAAATCGTTCTATATTTATCAAAAATTGTCTTTTACTTCATAGCTGAAATGTCGAACACAATGAACGTTCTCATTACTTGCCATGGTGATCAACAAAGTCTTGCTGAGAAAATACGCTCGACGTTCAGTAAAGAAAATGTTGCTTGTTATATTCTCAATGAGTCAACGCCGTGCTCTATTGCAGCACGAGCGAATCTCGTGCAATGGTGCAATGCATTCCTCGTTATTATCAGTCGTTCATACCAACAGACAATGTCTTGCATGGAAGCGATCAACTACGCTAAAGATCTACGCAAAGCAATTGTCGCTGTTTACGTCGAATCAAATTTTCAACCATATGGCGCGTTGGGTGCTATATCAGCCAGCGCCGTGCTCTCGTTAAAAGTGGCAAATAATCAGCTACCAGAAAATATGACTTCACAAACTGTCACTGCTGTTTTGGCTTTTAAAACAAGGAAATCCGGTAATAAAAATTCTGTGGACCCAGCACAGGTGTGTACAAATAATTATCTTATCTGGAAAAAATTCATCGTATTGTTTCATTTAGATGAACAATGAGAGTGCTCATATAGATCTTGTCCATGGCGATCAGTCATGTACGGTATTAGTTTGCACGGCCAATGATGGAGTGAATGTTGCGCAATTAGTATATCAGGATTTTCGCACAAACAATGTCGACGTTGCGTTAGAAAATCTTGCGCAAGCAAATGCATCTTGCAGCGTTCGACAATGCGCCGTCTTCGTTCCGGTTCTTACTCCTGAGTTTGAAAAGCTACCGATCTGTCGCGCAGCATTTGAGGAAGCTCGTCACCTTGGAAAAGGTATTGTACCTATATTAGCTATTAAGGATTGGAAACCTGACGGATGGATTGGTTTAATTATTGGCGGAACAACATTTTTTCGAGTATTTAATAAAGATCAGGCGTACAAACAATTCTACGATAGCAATCGAATGAAAGATCTAAATTTTGAAGTGCAAGTAAGTTACCAAGTGTAAAAATAGTGCATCATTAGTTTTAATGAAAATACTAGGTTGCTTGCCAACCGCGGCCTAGTCAAGCCGAAAGAGAACAGAAAGAACTGATAGTTTTAACAGAAAAAATTCAGGAATGTAAAAATAACCTACGAACATGGCCACCACCGCGTAAAGAACGTTCAGATGATCCAGTTGTCGATCGACAACCCGTTCGTGTCGCAATACCTGAGCCGAGTGCTAAACTTGCATTCAATCATATCCATCATGAAATTACACGTTGCGATATCAAAGCACCACCTGTCCTACTGGACGACTACGGTTTACCTAAGCGAACAGAGCTCGATTGTATGATTAGGTAATATGAGTTCGTCGACGATTATGCTTTTATCGTATAAATATTTGTTTTTTAGTTATCAATGGGATCATCAAAATTTTGTTAGGAAAGTATACGAAGATATGTCAATGCGAGAGGTTAAGACATGGTTCGATATATGGGGAGGTATGCATGGCAACACAAACGATGCGATGGCAACTGGTTTGTTTATCAAATATAAGTTGTACTAAATATGATGTATACTCAACTTTCGTAGGTGTGGAATGTGCGAAAGTATTGCTTGTCTTTCTGTCTAAAGCGTACGTTCAATCGCCCAATTGTCTGTTGGAGTTCCGCTATGCTGTCAAGCGTGGTAAAGCTTTCGTAATTATCAGAGTTGAACCAAACATTCCAGCAGAACAATGGATGCTCGAAGCAATGGAAGGATTTCCTCAGTATGACATCTACTCCTATGATCATCTGGAGGCATTAATAAACAATGTACCAACAGTGAGAGAATATTTTTTTGCAAATAGCTAACAACTCCTGCTGTCCCACATTTTTTTAGATTGACGTCATTATGCAAGCGGTACGCACGCTTGCTCAAGCACAGCCGTTAGATGTTATAAATGATTGTTCAGCTGAACTATTTGAGCTGCGTTCACTTCTTGACGACGCCCGTGATGCAATCTATGCCGAGGCAGGACAAAGTCGTTATAAGACATGTACACGATGCAATCAACAGTTTGATGAATTTACGAAAGGTGGGTGTAAAACACATCGTGCATATTATATGGGTGGAACGATTCTGGAAGGTCGATGGGTATGCTGTCGGCAACAAGCTAAAGATTCACCAGGTTGTGAAGAATGTGATCATACAGACGCAGTTCGTACTTTTACACAAGATCCTAGTTATGGTACGTGGACATGGCAACCTAACTAACGTCATCAAGCGCTTGAGATGTTTTGCCTTTCGTTAAATAATGTGTATCATTGCTAATATCATTTATTATAAAAAGAATTGGGTTCTCGAGAAACTATAAAACAATATCGCGGGATTGAATAGCACAAAGTTTACCATGTCAAGAGACTGCAGTTGACCCTTCTCCAAGTCTTGTCATTGACTGAGAAACATCTTTGTCAGGAGAAGAAGTCTCTTTCTACAGTAGAAAAGAATGACAATTAAATAATAGAAGAAATTCTAAACATAACTTACATGGACATCAAACAATCTTTGTGGATGAAGATTAATATCCGACGAAATATCTATCGGTTGAACATAATTTGAAGGTATGAATCCCATATGAACATGATCAATAGTAGCCAAGAGCCAGTAGGATCTCGGTGATTGAAAAGCTACAAGATGTTCGATAAGATAACAAATAGTTGATGACCATCTTACCAGGAGGTGCCAAATAGATCGTCATACCACGCGTAAATGATAATTCATCAGGATTTCGCGCTACGTAATCATAGAGTGCAAGGACACGCTCTGATTTTGTCTCGCGTTGCAGTCGGCTATTAGTTACTAAAATCAATTCTGTTGCAGTTCGATCTGATGAACTACCGGTTTGACATACCTTGCCGTTTCGCTATGATGGAATTGAGAACTTTCACCATTAATATCGGCGTACCGAATGTAACAAGGAAGAATAGAGCAACGAGTAAACCAGATGACTGTCCATTTGTTACTTTCATTGATTCGGCCGACTGCTGCAAATTCGTATAAACTGTCGTCCATGAATCATCCAACTGATCTATCTTTCGTAAACGTAGAACTGTTAATAGACGATGGTAAAGAGATCTAATAAATCGATAGAATGGAACTAGTGAAGAGAATGCAGTTAATTCAGATCGGAGTCTTGTAAAATGATCAAATAGATCAATCATCGCACGAAATGATGTGTACACATTTGTGAATGTCGATTCTAACACATGGGAAATGGAACGAAATGTTTGAATGACTGACTCGATCGAGCTAAATGCCGAACGTGATTCATCGATTGCCATCTGTGTGAAATTACTCGTAGACAAACTCGAAGAAGACTGATAGTGGTTATTGTATATTATTGGCGGCTGACCATGCGAATTGTTAGGATAATTTATCGAAGGATAAGAAGTGACAGATCGGGATGGGTATGAAAGTGTTCGCGGTGGAAGTGGAGGTGCTATACTTTGTGCTCGTCTAAAGTAAACAATGAGATAAATCAAGTATTGAGAAACATCGCATACATAGACTCAATAGTTGGCACAAACGCATTGTTGCTTGCCTGAAACGATGACGAGAATGGTTGACTGATCATTGGCGCTGGTGGTTCCCAATTATTATCGACCGACATCGATGAAAGATTTCTGCTAATTGTCAAAGATACACAGTGGCGATTACGAAAACTCTCTATGAGTCACTGTTTGTATTATACGATTGGATCAATCAGTTCTTTGCTTTTCACAAGTATACAAGTATACGTACATCGGCGGGTACCTAGTATTGGAGCATGCCAAGATGAAATTTTAGATTATGCGACATCTTTGTCTGTTTTATTCTGATTGGTATTGCTGCTGAAACTCTAATAATCATTCATTTCGTTTAATCACATCAACTGTAAAACGTTTCGTTTTGCAATTTTCCTGTTTACCGCACAAAGCTCTTCATATATCGAAATTGAACATTTTCAAGTGTATCCAAGCGAAACTCTCACAGATGCTGTAAGAGAATAGAGTACCATTAACGTGTCAATTACATCACATCATCTACGCCTATGTATATATACGTATATACATATATGTATATGTTTCTTTTCATCAACGCATTTTGTTGGGTGACTTAACCTTCACACTCTCGAAGAGAACTTATGATGTATGGATGACTATCGATCTTTTCGTTCGTTTTTCTTCCTCTTCTTCTCCTTTAACTATCGATTGTTGTAACGAAACGTTTCTTTTTCGCACGAAAAGAACATAACTAGAACAAGTGAAGAGAAAAAGAAGGAACTCATCTTCTTTTGATTCACACAATACAAGTTTTCCTATAATGAATGAAAATACACTGCCTATTTTCAATGATATTAGAATTAACCTTCGACCGAATAATAAACCATCTCCAACTGAAAATGATCGACGATCACAGAGTTCAGTACCTAGCCGAATCTCCAGATATTCTGGTAAGATTGCGCTGTATTAATCGTTGTGTGATTATTTTTTCTTCAAAAAGAATATCCACAAGTCCGACCAACAAATCCTTTATATTCGAGTCAATCAACAATCAAAACACCCACAGTTAAATCTAGAAGTTCAGCAACGCTAGTAGATCGTCGTCAAAAATTTGATCCCCAAGCACCACGGCGTCCATCAGATTGGCGATGGTTGGCTATCCTATGTATCTTTCTCTTCTTCCCGCTTGGTATGTTAATCCATCGAGTGAATATTTTCTTTGAACAAATCCTTTCTAGGTTTATTTGCATTTGCGTTTGCTCGTAAAGCACAAGAAAAATTTCGATGTGGGTTTATCACCGATGCACATCAATTCAATAAACGTGCTTTAATTCTCTGTATCTTATCGATCCTATCTGGAATTGCCTTGATTATCGGTCTTCTGTTCGGCTTCGATGCTTGGCCAAGAACAAACGGATAAATTTATTATTAAACATCAATAACTCCATTATTTTAGTGTCCTAACGATGATGCTTGATCATCGTTTTATTGTGATATAGCTCATTGGTTAAAGTCACTACTATGTCTGTGTCACTTTGAAGAAAATATCTCCTAGAATTTGTGACTTTGTTATCAATATTGTCTGTTCGTTGAGATTAACAATAGATCATAACCTTCTACTGAATTCCAAGGAAAGATGAATTTTATTCTATGATGCAAATGCTCTTTTACATAATAGCCTTACTTCGTATCAATCTAGTAATGTACCTGAATAAAGTTTGCCAGACTTCGACATTAATCAAGACTGTAATAGTAAATAGGTTGACATTCGTATTTGATCTATATATTTGACCAAACGCAAGCAGTCAGTCTACTTTATCTACAAAACTACTGATCTGTTTCAGTTAACAATACCAGAACATTTAATCTAGTCACACCGACGATGTTGAAGGCACTCTGATTGAAATCATACTTCAAGATTATGTCGCCAGGAACAGATCGGATAGAGCCATCTGCTAATGCGAAAACTGATTCATGCCTGTTCTTTTTTCACTGCACATCAGAGATCTTGACATCGAAACGAACTCATTCAAGCCCATCAATAATTTTTATTTCTGCCATTGTTCTCAACAATGAAGGTACCTCTATATTCACTCCCACTTCGGATAAATCATCAATGACTCCATACATCGGATATCGAGCACTCTTCTGCACTCGTCATGACATTGAAAATCGATTATTATAGAACTTTTATTTCGTTACATGTTTCTGTTTTATTTAATTCGAGAAAAAAACTACCATCTAGAGAGAAGAGAAAACAGTTCACAAAAGTATAAAGGTACATATCTCTTCTTCTAGTAACATCGTTCACACATCTCAGATAATGACTGATTAAAAAAAAAGAAAAGACGTATGAATGAACAAATGAATAACACAAAAATGAAAGACACAAATACATGCTATATATAAAAAAGAGAAAGTGTATTTGCATATTCTATACTTCAGTAAAATCTCATTTCATTAAAATCGCAATCATGTGGGAATGAAATTGTTTGAGGTATTGACGATGATTCAGTTTCCAGAGTATAATTTTTCCCTTCGTTATTATCCCAATGCTCTTGTCCATTGACTTGATAACGCAGCACGAAATCGATTCGATCAACATCTTGAGGAATATCAATGTTGAATTCGAATTGATCGATGTTACGAAAATCGTTTGAATGGCAACGATGTTGAGCATCGTATTCATAAGTATTCAGCCAACGATTAAACGAATATTTCACGGTGACATTTTTCCAATAACCAGCATTTGTAACCCAGGCGGTTCCATGAAGATACTGTTCACCGGTTGCAGATGATTTCAAACGTATATCAGCATGCTCTAACTTAATTTGAGATTTCCATACTTCATGTAAATAGATATCTGGATGTTCGGAATTGGGTTGGCGGTATAGACAAAAGAATCGTTTCGGTACATGACTTTCGGTCAGCTTTTTCGAAGTCCATGCAACATCGAACGACCAAGGCTTGGGCTCGAAGTTTAATACTGTGGGTATATAAAGATCACTTTTTGCCCACAGAGAATCTTTCGAGTCGCCATCTGCGATCGAACGAATGTATTGCACTTGGGTTAATTGACGACCAACAGAATCAGCGAAACGAACCATCTTTTTCGTTGCTCCAGTAGATCCGACACGTTTTAAACCACCGGGTAAAGTGTTTGTAACTGAATTAGAAGGTGAAACAGGCGATGGAGGTGGTGTTGGTGTGGCCACAGATGCTGCAGGCGTTTCAGTAGGTACAAAAAATTGAACATTACTTTCACATATAGCATCAGGAATTGAGACTGTTTGACGAGATGGACGATGTCTTAACCCTAAAAGAATAAACACAAATTAGCATATCGAAACATGATTTTTCTCCTTACTTCTTGATCGTAGTCGACTTGAAGTAATTGGTGTTTCAAGAGGCTTGTTGTGTTCTTCTGTTTTGGTATTGGTATCTTCTAACGATAGACTTTCGAGTGAAATTGGTTCCGGATTATCAGTAATCGGCTGAGATTTGTCTTTTTGACTGTCATTAGACTTCGCTACCGAATCACTTTTTAATGGTTTGGTTTCATCATCCGTTGAACATGATGAAGGTGCCCAAGATGAACGACGCTTTCGCCGACGAAAATGTCGCTCTGGATTGACTGATGCGGTGGTATCCAGGATACCATCTTGATCTAAGTTTTTGGTTGTCGTTACTGGTGAAATTGTATCTAATGTATCACTAGAACAGAAAAATCATATGTACAATGCTGTCAACTAAATTCCCATGCATACCTTTCAATGTGGTCAAGAGTTACTGGTTGAATTGTATCACAGTCTGTGGTGTTTACTTCTTGTTCTTCTTGTACTTGATTTAAAGGGGAAGGTGAACGAGGTGAGCTCTTATTTGCAAGATTATTCGCTGCTGTTTGATACTTGAATATGTTTGGTTCTGAGGCGAATCTTCCGAAAAAATCGAAGAAACTAGTTGAATTGGGTTCAAGGAAAAACAATCGATCATCAACTGAATGTGATATGGGCAAAATATTTCGATTGATGGTTGATGTTCTCGGCAGAATGTTCATATTTGGCGTTCGCAGCGGTTGTTGTTGCACAAGCATATGCGCCATCGTGGAATCTTCTAGCGATGGCAAATCAAGTTGTGGAGTAAAGTTAATATATGACGATGTCGAATGATTTCTTTCGTCCTGAAAAAGAAAGAAAAAAAAACGTTGTTAAGTTGTACTCGATGGCAGTCACGTTTCCTTACAAAACTATCACGTTCACGACAGATGAAGTGCATATTTAACGAAGAGAAAGTTAAAGAAGACTAATGTATTGACGACTGCTTCTTATAGACAACTTAGAAACAATGCGTGACAGTTAATACACATATGAAGAAGATTTCTATCTAGACAATTTCTTGTTTTTCTTTTTAATGTGTGAAAAAAGAAATTGATTACATATATGACTGGCAACATCGGTCAATAGTTCATTCTGTGGAAGTGTTTATCTAATCGCTTTTCCCTTCTCTTCACATATTTACCACGTTGCGAACGCATGGGTAACGCATGATAGATAATCTCAAATAAGTGTCGACAGATGCACTTAACTTGGGCAAAAAAAAGCGGATAAAAAAATAAGAGAACGAGCTGAACTGAACTCTTCATGAGTTGGAGTGAAGGATCTGCGTTGTATCAAACTGGCCTGCATTAGTTTTTATCTATCGACCTTAAAAGTACTTATATTCTATATTTACCCCAAGTGATATTCGCGAAAATAAGCTAGTGATATTAATGCATGATGCATCAGTAAGAAAAAAAAATGCAACGAAGAAAAAAGGTGTGTATTTGGTGAAAAATTAAGTCCATCATTAATATATATACGGAGTAATACAGTGCAAAAGAAGAAAGAGAGAGAGAGAGAGAGAGAGAGAGAGAGAAATGGGAAAGAAAAGCTAACAAATCTCTCGTTTTTGTTTGCTGTTAAACTATTTCGAAATATACTTGTCATTATATGTAAAAATAGCAGTGCAAATCTATTCTTTCACCTTTCTCTAGACTTAAGAATAAAGTAAAAGAAACGAACGAAAAACATATATCTCACTATATACTGATCGACTTCTTCCTGATTCATCGCAATGATAGGCAGGGGACCGCGGCGATTTCAGTTGACCGAAGTTCCGTCGAAGGAAAAAGGCCGGTCACATTACACCATGACTATGACGCATGCATGTTTGAAATAAATCAGATTTCTTCACTTTGCTTTATCTAAGTCTAAAGGTGAGAATCAGTTATCTATTTTGCTATTAGTATGGCGAGAGACGCTAGACTGATGCATTTATATATATCGCGAGTATTTCATTGGTAAATTTGGTAGTTTATACATAAAGCTATCATGCGCTAGCAGTGTGATTTCGAGGAAAGCATATGTAAGACAATGATAAAAAGCAAGAACATAAAACGAAGAAGAAAAGAAAATGTTATAGACCATCGTTACTTATATAATGATAATTTGAAGTTCAAGGTAAAACTACCGTGAAGCACGCATTGAGTGTATGTGTATGATTATGGAGATTATAGTCCGATAGTTGCTTTATCATCTACGCAAAAATGATAATGGGATAATATGATTACCCTTCAGGAGGACGTTACTCGATTGTATATCGATCGTCAAACAAAAAAGAAGTGCTCGCACAAGCATTACCGTTGTCCCTAATGAAACAAGGATTCGACTTGTTATTTTTCATCTTGCTTGCCTTGAATAAATACTGATACGCAATGTATTTTTAATAAACAAGATTGAAAAAAAAAAGAAGCAAAAAGTTCTTGAAGTTGTTTTCGTTTTGCTTTTTGTATACAGTTTTGTAGAAAAGAACCAAAATACGAGCACGCACACATACCTTTAGTACAACGATGAGTTAAAAGCAAATATTCTTCATGAATGCCGAACTTAATCGATTCATACTTAGCCTGAAGTATTCGTGCCTATGTAAGGCATATGGATTGATCAGCGTAGTCTCTAGGTACAGCGCACGAAATTAATTTGTTTCAAGTTTCAATGGCTTGGAAATAACTTATCGATTCAATCTATTCATTCATCATATTTTCAATCATTTCTACCTTTCTTTTTCTGCTCATTTAACATACGTACGCACATCTTTTGAGATAAAATACGGATTATACGTCTGTATGTTATGATGCGGTATCTATCAAGCATGCTTGCGCCTTGATGGTCATCGATCATTTGATAAAATGAAACTAGATGTCATTGAAAAAAGTATCATCGGAGACAAAGACAGTCTTGTGCGCTGACTTGCTCATGAATGGTATAGCATTTATTCTCTGAGAAATAAGACGAGAGATAGAATAGAACGCGGCATACGACACAGAATAGAAAAACGTTCTTTTGTCCTAGAGGGCGATACGTATGATGTCTTCGCTAGCACTTTTAGATCATTCCATGCTTACGCTTATCAGGTCAATGAGTTCTATTCTGCAGCACATTCATTGGCTCTCACTCTGCTTTTCTCGTTCCGCAAACGCGCGGTAATTCAGTGAGTTCTCGACTGTTCGGAGGAAAAGAACATTACGCATAGATTTCTATTACATTGTTTCATTTTTTGGTTGAAATTTTGTTTCATGTAAAATTCGACTCATTAGCGAAATAGGTTTCACCTTGAAAATATACGTTTACATTCTGTCTGTGTTTTGTATTACAAGTAAAGAATTGCTTTTACTCACTTGAAATGTATCAATTGGCGAGACGACTACCGAGGAGGGTGGAGATGACGATGTTGATTGAATCAAAACTCTTTCTCGGGCTGAATAAATGAATCGTGTAGCAATTTTGAAAAAATTTACAAAGATAAGCGTCAGCACATAGCGGACCTTATTGTAAATTATTTGTCGCCAGAAGAAACAGATACGATTTAAACTTGTAAATAATGACTAGGAAATTTTGTACCAATAAATTGTTTTTCTCAATTCATCGGGTTCAGGTACTTACATTGTATCTTGATATGGCTAGTTCGTCGTCCTCTGCTAATGAGTGAATCTCGGCTGATGGTTGAACGCAGTTAACAATCGACTCAAGATTATTCTCTCCGTGTTTAGTAGATGATAATAGCCAAGGCATTCAGTAAAAGTTGAAATAACCTCTAGCGGATTTGTTCTTCTCTTCCTTTTAATTTTCGTCAAATGAGAAAAGAAGGTATATGTATTCGCAAAAGAATTAGAAATGCACTCTCCTACCACGGAGACTACAGCTGTTAAAATCAGATGAGCGAATGCACGCCAGAGAAAAAAGAAAACGCTCTATTCATGTTTTGTTCTTTTTTTTCTTCCTGTTCTGTATTTCTCCTTCCTTTTCTTCACATTATGTGAAAGAAAGGAGATTCTAACAAACTTGTTCGCTGTAAACAACGTCAAAAACATTCTGTTATTCTTTTTCTTTTCTTTGGCTTCATGTTAATTATGAAAATATCGCGACTGCGATTGACTCAATGAGTAAAATAAAGAAAACTGACAACAAAAACACTGTTGAGATTCCATGTTGATTTTTGCACTCAATGGCCTATGTGATTCCCGATTAGCGCCATTGCAGATTAGTAACAAGCGACATCTATAATTATCTCGCTTGTTATTTACTTTCGGCAGATTTCATCATCGAAATTTCGTTTATTTGTACTCGAACTTTTAGAAATTTAGGAAATAGTGTCTTTCCAATCGAGGATGTTGGATGCTTTCTGATTGCTCGGTATTTATTAATAAATTCTGATTGATGAAGAAGAAAAAATAAACAAGTACATAAAAAAACGCATTCTTGTATTCATCATCGGATTTCGAAATCTATTCTCCTTTTTTTTCTCTTTATTTAGTAGATTATTGTACCAATTACATATCTCTCTCTGATTTTTTCACTCTTCTATTGTTGTCGTCGATATTCATTTCGCTTTTTTTCTTCATTAAACACTCATTCGAATTAACTTTTACTCCTATTCATTCAAACTGTCCACAAATCAGCTTCAAGCCGTTGGGCCGAATCGAGCTGGTATTGTCAGCTTGTCTGATGATGCTGCCGCAGTCGTTTCTTCCAACACTAATGATTTAACTAAATCAACATTGTCTACGAATAAGTGGATACCACAAGCATTGTTACGTTCACACCAACAAGCCAATGGAAGTTTAGTTCGCACCCAAGAAGAGAAAGATAATGATGTTTTTCGTCGCTGTCGTGCTTTGCTCAATAAATTAACGCCCGAAAAGTTCGATAAGCTCGCTGATGATTTAGCTAATCCATCCTTCGGCATCGATTCACCACACCTATTAAAAGGAGTCATTTTATTAATATTCGACAAAGCATTAGCCGAACCGAACTATTGTTCATTGTGTAAGTTGAGTACTATCTTTGTAACTTTGTGTGACTAAATTTCTTTGAATAGATGCTGAATTGTGTCGTCGTCTGGATCGTGACGCACCGAACTTTGAACCAGCTGATACTTCAATCCGAACATTTCGTCGTTTACTCTTAGCGAAATGCGAATACGAGTTTGAGCATCGTATTCTTCTTGGACATTCAACAACAGCAACAGATAATCCAGTCGAAGACGGTATGAATTTTCAAGAAGCGCGTAGTGAGGCACGCAAGAAAGCCATTGGTAACATCAAATTAATTGGTGAGTTAGGTAAACTTGATCTTGTCTCCGAAGCTATTTTACACAAATGTCTGAAAACTTTGTTGAAACGTGGAACTAACGAAAATCTTGCTGAACGCTGCGAAGATCTCGAATGTTTAACAAAAATCATGCAAACCGTCGGCAAGAAATTAGATCAAGGACAAGGGAAGAACCTAATGGATCAATATTTAGAACGTATTAAAAAAATTCAAAACCAAAAAGATCTACCATTGCGTATCAAGTTCATTCTCCAAGATATTGTCGATTTACGTTCGAATAACTGGATACCACGTTTGGCATTCATCGAAAAAGAAACGAAATTAACCGATGAAGACGGAAATCAACAATCACAAATCACATATAAATATCAACCAGCAAATAGCATGATACCTTCGTTGGCACATTCATTTGCTTATCCATATCACACATCAAACACGCCAACGAGTCTCTTTCAGCGACCACCATTCCACCCATCGATTCTACAACGTCCAAGATCCACCCAAGTCACTTCAGATAGATATCAATTCGAAAGACTCAATCCATTATCGACCGGTAAATATTTTCCTATTTCTCCAAATTCGAACTTTGTCGATTCTTTTTTAAGAACCAGAACTACCACCATCTCCCAAACCACGTCAAACATATCGTACGACCAACTCTCCTAAATCACGTCTCAATCAACACGATAGCTTAACGAATCCATTTGATCTCTCATCATCGAAAGAAGTCGATTCTTCACATAAATTATCCAACGGTCATCCAAATCGTTCGTCGAACTCTCCCACATATACGAATGGTCTGCCGGCAAATGGTTCAATAAATCGTTCGAATACATCAGCGTTCAATCTTCGTCCGAAACATTCATTCAATCATCGTGCACCGATGACTGATCGAGAAGAAATGGAGGCATCGATCACTCCAAAGGTCACTGCTGACTCCACTAAAAAGCCATCATCGGAAATTCTTGCTAATCATCCCTTAACAAAAAATATGAACAATCTCTCATCTTTAATCAAATCAAAAGATTCCCACCACCACCATCATCATCATCACAAAGCAACCAATCAAACAGCATCATCAACAACACGAGAGGATTTATTGTCGAAATACAATTCATTTCTTCAGATGACACTCGATGATTTCGAAAGCATTCTCAATGATTTACGTAGTTTGAAACTATCGAAAAATCAAATCATCGAATTTTTGCAATATGTTTTCGATCAATCGTTACAGGAAAATAATAAAAACATTTTATTCATCGCTCGATTATTAATTTATTTGCATAAAAATACATTTCTTACTAATCAACAATGTCTTCAAGTTTTAACAAATATCCTCTCGAAAATTCATGATTATGAAAAGGAAATTCCTCTATTCAAATCCGAATTAGCAACGATCCTAGCAAATATTATTTGGATACCTCTCAATAACGAACACGATGGTAAGAGAAACTTCGAAAAACAAACTCTTTGCAATCAACTCTTCGAACTATTTCAGATTCAACAAGTAAAAACAATGGAAATACTTATTCAAAAAAGAATACATCAGGAATCTTGATGTCACTGAGTGACATATGTGAACTACTCAAAGACGGTCAGCATCATCCACTATTTCTTCTCATCTTACAGCAATTACAACAACTGTGTAATAACGATGAAATCTACATGTAAGCCTTTTCTTTCCTTCATTTAGAATTCAATTGTCGATTTCTTTGTAGGTGCAATTTACTTGAACGTTCTCGCATAAATATGCGTGATATGTTGCCCGAGAGCGAACGTCAAGATGCGGTCCTACTTCAAGTTCTCGAAGATCGTCATTTAGCATATCTTTGTCCTTATTTGAAATTTCGCGTGGAATTATTTGCTAAACTATCCTTCTCGTCATCATCGATCGACTCCAATGAACTACTGGCATTCATTGAACAACAAACTAAAATTTACGATAAAACGACTCGGTCATTTATTCAAACACTAGTGACTTGTTTTTACGAAACAGCGATAGGACCAACACTAGCTTCCTGTAAAACTGATAAAACAACGCTGAATCAAGAGAAACTTTTCATTGAAACTCATCGGCAATGTTTGCAAACATACTTGAAAACGGTTGAACAACAAGTGTGGGCGCTCTATGAATTACAATTGATCGCATATAAAAATAACTTTCCCAAAGAGTTACTATTACGTTTGTTCGTCTATTCCTACGACTTAGACATCATTGAAGAAGACGCGTATTTCAAATGGAAAGAAGATCTTAATGATGACATACCTGGCAAAGGCAAAGCTTTGTTTCAAGTTAGCAAGTGGCTACAATGGTTAGAACATGCAAGTGAAGAATCCGATGACGACAATGTCGACGAAGAAAAAACAGCTGGACAAGTGATTTCGAATGATAAAGAAGTAAGAGAAGACCGGAAAATTTGATTGGTGAATGTGTGCTTTTGCTTTAGAATGATATTGATCTGAAAAATCTAAAACAAGAACAAACTGCATGAAAAATATGAACATGTTTCTTTGTGTGATTTTAACACAGAATATGTTAAAGCTCAAATATGTTTTTGTGTTTTCTTTTTCGTTTCATTATTTACTACATCCGTTTGCCTACTGTGTTGTACAAACTATAATTGAAAACATAATGATCGTATATGTGTTTACTGTCATAAACATTTCTTCTTCTTCTTCTTCTTTTGTTTGACAATAAATGGGAGACATCTACAAAGAAATCTCTTCCTTCCTTATTACCACCATCATCATTTCTATACGATATTCTCTAATACAGATCATGTTATGTCGTCATCGACCTTGCGATTACTACCATTGCATGAAAATCGAGATTTTTATGAACATGTTCTCGAACTTCTCAATGATGAATGGCCACAATCGAAAACGATTCGCATGCGACGTTTAGAACGCTCTTGTAATGATTTACCGTTGTCTTATATTCTTCTCGGTGATCAAAATCAACTAATTGGCTATTGCTATGTCGATCGGATGTTCAACGAGGAACAGAGCGTCATTGTCGAATCTGTTTGTATTCAACGAAATTTACGAGGACACGGTTAGCTTATTTTCATTAGCAATTCCTCTACTTTCATTCGAATTGTTGAATAGGTTACGGAAAAATCTTGATGAAATTCTTAGAAGATCATCTTCGCGAGAGGATGCCGAAAATCGAATGGATTTATTTAACAACAACTGACAAACGTCATTTTTATGAGAAATGTGGATACGAAGAAACCAGTGCACGTGTTCGATTGAACATTTCCAGCAAATTATTTAACGGGAACGAACAAGCATTGAAAAATCTATTAGCTAGTCAACCATCATCAAACACAGATAGTCATGTTATCTTACAAAAAGGTTCAACGATTCAACGGATCCAAACTGTTTGGATGAAAAAACAAATCTAAAAAGCGCTATTGTTTTTCACTTACCTTGAGATATTTGTGGAAGAAACGCAACCATCATCATGCTCAGGTATATGCTGACGAGTGCAAACTTTGTTTTCTTTTCTGTCACTGTTGTTGTTATCATCTGTTTGCTTATCTTTTTACTCATTGTCATTTTCGTTTTAGCTTTTTTTAAAAAAATTTACTTGAAGTTCAAAAAAAGGTTTCGAAAAAGAAAGAATCTGTCCTTATTGAACACCATTTGATACTTTCTTATTTTCATTAGCTCGCCGAGCAATTAACATACAGGACTTCATCCGAGTTAAGTCGCGTTTGGCTTTTGATAATTGCGTGCCATCGTTGAATTCAAGGAATCGTATCACCTTCGACCAATCGCAGGTGTCTTTCGTGCTCTTCTCCAAAGCTTTCGCACGCAAGTCCTCTTCATTCGTTCTTGTCGTTTGCCGATGTTGCTCTAGTTGCTGTTGACGATCTTTATACCAACGTTCTAAATCCGATTTGGCTTGCTGACGTAATTCGTCGATTTTTCGCTTTTCTTCTGCATCTTTCACTGCGATATCTTCTTCGCGTTTTTTCGTTATTGCTTGCAGAGGAGATACACTCTCCACGACAAACATACCCAGCGATGGTTGTTCTGCTAGAAAACAAATCACACTTGAACAAACATTACTCGAGCCTCCACTTTAAACAAACCTGTTTGTTGAGCTACTGCTGGAGTGTTTGAAAGGCTTGTTTCCGTTGTAGACGGCGCTTCAAAGACACTACCATCAAATGCTGTTGATGATGACGTTGCATTATCTAAAATATCACCAGACGAAAAACCTTCAGTCGATGTTATATTGTTTTCACTGAAGATATCCACTTGAGTGGATGTTGTGCTCTCCGGATTCTAAAGACTGATGTGAAAACGAATGATTCGTTCAAAATATTGTTCGTTACATTTTCAAGGATCCAAGAAGAATCCTCTTTCTCAGTGTTCAGCTCTGCATCTGTGTTATCTAGTGTGGCTAACTCGTTTGCTTGTGGTGTTGTTGTTGTTGTTGTTGTTGAAGGCGGTGATGAAAAGAAATCAAACTCATCCATTTCTTTTTTGTTCGAATAGGTATTGATGTTTTCGACGATTAGATTGCGTGTCGATGGCGGTTATGTTCTTTCGGTTGATTTGAGTTATCTCGTTGTGTTTTGTGTTTAAATAGATGACGAACAAACGAAATAGATATGAAAACATATCTAGCTTTGTTTTACTTATGACGTAAGACGGCATCGTGAAAGATGAGTACGGCATTAAGTTTTATTTAGTAGGTAAATTTTATCTTGACGAACAATCTCTGGGAGTTATTTTCAATATCAACCGTGCAATATTTTACGCTCAGAATTAATTGTGTCTGTAGAGAAAAAAGTGCATATATTTAACATGCACGCTGTTACCTGCCCATTCATTCGTAATTTTTCTTTGCTTTCTCTATCCAATCTCTATAAGGTTGAATCATGTTTATATTTGACAGAAAGAAATATACGTATAAAACACCTGACGACAATATTTGTTTTGTCGCTCTTCACGTTTGCCTTCGAATTTCATCCTTCTAGAAAACGAATAAACAGCAGACGTTCTTTTCAATCGATATGTACAATTCTTCGACAACATCAAATCAAGTAAGCAAAACAACAATTCATTCGTACAAGTCCATCGTTTGCTTTTTCAGGACGATGGCGAAGTAACAATGATCAGTCATTCACTATTTTATAATCTCCCGAAAGCTGGTCGAAACTTCAATAGCGATTCCTACGTCAGTGATAGAAATAATAATATCTTTGACGACGATGATGCGAACGATGTTTCCGAAGCGGTTCAACAAATTGAACAAGTGCTTGAATACTATCGAAAAGAACTCAAACAAGAATCTTACACACAATTAGATTGTAATCGAAAGTTAATCACACGTTTATTCGACTTCATTCGGCCGACGTATTCGATGCATAAGAAGAAGATGAATGATCTCAATGCTTTGTTTGAAGAAATCTCTGCTTTACAAGATCTGCGCTTTATTCGAGTCAAAGACAAACAAGAACATCTAACAAACGAAATTTCACAATTGAAGAAATTAATGATCTCAGCAAATGAAGGTCATAGTTATAAAAGTACAGTGGCCAAAGCGTCTCGTTTAAGTAAGGAAATTGTTCGAAAATATGCGAATGCTGTAATTGATTACATAGATCCAGTGATTAATTATGAACAATGGATGGCGATGGAAGAAGAAGCAAGAAAACTGTCTAATCTAGTGGAATTACAACGTGATCGAATCAACGAACTTATCAATTTAATCTCTCAAGAAGGTTTACAGCTTTTTTCCTTTTGTTTTTCGTAGAATTCAGTACAAATCGTACATATATATTTATCTTTGTATGAATCCGTCGCGGGTGTTATACATATTTGATATGGTTCTAATCAAGGTTAACAATGTGCAATTTGTCGTTCGTACGCAAGAAAAAAAATGTAATCTCGAGTAGTTGCATCTAAGACTAGTTCATGAGTTGAGAAAACAAACATCCTTCGAAAGGCAGAAAATCGATTGTTTTGAGAGCTTATTTCTTCCATGTGTAAATCTGTATGAACGAATTTTAGACACGTCGTCGCTGCAATTATCGTCGTCATCGTCAACGTCGAGAAATTTTATTGCTCATTGCGAAGAACTTCCAACGCGCAAACGACAGTCGGCTACCTCGAGTGCGAATTCGGAGCGTTTACTCGTCGCAACTATCCCTTCCCCTGTTGACGAACAACACGATTCAGGTACAGAGACATTACAAAGATCAACCAATGAATTCCGTTCACTCGGTACATCATCCGTTCACTGCTTGTTTGATTTTTTTCTAACCAAGTCACTTGTAGATACCGTAAATACCGGAGAGCGATCAACAGTAATTACTTCTACATTACCACCACTCTCTCGAATCTCGTCATATAATGATATAAAAAAATGTCCTATATGCAATGATGAATTTTCTAGCACAGCTAATGAATTTGAAATCATTCGCCATGTCGAATCATGTTTATCTACAGCGGGTATTGAAGATCCAGGTGCTGTTCCTCAACCTAAGCAATATGTCTGTCCGTATTGTTCGCGCCAATTTCAAGGCAATGACGAAAAAGCTTACCATCAACATCTAGCATTCTGCTATACTGATTATCCTGAAAATTTCTAAATAGGCAAAGAAAATGAATCTCATGTTGTTTTTTCGTTTTCGTTTTTGAAAATCTTTCCGTATACATATCTGCATGCTCAATGTGATACAGAAATAAATAATAAAAATTTCATCTACGTGTTTTCATGCTTTTCTTTAAATCAATATACCTACAAGATTTTTTTCTGTTAGGTTACAATCAATCTGATCACTTGCTTGATTCTATGCGCATATGTCCACAATGTCAAGCGATTTTTAATAAGTCAACCATTGATGAAGACCAATACCAAGAACATATTCGAACTCATTACAAACAGAAACGAACATGATTTACCTATGCGAACTGTTGCTTTGTGTCTTTCTTTCTTGTATTTTGTTCAAAAGAAAAACGCGCGAGTAATGAACAATGAATATTTCGAATACAGAATGTTCATCGGTGAATAGTGAACGACATTCTCTTGTTTTATTCATCGCTTTTTATGGCTTGTTGATTATTGAATCCATCTACTTGTGCGTCAAACGAATTTGGACATTAAAACCATGGAAGACAACGTGAGACTTTACTTTAGTTCGTGTTTGACGTACAGACAATCAAATATTACTCATTTACGAACTTGTATGTCAAACGTATGACTAAATGTAATATATGGAATCGTTGTGTGTAATACTCAATTGTGAATAGATTAGGTTTATACTGAATTAGTCATTCTTTCCGTTCTTATCTTCAGACCAAAAACATTACGTATATATTTGACTTTGTAATGAAAACTCCAGCACATGTGCGACTATGTAACAGAGAAAGACTACATCGAAAATCGCGTTTTCTAGATTATTTCATTTCATTTCATTTCAAATGAATCCGTACAACGTTTGCATCAATTCCTGTCAAGTAAAGCAATTCTCGAAATGTCTTCACTGATCCAGTTCGTCTCTCGTTTAGGATGATACAGATGTCACGATAATCAATCATTCGTTTCTATATAATCAAAATGACGAACCGATCGGAAGTTGTCTACCTGTTCTACGACGTCATTTACAACCAACCGCATCAAGCAAGGAACAAATCAGTTCGAACTATGTGTATGTAGATCATGATCGCGTCGAAATCGCAAAACAAGTCGAACAAATCGTCGATTATTATCGGAAAGAACTCAAACAGGAACCGTATAATCAATTCGGATGTAATCAACAATTAATAACACGATTGATTGATCTTATTCGACCAATCTACTCTTCAAACAAACAGAAAATCAAGGATTTGGATGTTCTATTGGAAGATGTTTCTCATCAACATGAAAAACGATCTGCCGAACAAAAAGAAAGAAACGATCAACTGCAAAATCAAATTCGTCATCTGAAAAAATCACTCGTGTCAACATCAACAGAAGACAATATTCAAACAAGTCTTATGAATGATTTGTATCGAATTAGTAAGGTTTTCATCTTCAGAAACGATCTTCTCGTATTGAATTTTTAGACGTCGCGGTTGATTATGAACAATGGATGCAAATCGACGAGGAGACGAAGAAACTTCACGATTTGGTGAAGACACAGTGTGAACAAATCAATACACTGATCGAATTTCTATCAGCGAAAGGTAATTGTCTGATATTCCTGATCTTTGTCACATCATATATTTTAGATATTATAAAAAACGAGAAACCTACTTGCTATAATCGGGTGGGACTGAATGGTACTACACAAAAATGTTCAATCTGCGAATTTGAATTTCCTGACACATTTACTGATGACAATATTAATCAACATATGGAAACATGCTTGATCTCATCTGGTCTTGCTGCTGAAAACATGTCCATAGAACCTAAACAACTGGCATGTCCCTTTTGTTCTCAACAGCAATCATATACTGGTCATCTAGCTTATCTTGATCATCTATCAAAATGTTGTAATGACATACCGGATACTGACTGATGACAAATTTGTATTCATAGAGTGATAACACCAGTGCATTTTATTATTATATATTTCTTCTTCATTGAATTTGTATGTATTTTTTAGTGCAAGCCAATAATAAAAAACCTTTTTCCGACTGTTTTTATTTACGGATTGAAGAACGAAACATTCATTTCTCGGAGAAACTCATGGGAGTCAGTCATGTATTTTCTGCTATACCTTTGAACTATCGTGATTTATTTCCTGGAAAAAATTTGGCAGAGATGAAATATTTTCCTTTTACGAGAAATCAAATAGAACCTGCAAATCATTACAAAACATACTCATCTCACCAATGCATCCGCGAGAACGGAAATTATCTTGGCAGGTGTATAATCATTGACAACGACCTTTCTCGAGTTCTACTCGCCATTCATATACTTTTCTTTCTCTCCAATTCAACTGTCATCAGTAATAAACAAAACTATCGTGAGGAGAAACACACCTCTTTATTTTTTAACAAAAAAAAGCATTTAAAATAATGCTAGATCAAATAACATATGGATGTATTTATTTCTGTGACGTCAAATAAGATTTCTTGGGATATAAATACGACAAGATTGACTAAGCGCATGTCAGTTTACCGACTATGGTGCGACAATTTGGTATGTAGTTCTATTTGCATATTATATGAAATCAGCCGTGATTTGAATATGTATAAGAGTATTTTAGATGAAAAAATAGCAGATCAATGGCATTTTCGTTTGTGAACAAGCGTGCACACACGCGTCTGTGAAAACGAAAATAGGTTTTGATTATTCGAAGAGAAAGAAGAAAAGAATAGAAAAACAGACATAAGATGCGGAGAAGCAAAATCGATGTATGATTTGTTGTTATTGTTTCTTGTCGTCGTCATTACTTACTGTTAGTATAAAACAATGAAAAGAGGACAAACAACTGTGGAAATGATACAGTATTTCTCCATGAGTATTATTTTGAAAACTTTTTGTTTGATTTTACACTCTTTTCGTTTTACTTTCTTTCTCTTCTCCTTGACATTGTTTTGTTACTTTTTGCGACAACACACCGCCGATACAAAATCTTCTTGCATGTTTTTTCATTTCAAATATTATTTAATTCCTATACTTCATTAGAATTGAACACATTTACAATGCGAAAATGCTGTAAGTATGTCGAAGCATATTTTGCAACTTAATTTCTGTACAAAAACGTCTCTTTGTAAGACAATCTCCTCGTCTAAGAAAAAGAAAACAACAAGAGTAAATACTCAAGGGTTTCCTATTGAAAAAACGAACATTTCGAATAGAAAGATAAATGAATATTCTCATTTTGCTGCCGTACCACTATTGACTGTTTGCTTTCTCTATTGTCTAGTAAATTGACTAACACCCATCTCTCCATGGACAATAGATTTTCACCGGTCAATGCGTATTCAAAATCATCTTTCGGAGACTTTCGTGGTGTGAACGGCAGTGGGAGAGCAGAGGTTTCTTCAGCTTCAAAACAGCAGCATATTCAACGATCGAATCAGACAATAGATCAGCAGCGACGAAGTAACTTCTTTTCTGAGCGAGCTGCGCACTTCGTTGTCACAGTCCATATCTTCTAATATATATATACTCTTCTATGATAACCAGTAATCGTGTGTTCTCAACTAATCTGCAACTGACAGCTTTCCTTCATATGAAATCTTAACACGGGTTTTCAATTTTAGTTACGTACCGGTCGAATGATCATAGCTGGAATGATAACACCAATAATACACATGTTTCTAATCAAACGTTTCGTACTGATAGTCTAAATAAGAACAAATTGTCATCGTCGACACGTCAGTTTTCCAATGGAACGTCACAGGAGAATGTGGCCACATCTATGCCACACCTTTCCACCGCTCCACTTGCTCACCATCAAAGTCTCAGAGAAGATCTTAACCATGCGGATTCACATGTCTCGTCAGGCACGAAATCGCGGCTGATCACACGAAATCAGAAAACAAATATTAATCTAGAGAAAACATCTGGCTCGAACGGTTTTAATTTACCGGCACGTGGAAATGCTTATCACTCCACTCGTCTCGACGCAAATATCTATCCCCGGCAAACAACCAGTAAACAGCGAACACATGTCTCTTCCAAATCATCACTTCACGATCCTAACGGTGGAGATGTTCACTTGAATAGTATTCTCGACGAAAATTCTTATTATCTTCCTCAACAAGTCCCTGTTATGAACAATCCACAGCATTTGAACAACTCAATATTCGACATTTCAGCTAGTCGAAAGCCATTTTTGATCAACAAAACGACTTCGCTCAATACTGCAACGAACGGAAATTATAACTCAGCACGTGAACTCCACCGAAGCGATACAACTGTAGATAAAACAACTGGTGCTCGATTTACTATTCGAGGTACATCGGCATCGAAACAACGAAAAACATCAAGTATGGTCATGATGGCCAACGCACCCAATGAAAGAGAACGCTCAGCTCAATCGTATAAGTCACGTGATCCCAATGTATCTTATGCATACACAAATGTGAAAAAATATATCGAAGAAAATGATTTAATGACACCAGAGAAAGAACATAGCATACGAAATTGGATCGTCGATGTAGAAAAGCATCGACACGAATTCCAAAAATTAGAATGAACATTGTTTGTTGAAAAAAAATTTTCTTTTTTTTTGAAATTAAGTTTTTCCGGTACTTCAACCTAGGAAGTCTTTCGTGTGACGATAGTATCTTTCTCTTCAACATACATATGTATAGATAGTGATGAGGCAAGCTTGACGTTGTTCGATTGAATTCATCATCATTTTCCAAATTGATATTTAAGACATTCAATCGATCGAGCGAACGATCGAAAATCGAAAGAGCTAAGACACGTCAAATAGTCGTGTCTATTCTTCGCTCTCATCGTTGAATAGCAATTAATTTAACATAGCTAGCATTCTCGTTCGTAGGTTTGTGTATTTTGTATCTAGAGATGAATATGTGGACACTGGCATCTTTGCTCTCCCTCGCTCTCTCACTCTCTATTTTCTTCTTTTTCATGTTTCTCTCCGATCCTCAAGTAAATATTAACCGTTCTTATACGTCGCGTCTCAATCTCAGTTACGATTACACGAGCAAGAGTCATTCGACAATTGTCAGAATGATGATTCGACTCAATGTATTCCTTACAATTATGGTCTTAGGTATTCAAGCTGCTGTCGATCCTGTTGTAACAACTGTCGATCCCAAACATGAACTACTTACAGAAATTGTCGGCAGGTAAATAAATCGATTATTTCTGCATGAATTTCTTTCGCTGTTGATATATTCAGGGGGAGAATTTAGTTTGATTGTATAAAGCATTATTTTGGAATTGAAAACTTTGAACAGTTTTCCTTTAGATACCGTTTAGCTGCTCGGCATTTACGAGAAACGCAGTCTACTCTCCCTTTCGAATTACAATTTCCAATTCACGATATAATCAAAATCGATGGTGCCACCAATGAGCTCGTCATTCGAGCAACAATTCGCATGGATTATCAATTCGAATTTCTCCATTGGGATTCGAATGATACCCGCAGTCGATACTACGATATCGATGAAATCGTTCTAACGAAATCAACATTGCAATCCCTCTGGTTGCCCGATCTCCGTTTTACTGAAGATGAATCCATTACCTTTAACGTCGAACGCGAATCGGCGAAAATCAACCGTGATGGTCTTGTCACATGGACGCGTCGAGGTCTGTTCACATTGGCATCACCTATCGATCTGACTTATTATCCATTTGATCGGCAGTACATTCATTTTAATATGCATAATACACAAAAAACATTCAAATTACACTATCAAAAGAATATTCACACTTTATCATCAATATCAAACTCTCATTCAGCGCGATCAGCAAGTGTTTGGACGGCACTTTTTGGCGGTAGCACAGAGATGAATTCCAATTCGACGAGTATTCCATTTACTATTCAACAAAACGAACCACCAATGAAGACGAGCACATCTCGAGGTTGGTTTGTACGAACAATTGGCGTTGAAGCGAAGATCAATACAAATGAAAATGGCACATTAGATAATTTGACAATATTCGTCTCAATTCAACGTCGTCGGGAATCTTTTATTTACACAATCATCTTACCAACGTTATTCTTCTCATTTTTTATTTTCATTTTCTATTTCGCACCTGTTGAAGCTCATCAACGCTTAATCATTGGCCTATTGAATACATTCGCAACGTTAACATTTCTAATTTATATCGATAGGAAAATCGAAGCTGAACAATTATCCCATAGTCCACTTTTGATTCAATATTTAACGATTTTATTCATGATCGAAGCACTATCATTGTTTTTCGATCATATCATTCATTCGATATTTTACGGGGGAATTAACTTTGTTTCGAACTGGCTACGTAAACGGCATAAATACGAAACCCAACAACAACAACCGGCACGTTTATCCCGTGTAACTATGTTAACACGTGCATTGAACAATCGAATCAATCCAAATAGTTTAGAAACTGATGGACAGCTGAATGGTGCAACAGATTTCTTAATGAAGCAATTGATCGAACGTGAAGAATCGTTGAAATTCGAAGATCAAGAGCGGTATCAATGGCGAAAAAGAGCGAGACTTAGTGAATGCTTATGTTGCTGGTTTTTCTTAGCCATTATCATTGCGGCTGCTATCTGCATTTTTCTCATTGTACCAACATTGGCTTTAAAGAAATAACCCGAACATGAAAAATCAAAGACGATATCTCATTTCATTTTGATTTGTATATTTATTGGAATAAACTATCTCACCGTTATTGTATACAAAGAAAAGTCTTGTGTATCATCAGCTGTCTCGAGAAGACTAATCAAATAGAAACTCTATACATCATTAAGTTACGTCTTTATTTGCGGTGGAGTAAAGTCAATTGTGTCATATCTATCACATTGAAAGCAAGAAGATGTTTATGACAGTGTTTAACTGAACACAGAGGGCAGTAGGTCATTGACATGTACACTGAACGGACGAAAACAACACCTGGTCATTTTCATTGGTACACAATTGATGAATGAACAGGTACGCTAGCAAGGAAATCAATCATTTGTGCATTGTTCACATTCATTCGGTTTGAAGAGTTTTACATGATGTTGTTAATCGTAGGCTTAGACTTATTTCGATATATGCCTTGATGCACTCTTCATGACTTAATTGAAATTTTACGGTGCATCACACCCATGTCTAGGAGAGTACGAATCTGGTCATCCTTATATAAAGATAAATAAGATTGCTTCATCGATAATTTCGTTAATGGAAAAACTTCAACGAAATTGTAGTTCTGTTGCGTCATTTCTCTCCTTTTTAATGAATGTAAATAGAAATTCAATGAGGTTCACCTTCGCACTATGATGAACTGATAGGGCCGTTAGAATATTTTCTGCTGTTGTACGACATCTCTCTCTCTCTCTCTAAATTTCTCTTTTTTCTCTACTGTCAATAGTAAGCTGATTAACATTGTTTTGAATATAAACTGAGCACGGAGGGAGAGAGGGAGAAACATGTACAACTACTTGCTCAACAGATAGACAAAACGCCGCTTTCCTCTCTATTGTTGTTGCGTTCTGTTAGATTGTCTGCCCACAAGCAGATAAAAAAGTGTAGGAGGGGAAAGAGAAGAAAAAACGTACGCATACAGGTCGAATTTATACGAAAAATGAAGGGAAAAGAGAGAGAGAAGGGAGACTAATCTGCCACAAAAGGACAAAGTAAACAGGAACGTAGCGCTTCATGTTTAACGAGTAAGAACGAGGTACAAAGAGAACAACAAATTGTCTCGTACACATATGTACGTCTCATTTACAATTATTTTGACGACTTTGACTTGTGACATTAGTGTCTCTTTCAGAACATGCCTTCGACTACACTCGAAGATCTTACGAATCCAGCACCGATACCATTTAATTTAGCTGGGGAATCGGCAATTTCATCGCTAACCTCATCCACTTCGTTACCATCATCGCGCGATCGATGTCGTCGCTGTCAACAACTTGTCTACGTTACTGAACGCATCGGTCCAGTTAAAGATTCCCTTTACCATAAATTATGTTTCAAGTGTTTGAAATGTGATCGCCAATTAGATTTCAAAACTTATTTTACGAATTCTATCGATCTGAACGACAAAGAAATTTACTGTCAAAGTCACGTGCCTCGATCGGGTAAAGGTATCTTCTCTACAGATAACATTCATATCCAAAACGTCATGAATGCACCGAAATTGAACGTGATGCAGAAGTTAGACGATCGTCTGAAAGTGAGACTTGGGTCATGTCAATAAAATTTCATTTACTCGAACAAGGCTCTTTTCCTTTTTCTAGGGCATTCACCTTGATTTTCAATCAGTTTCAATTGCTCATGCTATGAAAGCTCAACAAATGTTTCAACAAGGCCGAGAAAAAGTTTCATCAAATCATAATTTTCCAGCCTTGCCACCGGTGAGTATAGAGAAAACTTTTGTTTGAAGGATTTCGTTTTTTTTTGTTTTAAGGATATTTTACATGCTCGCGAAGAAGTGCGTCGCGCGCAAAAATCTCTTGAAGAAAAGCAACGTCAAGAGGAAGATGAATTATTTATGAAATTTCGAGTTGATCGAGAATTGGAAGAGAAAAAAATCGAACGCGAAGTTATTGATGAATGGGAAAAGAAACTAGGATTGCTCACAGCTAAATATGAAGATGATCTACGAAAGAAGAAAGATAAAAATACCGAACCGGTTCGTACTGATTGAACGTCGAAGGGGGAAAAATTTTAGTAAAAACTCACCTTTTCCTATAGGAGTTAACGTTACGTTTCACGAAGGAAAAAGCAGAATTAGAGCAGAACATGACACTAAAACGGAATAAAAAACGGGAACTTGTACGCAAACAAATTATGGAACGAGAACAAGAAACAACGCATTCACTCGTGTCGAAATTCAGTAAAGAAATGCTCAATTTGATTCAAGCCAAAGAGCGAGAAGTGCTTGTGAGTATACCGAATGTGGATTCCATCAGATGATGTTTGATCGTCATCTAGGTCGAAAACGGTGTTGATGATCACGTCGCAGCAACTTACTCGATGCTCCAATTGAGTCAACCGCCGCCACCTCAGCCACCTCGCCGTCACAAACGTGATCTTTACGAAGATCCATCTATCTTCGAACATGTTGATCAGCAAGCGATAACCGTGGCTGAAAGTGAACAAACGTCTTACACTGAACTAATCGATCAATTAACATACGGTCTGATAACAGATCTAGAAAAAGCACGGTATGATTTCGAAACATTCGTTCGTATTTGCTTCCAAAAGTGACATTCTGGTGTTCTATTAGCGCTATATTTCGATGGATAACTGTGAAAGATTTAAATGCTATTGATTTTCAAACGAATCTCGCTGCTGATACACCCATGGGCTTACTACGGGGAATCAAATATGGAACGGAAACGTACCATACGTTATTTATGCGTTTGTGCAGGTAAACCTGTTTGTTTTGTTTCGTTTTCGTTAATCTTTGTTGAATTAGTTTTGCTGCTTTGCATTGTGTCGATGTGAAAGGTCATTCGAAGAGTGTCGGGTATGAGCCAGGTATGCGTATTGGTGAAGGAAAGTTTACTAATACATGGAACGCCGTGTTAATCGATGGTGAATGGAGATTCGTTCAATGTAATTGGGGAGCAAGGTTGTTCAATTTTACTTGACTTCATTTCACTAATTGATTCTCTCGATCTAGACATTTAGTCATGAGCAAAGATAAAAAACAAATCGAAATCACTCCACCGAAACCAACACGGGAAAAGATTAAATATCAGGTAGGGTGGAAATTTCACATCCGAACTAAACTAATTCGAGCTTTTCCAGTACGACGAACATTATTTTCTTCCTGATCCTGAAGACTTCATTCTCGAATTCTTTCCCTACAAATCCGAATGGCAATTACTTGAATCACCAATAACGTTACAACAATTCGAACAATTACCATTCGTTCGTTCGCTTTTCTTTCATTATCATCTTTCATTCGTGAATCAACAACATGCAGTCATTCAAACTGATAATCGTGGAGCATGCGACATTAAACTTCGCATGCCAGATTCATTGAAACATCGACTAGCATTTCATTTTCATTTACGATTTTCCAATCAATCGACTACAAATATACAAACAGACGATTCAACTGATTTTCAAGGTGTGAAATTCGAACGTTACGTTCTACATACAGTGCAAGACGATCTCGTTTCGTTTAATATTCACGTACCGCAAGATGGAAACTATTTCATTGAAATATTTGCATCACTAGTGGTAGGAGAAACCATTGTTATTCATGATTGATTTGAACTCGTTCTTTTTCTAATCTAGGAACCTGATCCCAATCCATTTGGTCAAAGTTTTAAACTGAAGTGTGTTTGTAAATATCGAATCGTATGTCAACAATTGGCTCAACGAATGGTAACGATACGGAAACATCTATAAGATTAACATTTGTACCATTTTCTTCTCTAGCATCCACTGCCTGCCTGTGCATCAGGCGAATGGGGTCCGGCAAAGGCCATTCGTCATTTTAATATTCATCCTCTCACACATTTTCAATCGATATTTGAAACACATCATTTACCGATCATTATTCAATTCAAATGTCCGAAAATCTTGAAATTTCATGGGAAACTAAATTCCAATCGCTATTCATCGAATCCGACCAACAATTCCATGCAGAATACTCTCGATAAATACGTTCGATATGAATATAACGAACAGGATTTCATCGCAACGTTCATTATTCAATTACCGGCGGAAGGTCAATTCGGTTTAGATATATACGCACGAGACCCAGAATATCAAACTGAAAAACGAACCATGTCACATTGTTGTAAATATATTATAAATTACACAAAATCTGCAATATCACCACCACCACCAACAGCAATCGAAACGTATCACGATTATTCGACTGAGAATGCCAAATCACATGAACCCAAGAGAATGTTATCGCCAAGAATTCCTGCAAGGAATATCAAGGAACGTAGTGTTTCACCTCGTAAGTAGCTATAATAAACCGTAATTCCGCTTTTCTGCAGACAAAAGCACACTTGAAAAGCATCCTGGAGTGCACTTCTTCTTCTCTCTAATACAAACAAATGTTTGCGATATTTCCATACGAAGAGTAAAGAATGTACGGAAATCGAACATAATCATCGTAGTACAATTTATATATAAATACGTAACATAATTTCACCTAGAGAAGAATAAATCTTCTTAACCGATCAGTCTTATTGAATCGGAAATTGGAATGAGATTTGTATGTATTTTCTTTTCCTTTCAAGGCTCTATACCATCAAATGGTTCATCTCCTAAGCCGATACCAAAAATCGGCGGTAATCCAGCATTATTGTCTCAACTGGGTATGAATCCTTTAAGTCATTCCGATCCATCCATCACTCTGCATTCCAGTAATTCTCTTGAATTACAATTTCAAATACGTAAAATGGTCGATTTTTCCTTTGATCTTACCTATCATCACACACTTGCTGATTTGTCATCTCGAACTCCATCACTGAATCTCAATCAACGGCTAAACGCATCCGATTATGTAACCATTAAACCAAACGGTGGCTTCAACGTTATCTTTGCGTTAATTCTACCGAAACCAGGTGTTTACTCGTTCACTATCTATGCCGCACCACCCAATAATAATCATCTAGGAAAAAACGGACAAACTGAATTACCAGCTGTTTTCACCTATTTAATTCGTTATGTCTAAGATGTATGTTTTGAACTCGATCATCGGATTTCTTCTTCTCTTCCACTCTATTTTTTTCTGTTTCTCTTTTTCTTTTGTTGCTAATAATGATAATAATAATAATAATAGAGCAATATGCACGATCGAGTACCAATATTCTTTCCTTCTCTTTTTTTTTGCTTCTGGGTACAGTTCATATCAGGTGTATTGAATTACTGTTGATTCTTTCAAATTGAAATCAATCTTGCAGAAGGCCATTAACGATAAGAAATTGCTGAACGACGAGTACAGATAAATGCCGATATAAGGTTATTTAAAATCAAATTGATCACTAGAATAAAAGCAATTTCCGCTTGATTAAATGAAAATATGAATTTTTCACGGATATACGTTCTCGTTAGTTCTTTCGCAGTAAGTACTTTTCTTCTAATAGGAAGAGAAAAAAAATGTCGATTATTTATAGCATAAATATGACTGATGATCTAACGTTGAATCCAAGATACATACACCGAAAGTAACGAGACTAAACAGCATTCGCATAGGTCAAAGTCAAGTGACTTAGTCAAATATGCGGAAGAACTTTTTAGGCGTGGCCACGACATACATACAGACAAATTCAATTACTATTCAGAGATTATCATAGTTAGAAGACGTCATCTTTCCTAATAGACTAATGCTGTGACATTAAACATGATGCAATCTAGAAGGGTCAAGAGACCGATTAGTGTCCAACAGACGCTTATTCGATTAACATTGCTAGCAAAAAGTCTTCCTTGATTTGTCGTCTCTTGTTCTCCTTTTCTTTCCTGGTAAAACGTCGCTTTCATCATTTATATCGTCGTACGATAACAAACAGGTTAAAATTTTCTCTTTCTCTCTCTCTCTCTGCTTTTTCTGTATGTATCTATAATTGAATACATACAATCACTGTATGTTAATTAAAGCTTTCCTAACTTTTCGAATCGGAAGAAGTCAATTTTCAAACTTCCTTTCATTGAGTCATGCAGATGCACAATGTCCCTTTTTTCTTTTCTTTTTTTTCTTCTTAATTCATAGAGCACAGCAGGCGGGATGCGTCTACTCTTGTGTCAAATTTTCTATTCTTTTAAGTATTTATATTCATACGATAGCGTCGTTCATTTCTTTTCTTTATTTTTCTCCGTTGTTTTTCGTTATCAATTAAATAGAGACGCACGTCCGGACAGTTATCTTTTGATTTCGATTCAAAAATCAAGAATCAAGTGAACAAGGGACTTGAAAATATTTGATCTCTTGAAAAAGAGAAAGCAAAAGTGTTCAGTGTTCACTTGAGAGAGAGAGAGAGAGAGAAGCGACCACTGTTCAATGAACAACGAATAAAGAATTGTCATAACAGAAAAGAATAAAGTAAGTAATGAATATAAAAAAAGAAAAAAAGAAATGGGTAGAATTAATGTCTAATGATAGAAAGGTTGTGTAAGTAGACAAGAAAAAGAGGAAACCGCTTTATACACTTGATTAAATTCAGCGTGCGTCAAAGAAATTAACACTCGAGTGAATGAACGGTTTCTTTCTTTACTAAACGAGAAGGCCATCTTGGACGTGTGCGATGATCAATGGGTATAGAACTAACTTCAATTCAAAGCTATGATCACGTAATGCGCGCATTGGTAAGTGTACGAGGGAAGAAAAATCAGACATTATCTTGAAAGACAAATGTCGATTTATTTAAATTGTTGAAATCGAGTTAAATGAAAAAGACAGAAGGCCTTAGAAGTGTTGGTTATTCTTAAGTTATGACCCTACACGTGGTTGCGTGACATAGGCGATATATGTCGTGTAGAAGACTAAGGTTTCTTTAGCGTGCATGTCTCTTCATCATCAGTAGCGCCGTTGCCGCCGCCGTTCGACGTTTGTCCACTATACAATTGTACGACGCATGGGAAGTAATTCAGTTTCATTCATTTTTAATCAATTTGTAAATAAAAGACTAGTGGATGCATTCGTTTTCCTCTCCTGATTAAACGCACAAAGAACATGTCTCGTGAACTTGTATTTTTAGAATATTCAACGATATTTCAGCATGTATATTCGTGGACAATTCTTCGACATTTGGCTATTAGTTATCTTGATCAATTGTATCAATGGTACGTATGAGTTTCATTATACGAACAGATCAGGCAGAAGAATGATAGTTAACTAAATCATGTAGAATTCATCGTGAACTTTATCAGCATTACAACTTTTTACATTGAGATGCAAATTGAACCAGTATCAATTAGATCTATTTTGCTCTCGTTCTAGCTGAACGGCGACCAGTGCCGAAACGTGTCACTGCTGAGTATGGCTCCGATCTTTCTCTCTCCTGTACATTTCAAAATCAAGACAGTGATGATACAGTAAACTGCTTCTCTCTTCTTCATCTTCGTATCCTAACACAATGTTTCTAGATCGTTCAATGGTTATTTCAAAATGTAACTGACTCCATTCACCATAAACCGAAAAGTCACTGGCGCCCATTATTTCTCAACACTCAATCGTTAATACCACGCGAGACACGCTATAGTATTCAACAAAAAATTCGACAAATTAATCAAACATTTCTCGATCATACGACAATATTAACATTATCCAAAGTAACCAATTCAGATGAAGGTCTCTATATGTGCAAATCACTTTTACCAAGAACTATTCAAATGACATATCAAGTTCGAGTCATACGTGCGTATTCGAACGTGAAAAGAAGCATATGAAAATGTCTTTTTATTGAATTTTTAGAAAGTCTCGATATCAATCCTAAACAAATATTCATTCCGCCGAATGAAATCGGCCAATATTCCATTCAGTTGAATTGCATCTTGAAGGATAATCACACAAATCGGCGTCACCATGAGATTTATTGGTGGCATAATAATAAACGACTTGGCTCGCGAACAAATCGTTATGCACGAATTGTTAAAAATATCACTCAGCAAACCTTGATCTCGACCTTATTCTATACAGGTGATCCGGCCGTTATCACCGGGAGTTATGTTTGTGAATCCGAACCCTTGAAACGATACATTTCAGTTGAATTCAAAACAAATCGTTCGACAAGTTCGATCACTTTCTCTATTTTCTCACAAAAAAAGTAACCAAATATTGTCTTCTTTAGATTTGTTCATCAGTTGGATATTGATGATTCCAGTTTGGATAGTGCAATATCAAAACTACAATTAGAATTCGCACGAAGAAACCTCTTCCCGGTGAAATCGTTTCTCTCTGTGTCTTTTGTTTTGCTACTGTATGTTTCTAGTATTTTCTATCGTTCGATTCTTCGTAGTTGCAAAATAAAATTAACCATCCGAAATCAAGCTAGTAACATTTATCACGACGAAGATCTTTCTTCAGTGTAAATATCAAAGGATTAATTTCTCGACATTCACCTTGATGAACGTGTTGCACGATCCCGACTCCACACAGAATAGTCATAAGATAAAAACAGAAAAACATGAAGACCTGGATCGTTATTTAGAAACTCGCTGGGAAATATGCAAAAATTCACGTTCAACAGAGTGCTAATCAGGAGATTAGTACTAATTGATAAGTTGCTTAACCATCACACCTCATTTCCGAATATTTATATACAACTGTATCACATCAGTGACACGTGAGGAATGCGTTCCATTTTGTACATGAGAGAAGGGAGGAAAATATGCCTTGATCGGCTCAACGTGTTGATTTGTTCATTTGGGTCAAACAATAAAATAGAAAGGTGATTAATTGGATTCAAAGAATACAAGCCGTTTAGTATTCATTAACACAAAGCAGACATTTCTTGCATTAAGATGTATAAATACCTTTCTGCAGACGTGTTCACTCATTTCTAAGACATCTGATAGAAACATTTCAACAATCAAGTTGATTCATCTTATTGAAAATATTCTTTGTCATGCAACCATCGACTTCGTTGTCTTCTATAGCGTCAAGTAACTCATCGATCTATGGATCTCGAACGATACTCGATGAAGAAGATTTACCTTCTGCCGCACCTCGATGTCGATCATCAATTATATCTTCATTAGATAATCATCAGACAAATCACTCATCGAATCGATCAATAACCAAATGTCGTCATCTATTTCGCACTTGTTTATCCTCCACCTCGTCGTCTCTCTCAGCATTAATTCAGAAGAAATTAGCCGATCAAACCTTTCGAAAACAATACTTCGCTAAGTTATGTCGTTATCATCGTTTGCTGCTTGTTCTCAACGATTATCATTGTCAATGTGGCTGTCAATTTCGAATGAAAGAAGGTACGTTTGTTCTTCTCTACGAAACCGAATCAGATCACCGGTATAACTTTGTCACTGTCATCTCGAATCAACTGGTTTGTTCAAAAGTACCAGCACAGTTTCTATGTGATCTTGACACATTACGTGAACGTGTTCGTTCTAGAGCTTCCTGCCATAATGAGCAAAGCTTCGATTTGTAAAGAAACGATTTATATTGAACAGTTTTCTTTTTTCTGTTGTAAGAATATGAAAATGAAGTTCAGTTATATTATAAGCAGAACAAATCCTCTATTTGTACAAATGTAATATATTCATTTTCGAAATAAACCCATTCGAAAAGAGCGTCTGCTCGATCGAAAAACGTCTCTCTCTCATGTCGACGCATGAAATTGTCTTTGAGCTTGAAATTGTTTCACTGTGATCTTGTCCGCTACTCTCGTGAGACATTGTAAATTATCCATTGATGTAAACATTTATCTTACAAGATAAGAAAGTTTATTTTTCTATGATTTCTTTTCACGAACATCTATTACAAATATTCCCTATATATCATCTTTGGGTGATAGTGTTACTATTAATCCGTTCCTTGTCTATTTCTCCAATGATCAATCGAATAGACAGATGATGATGTAACAAACAATTTTCATTCTTCCGATATAGTTCTCTTCTTCTGTTTTTTGTTTCTATGCGATTATAATCGAGTAATAAATTGACCTTGTCAATTTAGCAGTGAGAAAGTGAAGCCTTTGGAAACAAGGTTTTTACTGTCATTTTCGTTTGTAATTTCAATCAATGAACAGAACATGATAAGTAAACACTGTATGACACACGCACACACGCTGATCAAAGATAAAAAACGAAGAAAAATACATTGATAATAATTATTCATCGAAAAAGAAAAATAAATGTAAAGAATAACAACCAAGACGAGAGAATTTTTTGTCCTATTGATTTGGAATAACCAAGCACTAGAAGAAGAAAAACGAAAAGATGAACGTGATATTGAACAAGATCATGGTCACTAGCACATCTCGTTCTTATCCCATGTAAACACATCTGTTAGGTTGTCACTTTCCTTCTAATCCTCTTATATTAAACAAGATGCAGACAGACAAGTAAAGTACTCTTAGCTATGAAATCTTTCTATTTACCCGAAGAAGTATAAAGAATTTGAACCGTTTTGCTTGCTTTTCCATCATCGTAGACACACTTGAATAAACCTGAATCGTTCAAAGCTAAATGACGTATGTGTAAATATAATGTTGCATGATTGCCATGTTTGATTGGCTTTACAGTCATATGTGAGCTGTGTATTTCGCGATCGTTGTGATACCATTTCAAACGTAACGGATCAACAGTATGCATCGGAAATTCGCGTACTATACATGATAGATTAATGGGTCGTTGAATAGGATCTAATTGAATAAGACCATCGTTGGGCAGAATCTTCATTGATGCTGAAAGAAGACAATGAAATGTTTGTTTTCTTTACTCTTTCTGTCTCCCTCGATTAATCAAATGTTGTCTTACGAGAAATTGTTAGGTTGAATAGTGATGCTATTGATTGATACTGATTTGATTTACACATATACAGGCCTTCATCTGATAATCGTAATTGATGAATTGTTAATATTGATAAATATTTTTTCGTTTGTTCATTGTAACCACTGTAGTCGACGATGTAGCGTTCAGCATTTTGAGTTAAACGACGCGCATTAGCATACAAAGGTAACCATTTAACGCCATGAGTCTTATGAACTTTCGGACGATAAACCCAAGTGATCTAGGAGAATCGAGTGTTGAACATAACCTATTGAAAGTTAAAGAAAGGAAGACATACAACCGCGTTGGAATATAATTCATCGATTTCACATCGAAATGAAACAGTTGAATCGATTTCTTGATTGACATTCCAGATGTTCGATGTACAACTCGTACCTAGAGAAGAATTAATCATTTATACATGTAATAATGTCGAATTCCTCTATCATAACATTCTTTCCGTTTCATTTGTCCTTCGATGTGTATACAACAATGGAATAATGTCTTTTCCTCGCTCAATGTACAAATATTGTTGTTCTATTAACTGGCCATACCTTGACTTAATAAGAAAAGCATGCTAGCGTGAAAAAAAAAGGCAAAGTATCTTCTGTTTATATTGTAGTTTTCTCTGTTAATGAGCGATGCAAATGGCATAGAGAAGATGAATATACTTACTGGTAATTGTAATGATGAGTATGAAAAGAAATTCAATTGTCATAATGATAAATCTGTCATGAAATTGGTCAAGTATGTTTACGATGACATATCACTAGATTCAAGAAGAAAAAGAAAGACAATGATATCGAATAATCGAAGTATGTCGAGACGAAAAACAACAATCCCGAATTGAAATTGATAATATTTTTCTCTTCGTCCTCTCGCTTACTTACTGATTAACAAATTGACATATGCTATGCTACTGAAAGGAGACGTATGTGAAGTTGTACGTCTGTTGAACAATTGAAGAAGAGAGAAAGAGAAGAGAAGAGCGTACATACATACATACATCTTATTCCCGAAAAAAAAATAACACTCGCTTCTCCTCCTTCTTCTTCTTTTCTTCTAATCTTCTTCTCTTATACTTATGTACACAAGAAGAAGGATAGAGAAGCCATATTACATGGTCATAACTAATTGAGAAAAGTGAATCAAATCTATTTCATGACATAAGAACTTTTCGTTGGCACATCAAATTCCCTTTTTTTCCTCTTCCTCTTCGCCGGAGAAAAGTCAATTTATCATCGATTCATTTTTTAAACGTACACAAAGAAATGAACTTCTGTCTATCCACTAATGACCTCAATGACAAGCAATGGTGTTCATCAGAAAAAACAAGACGACGACTACTGTTGTTATTCCTCACATAGACACTTCAAGTTCCGTCTAAGCTAATGAACAAATGAATTAATACCTTGACGAACACGTACGACACACATTCACTCTTTATAAACACCATCGATCTTGTTCCTTGTATCTCAACTAAGAATGTGTCAGAAATGAGAAATCTGACAAAACGATTGAATCTTCACTCAAGGATTCATTGTTGAACTCTAAGTAGACATCTTACAGATACATTCTATTGTCCATATGAATGCATACCAGAAAGCGATGATGTAATACTAGCCCATTACTATCCAAAAAAAAGGGAATAAAAAGACTCTAATTGTTTTACACCACCTGTTCTATTCTAATCGAATATTTGCTTGTTTGTTCAATTCTCTAACTCAGTTAACCACACATCTGGATAGCAATATATATGTATATGAGGGATAAATATCGCTCAATAAGAAAGTATAAAAGCGTTTCTTTCTTTTATCATATACCGCTGCAATTATTTTCTCGTATTTGAAAGAAAAAATTCTCAATGAACTTTTCTCTCTTTGTCTAAACGAGACTATTAAATAATGTCGATAATGATTCGTTAAATGTTATGTTTTTAGCTGTTTAGATAGTATGCAGGTGATGCAGGGCAGCAGATGAATGGCACAAGTGTAGAGAGACTTTTACCTTGTTGAAACAATTTTAAATAGACTCGTAATGATACTCTCCATACCTTGTCTGAGATGACAGTCTTTATTTGAAAATTCTTGCTATTAAATATATATAAATAAGAATATGGAAATAGCTAATGGAAATTCAATGTCATGTTGATTGAAGATAACAACATCGTTAAATGACTCGTCTTTCTACTCTGAATTTTTATTTGAAGATTCTATTCGTAAGATACAAAGAAAAGAAAAAGAAAGAAAGAAAGGTATTTTATTCATCTATATTCACATAAATCGGACATTTGTAGGGACCGAACATGTATTTGTAGGCATTCTTTTGTAACCATGAATGAGCAATACAATCGAGAAGTGACATTCGTTTTTTCGGATCTTTTTGTAAAAGCTAAATGAAAAAGATCTAGAAAATCATCGGACAGATTGATCATCCTTACATTATCAATAAAACGTCGTGCCGTTTGAGAAAAATAATCCGGAAATTTATAATTGATGCTTGCTATTTTCGATTTCGTTTCATCATCTGTGCCTTCAAATGGTGCACGACCAGCTAAAAGTTCGTATGCAAGTACACCAACACACCAGTTATCCACTTGGTATTGATATTGTTTATGACCAACGATTTCCGGTGCTAAGTAATCAAGTGTACCACATGCGGTTGTATTCCTAAACAGATATCAATGCAAGACACTCGATTTGAGTGTATATTCGAAGCATTACATTGTATCAGCGTGACGAATCTTTGTTGACCAACCGAAATCTGCTAATTTAAGATTTCCGCAACAATCGACAAGAACTAAAAAGTATCGAGTAGATGAAGTTCTAGTACATGAATGTTTTTTTTTACTATTTTCCGGTTTCAAATCACGATGAATGATACTTTTACTATGGCAGTATTCCAGTGCGTGACAGATTTGATAGATATACTAAACGAATAAGTTCGCTTAGATAGGAACGAAGTTTTTTTTTTGTATTCGAGAACTACATACAGTAGCAGCGAGACGATCAGAAAATCGACGAACTTTTTGTAAGAACCGATACAATTGTCCATGAGGTGCGTATTCAAGCATGAAATAAAACCGTTTTTCATCATGAAATACATCGTACATTGTTAAAATTAATGGATGATTAAGTTTAAAACCTGATTCGGTTTCGATTTTAACTTGTTCAGCCATGGAATATTCATTGATTTTACTTTTATGAAGCATCTGAGTTTGATACGATCATGTCTTAGAAAAGCTAGATAAAACAAGAATTGTTTCTTACTTTTAATGCACAGATGAACTTAGTTTTCTTCAGTCGAGCCAAATAGACAATACCGAATGCTCCTTTACCAAGTGGTCGACCGAATTCAAAATCATCAACTGTAAATAATCGATCTTCACTATAATGAGACGATGATCCTTTCCTTGGATTCTATACTGTCAGAGCATACAACAAGGCCTACTTCAAAGCCATTTTGCGAACACTGTTTGCCATAGTTGCTTCTAAATGAGAACGTCGAATATATTGTTGAAAGACATTTGGTAACATGGGCGGTGTTCGTAATTCTTCATCAGTGAGACTATTTAACCAATTCGGTAAATAAGTGTACATAAGATCACCATCGCATTGAGCTACATCGAATGGAACTTTCACTACTTCGATATCAGCGTAAGTCTAAATAAACGAAATCGGAGAAGAAAATTGTCATTAGCGTAAGAGACCTTACGTCATATTGATCGTCGTTCGTTTTCTCAGACATTGATGAGAATTGCTCTAGTTTTCTTGGTGAAACGAAGGACTAAACTTACATACTAGTGATTCTAACAAAGAAAGTATCAATAGTATTGATCGGGAACAAAGGTACGGTGTGAAGTTTGGAATGTATATGAAAGGATTGATTTATTTGACCAAGAATGATTTTCCGAAGATAAGAATATGCTGTTTTGTGTTGAATTTTTCAGATCGGTCATCAAAAATAAAGATGTCACTCATTCCTTACGATTATCAATAGATTCACTTTGAAGAATGACAAGTTTTGCTGAATACTAGTAATTCATGGATACAGTTCGTATCCTCGATCGACATCTGTCGACGAAATCTTCACCGTCTTCTTTCTCGCGTTTAATTTATCAATTGCCGATCTCAAGTAATCATTTTACAATTATCTCACAATGAAAAACATAGGTTTCCATTGGAAAACAGTCGTAAAGATTTCTAATGGTCAAATTTTCAAACCACTCAGTACGGTCACAGTCAGCTGTATGCTATATCGATCCGCTGAATGACAATGCAAAAAATTTGTTTTCAACATAAGAATGTCGATGAACAAGAATGAAAATGGCCCAATGCGTTTACGTTGGCCCATTGAAGATGTTGTAGCGTTTGCTAAACGCTACGCTCTAACCCACGGTCTTCTTTGTCTTGTTCCGGATAATTTAGATCAAGCAACAATGGTTCCATTTTCGCTCTTTCCTAGTCCGTATTCGTACTCTCATTTCAAATTTATCTGGTCTATACAAACGGCATACAATCGTTTGTATAATCGTGTCTCGCTCGACGATGATGTCTTAGAAAAATCACTTTCATCTGTAATCCCGATAGATGATTTTATCGGTCGACTGTGGAGAATTCATCGTACTGTTCCACGACGACAACCCATCCAACTGGACATCTATCGAAGTAAGTTCAGTTGATTCTATAATACGAATATTTCATCCATATCATCTTTCAGATGATTATATGCGTGACACCAAAACCGATAAGATGCGTCAAATCGAATTCAATACGATCAGTTCTGCATTTGCTGGTTTAACCGGTATTGTTGCAGACATACACAAAGCTGTTCTTCGCTATACTTTGGACAACTGTCATGTACGTGAGTTGAAGATTAACGAAGAGAACGCCTCATCAAAGTCATCGATTGATTTAATTCTACCAAATAATGCGTTAACAAAATCTGCTGAAGCCATGGTTAAAGCTTTTGAACTTTATAATAATCCTCAAGCTTGTATTCTCTTTTTAATTGTACCTAACGAACGTAATGTATGCGATCAAAATGCATTAATCGATGCCGTGCAAAAAATGCAACCGAACATCCGTTTTTACTCGAAAACATTCGAACAATTAAATGATGAACTCGAATACGACGAGAAAACATTCAATATTTATCTCAAACCATCACACGATGAAGTCGCCATTGTTTATTTTCGAGCTGGTTACATTCCTGATCATTATACCAATGAAAAATGCTGGCTAGTGCGTGAATATATCGAACAATCGCGTGCAATCAAATGTCCAACAGCTCGCTCTCAACTAGCTGGTTTCAAAATCGTTCAGCAATATTTAACACGTGAAGGTATTGTTGAAAAATATATCCATGATAAAGATGTAGCTGGCAAGATTCGTTCAACATTTGCATCAATGTTCACTTTCGACGACGAACAAATGCGAAATCAATATATTGAAACTCTCCGTCAAAACCTTCACGATTACGTTCTTAAACCCAATCGTGAAGGTGGAGGAAATAACAAATATGATGACGAAATCTTACCCATTCTCCAAAACTCAAATGAAAATGAACTAAACAATTACATTGCTATGGAAAAGATTCGTCCACCTGTTTGCTCGACATGTCTAATCAAACCCAATGGAAAACATCTCCTACACGTTGAATGTATCAACGAGATCGGTATCTATGGAACAATGGTAACCAACGTGGAGACGAACGAAGAATACATCAATGAAGTCACTGGATATTTGGTTCGGACGAAAACAACTGATACAAATGAAGGTGGCGTGGCAACTGGATACTCCGTACTTGACTGTCTCAATTTTAATGAAAATACAAGTGAATTAGCAAAAATATTTTCTCAAAAAGTGTAAAGATTCATTATCTCTCCTAGTTTTCTTTTAATAAAATTCCAGGTCATGTTTTACAACTGTTATCGATAATTCAATCGTGTCGTCATAAACTTTGTTTTTTATTGCACATTGTACCTGTTAACTTTCGATTTATTAGATGCGTTCAGTTGCCATTCCTCTGCTTGCTTTTCACCACAATACAACAACAAACAGCGACGAGAAAAAGAACTATCTATTTCATTTGACTTTCCACTAATTTCAAGCTCATTGGTATTGTTTTGTCCACAAAGAGAACGTAGGTTAACGAATCATTCTTCATCGAATAGTTTGCTTCAGCTATATCATAGGTTTTATCATCGATAATTAATATAAGAGAAAATTTGATGTTGTAATTCAATGTGTCGCCCGGATGAACATGATTTAAGATGGTGAACTTCTCATTGAATTGAATAAAGTCTTGGAAAGGTCGAGCAGATGTTTGATTCGACTGACATTTGGGCAAACAAAATCGAACTAAAATCGACGTGTGTGCTTTAATTGCTTTTTGAAAGATACTCAAATTTCGGAGGTTTTTGATTTTTAAATGTATGCTAAATGTTGTTGGATTGTATTCACAACTAAATTGTAATGTTGGTGTGTTTGTTTGCTCGTCATGCAGATCATCAGCAGCATAATTAACATAAACATATGGGTTCAATAATGATGAGCCGTAGGAACGTTGCGGAGGATTCTTATTGATGGGATCATATTGACTCTCGTTCGTGGGTAAACTATGTGTCACTGTAATGAATGTTTTGCTTGGATTGATTGGCGGATCGGTCGGTTTAACACATGCTTCGGAGAGCGAACGATGTAAAGATACATTTGATGTTCCGTTTGATTGTGTGCGATAAAACGATGCGGATAGTTTGTGCACTGATTCGGTGAGAACGGGTCGAAGTATTTGAAAGCGATGGGATAATAGCGGGTCCCAAATGAATTGTTTGAGGATGCAAATCGTTATAACAATAACAAAGGCAATTAGACAAGATAATGCAACGTAAGCTGATTTATTGAAATCAACTGGTTCAGCAGCTTTACTCATTGACAAATAGAACTAAAATTTGAAGAACTAAACAGAGAAAATGTGGACGATTTTTTTCTTCTATAGAGAGCGAACGTTTTTTCACCTGTCCAAACTGAGATTTTATACGAATTGATCTTCTTTATTGCAAACGTTCAATCAACTCTCACGATAGATCAATACTAATAATAATTCTACATGCACATGATGATGATGATAGATGACAAAAGGTAATTTTGCGCAAGGAGAAAGAGTAATCCAGTGCTCTGCGTTGACGATATGTAAATCTAATGCGTACTTTCTTCTTCTATCTAGAACATACGCTTTATGAAAATTAAGTTTCTAATCTGACTTATGCTTACGTCGATAACTGTAGATTTTCTACATTGTTTTTCTTTTATATAAGAAAAGAGAAGATAGTTAACTAAAATGGCTCGTTTACAGAAAACGAGAGACGGATTGCACGAGCTTACACATCATACAACATGAAATAGTTTCCTGGTATAAAAAAAAATGAGGGAAGAAAAACTCGAATATATAACGTTTGATAATTGCACGCTTAATATACTCGACTTTAGTCCGTAATTGAGTTCGTGATGTAGCTCAGGTTGGAATTAACATGGAAGACTGTCAAGGTATAGGAAGAAGAGATCTCTATCTTGTTTAGTATACAAACTTGATTCGTTTTAGTTAACAGAATGATCGAAAAGAAACGGATAATCATGGAATAAATCTAATCAAGTTTGTCAAGCTTTCTTTTCTATTCTTTCGTCGTCGTTGTTCCGCTGTTCTACTCTCCAATTCTAATGCGAGCAGAAACTCAAAAGAAGGAGAAGGGAAAGAAAGGGAAAACACAAACATACGAAGTCAGATTAATACAAAAAAAGAAGAAGAAACTGATTGAATATGGCTGACTCGATGGACGGATCGAAACACTAGATAGAGAAGCATTCCGGTTCATTGTATTCATACAAATTTGTTAACTGGAAGTTCTTAATGAATGCATATCTTTCCGCTTCACTTTACATGATAAAATTTGACAAACGAAATCTTTCATCTTTGCGGAATTGAAGTTATAGCGAGAAAACAACACAGAATCTACATTCATGAAAATATCGTGGGCGGTGTCTCTATGCGGACATTCCTAGGCAAACGTAGAGAAAAGACAGAAGAGTTTAAGTCGGAAAAACGGTGCTCGATGAGAAAGAAAGTCGCTTGCCACTGCACTTCGCTTATGTTCACTTTTCTTGTAAATGAAGAAAATTAAAAATGTAAATCGGATTTGCTCACACTATCGGCAATGTTTTCCCTAGACTATTATTAAACAGAAAGTAATCTACGTTTTATAATCAAACTAATTGCTACAAAACAAATTTAACAAATGATGAAATGGGATTCTCAAACAAGAAAAAAAAGAAAAAAAAATCTATTTTTCTCGTTTCAGTTAAATTCTGTGCTCTGTTTGCATTCATAAAGAATGCCAACAAATAGCAAACATGATTTCTGACAGTAATAGTGAGCATTATTGTATATAATGATCTTTTGATACTAGTCACGAATGAGGCAAAGAGTGCTCGATGAATCTTATGACTAATGATGTCTTGATTAGATTTTGACACGAAACAAGATGTTGATATGACGAATATTGACATTGTATGTGATGTACTTGATGAAGCTAAGTTTGCATTCACGGATTCCAAAGTCCAGGTGTTTATTTTAAACCGCTCAAAATCCTTGTAATATTTTTATGCAGCTGGAGTCTTGAGGATTGAACATGCAATCTAACCTAGCTGCTTTACATTGTAAATATTTCACTTCTAGGCTTGTAAGGTTACAATGGAAATGTGCCTGCAGCTGAGAATTTGGTTGAATTCATTCAAAAATGTATGAATTGCTGCATTGTATCCGTTGATAGATGTCGTTTCATCGCAGTCGCTTTTGCTGATGTATCAATCGGATTGGTCAAATATGAGTCATTGGCAAAAAAAATGCATACGTCATCGTTGACTTATTTCATGAAAATTTATTCATTTTCGAACTCGAATTACTCATGTCAAATTCAATATTTTCAGATGGTTCCTCGAAGTAATTACTTCTTTCCACGTAATTTATCTCGATTAATTCTCTTCTTCAGGATCAAGGCATGCGTATCACATATTAATTCGTTAAATGAGATCAAATTCAAAAAGCTCCTTCAGCGTATTGCTGAAAAAACCGGCCGACAGGTAACGAACATTCACAAGAACTCAAAGATAACTCTTGTCTATTCATTTCAGAACGAAACTATATTCACACTGGACGAATTAAACAAACTAGAAAGTGCTTTCGAAATATCAGCTGATAATATTAAACAAATGATTGAAACGCTTGAGTATATGTTTCTGCAATCAGCTTACCATTTGGTCAAACCACAAGTACTTCTGAATGATTTAGTCAATGAACAAAATTTCGACGAGAATAAAGTAAGATTTTTCCTAACGAAATGCCGAATTTGATCAATAAAGCATGTTCTTTACAAGGCGAAACTCGTCGTTGAACAATGGTCAAGCAGTGCCAAAGAAATTGTCGAACGTTTGAAGTCAACGCACATCGCTTCGCATTCCGTAAGAGAGTTTTCTGGTAGTGTCTGTAGACAAAGACGTTTTCGTTTAGCTGTCCGACGTACGTTGGACATTAGATGTTGGAATATCACAAGCAAGCAAAAGCAAAGTTAAACGACCAACAGCAATTTATGAGTTCCAATTGAAGAATGATCAAACACAGGTAATTGATGGACGATCGAAAATTTAGGTTAGTAATAATAATATTTTGCTTTTGATAGGAAATCGAAAAAGTGCAAACAGAATTTAACAAAGAAGAATTGTATGCCTTTTTCGAAAAAGTAAACGAATCGAAAAGTAGATCGAAAAGATATTCGAATTTTTATTTTTCTTCTAGCTCGAGTCAATTCAAAGTCAACTAGATGCATTAATGACCTGATCATTTATAAATTTTTTCTTACTTTCTTTTGTGATCGACTTTTCTATAAAATCAAATCCGATTTGCCTACAATAGTGATTTATTTTTTATTGATTTCAGATAGATTCAAATCTCGTCGAATAAGACAAGTAACGTCTGGTAAGTGAAATGTTCGCGCAAATACAAAGTCCGACATATCACCCATACATCGAGCATATGCGCCGTACATATTAATAGGCAGAGAAAAAGAAGAAAATAGTTACGCCGATAGAGCTGAGTGACTTGGAATACTTTTTTGTTTGTTATAAATGATAATCAGCTGAGCGACCGTGTATTTTCGATTGTGTTCGTGATTTTTATTTGTATAAAAGTTATATTTAGATAAACAAGTTTGTTATTTTCATCGCTCTATGTTTTTTTTTGACACTGACGTCAATATAGTGTTGTGAAATGTGTGCAACTGAAGTGAAGCACAGTTTTCTTAGCGTCAATTTGCACGCTGTGAGCGAATGAGCAGAGAATGAGTCATTCGTTATGCTATAATTGTCGAGCTATCGAGGTACTGTCAAAGAAAACAAAGAAAAAAAATGATCAGTCGCGGTTAGCCTTGGTGTCCTTACTGCTCTTTTATCCACCCATGCATGGGGAAAAGCCTTGTTCAATGTTCGTAGTATTTCGGGACGAAATGACGTTATTTCAATGTTATATTTACTGCGAAGAATTATTGACAGAATCGTACGAACAGATTGATTGTGCGAAAAGGTCATCGAAAGTGCGTTGAGATACATGAACTGCGCCTTTTTTTTTCTCTCGTTTCTTATATACGCTGGATCCTTCATCGACAGAAAGGAAAAAAAACAACCTTCTTCTTGCCGTTTTCTCTAGCTAATAACTGTTTTTCTCTCTTTTTTTTTATATAATACTTTTGTTTTTCTCTTAGATCTAAAAACAAAATAAAGCGCACATACAGAAGACGATCTGTATTTTGCTTAACCTAACATTCATACGTTCGTTACACAAGAATGGAGTCGATACTCGACAGAGATATTGTCTTGGCGGTTGATATGGATGAACTCGGTGTACGTCTGAGCAATTGGACTGATGGACCGATTGATGAATCAATGAATGATTATTTTGGAAAAGAAAAAGCCATTGATTTTAATGTTTTCTCTGCTGAAATTCAATTGACAACGAATGGATTGAAAATGACAAGTGATGAAGAAGATTCAGCACTATCAAATGACAATTATGATATCGATCCTGAAACAGGTATATTTCTTTTATCTATTTTTAACGCAAAAGTTTCTAATGAGTCACACGGCTGAATTTGATAAAAAAAACTTTTTTTTTTATTCTCTCATGTTCTAACGACTTGATCTTCTGTTATCAATGTTTTGCGTAAAGTCAATATTGATTTAAATGATTCTTTTTCCTTTTCAGGTGAGAAAATCTTTCGTCAACCGACTTTCGCATCACCACCATCAAACGATGTACGTTATCTCTCCTTTTTTTTTACTATAAGGATGATCTAGCATTTTTCTTTTGCATTTTTAAAGAAATGGATCGAAGAATATTTATCTGAAATTGAATCTGTCTCGAATCAAATCTTGCCGGTAACAACAAACAGTAGTACTATCGATATCAACTTTGACGAAATCCCATTCCCATTTCTCGAAAACACAACCGCTGAACTCGAATCTGATTGGCTTTCAACACTCATTGACCTCGAAGAAACCAGTGATAGCAATATGTTCAGTGACCCAGTGGTTCTAACCAATTCCGAAGATAAATCGAATCAATTAATGACAACATCATTATCGTCTATGTATATTCCTCTAGCTAGTGAAAATAATTCTCAATCGACTTTATTCAATACTTTACATCCTTCAACTGACGATGAATATTCTACAAGTAGTAGTAGCAATAGCAGTCGTCAGCATAAATTATATTCTCTAGACCAAACGACATTTGTTGAAACCAAGTTAGAAAAAGTAAGTTGAAAGATTCACGAATATTAAGTAGTCATTATCGTTCGATTTAGATGGAACCGGATGATGATTCAATGTCAGCAATGCTCGGACGTCGTGCCAGTACACGTTCTGTTTATCAAGGACAACAAGACGAAGAAGCGTTGCAACAATTGAATATTCCCTTGACAGTAGATGAAATCACTCAATCAAATACGGAAGAATACAATCGAATTCTTGTGCGTTTGAATCATTTAAGTCCAGAAAAATTACATCTAATCAAAGATATTCGTCGGCGTGGAAAGAATAAGGTAGATGGTTTTGTTTTATTCTCCATGTGTAGAACATACTCATTGATGATTTATTTAGATTGCTGCACAAAACTGTCGAAAACGAAAGGCGATCAGTGTCGAAGCGTTATTAGAAGAAGTCGATGAACTCAAACGGGTTAAACATGACCTTGAAGAACGAAAGCGACTCTATCAGCAACAAGTAAATTAAATCATTTTCTTATTAAAACATCTAAATTGTCATGAACGTTTTTTTTTAGATCGAAGAAACACGCCAACAATATGAATATCTTCATCATCAAGTGTTACCAGATCGTCAATTACCACCAGCAATTAGTGTTCAGTAGAAACCTTATTTACGTTGTACATATATTTACTTTCTCGCCGTCTTGACGTTGTTTTTCTTTTCTTAACTGCCGTTATGTTCAATTAAGATTTCCTTTTTTTTGTCGTGGTATTAGAAGATGTAGCTTTCATTTATATTGATTAAATCGAAAAAAGGATCTACGAAGCTATTTTTGCCTCATCATCTTGAATACGATTGAAATTTTTCAAAGGAGAGAAGTAAGCAGGCTTGATTGTCATCGAATCTGCCGCTCCCCCTTGTCATGGTTTAACTCATGTAAAAAGAAGTGAATGTCTTTAGATATTCTCACGTCACAATCATTTTTTGCTTAGTCGTCCTGCTCTGTTTTATCAGGCTTTGATAACCAATTTGTGTCATGCTGACGAAATATGAAATATTACGTGTCAGCGTATAAATTAAGTCGAATAACTCTCAGAGCAGATCATTTTTCTCGCTTAGACGTGCACAAGAAGAATTTTGAATCTAGACTTTTGTAATATAGACTATATTTCAATAAAAGGAAAGTGGTATTTTCGCTCGCATGGTACAAACAAAGATTCGCTATGTAGGTGACAATTCGATGTCATTTATAAACGTTGGTCCAACGCTCGTAAATACTTCGTTGCAATCAGTTTTGGTAAAAGTCGATAACGGAAAGCTACCATGAAAACTAACCAGATTGGCAAGATCAATTTCGTGTAAAGTATTGGTGAAAAACCCAGAGCACACAGGATTAGAAGCTGAATTAGTTGTAAACATGTGAATAGATGAATTTTACGTTGAGGAACTTGTCGAATATAATGGTTTGGCGGATACGCAGCCTGCAAAGCAATCAAATACAAATGCGCACATTGGTCGAAATGGTACAAACTTACCTGCTCGGTGAAGAATAAAGTCACTCGTTCAAAAAATTGATTCCCGTCAAGGGATGTCAATGCGAGGTACAAAAATAGACCATCTAACACTGGCATTGGAATTCGTTTTAGTACGTGACGCATTAGCAATGATAAACCAATGAATATATGGGAAATTAAAACTGTTAAACGTGTTTCTCGTACTTTAACGATTCTATTTATGAACAAACAAGGTAGGCTCTAAGTATAAGTCAAATCATTTTTAGCTTACACTGATTGAATATGACCTTGTTCAACACGTTCCTCTGTATCTGCCAGTGCTTTGACATGTAAAGGAGACAACGGTAACGCGCCTACATCGAAAAACATTTTCAGTTTATTAAAAGAAAAAAAAAAGGTTCAGTCTTGCGTGCGATGTTCAACTTACCATGCATCCATGTTAGCCCAAATAGTGAAAGCCAACCATTAAGAATTGCGATGACAAAAAGATCAACGTGAAAAGCTTTGCCTTTCTTCAGTCTATATTTATATTAATATTAAAGGTGAATAAATTAGTTCGACTCGACCTACTTGTTTGCTGGAGAATTGACGATTGCGCCTGCAATATTCTGATCCTAAATAGTCATATTTACTCGAATCGATTCTATTCAATAATGTTTAATATGTACCAGAAACATCAGCAAGGATAGTGAAAATCCTAAAACTCCAGTACCAACGATTTGTTTGACACTAACGGGTTTGAACTTAACCATATCGAATAGATGGAGAGAATCAACAGCAAATGAAGGAACTGAAATAAAACGCATGAAAATATTCGATATTCATGATTTCAATGTTCGTACGGTTTATTTGACTAAAAAGTATACTACCAACCAACGACATAACGATAACAGATACCGGTAAAGCATAATCAGTTAATAGTTCTCGCTTAGCTGATGTTAAGTATGGTGTTTGTTTAAATTTATATAAAAACGTTCCGAGCCAAACAGTTCCCAGTGTTAATAGGAGATAAAGTAAACTTGAATCGCGTGAACATGGTCCTAGAAAATTAAATCAAATGCTCTATCACTGATACTTCCTTTCGTTTTACCTTTCGATAGTTCTTCAGGCAGAGATAGAGCTGTACTTTTATTTAATTTTTGCTTTGTCCAATATTCGTCATGTTGCTCACAAATAACAGTTGAGTATGTCGATGAAAAATCTAAATAAAATTATTGTAGAAAACTCCGGAAGACGATCTGACATGATTACTTTTATAAACATGTGCACTAGCGTCAACTAAGAATGCAATGGACACAAATAGCGCAAAAATTTCTTCGGTTGATCTTTGATGAGAAAGAACTAAATTCAACCGATGAATCATTAACAAAATCTACCTTGTTGACCATTTCATGACTTTCGATACGCCAAAAATTGCATATAATATCAGAAAAAATGAATTCCACAAACCAACCAATGCATAGGTATCACGAAAATCCACGTCGTACCACGTGCATAATCCATAAATGACTAGAATAGAACAAATCTTTCTAAATTTCCGCAATCTTGTTCTCTTCTACGTACCTTTGACATAGATTGTTAAAGGCGCTGTTGTAGATACGACAATTAACGGTTGACCAGCAAATATTGAAAAAAAGAGTCCGCCTAAACATTGTGATGCAACGGCTTTGGGTACACCTAAGAACATCATATATAGTGAGATAAATTTCTCTATTAGTCGTAAGGAACACGTTTTCTGTCAGGCAATGCTTTGCTCATTCACTAAGGTCATCATGCTTACTGATCGTATCGTTTGTTGCCTGAGAATTAAGTACACCAAAAGCAATACTTGGTAACAGACAAGCGAAATAGAGAAACACCGCTGTTGACAGGACCTTTTGTGGACCACGGTACGTTTTAAAGACTAGAAACATAGCGAAGTTCACTAATGCAAAGAGAATCAAGTAAATTTTACTATCGTAGTAATCCGAGAAATAGTGCGGTAAACGGCGTGATAAATCCATACAAATGTCAGAAGGCAATGAACAATAATATATATGATCTTTTGATGCCTAGGAAAAAAGACTTTGAAATCAACGATCGTACAATCAAAGAACTTATTTACATCAGGATTGGTATGAATGTCATCAAACGGATCGGGTAGAGAAGTTCGTACTACAGCTGTTTGTTGCTCCATCAAATGATCTGTGTGTTTCTATTGGAAAGAAAGAGTGAAAAATTAGGAAAAAGATTCGATCGCAATCGAATTACATCAATGATGGATATGAATTCTTGTTGTGTTGCTGCTTTTAATAATTTAGCACGTAATTCGATATCGGCAAAGATGGTAGCAAACGTTCGGCCCGTTTCAAGAAAGTTCTTCGTACCTTTTTCTTTCATGGGTGAAAGAATAAAGACAATAAACCGTGCTTCTTGACAATTTCGTCCTAAGTTACACGGATTCTTTAGTCGTGCAATCGCCACATGACGTTTGAGTATCGATGGCGAGGTGCACATGATAGCCAGCCATGATTGATCATACGTCCAATTGGTTTCCGTAGCTGTTGTTGCTTGAAGAGTTTTTGCTAAGATTCGCACTAAACGAAACAATCGTGATCAGAAGCAAATGCTCGACAGAGTTACAACCTCGATCGTTGACAAATAACGCTTGTTTAATTTCTTCGATGTTTAGATTTTCTCGATGTCCACTAGCCATGCTACTGACCGTGTTGCTGATCATGGTCGTTGTTGCATTCGATACGGAAAGTGTGGGAGATGTTGCCCCAGAACCGCCATTGTGTGGAACATACGTTTGTTTAATCTGTCGAAGAATAATTTCCAATAAATCACCTATTGATGTGTCTTGAACATCGAGAAGAACAAGTGCACTGTGAATGAATTCTTTGATATCTTTTCCTCCGCGAATTTCCGCCGCGAAATCTTTCAATGGAATATGCTAAGAGAAGAACAAGTACATCATGTCAAGATTTACGTGTTACATTAATGATTTTTTTGGGCGTACTTCAGTTTTATTATAAACAAGTTGTATATGAGCACCATCTTCTACATAAGAGCAAAAGAAAAATTCAGTTACAATAGATGTCAATGATTAGCATATTGTTCAATTGAAACTCCTCGGAGATTCCCGAATATATATTTTTCTTTAAATTCTATTAGAATATTTCTTTTCTATCTATACTATCAAAATATTTTTCCCTAGAGACACTCACGACGATGTACGGGTACATAAATTCCATTATCAGCCGTCTTTCACTTGCCAAAATTTCGACTTACTTTGTAAGCGAGAAACATCGGTTTCATCATCGAAAAACTGATGCAAATTCAAATCGTCGTCTTCAACCATCATCACGAGAGAAGATAAGTACAATGACCCTATTCGATTAGAAAATTCTTTCTCCTAAGCACAGACATTTTTTGACGTAATAGAAAGTCTGGATCACCTTTCCATACTTTTGTTTCAAATATGAAGGAAAAAAAACGCTCAATATTTTCTCCATTCATTCACTGTTCTAACTCGCCTAGGTTTTGTTTGTTAGTGCGTGACAAGAATGTTATTCGAGTCTCGTCACACTCGGAAGTATCAAATCTGCGCGAAAGCATAATATCGCCGAAACACGCTCATATGTAAGCTAGATCAGATGTGAAGAAAGAAAGACAAATCAAACGATGTGCGTGTGTATTAGATTCAGATAACATGAATAGATCGTCATTATATCATATTCATATTTTTATGAAATAGCTGATAGTCAGGGAGAATTTAATATGTAAAAGAAAAACGCGTGTTTTACCTCGAAGTAATTGCCATTCGTTACTTTCGTCATTGTAAGTCCACGTCGACGTTGGGATCGGAATCGATTCTTTCGTCGGTTTTCGACGAAAACTGAATCGACGTATGCTAGTACCGCTCGGATTTCGTCGAAAATAGGAGTCAGTTCGATGCATTGAATGTTAGTTTTTTTTTTCAGATTCAATAGTCAACTCGTTTCCTCTCAATCCTGTTCAGCATCGTCAAGGAACTTAATAACAAATTTATAGGAATGAATAGGAGTTAGCTGTAGGACCATTTTCATACGTTCGTAACAATGGCTAACTACTAATCAAAAATATTGAGAGAGAAAACCGAAGACACAATTGAGATGCGAAGTGGAGAAGGTTTGTTATAGTAGAGAAAAAGAAGAAGGAAAGAATCAGAACCGAAGGAGAAATGAAGAAATAGATCGTTGTTTATAAGAAAACGACAGCAACAAACCCTATTATTCTTCTTTCCCTATATCTATCTCTTTCCTGAGATATGGAAAAGGAGCTTTACGATAAGAAACAGCATCTGCTGACAGAGGAGAGAACAGATCCACTTGATTCGAAGAACACGCACGTTAAAGTTAACCATATTAACATGACTGGCGATAACAAAAAAATGCATGCTAGTTGCATTCCAATGTCATTTAAAACACTAGTTAGCTTCCATTCCATTCCATCGTTAACTCATTAACATCTGAAGATTTATGCTTTACGCTCAAGTATTCATTATTAGTTATTCGTCGTCTTCATTTTGTTTCTGCTCTTAGACAAACACAATATATGTTTATATATAGACACTAACAGATGAATATGAAATTCATTAGTTGAAAGAAAAGCAATGATATATTCATTAGAGCAGATATTTTTCCTATGAAAAAAACGAAGAACATAAAAACGATGTATATATATCGTTGGAATATGAATTATTCATAATTCAATTATGTAAACCAACATCTCCTCGAACTGTTTTGTATTATTAAGTATCTTATCTACGAATCGAGTGTGTTTTTCTGTTGTTGTTTGTGCAAATGAACATTTGTATTTGTCTAATTCTTCACAGATTTTCTTATCGTCTTGACTCAAGACAATCGATTTCGAATGATTCCGACGAGATATATAAAAAGACTTACTGTGTGCTGATGTTTCCAGAAAAGGTGAATTCGTGTTTACTTCATCAATCACTGGCAAGATTTGACACTCGTACATGAATCCTTGCGAATGCGATGTCGAGGAGCAAATGATCAGATGAATGTGATGTACACACATATATTAACATTGGAACAAGAAAATCGGATGTCGACGGGTGGTTAGAATATTCTTGTGTGTGCTATGACTTGTTAAAATCATTGTTTTCTTTTTAAGACAATGGATGAGTCTATTCTTTGTATGTCTTCCGGATGAGAACATGGACTTTTGTCCTCATCACGAGTTATCGGTGGTTAGAAATCGAATCGTTTCGATCGATAATGTTGTCGTTTTCCGAAGTGTAAATTATGGATTGAAGGGAAAAGAGAAATCTTCTTTGAAATTAGAAAATATTATATGTCAGAACTCACAATTATAATCAAAGTAAACATAATTAATACTTTTGAGATTTAGTAACAAGAAAACTATTCCCGAGAAGAAATATGAAACGATAAGCATTTCATTCATCAGATCAACATTTTATTACTGATTTCATTATTAATCTGTCTTTCATAATGAATATTCAGATAAACTGATTGGTCCTTTCAATAGTGGCCCTGGGATTGTCGAAGTGAACTTCGATTGAAACTGCACGGCATGGAGAGATATTTAAAAGCATTTATAAATGATTGGAATTACGACGAACCTTGAAATACTTCGTGTGGAGTTAGTCCGACATTGCTAAGAAGAAAATCTCCGTTGAATTATCATAATTTAGTGAGATCACTTTTTCGATTAACAGCAAATCAGGATTCAATTGATGACTGATAGACGATCGTTTGTAAATCTCTTAAACTTGTCACTAATCTTTATTCAATGATTGATTTTGTGTATCTTAGGTAAAGAAGTTTTCTTACATCATACAAAAAAACAACAACAGAAAACAAAACGACCATTCTTTTTCCTTTGTTTAAAACGATCACATAGTATATTAGCATGAAAGAAGACAGAAGAGAAGAAATGTATATATATTTATATAGAATTCTAGCAATCTACAATGGCTATTACCGAAGAAAAGAAGAGAGAACCCTTTCCAGATCAGAACTGTACAAATCCGCGCCGAAATCGCATATAAAAATAAACGTTTGCGTTCTAAGGTTATGTGTGCTTTTGAAAACTCATGTTTTTTAAGATGAATATTTTGATTTTGGTTGATTTCCAGCGTCGAAATTTGCATGTGATGAGTTCGGTTTATAAAACTTCACCGCAAAATTTGTCTCAGGGAAAAGACTACGAACTTTATCATCGATCGCTTTTTGAGCTTGTTCACTCGGATTCGAATTCCATATTTGAACTATATCTTGAGGACCATCACGCGATTGAACACTGATGCCAACAATGTCATCACTATCGTTGAATGAAAACTGTTCACCAATCGCAGCTAAACAGAGTTCTTCCCAAACAGTATTCGTCTTATCTTTCGGACAACGATATGTGTAAATACCACCACTGGAAAGAATCAAGATACACATTCGATCAACATGATTTCGAACTCTTACTTTTCGTTTTCACTGTCTTCCCAAAGCGGTTTTCGGCTTTGCCGCATTAAGTGATAACTAACCCGATTCGATAATCGACTTGGTGCTTGAAAAGAAAAATGGCGTTGTTTTATAATTTTTCGATCAAATGGTGTTTTTACTTGGAATATTCTTGAATACACCCCAAAATTCTTGTACTGTCTCGACCTGTGTGAAAAACAAATCGAAACAAATTGAAAGTATGTGACAATCATACCGAAAATATAACTTGAAGACCGGCTTCATAGTCTTGTTTCGTTGCATTTTTCGACTTTTGTGAATCGAGCCAAAAAGTCCACCTGTACAAAAGAACAAGCAAATTTTCTTACGATTCTTCCTGTTAAACTCTTGCTGCACATACTTCGTAGCCAATGGTGCTACTTTTTCCTTATTTAACGATATTGTATGTCGAATTTTGGCCGCTGTTTGGGGAACATAGCTATCATCATTTAATGTTTCACTAGCTGACGAATATTCACTATCATCACCAGCGTCGATCATCTAGAAGAGGAAAAAACGAAAAAAAAAAGAACTAATAGTTTTCATATTTACTAACAACACGCAATTCTTTCGTTCGTGCCGTTTTTCTTTTTCTTTCTTTTTTTTTTATTATATATTTATACAAAAACTACGACACTGTACGCATAAGTATTATTTGTCACAACGACAGTCAGGATGCCACGTGCAATGGATAGTTATCTCGATTTGAAATTTTTAGCTATTGGCGACTCAGGAGTAGGCAAAGTAAAAACTTCGTTGCAATGGAAACAATCTTTTTCAAGAACATTCTTCCTTCCTTAGACTTGTCTATTAAATCAATACGTTGATGGGAAATTTACCAAACAGTTGGGAACAACCGTTGGGATCGATATTCGAAATAAAACGATACCGTACAAATCAAACAGAACCAGTAACTTATATACTATTCAATTGCAATTATGGTAAGTAAGTAACGTCTTTTTCTCACACAAAATAGAGAAGAGGATTTCTGACTCATGTGAAACAGAACTGAAAAAACAACAAGCGAACTGAATGTATGCATAGTTTTAACAAAGTGTAACTGTGCTTTCTGTTGTAGGGATACGGCGGGTCAAGAACGCTATCGCAGTCTTACTACTTCGTTTTTTCGTGATGCAATGGGCTTTTTCCTAGTTTTCGATGTTACGAATGAAACATCATTTCTCAACGTACGTAATTGGATAGGTGAAATTCAAGCGAATGCCTATTCGGAAAGTGTCGATATGATACTCGTTGGAAACAAATGTGATTTGGAAAGCGAACGAATCATAACGAAAGCTCGAGCATTAGAATTCGCTCGACAATATAATGTTGATTATATAGAAACAAGTGCATTGAATAATATCAATGTTACCGAGTCAGTCGAACTATTACTAGCGTTAGTGATGAAACGTTTAGATGAAGATGAACACTTCTCTCGAACGAAATCCAATCTCTCAAAGAAGACAACGGAGCCCATCGATCCCGAAGCATTAAAAAACAATTTCAAAGCCAAAACTGATATTTCGTTTTGTTGTAATTACTAACACGAATTGTTTGAATTTCTGCTTGTGAAAAGTTTCAATAAATACTCTTATTTCTTTCCACTGACACAAAATCTAGAAATAGAAATGACAAGTGAAGATTGGGAAACTTCTTCTTGTGATACGAAGTCACTTCGCACAAGATATTGCTCAGACACTTTCATCTAATCAAAAACAACGTGAAAAATTGGTAATCTTGATATATTTAGCAAAAAAAAAAGATGAAAGGCTGAACACAATTATTGACACTGTTCAAGAGAATACATACATACAAAAAATACATCTATTGTATTAACAATCAGACATAAAAAAAAAAGAAAATGATCTATTCAATCAAGATGAACATGATTTGAACTTGTTCTATCTGATATTTGCCGACGTGATGTTAATGCAGGACCACATGTAAATATTAAAAATATAACTGTAAGAAATATCAAAATGATTGTTGATATTGGGGTAAAAAGAACACGATATTTGATGCGCAAATACCAAACAGATCCGAGAATTATTGTTAGAAAAAGAATCAAATGTGTAGATATACTAATTGGTGATGTATCAAGAAATGATGATGTATCGAACGCGTTGGTATGAGATATTTCTCCGTCGTTGATTCGATTTGGTGTTGAATGTCGTCGAGGACTGATTTGACAATGAATGACGGTTTGATCGCGAATGTTGTACGAACGAAGAGTTTCGGAATCTTGCAGTTCACGACCTTGATAAATGAATCGAACGATTTTATTATTCGCTAGTTCATCAAGAAAGTGCAATCTGAAATGAAAAAGAGAAAAGGAAAGATGTAGATGAACTTCTTACAATGAGTTTTACCTTTTGACTTTGGAAATGGTATCGTTTGAATTCGCAGTGATCAGTTTTTGAGTTTCATTTAAGAATTTGATTGTGATTTGCAATGATTGATCTTCGCCTTCGATGAAAGATGATTGAGACACAGATTCATTTAGATTTGTGGATGTGTGGATGAGATTTACAGATGGCATGGGCGCTCGCTCAGCAAAAAATTCATCTGCGTCGCTCGCTCTACAATTGAAGACGGACGAGAATACGAATCAAAATGATCGAATTCATCATACTCAATATCGGAGTCATGCTCAGTTAATATCTCATTTGCAGATAAAGCTGTTGGTGATTGTTCATTTAAGTTCGGTGATGAGGTCGGACTGATGGTTTCTGATTCTTCGTCTAGAAATTTCAACTAGATAGAAGTAGGTTACATGTAATTCGGTATGCTTACCATTCCTACGGTGACTTCGTCGTTCAATAACGAATAATGTGGGAGGTGAATGAATGTTATTCACATGGGTTGATAGCCAAGAAAAAGATACAATGCCGAGAAAAAGGAGAAATATCAATACGTAGAGAAAATCATCACCGATGCCTTCGATAAACGACATTTTTTCAACAGAGAATCTAGAAGAATATTGTGTAAATGTAATCGTCGTAGTGTATTTCACGGATTTGAAATGATTTGAATCGATAAGAAATATTTAAATGTTTTTCTTTCTCTGTTTTGATCTACGTTTTTAGTGTCTTATTATTTTAAATAGGAGCAAAAGGAAATATCGACGTGTTTATGGTAAATCGTGGCAACCAGTAAGAGAGCGTTCTTTTCCTTGGTCTCCATCTATCGAATACCAATGCAGATGACGTATTTGAACATCAATAGCCAATTACGCATCAAACTATGCTAAACCTATACGTTTCTCGTCAGCTCGCGGGGTAGCTTTCCGATGTGTAAACCTCTGATGAACTGCTCGATCAGAATTTCTTGAAGATGGCTGTACCTACAAGTAAAGTTTCAATTCAACACTTAAAGAGCGTCTTTATAAACAACAAATAGGTAAATGACTTAGACAACGAAAAGAAAAAGATCTGTACAAAAACAAACTAAAGAAATTCATTTTGAATGGCGATGATGATGGTGTTGTTGTTGTTGTTGTTGTTGTTTTTTAGCTGCCTGCGGTATCATATCGAGTAGATACTGAGCTGGATTGCCTTGACGCATCAATGATGCAGCCATAGCAGGTAATGACGCAGCTAATGCTTGTTGTTGCTGTTGAGTCGATTTAGCAGCCAATGCAGCAGCTTGATTGGCCATAGCTAATGGAAACATATTCGACAAGAAATGTTTTTGAAATAATTCTATTTGTTCATTCGTTGGTAGTGCAGCTAAGGATGATGCAAATACGTCAAGTGGATTCGGTTGTTTCGCCGAACTATTGCTAGTCTTGTTGCTACTACCACTATGATGGTGATGATGATGATGATTATTTGAATGTTTTGTAGAATGATGATTCGAACTGGTCTTTGTTGATGAAGATTTACTTGAATGTTTATGATGAGATGATGACGACGACGGTGGCGGCGGCGGTATGGTTGGTTTAATAGTTGTTGATGATTGTTGTTGTTGAAATTTAGCATCGAGTTCTTTTTCTTGCTGCAATGCTTTCATGAACGCTTGTCGCAGACGATTTGAATGATCCTGCTTAAGAATCTTCTTTTGAGAAGTCTTTCGACAGCGATCACAAAATATCTTGTCATCGGTAGTGGATTCGTCCGCCGAAGGAACTTCGTGCCATGTTACTGACCAATCGGTACCACACTGAGCACATATATTCGGTAAATTCAATGAATATTCCGGTGTTAAACGGCGATTAACAAAATCACTATATGTATTAAATGCTTGTTCAAGACCGATTAAAGTTAAAAATTCCGACCAACCATTAATACCCGGTATGTATGTCAAATCACATGTCGTCGGTTTTGGTGTCGGAATCTGTAGAAGTGTTTGTTCTAATTGCTTGCGTAACGCTAATTTGGCACTCAATAAATGTTGATCTGAATTAGTTCCATTGTCTACGAAAAAAAATTAAAGAATACATTGAATTTTTTTGGAAATGAAATCAAACTATGGTGAATAAGAGAATCGACACACTGAGAGAAAGCCTGGATTTCCAGGTATCCATGGTAAGTACATTTTCTCCTCGTCAAATTGTATTTGTCATATGCGATCTATTCAAAAGTGTTCGCCTGCTCAAGAATTACGATTCATCACTCAGCTCAAGTCATGTATTAGAAATAAAATGTATAGAGATAAATACTTTTCGAAGAACTACTTGTTGCGGATGTCACAGACGAACTCTTTGTCGTCGTCGTCGTCGTCGGTGCTGCCGTTGATAAGCGAATAGCTGTTGCTGGTAATGTACTATTGTTTGATTGGCGAGTCGCTTGAGGTAATGGCACAGAAACTTTAGCTGTTTGCTGCTGTGAATTGGCATTATTTGCTCGATTAACTGTATATTGATTGGGATGAGGTGGCTTAGATGGAGTTGATCGATTCGTCGAATTCTACGGAAATAGGCTTCTATTGTCCTCATTCGTCTACCCAGATAAGTACATACCGATGGTTGCTTGATTGGTGTACTCGAATTTGATTTCGTTGCGTTGACAGGTGTTGTTCGCTGTTGATTGTTGTTTGTTTGAGAAGATATTCGTTGATTACTTTTAAGTTTTTGCATGAGAAGCAATAGTGCTTCCTGACATTGTAATTCATATTGAAGTTGTCGATATTCTGATGTCATTTCTTGTTTACTATTACAAATTGTCATCTTTGTCAATTGTTCAGATGATAAATATGACATTTGATCATCGTTGCACGGAGATTTTCTAGAAAGACGACGTAGATCGGTTATTTATTTATTTAGTCTTATTATTGTTTATTGTTTTTTTGTGAAGCGAGAAAAGAAGAACGAAACAAAATGTTGTATATATGACGAGTAAAGGCAGCGAGGTTCGATTTAATGTTCGGAAGCAGTGAATGGCGGAAGGTGGGACGCGTATAGAAGAAAAAGAGGAGAAAAACAAGGATGGATAAAAATATCTATCTGCTGGAACGCGATTACTAATGTCGACGCGATGAGGACGACCAATTGAACGTTACCACGACAATGATTATATTCAGATAGAAAAAAAAGGAGAAGAAAAATGGATGAATGAACGAAAGAAACAAGACAGCGGGCAAGCGGGCGCAACGCCTTTTTTCTTTATTGACTCACCCATTCAAAACAGTGCCACGGAATCGTTTTGTTGACGATGATGTTGTTGTTGTTGTTGTTATTGATTTAGTATTGTCTGAATTGGGAGCGTGAGCTAATGATTTACGTTTAAGACCATTACTTGATATCATATTTATTCAATCTGAAAAAAAAAACGTCAATCTGTTCAGGAATATTTGGTTGACTAGCTCAATACAGGAGTGCATTCAATACATTGAATGGCTAAACGAGTACACAAATAAAAGATCACTATGTGAGGAATGAAAAGACAGGTAAGAAGTAAAACCTTTTCTTCACGAGCGATTCCATCCTGTGCATGTTGCTGTGTTTTGTTTACCGGCAATGTTGGCCATAGCGGAAAGAGTTATTCATCGCTATCATGTGTCTACTCGCTCTCTCTCTCTGTTTGCTGTTCGACGAACACGACTTACCCTTGTATTCCAGTTTTTTTTTCCATTCTCCTATTTTTTTTTGTTGGTAAGAAGGGTTGATGTTTTATCGTCATCATTGTTATTCGGCGTATTATAAAATCTTATTTCAACCAAGAGAAAAGCTTGTGCAATAACTTTTTCTATCTCTCAATCATGTACACCGTACTTACATATCCTTCGAAGGGGGAAAAAACGTCAATATAAAATTTCATTCGAAGCAAATGAATAATGAACAATAACGAGAAAAGTTCAATGTTCAGATTGTCTCTAGCTCAATCGAAGATATAGAACGAATGTAACCATCATTCATCGAACTAGTGAAGACAGACATGGACGCTTTCAATAAAGAAGAAAAAAAAAAGAAGAAGAAGGAAAAAGAGACGTCGACACACATTACGATAGAGAAAGAACTATACATTTATGCTTTAACTAACCTTCCCCAAACAACATACACACTATGACGGCGAGTTAAGCATATTCTATTTTTCATCTGCTTCTATTCTTCTTGGCGTTTTTTTTTGTTGCAGAGAATGTCATTCAGAGTAAGCAAGTCATCGCGTTCTATTTGTAAACAAATAATCAAGTCATCATTCCATATTCGATTTTGCGTCTCCTATCCGTACGACGATGGAAATGATTTTGTATCAACGATATCAGAGAGTCTGATGATGTCTGACATATTTCGACATTCAAACGCATTATAAAAGAAACGAGAAGAAAGGAGAAATATAAAAAAAATCAACAACTATACTTTGTGTCGTTTTGCATCTTTATTTTTTTTTCTCTCTCGTTTTTCCTCCTCTCCCTCTTTTCTCATTTTTCAATGACAAAACGAATATGAACACATTGCCCACAAGAACGAGCAAGCACAATTGTGCAAATAGACGTCTGCAGACACTCGTGCAACCGTTCTCTCGCACGCATACAACACATGAAAATCATGCGAAGAGATGAAGATGGGACGAGAAAAAATGTGAAAATCGCAAGTCGACTCGAAGAACAGGACACGTTAGTTGAGAAAGAGAAGAGAGAAAGACAATGTAACTACAAATATACTAAATATAGGCAGATAGAAAGACAGAATGGATGAATATCTTTGATCAGTTCGATCAACATCTGTGTTGTTGTAGAGTAATACATATCAATTAGTTACATACAGTAAAGAGAGAAAAAAGATTTCAAAGATGTACAAAAAAAAGAAGAATCAAATGTCTCAATCAATTATAATTAATCTTAGTATAGATTGAATTATGTCTGCGTAGTGGATTGGACGGATATAGACGCGATTTCCAAGATATAGAATATCATAGGGAAAAAAACAACGAACGTAGGGTTAACGAAAGAATAAAGAGATGTATATTCTTGGCTGTATGAGCAGTTACTCAAAATTGTTTCGAACCAACTCGAAAGGTTAGGCTGATCAAAGAAAATGTCGAGATTATTTCTCTTTTTCTCGTCGACATTAATCTGCACTTGATTGTTCAATCTGTATCAGCAAATGGTTTGTATTAGACACTAGTAATGAGAATAAAAACAACAATAAGACAAGCAGTGACGACGGTGCTTCTGTTGTTGACGACGAACGCCAAACAAGTCAGACATATGAAAAAAAAAACGAGAAGAAAAAAGAAGAGAAAAGCTCACATATTCCTGTGAAATGTTCTTTGTGCTAACCCTTCTTTTACCAGGCATCGCTCTGGTATATTCACGGATATTTCTCTTTTTCCCCCCCCATATTTGCTGAAGTCTATTCACAAGAGACAAACAAAAAAAAACTGGAAAGAGAACAACGCAGTGTATACTTTCTTCGAGGAAATATTCTATTTCGGATTATATGTGATTTGTTTGGAATAAATCAGAGTAGATATATGCTATCTTTTATTCGAAATAGAACATCGAAAAGAAAGTTTATTTCCGTCTTTTCACGGTAGTTTTGTCAACGAACTTTTGCTTTTTTTCGTTCATTTCGGCAATTCTATCGTTGGATCGTTGCATTTGTTCGATAATTCGCAAACGTTGCTGATGAATATCGATCGGTTGCTCGAGAGCGGACGTGTCTGAGATCGCATTAGTATTCAAACGAAGTTTATTAATACGATCGAGCAATGTTGGAGAAGAAGTTAAAAGTTTTTTCTTTATTGATATGTCACGTTCATTCTGTTGATCTTCATCGGATGATGAAATGACATTTGAGAAGAAACCATCATTCTATGAAATAAGAGAAGAAAGATTAAACATGATATACATCAACCTTTGTTCCTTTTGTGTATTTATATAATGATGATAATTTACATTATCGAATATGAAACTTCGAACGAACCGACCAGTGATGAGAGCTCTTTTTTTTGTATAATTTAACATATGTTCATTTTGAGAAAGATCCCCGTTAAGTTTATTCGATGTTTTCATTCGCAATTAACTTACATCTCTCTTCATATAATCATCGGACGGTCGTTGTCGTGGTAAAAGATGACTTTCTTCTGCTAAGACTTGATGATCCACAGGTTCATTATCGTCATCAGTGTTTGCTAATTCAGGTCTATTGCGACGCGATAGATCTCTTTTCATAATATGCTCTCGGATGATCTTTTCACGTTCTTCTTCGTCTTTAACTCCAAACAGAGATGATGGAGGTCGTGCTCGAACTCGTAGTCGCCGTGTTGTGCGTTGTTGAAGGATCAAACGAACATTTTCAACTGATTGATTAAAACTTTCAGCAAGCATGTCAACTGTCCATCGACCTGAATAAAGAATCATTGAAACGAATCGTTATTCATTGGATTCAATTACATACTTGGATAATTCTTGCGTAAGAATTGCATGTGATTTTTCACGTATGGATTTATTTGAATATCATTCGGATGTGCGACATATTTTCGTCGAAGGACATGATATCGAATACTACGTTGTCGTTTTCGTTCTAACCTAAACAAAAATGTTGAAATTCGCTGAAAGAATCGTCTCGTTGTTTACTCTTTTTCGTAATTTATTTGTAAGGATTTATTTCTACTTGTCGCAACCGCCAAATGTTCCAATTCACTTTCCACTTCTGGCCGGTAGACATTCGCATGACTGTCGAGAATTTTTGCTGGACGTTGTCGATCATTTCTCAAGTATCGCACGCTCCGAGCGATACAATGGCAAAATGTTCGAAAACATCTCTCATTCGCACTCAAAGAAAACATTTCGTCTGAAAATAAAATGAGATTTTATTTCATTATACATCAAGATATTTTCCATTTATTCTTTTACAACAGTACATCACAAACTAGAACAAGAATGAAATCTTTGACAAAATAATGGAATTATGTATACATATATGTGACATCCATGTTGAACATTAGTTATTGAATGGTTTCAATTCATACCAATGCGCTATTTGTTTTGTTATTTGTCGATGACATACGTCATTCCAATGTTGATCCATTTGTTTTCCGATAGAAAATATTCCAATGGGCTCGTGTTTCATATGACGATCATAATCAAAAAGTATTATATCAAAATGAATGCATTCGATTTCATTGTTCGGAATATTGAATGTGAAGCATTCATTATAAACAGGAGACTGGGTCGTACGTTTGATCGTACTTTTCCTCTTGGCAATTCGTTGTTTTTTGTAAAACATGTAGATTTTGAAATACGGGTCTAAAACGAACAAGGCAATTCAAGCAGATCAAACGTACTCAATTACTTATTAATCGTGTTGTAGCTATTCGTGGCAAATTTGATGCTTTAAGAACAATAAACGTAAGAGCACTGTCAGATGGCTGATAGCAGAGAGAAAGAAGCATTTGGCCAAGCTGTTGATTAGTAAGCTAAAATAGGAAGCATTTAATATGATTTTGTCACGGATATTTATTCTCGGAGGATGATGTCAAGTTATTAGAGAATAATATCTTCTTACTTGTCGTTGCCGAGCAGTCAGTTCTTGTGTAAATGTCATTTCGGTTGAACTGAGAATGCTGAAGTTAATTGGAAAAGTTATTTCACCTAGAACTTCATCTCGGGTGAATGTATCGAAGGTTGAAACCGTGAATAGGAGTGAATATTCTTCATCCACTGTTGATTTGAAGTTGTTAAACTCGAATACTTCGTCGTAGACAGGATAGGCATGTTTTTTAACAATATGCGTTCGCATTGATGGGATGCTTTCTACAATAGAGAGTAAATAGTACTTTGCTAATAGGAAAGAAACATTTTACCTAGACTGCCGTTGATTGTTTCTGGTGAGAGAAGTTCAATTCGCACGTATGAATCAATGACTGAAGGTTGTCGGTTATGACGATGAATAAACAAATCTCGAGCACTAACAACACGAATAATCAATGATTTATTGATTTCATTCCATCGAAGACCAAACGTTAATGATGGTAGTTCATTGATATGCTCGATTGTTGATGAGGTTGACATCGATGATGATGATGATGATGATAGTGAAGACGATTTTATTTGTTTGTTATCAGCTCGGCTTAATAAACTGGTGTCAGGCCACGAAGATGAATTCTTAATAATGTGTGTCGTTTCATTAACAACCCCCATAGATAATTTATCATGTGCTGCTGTTGGCGATGGAGTAAAACTATCACACGATGTAGATACCAACGGTCGGCGTCGGTATCGTGTTACACTGTACGTCAAATTCTTTGTTTGTTTTTGTCGCCGGGCGTGATATCGTGAAATTGCTAATCCGACAATAACTATTGTAATCGCCAGAGATGAAATCAATGTAACTATCATCAGCAATGGAAATGGCTCGTCTAATGTAGTAAACAACAGTTACAGATAGTAGACTGAGAAAAATCAGATGAAAATATCTAGGCGTAAGACATTAAAGAAGTCTTTAGGAAGAGGAAGTCTAAAGGAATTCTTTTTCAGTCTCTAGATGCATTAACTCGTGTTTTGTTCGTAGGAGAAGTGAAATTGTATGATGAAAAGAAATGTTCTCTCGATTCAGTCATAAAGATACAAATGGAAAAATGGTCATTTCACACGCGCTTGGAATTTCATTACTCACCGACTTTCTTTGTTAATTGCTTTGCCATTTGAACGTTATTTCTTTCACTCCATTTCTGATTAAGTATCCGGGCGTGTCTTTGAAGTTCATCGTTTTCCATGGGATACGACTTAAAAACCAGGCTTTCCTCTAAGCGTTTCTTTCACTAGAATGAACGATAATTTTTCGTCTGTATTTACTAGACTTTACATCTCTTTCCCGTCTAAACCTGTAATGAAAAGAAATTCTAAGCTATATCTCTCTTTCTCTCTCTTTTTTTCCGAGAACTTTGCTAAACTGCGTTGAAACGAGAAGGAGGAAAAAGGAAGAAATCTGCTTCTATTTCTGTAATACATGCCGAGTCATCAGAATAAAAAGAAAAAAAAAACAGGAAGTTTCTTTCTTCTATTCACTAATAACAAATAAACCCGAGTATTCTTAAGGATAATTTAATCAATTGTCTTTCTGTTAAATGACATTGAACATAATTAGGTCAAGAAAAAGATTCGTTTATTTCTTTCACATACACATCTTGTCAAGTGAAGAGTAGAGCTGAACAAAGAAAACGTATGAATCGATGCTCACACATATACATATGTACGCATATCACATTGGTTTCCGTGCACACGAGATTGACGTATATAATTATCGAGCATGCACAAGTGGAAAAATTTTGAGAAGAGAAGAAAATGAAGATATAGAAATACAAACAAAGAGAAACTCATCACATTAATTTAGTTATATCTGAGAGCACAAAAGAAGTAGAAAAATGCGACGAGAAACAGAAGAACTACAACAAGAGAAGAACAAGGCGAAGGGTAGAAAAATAAACTAAATGCAAAACTCTAGTAATACCATGAAATGTGGCACATGTAGAAAAAGTTTAGACACGGGTTTTTTGCACTTCTCAAGCTCCACCTTCAAGAACGTACGAAACCGGTTGTCGGAAGACAAGAAAAAAATAAAGAAATGAAACAGAAACCATATATTAATCATTCAGATAAATATATATATACGTGTAGCTATTGTGTATGTGTTGCGCGAACAAACAACATCATTCGACAAAGGTTAACGGAAAGTATGTTGATCGTATTATATACAAAAGAAGAAAACGAAAAGCAAAGTATTTAATGTGTTCGTATCACTCCTGAAGACAACGATACACTTCAGAACGATTTAAACGGAATTGGGTCCAACAGCGTGGACCACTAAAGCAAAATGTATCATTGGTGAGGTTTGCTAACGGCTCGGAGATGTGTGGAGTCGTCAGACGAGAATCAATGGTGCCTAATTATAGAACTTCAAATAGAAGATGTCCATTCGAGAAGAAACAAACTTACGTCGATTACGTTGAGATTTTTCTGAAGTATTAGTTGTTTGAACTTTCTTAATTGCAGGTGTTGGCTCATCAGGTTGTCCTCGAGGTAAAATCCGATATTGAGTTGGACGAATAGAAGACGAAGCTGCAGACTTCTTTCCTGGTTGATGTTTGACTGATACCGGATGTATATTTTCGTCATTTGACATAGGCGGAGTGAGTTGGCTAGCATCTAGACAAAATTGTATCTCTTAGAACATCATAGATGGATTTCACTAATCAACTTTACAGATAATGAATGAAGTATTTTTTCAGGCAAAGGAAATTTTTTTATATTACTATGATCAAGACGTCTGATCATGCAAGAAACGCATCAATCAGACAATTTCTTATTATTCTATTTTGAATCTCTCCTCAACTGGAAACAGAACTGTCTTTTGAAGACTTAGACCTGCCTGTTTGAAGCAAAATATCTGTTCATAATTTGTAACTTCCCATTGGCTATTTTGAATAAAACTTATTTTCTATTCGAATTTTCTCCTGGGATGTTAACACGGTGGGATGTATAAAATTTACTTGTAACAGCAAATAAACAACGTGGGAATAATTAATGATGTTATTCATCACAAAAAATATTGCAAATCAAGATTATTTCGTGTAGGAGTATGATATGTATGCATGTATTCCTTCGGGATTATCATATTTACGTCACGAATAGCTGTACATGCTATTGAACAGATACGGAAATCATGGCACGAAAAACGATCTCTTTTATACCCAAGAAGTATAAATAGAGACTTACTTAATGCATGAACATTGTTGGAATTCTTCCCTCTCATTAATAATGTTTCAGTAATGGTCGTATTGTCCGTAACAGTAATAAAATCATTTTTGAGCATTTGAGAAAAGTGTCGTTGTATAGTGTCTTGGACACTCAATTGTTTTTGATAATTATTTGATGACAATTTCGATTGTTCATTAGACGATGGTGTAGTCAAATTAGCAATAATTTTACTTGATGATTTGCGCTGTTCACGCGCAGATGTACCATCACGAACTTGATAAAAAAAAACAAACATAAGACATGTCATAGAAAAAAACAAGAAGAAACAATCTTTGTCACTCAGTACTTCTTAGCATTAATATCCTCTCATGAAATGTCGAGAGATAAGTATATGATCATCACTGTGACAAGATTTCTCTGAATGACTTACTGAATGGCGGTGCTTGTGGATCGACACCGAACAGATTTTGCTGAAGATTTATCGAATACGTCTGGCCATGGTAAGTCGCTGTTCGCCGCCGTGATGACTGTTGTTGATACTGTTGATAATGTTGTTGATGATAGTGATGATAATGATTTTTGTCATTAGCATTGTCAGAATCGCCATTGGATGATGTAGACATGCTATGTTCCTGATTGACCCATCGACGAATATCTCTGAAAGATAGATTCGAACCATCGAATATTGAGATGACAAGCATTTAAACAAGTGAGTTAAATCAATTCATTTTCTTACTTGATAAATGGTATAACCATAAAGAATGCTTTTGGATTGATGTTCAATTTCATTTGAGATGCGGTATCGCGTCGATGGTTTGGCAGATCTGCTATGGGAAACCAACGCATCTCCTACGAAATATTATACAGTGAAAGATTTGTACCTTTAAATGAATATTTTCAATTGATTTCCTGTCTTGTCTTGAGTTTTTCAAGAAAAAGAACATTGTTCTTACCTTGATTTCATTTTTTGTCTTCGGAGCAAATTTCGTATCCAGTGGCACTTGTTTCACCATATACAATCGAACAAGTTGCCCATTATGCTCACGTTCTAAATATTGATCTTCCGAAGCACGATCTTTGATATCGAAGCCAACTTCTTCTAAAACCTACAACAGATTCGTTAGTATTTACAACATATTAGATATGAAATGAGTCTTTTCGTACTTCTCGAATAGCACACTTGAATGGACTTTCATTTTCTTGAACTTTTCCTTTTGGAAAACCCCAACTTTCTCGATGATGAAATCCTTGTACCAATAGAACATGTTCATAACTTGGATCGATTAGAACAGCACCGTAGGTAGGCACACTTAATTTGTATTCACGCCATTTTACGAGATGCTCGTCAAGATCATGGACATAATCGCGAAGAAATGGACAATGTTGAAAAACTAATATTGCACAACAAATGAAAATGTTCAACAACGAAGAAAATCTGCTTTTTACTTTGTCGAGAAAAGTCTCTTATGTTACATATATGTAGATCATCATCATCTTCACAATAATAATCAATATAAAACCAATGTGCATATTCTACAGCAAACATCACCAGGATAACGTTAGTACGTTGTTCAGCAGGAATATTGATTATATGACGACTAGAATACGAAAAGAAAAACATGAAACTTTGTTGTTTTTACACGATTCAGTATGTCTATCTACCTGCATAGATCGTCCAGTACTCCTGGTGGTATCTGATGTTGATCAGATGACATAATCAATTGGATGGAACAAGGAAAGAGATGCGGGAGAGATGGAACAGAAAAAAAGAGGAGGACTCGGGAGTTGAATTCGTTTAGTTTTTTTTTACATTCAAATTGACAGACACATTTTCATATGATCATGCTCCTCTCTATTCACATTGGATCAAAATTTAAACATGTTGGTAAACTATGGATGTGCATCATAAGGTACGACATAACAATCTAATCTAAATTTGATTTATTTTATCAACAAAACGAAACAATATTTCAATGCCTTTAAAAGGTATTCCTCAAACAATTTCACCGGAACTACTCTATGCCTTAGCATCGATGGGCCATGGCGATGAAATCGTTTTGGCTGACTCGAATTTTCCATCAGACTCGATCGCGCGAGTGAATGGCGCTCGTTTGATTTCATGTGACGGTTTACCAATTCCAAGATTACTTCGGCAAATATTGAAATTATTTCCATTGGATCAATACGTTGCTCAACCAGTTGCGTTAATGGATTTAGTCGAGAGTGATAAAAAGAAGGGCATAGACGTACCGATATGGAATGAATACAAGCAAATCGTGGGAGATAATGTACAATTTGAAATGGTTGAACGTTTTCAGTTCTATGAACGAGCGAAGAAATGTTTCGCAGTTGTTCGTAAGTGTTGAACAAAGATTGACTTGTTAATTTTTAGAAAATATCGATCTCTTTATTTTTAGGTACGGGGGAAGGTGCCATTTATGCAAATATTATTTTGAAGAAAGGTGTCATTCCGAAAAAATCGGCAAAGAACGAGCATGATGATGATGCTGAATAATTAACCTTGATACTTTGTAGCTGCACTCGAGTGATTTTCTGCTTTTATGATTTTTTAGCTATTTGTGATAGAGGAAAATTCTACATTAATGCATTTGTGAAACGATCAATAGAAACTACTGACTTGTTTTAGATCAAATCTTAATAAATAAATCTGTATAAAATAGTGCAATCAAAAGGAAAAGAATGAATACTTCGTAAGCAAACCGTCGTTCTTGCGGACGAAAGTGTTATATTGATCATTTAGATCTCAGTCCGTCCATAATCTTTTATCAAATTTAAAGTCAATTGTTGAACTTGTTCTAAAGTTTCCAGGTGATTCATTAACATCACAATATGGTGCAATAGAACGTATTCGAGCTCCTATCTTATCCATTTTCTCGCATGGTCTCAAACAGGTGTGTTTCGTTCAGCATAGAAACTCGTTGATGTTCAGAAATTTTCAAGTAGAGTTTACCTGTTTCCACTGAATTCGATAGGTAAATGGAGCTATCGCAGCGTTATAACTGAATAGTGACGTATGCACATAGAAGGATAGAATTAACACCCACAGATGATGTCATTCATTGAGAAGCTCTTTGAATGTGTTTATATACAAGAATATAATTCAGATTGACAAATTATAGCACGGATCAATTAAATCAATTATGCTGTTTTATTGTGGCAGAAATACAAAAATCTTTCTACGTAGCAACGATTTCACAAGTAAAATCATTACCAGTTTTGTGAGATGTGCTGTAAAGGAACTATAATTCCGTAAGAAAAAAAAACATACGAGAATTTTCAGTTGTTTGTTCCGTGTAAACAGTAAAATGATGAATAATGTAAATAAGATGAATGATCATGTAATTGAAAAACTACAGTGTACTAATAAGGAAGGTTAGAAGAAAGCAGTACTCTGCTCATATTGTATATTACCAAAAAAATACGATTTGACTATGAACTATGATTTTCTTATTTAGACAACGGGAGAGAGTTTTGAACAATTGTGGCAGCTGATTATACGTTTGAATTCCAATTCACAGAAATACATTCGCTTGTTACAAGATATTTATCATAAAGAAAATCTTCGATTAACTGTTGAACAATGGATTGAACAATCAGTTATCACTCAATGTTTATCACAACAAATGTCCTGTATTGAGAAGGACATGAAGATGCTTGATCAATACTATTATAGTAAGAATCGTATCGATGACTGGGATATCTTTTTTTTATTATTCTCTGCTGAGTAAAATAGACATTCATATGATGGTACTTTTAAAAGTTTACACAGACACATTACTAACGTCGACGTCCGATATAAGGTCGTAGAGTTTTCGTAATAAGATGCCTTCGATCAGGAACAAAAATAAGGTATTCGCCTTTACGATATACAAAATAGCCAGTACCACGAGCATGACGTTCTAATAGAGCATCGCTGTTGTCCTCGTTGTAGAGATCTTTTTTGTTTGAAATGATCCATTGGCGATTTCTGTAGGATTTGTCATTGAAAGATATGGATGCATTTGCAACAGATATGAAAAAACAGCAGATGAATAAAAGGGATAATGAGCAAGGTACGACACGGTTTGTTGTCGACGTGCTGTTCGTTGTTGTGGGGAAGAAGAGCATTGATTGCTATTGATTACTCTTCTTCCTCTATTGTATTGCAGTGTATACCCTGACGAATCGGCGTTTATTTTTCGTTATCTATGAAAAAATGGAAAAAAATATATAACAAACAATCGAATCCATAGAATTACATAGTGAATGATAGTTCTGAAGTATTCTACTTGGATCGCATGTGTCTTGTTATATAGTTATAGACAAATTCTGATTAAATTATGCGTTTATCGAAAATAGGAGATGATTATTCTATAATCATTCAGAGCTTTAGAATCGGAATTCTAGCATAAAAATGCAATTAACTCGTAGAAATTAGAAAAAATATCTGTTCAGTACACAGATTGCACTATCTAAAAGAAACATACTTCATTTCTACTCTCTTCTTTACTTTCTATCATTGTCAATAGAGAAATCTATCGATCGTGCTTATTATTTACTCTGTGTTAAATGTATATATGCATGTTAGGAGAAATAAGAGCGATCTTTTCAAAATTGGTTTTCTGTTCACGATTGTGACTTTGACGTAAGTGAGGAGATAACATATCGATTGCGTACTTACTATATTAATGATAAATGCAACGATGATAAAGAACAGGACAAGTTTCAAAATACGGCGAACGTTGTTAAGAACAGCATACAGTGGAACAATCTTATAAAAAAAATACAGAATGGAAAGAGAATAGTTAAGTAACAAGGAAAAGTCGATGTTTCTTTCTATTTCTTCGCTTGAATAAAAGTCTATACGAGGAACAATCTGACAGAATCTGTTTCTCTTATCATTAACACATCAGAAAATATTCTTAAAGCGTAGGATGAAACGAGCTTGATGACGATAGTAATGTCATTGATAGTCATGACTTGTGATTCAGACAGTTGAGTAAAAAAGATGTTGATGATTGATAAATATATATGATGGATGAGAGAATGAAAAGTATGAAAAAAAATAATGTAATTGAGTGTCGATTGCTATTAAGAAGATAGAAGGGGATACACACTGTAGACATGATGATTTCAATCGGGAATAATAGTACTAGAATCAATACGCTTGTAACCTAATTAAGATAATAGGAGACTAGCAAACGGAAAAAAACTTGTTGTGATCGATTATCATTGTTCAACTTTATTATGACATAGTTTTTTCGCATTATCTGCGAAAAAATGTTATTACGCATTGTTGAATACTACGAAAAAGTATTAACCAAATGAATGAACACCAGTTCTCTCTCTAGACGTGCTTTTTACTAACTATCTTCTATGATATATGTTCGTTTTCTCCTCCGCAGTCTTTTCTTCTTCTATCCACGGTATTAATTACTTCACATTATTCTATGTGGTCAATCAGATTTTAAATAATTTAACTAATATAAAAAGTGAAACATCGGATCTTCCTGTTCTAGGTCATGCTTTCATGCGAAATCCATCCCTATATCATGCTTTAAAAACATTCACAAATCGCATCATTCTTCAGTTCTGTATAACTGCCTGATCTGTATGATCACAGGTGCGCCTGATTCAGATGGTATAAGCAAGGTGAAAATCGAAACTAAACCTTTTTTCAGATGGTTACGCATATCCACGAATGTACTTCATAATCAATCTATATATAACTATTGAAACAAATGACAAAGTGTGTACCAACTTAAGGTTTTCAATTATTATATATTTGTTTTTAAAGCAAAACATCTGGAAACATATATTACATTTAAAAAATCATACTCTTTCAGAATGTGTCATTGAACTTGGAGGCTTGGTTAACTTGTGCTTTTAAGTGAGTGTGATAATTAAGATGGCTGTCGTCGATTTCGAATATTTCGGCACGGGGCATCCGCTAAATTGGTTTACTCTCGTAATTTAACTGATTTACTACGTTATATTTAGTCCATTGCCGACTTATTGCCCGCAGATTCTTAATTACTTATTGAATTACGGATTTCCGCCTAAACGTGTGCTTTGGAGCGTGTTTTTTTCCGACAGCATACTTTTATCTTGCCAATTCGTTTGTAAACATTCGACGATATATTTAGTGCTAAATGAGTAGGATCTGAAACATTTAACCTCATGAATACCGAGAAAAGTTTTTCGTTCTGTTGGATACGAAAAAAAAGATGGCGAATCACTCTGTCTAGCGAATATAGTTGTTAACAATGTGAGAGTACGAAAGAAAAATATCTTGTGCCTCTCTCTTGTCTTCGGCCTGAAGACAGCGGTATTCAACAGGTTAACCGTTCATTGAGTTTACCAGACTATAAGGTCTTTTGTCTTTATGAGTGGATCGAAATACTTTGTCAGTTCATCTGATTGTCGAAAAATTGAGTAAAATTTCAGTAGTTCTAGTACTCGATTGTTTGATTATGCTTGAAATTATATAGTCAGATGGTATTGCATAATGTTCTTAAGTTTATCGATCATAAATTCACACTTAACCCCCATATTATTACAATATGCATGCATATTTCATTCGAAAATAACTATGGGTTTTGTAGCAGATAATTTCTTACGAACATAAATCCAAATTTCGTATGTTGTATTATATAAACGAACAATAAAATAATCATCACTATTACGTATATCCAAGAGTTTGATGATCTGCTCATACCATTTTAATGAAATGCATAGTTTTTTATTTACGCTCAGTAAGCTACAATTAATAGCACGTATCACAATTGCATTCAAGGAAAAAGTTCTGAAAGACTTTACAATTTGTATTGTTAGTTGATCCAGCGTGTATCCCAAGTTTGATAAAGTGTTGTTATACGTTACTACAGTGGTTAAGAAAAAGAATATGTTTCAAATAAAAAGGGGAAAGAAAAGAGAAGGGTTTGGGTACGATAACGCTACCAAGTGTACTTTGTGTATGAATTCTAAAAGGGTTTTGTATAAAGCCGGGTGCGTTGCTTAAGCTTAAATATCGTTTTATTTTTAAGATTATTTTGTACTATTCAATGCTCACCACCTGATCATTTCTTTTATCTCTTCTCTCAAAATATCATGTTGTGTATTGTGCGGTATATGAAGGATAGTACCCTTGGTGAGGTGTTTTGTGTGGCACTAATTGTTCGTTTGTTTCTTTTTATGGGTCTTGCTATCTTTATGATAGGTTTGAGACGATAATAACCATACACACTACCACAGATTATGAAGAGACCTGTAACTGTAAACAATGCAGCCAAACCCAATCTGACTAACTGGTGATACTAAATTTTTCACGCTCTCACAATGCGTTTTTTATTTCTGCATGGTTGGTGTCAGCATGAACTTTACAGTTTTGGGGCCATAGAGATAAAATTAATTCACTATTACTTGACACACTCATTGATAAGATTAAGCATGAAGAGAAATTAAGGTGCATTGCGTTGTATAGATTAATTTGTGTATAACTCGAGCACTTGTATAATATGAGTCTTGTTTCAATGAGACGACGAGTGCTTTTGTATCAGTATCACTTTATATAATTATTTGGTATGGGGAGGAGAATACGCTTTGTCATTTCTTTTTAACGTGAGAGTATGTTGGTTCGGATGTTTTTTATTTCTTTCGTTTAATGAAATGTATAGTGAAGTGTATATGAAACGTGTTGTTATGATCACTTTAGCGGCAGTTAAAGATAGTTCATGACATCTGTTGAGAACGCAATTATGGAGGATTAGTATACTTCAAATCGTGCAGATTCTTTATGTCATATTTTTCTCTGAGCGAGGTCTTCACGATTGGTCTACTGATCTTTATCCTATTATCGTCTCTTAGTCTAAACACATCATTTTTGAATAAACTTATTTCTTATTTGTATACGAACTGTCGAGACGACCGATCCATCATTGCTTGTTACCATCGATCCTAAATTAGTAACTATAAGGAGAAGAAAGAATATCAAAAAGAGTTCTCACCATGTGCTTTATTTTCATGATTGTAGTCTATCGGCGGTGATACACAGGAACAAACTAGAGAAATAAAAAATCACGAGACATGTGCTTCTTATGCGCTATCCATACCTGCTGTGTTGAATGACGAGAACAATCCTGCTAAACCTAAGCTATCTGTTGATGATTGTCATTTTAAAACCTGTAAGTTGAATGACTTTCCGCTGTCGGCACATAAAAGATTCAAATCATGCTTCCATTCACTTCCAGATGCTAAACATCGTATTCTCCATCGCCGTATACATAGCGATCCAGTATTTCACGTACCCAATAATCCAGATAACTTTTCTCATGTCACATCTTCCGTTCTACTACACGAAATCAGTTTGAATGACAACGAGAATTTTGCGAGTGCTTCCTACTCATGTGAATATGGTTCCAGCTATGATTCGCGCACGAATTCATTCCTATCCATTGAACAGTCATTACTTCCGGACAGTAAACGTCAATCAATATCCAGTAAAATCACGTTGATAGATGGAGAGGAAAATCAATTTTATCAATCATCAAAATTTCCGACAGTTTCGAACGCTGCACGTATGTAATACGTAGATCTGGCTCAAATATACTTTAAATCTCATTAAAATGTATTGCATGAATTTTCTAGCAGACTGCTTGCCATATTCATCGCTCTTCTGGCCCAGAAAGAATCAGTCATTAGATAGTTACATACGCGAATGTGATTCGCAAACGCGAACAGATGTTGAAAAAGTAAATTTAATGAAGTCTTTCAAAAAATCCTTTCTTTTTTCTTTCATTTAGGAAAATGCGCATTTCTATTTCAGTGAAGCACTTATATCTGCTCTCGAATACATGAAATTTAGTGATAAATGTAAAAAGTATTTTGATACATCCGATGAAAACGTATTGTCATTGAATTCTTTTGATTGTTCGACTCATAATTCAAAGTATGTTTATTTATAAAAAAATTGCTTTCGGTTCTTTCATCTAATTAATTATGTAGTTCGACTGATTCTTCTGCGGAAATGTTAGGTAATCATACAATGAATTTATGCTTTAGTTATCTTCCCTTAATAATTTAGCATTAGCTGTGATGGAACCATGGAAAGATCATAAAATACCGAATGCTTCTGAACTATTTTGGATGATCCCACACGAAGCAAAAATAGCAGACGAGGTAAAAACTAAGTGATAGTATAGATATCATTTTCGACTGTGTATCTTTCAAGCTTGTGCCATATGAAGAAAGTAGGACAATGGAGCACAGCGGTGATTATTCTTCTGTCGAAAATAATGCAAAAGTATGAATTCACATCTTCATTTGTTCGATTGTATTAAACAACGTTTGTGTCATAGATATTACGACGAGGGAACAGTCACTGGGCACCGCCACGTGAGCAATTAATCTTTCACATTCACCAATCAACAGGGTACGTGAATTTCAAAACATCTAGAGTCTCACTTGGCACACGTATCGTGTGTTCGATCCATTGAAATAGGGGCGTGACTAGAACTGTGCCGTATAAGATTATTTTTCTAACGAGTACTTGTCTTTACATGCTATAAAAATAACTAAAGTCACGAGAGATAGGTGTGATCTGATTGTAGACAGTATTGCGTGAAATTACTTGAACAAGTAATTAAGAAGAACATACACTATTCCCGTAGTACAGCACGTTTGTCTGAACTTTCCATTCACCTAGACGTGAAAGTCAATTAAAAAAACAAAACCATCTGTGTGCTGGCTGTGGGCGTGGTGTTGAAAAAGGATATGCTCATCGTTTTCGATATTGCGAATATACTGGTACGAAGATTCTCCACGTTCAAAACTCGCGCTGTAAACTTTGATATTTAGGCAAATATTTCTGTCGCAGTTGTCATTCCGACAAGAAGTTCTATTTGCCATCCTATATCATTGCCAAATGGGAATTTTCCAACAAACATAGTATCTCGAATTTTGCATATGATTATCTGAATCGCATCTATATGGAACCAATTTTTAATATCTATGATTTAAATACGAAATTATACGAAAAAAGCAATAAACTAAGAATGATGAATCAACTTCGTTGGTCCCTTTATTTTCTGAGACATTACATTATGACATGTCGCTTTGCTAACGAACGAGGGTAAAACAAAACATTCATCCTCGAATTCTACATACTAAAAGCTCTCCTTTGTAGTCATCAACAAGCATTACAATCGATTCCATCTTACATATATGAACATCCACATACGTATTCCTTACAGGACTTAGTTCAGGTGTGTACGAATGTTAATCTTCGATTATGAAAATTGATTTTTGATTTAGACTAAATTAGGCGAGCTACACAAGGAATTCGAACCCATTGTGGTGAACTTACGCGACCATGTTCTATCGTGTTCGCTATGTTATGCTAAAGGTTATGTTTGTGAAATATGCCAGGATGATAAAAGTATTCTGTTTCCATTCAATGTTCAAACGACAAGTATCTGTCCTGGTTAGTTGCAATGTCATTGTGATAGAGATTGATGAAATCAATTATTTTTCTTTCCTAGTGTGTCAATCTTGTTTTCATATACTTTGTCATGAAAAAAAGAAATTCATCTGTCCGAAATGTGAACGAACCAAGCATCGTGGGTAAGTAACAAAACAAGATTATCTGACGTGATAGAGGAAATTCTTTGTTTTTTCTTCACTATTTCAGTACTATTACATCTATAAAATCGAAGTGAAACTATCGTCAAGTAATTAAACAGTGATTCTTCAATGTCTTTCATTTATTGTATGTGTTTGATTAAGATAATTTCTTTATACATGTCAATCAAGAATATTTTCTTCCGATTTCAATCTAATAAATAAAAAAAAGAAACATTTCAATCGTCAGATAATAATCCATCATTGATTACAACAAGGAAAAGGGTTGGTTAACTGTCTTTCATAATCTCCTACGTACATTTGAGAGACTTGTATCGAGACTCTCGCATTTATCTATCTATCTCTACTGTACAGACGAACGCGACTGATGACATTAATTGATCGTTGTTCGATGACGAGTAATGAAAGAAATGATCTTGTACAATCAATAGCGCGAAAATTCTCGAGAAGGAAAACATCATTAAGATGTCGATATTTTTAATCAAATGAATGTCAGAAGCAGTGTATTGTAACGTCTTATACGACGAACTAGAAGAAAAAGGACAACAGATTTAGTGATCATGAGTACATCTCTGTTCATATCATCTCGTCGAGAACCTATTCATGAAGAACTTCCATTTGAGGAGTACGAGTCGACATACAACTGTCCGACGTCTTTGTCAAGTGTTTGTCTTACCATTACATGGTCATATCCCGATAAATAATTGGTAAGAATCATTTTTCTTACTAGAACAGTTGCTTTAATAGCATATCGTTAGACAAAAAAGTTCTTCTTAATCTCAATAGAGTAATATATTGTCAGATGGGACAAACAGAAATAGAGAGAGAGAGAAAACAGCAAGGCTTCAATCTATCAGCGGAAAAAGGCTGATGATGATCAAATAGAATATATATTTTTTGCTCGATATATTTATTCTTATATTCTACAATCTCTGACTTAACGACGATTGCTTCTAAGTAAGGATCAGTTTGTTTTCGAATGGAGAATCTCTTTGAAAGAAAAAAGAAAACAAGAAAAGAACTTGTTCAATTGTGCATGATTCTCGTTCCTAATCACGATATGCGTATTGAAATGATAGAGAAATATCTTTCTAGTAAATTGGTCATGTGTTGCGTTTTCGCGATTATCTTTTGCTTTCATAATGTACATTATGTGTACTGTCTTGTCGTTTCTTCGCCTCTATTAGAATCGGAGAATGTGTCGCATTGATATGAAATGGCAAAAGTAAATGAGACATAAAATAAGTTTCTGTTTCGAGCAGATACATTTATTCCATCCAATCAATCCAGCTATGCACAGACGAGTCCTATCGATGATAGTGGTCGAAAGCTACTTGTACGAGCAAAGTTAAGTGATTAGTAACGAATCTCTTAAGTAGATTATTTAATATGAATAATACTTCGAATAAATTGACACGTCAATCAACGCAAATTATTTTGATTAAAGACCGTCTTCATCATGCGGCGCTCTTACGTACACGCTCATTGCCAACATCATTGTATAATGACATGAAAAACAGGTATTTTTCAACATTATTCATCATTGGTTAGACTCTTTCCATCACCATGATTTTCTGTTGTCGATTAAGTAGTAAAAAGAAGCGAACATTAAAATATCGTCAAAAGTTACTAGAAAAAGCGAACAAAGCACAATATATGGTNAGGTTCTCGGCAATGAATTCCGCTGACATATAACCAAACAGATTTAACCTAGAGACAAATGATCTTATTTCGAACACTCATAAAAGACATTTGTTTTACCGACTTTCGGGCGGAAGAAGATGAAATAGGCCACATTGACGTGTTCTATCGCCTTGATTTTCCGAAAAAAAGTTGATCATCGATCATTCTGTCATTTCTTTGACGTGAACGCGATGACAACAGCAACAGCAATATCAACGAATTTACATCGTATAGATTCGGCATCTTCTCGTCGTGTAATCATCGTTCGACAGATGAGTTTCAAAGTAAAACCAACGATAAGTACAGTGAATTCACAGCACGATCTTCAACAGCTATCGTCCGTTTCGATCACGGGAAAACATCAGAAATCGCTGTTCAAGTAGGTCGCTTTCTCGACATACGAATGTGTTAATATTTATCCTATGTGATAATACATTAGTTAAAAAATGTATACGCGTATATATGTTCTTAATTATGATTTAGTATAATCTCGTTTTCGCAGGGTGATATCGAATTAATTGTACGGCGACAGAGAGTTGAGAAGAATGCTAGATTTGTATGAGATGTATTCAGTGTTGAATGAATCGTTTCTGACATTATTACTATCATTAGATAACGAACAAGAATCAACAGGATGCATCGATTTTCTTATTAGTCGTGTTTATACTGAAGTATATTAGGAATAGTAGTGACTAGCAGAACAGATGCTGATGATTTTCTGTGAAATAACGTGTAACAATGGGGTGACGGCCAGCTTGATAACATAATTCTTTCTTTTCTCTCCTAGCATTTGTTCGCTGACGATAACAGTTAGAGATACACGCGTACAGCTGAATGCCGATCAAACAAGCAGAAACAGCAGTGTTGTCTAGTGCCATTTCTTTTTTTTCTGTCTTGCACTGATAGTGTATTCTATTCTGCATTGATTAGAAAAAAAAGAGACACCGATCTGCTTCTTTTTTTTTTCTTCATCGATGTGTATGTGTGTATATATACAGTCTTGACTGGTTCGATTGTATCCTTGTGTTTACTGATCTGATTTTTCTCGAGGATACGAATAATCCAAAACTGTCTTTCGAACAGAATTCCGACGAGACATGCGGCCTGGTCAAGTTTTTGTTGTTTACCGTTCTGCAGCACTTTCGCTGGCGAAATCCAAGTACGCAACCGAAGCAAGAAACTCGTTTTCTTTTTGTTTTTCGTTATGTTTGTGAGTGACATCGAATCTGATAATCTGATTTTTCTATTTATAGTATGCGCCGTCGCCAAGCTAAAAATTCAACAGCAGAAGATGATCAACGAATTTGTACCAAAGTTAATTGTTTGAAATGTTGCAAGAAGTCAACAGCATTTCTTTTTTCACGCGTCGGTTTGTTTCTTGTCATGATGGGTTATGTAGCTTTCGGTGGCATCTTATTTCAATTACTCGAAGCAGGAAATGAAGCAAAAATGCGTAGTAATATGGCTGAAGAGCTTAACAAAACACTCAACAAACTATGGAATGTTACGATGATGGCTAATTCGATTCCTGAAGAATATAAACGAGGCAATTTTAGTCGCTGGGCGACACCAGAACTTGCGTGAGCTTCCGATTGTTTCACTGACAAATACACATTTATTTTCTGATCCTTTATACTCTAGTGCATTTGAAGATACAGTTAAAGTCAAAGTACAAGAAGGTTTTGATGGACGAACTGTTGATTCAGATCATGATTGGAATTATTTCGGAGCTGTTCTTTATGCTGTCACACTTGTTTCAACAATTGGTAAGAAAAATTGAACAATAATAAGTGTTGACAAGGTCAGAGATACATGTCTACCTTGGAATATCATTGATTAACTGAAAGATCTATAGATTCGAGCTTTGCTTCTCCTTCACATAGGTTACGGGCATATAACAACAAAGACGATGCAAGGAAAAATAGCAACGATTCTTTATAGTGCATTCGGTGTGCCATTGATGATGCTTTTCGTTGCCAATATCGGTTCAACTATGGCGAAAATGTTCTCATTCGTATTCACACGCATCACCATGATTTTCTGTTGTCGATTAAGTAGTAAAAAGAAGCGAACATTAAAATATCGTCAAAAGTTACTAGAAAAAGCGAACCAAGCACAATATATCGTCGATGAAAAACCATCGACGACGGTCTACACTCAAGAAGTGAAATCAAATTTGAAACCAGCATTCGAAGAGAAACCTCACTTATCACCACCAACAACATCAACAGCACCATCGAAGCCGACGTTTCCTTCGACTACTAGTTCAACAACTGATATTTCAGCTGATCTACGGCAGCTGCCAGCAGATATTCGTTTGAACATGTTAACCGGCATCACAAATCAAAACAAACCGCGCTCTTTAGCTTCATCAGCCAATTCAGTTGCAGGAAAACCAAAGGATGCGCTTGTTCGCATTAATGAACTTATTCGACAGAACTCCGTTCAAGACATTGACCATAGTAATGATCATGAAGATGAAGATACTCGACGGCAATCAATAGATGTTAATCAAATACAATATTACATTAACGAAACAAATAAGCTAACAAACAGTTTAGATAATTCGACACAAGAAAAGCCATCAGAGACAAGCGAAAAAGATGAAAGTAACATGAAACAGGTAAGAAATTCACATTCTTGTCTATTCAAAGCTTGTTTTGTTCTCAGCAGAAAATAAAAATGTATGTTATTCTCTTTCATAGAGTATTTCGAATTAAGACTAGGTTTCCAGAGAAATTTTTGCTAATCAATCTATTTGTATTTTGTATTGTTTATAACAGTTATTTCGTAAGGATAGATAAGAAATAAGCTAATAACTAAGAAGTGGGTAAGAGATTGATTATACTGTTAATGTCTAACATGTATATTAGAAGCCTACAAAATAACCCTAGAATTTGTAATTTTTTGTTTATCACGAGAATAGGTCATTGATAGATATGATATCTTGTAAACAAAAAACCGCCAACGAATTATATCGATAGTTCTCGAGCAAATTAAGTACATTTGATCGAAATTAGATTTGAATGGCTAAGCTCTTGTTACATTTTCTTTCTAGGTTGTTATTGCCGACGAGATTACCAATGTACCTGAAACTGACACGAAGAAAAAATCGAAAAAAGCAGATAAAAAGAATCTGAAACGTTCAAAATCTGAATCGACACACAATCGTAAATCGCCTACCAAACCGGTTTCTGATTCTTCCTCTACCAAAGATGCAGAATCAGCTAATACAGCGAACAAGCCTCCACGTCGAGGATTTTTCTCACGCAAAAACAATAAATTAAAAAAACAAACAACAACCGACGATGGAACGAGCGAAAACTTACTACAGCAGCAACAACAAACGACGACTACAGATGAAGTTCATCACGCGGGCGCGAAATTATCGCGCAAATCTCAAAGTTTCAATGAATCGTCAACGCGCGTCTTACCACCGCCACCAAACTACGAACAGTCAACAACAAGTGACATCACTCCACTACCACCAACTGTAACATGGAAAAATGAACATGAATTTTATCCCACTGTTGATCTACATGGCGATCAACTCGATGATGACGACGAAGATTTCGACGACGATGAAGAAAGTGTGCCATTACTTGTTACTGTTTTTGTCATTCCGCTTTATTTAACACTTGGAGCTATTCTTTTTACTATTTGGGAAGAGTGGAGTTTTCTTAATTCGTTTTATTTTTGTTTTATTACACTCACAACAATTGGTTTTGGAGATTTCGTACCTGGATCATCGCTGAAAGTTGAAGCTGAAAAAGGCAAACTCATATCCGCAGCCGTGTATATTCTCTTTGGTCTCGTCCTTATTGCAATGTGTGTTAATTTAATGAAAGAGCAGCTAAGTCAAAAAGTAAAACGAGTCGCCAGCAAGTTGGGCAGGTTTTAATTACTAGGAACTTTTCTCAATTATATATTCATGTTCGTTTTTTTTCTCTTGTCTGCGTATCTTTCTAAATGAATAAATAACAGTTGACATCATAGGATGCGATTAGGTCTATGTTATATCCTTTCTTGATCTTTATCATCTGAAAGTAGTTACGATATGGTGCGAAGGACACTTATGTGTTCTTCGTTCGTTCATCACGTCTTGAATGAATCAAGAGAAGAGAATTGCTCGTGATTCGCTTAATGCGCCTTCACATTGTACCAGTTTTAGAAATGCATCACTGTTTACTCTTCGTATGCATTTGATTTTGAATTGACTTCTCATACATGCGCACACAACAATGTTTGACCTTCGTCGCATTTGAAGCGCCATCTTTTTTAATCGAATGAGGGCACAGAACAGTGCACGAAGATTGGCGAGTCCATATGATACCATCCGATATCCTATCTATCGAAATAAACGACTTAATTTGAAAAAAAAAAGTTCAACCACCATTAGCTAACTTTTATTCATTATTCAATTTCAATATGCTCGTTTTATTCGAAACATCTGCTGGCTATGCTGTGTTTAAAGTTTGTTCCTAGTTCGAACTGATCTATGTCTAAACTTTTTCCCCATTTTTTAGCTGCTCGATGAAAAAAAATTAAAAGAAACACAAAATTTGTACGCGGATTTTGAATCACCAGAAAAAGCAGCTAAAGTGTATGTTGATTTACTTTTTATTGACTTTTCATTTCGAATTAAATGATTTATTTTTCAGTTTAAAATTAATCAATTTTGAAAAATTCGATGATACAACACAAGCGCTCGCAGCAGCGACAGCAACTGTCGAAGGGAAAATCTCTAAACCTTTGAAAAAGTTACTGAAACGTTTAGTGAACCCTGATGTTCAAGAGCAATTGCTTGTGACAGATTCGGCACTTGGCAAAGCGATTAAAGTTTGAAAAAAAACAAACCAAATAAATTCAATTATCTATCTCTCGATTTCTTTTAGGAAAAATTTAGCTTTGACTGCATTTGCAACAGTTCGGTTCAAGATCTTATGCGTGTTATTCGCTCACAAGCGGATAGTCTTCTACAAATTGATGAAAAGGAATTAGCTGCTATGCGTATCGGTTTAGCACATAGGTAAATGCAAACATTCACCATTAAACTAACCACTTATACACAAAACACTGTGGCGAAGTAGATTTCCTTCTTAAATTCACGTATTTAATAGCGCTCTATCTTCCGTTGTCTTTGTGAAAAGACCTTGAACATTCTGATATAATATTTTCTATTTTTTAGTCTATCGCGCTACAAATTGAAATTTTCTCCTGATAAAGTTGATACAATGATCGTCCAAGCTATCTGTACGTATAATTTGACCATGTTCCATATTATTTCTTTGCTTATTTTTATAGCTTTATTGGATGATCTTGACAAGGAAGTTAACAATTACATCATGCGATGTAAAGAATGGTATGGTTGGCATTTTCCGGAATTAGCTAAAATCGTCCAAGATAACATTGCGTTTTGCAAAACGGTTCAACGTATTGGTTCGTAATCGACGTCCTATTCACACATTCCTTTTTTATATAATCATTATCCATAGGTTATCGCACAGCTGCAGCTGAACTTGAACTATCCGATATCTTACCAACTGATGTCGAGGCTCAAGTAAAAGAAGCAGCAGAAATCTCCATGGGTACTGAAATCTCCGAAGAAGATATCACCAATATTCGTCACCTTTGTTCTCAAGTGAGTTGAACCGCATTGTCATGCACAGAAAAAAAACATACCAATAATCGATGATGACATTCTATTACCGCCCCAGTCTGAACTTCAGATTATGTTGATTGGTTCATAACTGAGATTATTGGTTCTATTTCTACGATCGAATTCTATTTGATTTCCTTAGGTTATCGAAATATCGGACTACCGTGCCCAATTATTTGAATATCTCAAAAATCGTATGATGGCAGTTGCGCCCAACTTAACTGTTCTCGTTGGTGAACTCGTCGGTGCACGACTCATCGCCCATGCTGGATCATTACTCAATCTTGCTAAGCATCCGTCATCGACCGTACAAATCTTAGGTGCTGAAAAGGCTTTATTTCGAGCAATGAAGACTAAGCATGACACACCCAAATACGGTTTAATCTATCATGCTTCATTAGTTGGTCAAACATCGGCTAAACTCAAAGGAAAAGTTAGTCGAATGTTAGCCGCCAAGTCAGCATTAGCCATTCGAGTCGACGCACTTGGTGAAGATACGGAAGCCAACTTGGGTATCGAACAACGGGCAGATCTTGAAAAGAAATTTTCATTATTGGAACAGAATGCCGTAAGATCCATGATACGAAAAGACTCATCATTGATTCATTTGATATTTTAGACAAAACGTGTATCAGGTACAGGTAAAATGCAAGCAAAATTTGAAAAATACCAAAAGAATTCGTAAGTCACTATTTTCATTCACAATTGTTGACTTGTTTTTCATCGCGTATGTTATAGTGAACGAGGACAATTCGATCAAGATCAAGCTTCAACATTACCTCATAAACGCCATTCCGATTTTGGTGGACGAGGTGGTGCTAATAAACGATTCAGGAGTGACAACATGAGTAAATCATTCGTAGTTTAATCTAGTTGTATTGGGTTTTTTTGTGCGGCTATGTATGCCCGTAATTGTTATTTGTTTTTTTTTGTAATGAAATAGATAACGAAAACAAAGAGATGAAGAAATGTTTTGTTAATGAACGACCGAAACAAAAAAAAATCCCCTCCTGACTTCTCACTTGAAATACTGCTTCCATAGAATTTCAAGTAGTAAACGTCAGGTAAAGAATATTACAACTCTTCAATCCAAAATAACCTTGTTGCCGCTCTTTTTCTTACATCAATAAGGTTATAGGCATAGAAAGGAGTACAAAGAGAAGAAAAAGAAATTCTTTTTTTTTCAATACAGACTATAATTTAGACCTAATGCTTTACATTGATGGACAAACTCAAACATGACATCCGTTGTGCTTTCGTTATAATTATAGTGTATGCACAGTGATGCCGGAAAATAGAACGGAAAAGAAATCCTTTTTAGTTGCATATAAATGACGAGTGAATGTCGTCGAAGTTGGATTTCTTTTACATTTGTATAATCAACAGAAGTTTGTAAATAAATCTTCAGCCTATTCCACTGCAAACACTGACCACATTCGTTCGAATACATATTCAGTTCTTTCGCTATCAAGAATTTCAAAATCGAATCACTGTAAGCAAATCTCACAGAGATTTGTACAAAAGGGACAAGTCCTGATGTTTACATATAACCACAAGAGAATCTTGTAGCCGTTTGAGTCGATTCTATTCATGTGAAACATGAGCCAATAGAAATATGTTTTAGCCTTTTTTTTCTATTGGATAGAAAGAGGAGAAAAATCTGCGTTCTCTCTCTCTTGCTGTTATTTTTTCGCTCGCTCGCTCGCTCTTTCTCATTCAAATTATCCGTAATTATTATCGTTGAAACGACCACACATCGTCTATCGTCAAGTTGTTGTAAAGAAAAAAGAACCCAAGAGCAGATCATTATCATCATCATCATCATCAGGCTAATCTTTGAAAAAAAAGACAATTTACTCCCCAATTGATCGTTTTTCTTTCTTTGTATTGTATTCATCAATGCATCGCTAACCGTAATTATCGAAGGGAAATTACGCTTACGCTCGTCTAACTTCATTAATTTCTTATTCATCTCTATTATTATTTCATCGGCCAAATTATAACTATCGAAATTATTCCAAACGAAAAAAAGAAAGAAATGATGCATAATGAGCCAATCCAAACACTTCCATCAAATGCATTTCTTGATTTTACTAATCAACCACCGCCATCGTCATCATCACTCGACGCGTCTAATGCTGTCAACCAACAGCAATATGCCAATTTTATTCACAATGCTTATCCACCATCAGCACAAGAGCAATTCTATCCATCACCGTACGCATATCCATACAACATACCTTATCCATCCTTATCGATAGACTCGAATATTGATGATAAGTGTCATTATGATACGCCACCGAAATTGACCATCAAAGGAAAAAAAATTCGCAAGCCCAGAACCATCTATTCTAGTATGCAATTGCAAGTATTGAATAAACGTTTTCAACGCACACAATATCTTGCTCTACCAGAGCGTGCAGAATTGGCTGCTTCACTTGGTTTGACTCAAACACAAGTAGAACATTTGAAAAAGTCTAGTCTAGTGGATTTTTGTATTTTCTTTCCTAGGTCAAAATCTGGTTCCAAAATAAACGAAGTAAACAAAAGAAAGGTGTTAAAAACGTTAGTCATCAGTCATCGTCGTCTTCCCAACCCTCTAACCCAAGTCTATCACCACCACCACCACCACCACCATCACTACACCATCATCATCTGTCACGAACGCTAAATAATAAATCTAGTGATTCTATGTTTTTAGTAAAACAAGAGCAACAACAACAACCCATAGCTTCATCATCGTCCTCTTCAACTAATTCGAGTTCGTTCCTAGTTGACGCAACAACATCATCATCTCCTTACGGACATACAATGGATTATTTGAATAATCCGAATCATTTTTGGTCTGTACCGCCACAACCACCGTATACGACTATTTAAATAACAAAAATGAACTTCAAGATGGGACAAAAATAGTTGTGAAAACACTTTTTTCGATGTTCTTTTTTGCTTCTTCTTTTTTTTTCTGATTACGTGTATTTAAATAAGAGAAATGAAAAAAAAGAGATTGCACTTTGTGTTGTATTCATCAAAAAGAAAATGCGGAGGAAAGAAAATTTGTAAGTTGAATACCGACGATGCAATTCTGATGAGTATCTTGCTCTTGTAAGTACGATGTCATCATCTTCAGAAAAAAAAGAAGTTGTATTGATGGTCATTGGCTATTTCTCATGTGTACATATTGCACGGTTAAAAGCCTTGCGGCATGATGATTATTGAGTGAAGAGGGGAAAAGAAAGGACAATTATCTTCTCATTTCGATACTGTTTTTCACCTGATCTCTTCAGTGAAGAGATGCTAATCTTTCCTCTCAAGTCGAAAAAGAAAGAAAAGAAACACATTTTCAACATCAAGACATCTGCTCTATCGCACGCGTCCAATTGAAGATCATCATGTTCTTATTACAAACTTTCAACCCTGATTTCCGTTAATGTGTTGTTCTTTTCTCACCAATGTATACTAATTATAACTCAACATCTAGTCTCCTTCTTCCATTAGTTGACAGGCAATGTGATAATTAGAAGAAGAAGAGAGAGAAAACGAGGCTTGATCAGGATTCTCTAAGTTTCTCGTTTGATTGCACTTTGTTTCGGCGCTTTTTATTGTTGTGATATTATCCATCAGCAGGAGTACATCCTTTCTTTTAAAGCCGATTAAAATAACTCGTTTTTTGATCTTTTTATAATGCATGAATGATCTGTTCTTTGCTTAAATTTCTTAATCCGTCGATCGATAGTGACAAGCTTCGGTTGAAATTATTTCTGACAGCACGAACAATAAAGACTAATTATGTCGTTCGTGATAACATGCTGCGGTAGTGACTGTTACTTTTGATCAACAATTTCACATTGAATGAATATCGGGATACGACAAGAGAAGGAACAAAAAAAGGAATGTTTTTGACAGATTTATCTTCGCAGAGAGAAAGATTTGTTTTGCCAGCTAATAATTGCCAATAGGTGGTCTTCTTTGACTAAATAGATTAGAGGCTGTGTTTAAAGATCACATATGCATGTGCCTGGTCAATTAATCGTGAACAGATTTGAGTGATGTAATTGTTGTTGCTTTATCGACCGATAGTCATCTCGCCGTATGAGTTCAGCAAGGTGTGAAAAGCTACATATTACCATTGATTGAGGGGCGGAATAAGAATTAAGTTGAAGAACACTAATCGTTATTGCTTAAGGCACAGTTTTCATCTCTGAGATGTAAGAGTGATGATTCTCTGTCAATTGACCCAAGCGAGAGAATTCGAAAAATACTATCGATATTGGCTGTTTTTCATATCTTTCGAGTATTATATGTACAAGTACTCATGTAACTTTGATACAATCACAAAAGGCGTTTGCGTCTGCTGATTAAACAACTTGACTTGCTACTAAAGTTTACCGTAATCACAAAGCAATGCTTGGCAAAATATTGCTCTGTGTCATCGCACACTTTATTCAATTGAAAAAAGACACGTTCAAGGTTTCTGTTCTACGTAGGTTCAATAAGTCAAAGTCAGTCGGTCGATAGAGACCGTTTTCTACTACACTACGTTCGGTACGTACATGTGTATAGAACATGTAGGGAGAGAGAAAAAACTTGCTCGTTCTTGACGAAAAAATGCATAGAGGAAATGCGTATGCAAATGTTATTTTCAAACGAAGGTTGTGCAAAGTCATGCTTCATCGCTCTCCGTTCTCTTTCTCCCGCATATTCCTTTTTCATTCGACTGTACATATTGCATCACGTCGTCAACATATCCTTCGTCTTCCGAACTATTGACTTATTCATGTTTGTATAATAACAATGGCTGCAAATAAGAAATCAACTGGTGGACATGTAATTTATGATTCTGGCACCGATGTAGCAACTGGTAAAAAGCGTGCGGGTGAGTAAAGAAGTTTTCATACTAGTGATACCTGTTTTTTTGAGTTTAGTATTGCCTGGTGGCGGTGGAGTAAGCGTAGCTGAGCGTGCACGCATGTTCGGTGCTCAAGTTGCACATTCGTCGCCCGCGAAAGCTTACAATGCAGCTACTCATGTACCCGAGCGACCGCCACTTAGCAATCAATCAAATAGATCGAATGCCATTCAACAAGAAAGAAATTATCCACCACCTAGGGCAGATGTTGATCGACGACCAAAGCAGAATTCATCTTAGTATAATATATTTATATACTTTTGTGAAATCGAAGAAAATTTCTCATTTTTCAATTAGTTCAAATCCACAACGAACATTCAATGCTCATCACTCTGCTGTAGATCTCAAGGAACGAACAAAACGTGAACAAATACCTTCATCAGCTAGAGGAGCTCATACTTATAACTATTCAAAAGCACCGTCCAACTACAATACTCATCTATCACAATCTCCCCCTCGTCGTCGTCCAAATAATTCCTACGATAGTTTTCAACGTGTGAGTCCGCAACGACCGCCAACGAACAAGCCCAGACATACCCAAAGAATGCCCAGTGATTCATATTCATCTGAAGAAGAAGACACTTATTCAGCATTGTACGACAATCCGCCATCATCACGGCATCCTCATTACCAACCATCGAATTATTTTCGACCGATAAAAGATCCATTAGAAGTTTTATTCAAAGATTCGCCAAAAGAATACATACAATTCCAAGCACCTGTGAGACAACCGCCAAAAGACACGAGTCATCTGCAACCGTTTGATTTGGGCAGTCTAATTAACCGTATTCAACAAGATTATATAGACAATGCTCGACCGTATGTGTCCAGCGTACAATTTGTGCAACACAATCAAAGTCTAGCTGACGTCGGATTTCTAACACCAGCAGTGAATCGAAAAGGTTTTTTTAATGATGTTCATTTTTGAATGCTTCATTCTCTATTCTATGAATCTTCTATTAAAGATTATTCCAAGCGAGCCGGAGACAATTACCATCGTCAAGCGCCGATGTCCAATCACTATGATGTTATTGACGCGAATGGCCTCTATCCATATGAAAAGATGGATCCGAGGGGATATTATGTTGATAACAATTACTCGTCAATAAGAAGACGAAGACATCATAGGCGGTATCATAATCAAGCATCATCTCCCATCCGTGAGCAAACTAGAATTTGTGAAATATGAAAATCAGTTCTCTAATATGTAGATATTTTGGAAACATCTTCGAAAACAACGACCGAACCAAAAGCAGAGAGTAAGTGAAAAGAACCTAAGAAAATTCTCTTAATTCTGCTGTGTGATTCAGCTCCACCGGTTAGTTCAAGCGAGAAAGCACCAACTCCTCCTGTGGCGAGTACGAGCGAAGAAGAAGACGAGGACAAGAAAGACGAATCCACACAACAAGATGCGACGAAAACTGCCGAAGAAGATTCAACAGAAGAGGAATCTGAAGAAGGATCCGAAGAGGGGGAAGAAGAAGAAGAAGAAGAAGAGAAAAGTGCGCCAGCTCCCGCATTACCGCCTCCAATATCAGCTGTGAATGGAACTAGTCGTTTTGTGCCATCAGGCAATAGTCGTCCGCCAGGGCCGTATCAAACTCCAACGCTGGCTCGAAATCAACCGGAACCTAGCGAAACTGAAGAAAGTGATTCTGACGAATCGGAATCGGAATCAGACAGTGACAGTGATGGCAATAAGAAGAAAAAGAAAAAGAAAAAAGTGCAGCAACCAATAGCGGCATCTTCACCAGCTGCTCGATCAAATCCATTACGAACGGCACAAGCTACACCACAGACGAATGCTCGTTCAGTTGCTCAACGTGGAAACTATGAAAAAACTAGTTTGAATCAACTGCAAGAATCATCTAGTAAATAAAACTATCTTTCGGTATATCTATATTTCATTCGATTTTTTAGGTACAGTTGGTCCCATTGAAATTCTCGAACCAGAAAAATCAGGGTCGATCGGTGGTAAATTAAAATCGTTCACCAGTAAATTTCGTCGAAACAAATCGTAATCGAATTCTCACTTTCTTTTTCTTTTTAATCCTTCATTTTTCATATTATTTATTGTTGATACTCTATTTTCGCGGCGAAAAGAAATAAATTCATCTCATATATTCTTCGTTTCGAAAAAAACCTATTCCGATTTATTCATATTACTTCAATGGATCATCTTGAAAAATTACCTTTAATTCGGAAGTATAGCTCATTAACATGTCATATTCTTTCGGAATTACGTCATTCTGGGGAATATTCGGATGTGATTCTACGCACGGATGATCAACGATTGTTTAAAGTACATCGAGCTATACTTTGTTGTAAGATATTTGACTATTTCATGTGTCTACAACGGAAGTTGTCTTTGTTAAGCATGTAGTGCATTCTTTCGAGCATTATTTACTAACGGAATGAATGAAACAACAGATCGAATTGTTGATATTCATGATATTCACGGCGATGTTATGCAATTCATACTAGATTTCGCATATACACGCGATATGAAATTGAATGATAACAACATTTTCGAAGTTCTTCAAGCAGCGAATCAGTTGCAAGTCTTAGATTTGATTTCTCTTGGAGAAAATTACTTGTATGAAAAGTTAACACCGGAGAACATCTTAGGCATTCGGGAATTTGCAGCATACTTTTGTAAGTTCATTTGTATAGTGTCAAATTATGTCAAAATGTGATCATTTGCATCTACCTAGTCTGTAGAAGACTTTATGACCTAGCACAAGTTTATCTTCTGTATGTAAAATCACAACTATGGTTGATTCTGTAAGATCAGAAGGTAATTGCTGATTGTAGAAGTCATTTCACCGAAATATCCATAAAAAGTGCCGAATTTGTTGAATTGTATCTTGATCAAGTCGTTGAACTTCTCAATTCCAATGAATTGAACGTTAGAAGCGAAGAAGCTGTTTTTGATGCTATCATACGTTGGATCGATCATAAAGTCGATGAAAGAAAATCAGTGTGAGAAAGTAACTGAGACGAGAGTTGAAATGTTCTTCTCGTTGTTTTAGCATATGGTCGATCTATTGAAATGTGTACGTCTCGGTTTGTTAACGACAAATTTCTTTCTCGAAAAAGTCAAATGTCATCCGTATATTGTGGATAACGAAGATTGTAAACCATTGGTGGTCAATACATTGAAATATCTGTATGAACTAGATGTAGACGCTTATCAAGTTGGTTATTTCTCTTGACGAACACAACATTCAGCTGTTGAATGATGCTTTTCTGTCTTTAACAGGATTCGATTGTACAGAATCCTATAGCTAGACCACGTATTCCTCATGAAGTACTTTTTGTATGCGGTGGATGGTCTGGTAGAAGTCCGACGTCAGCAGTTGAGATATATGACGTAAGCATCTTTTCATTCCACTTCTGGGAAACATGTCTCTATTCGATTAGACGCGTGCTGATAAATGGATTCAACTACCTTTCAACGATGAATGTATGTATAATTTATATGACAGGTATACGAATAAGTAAATCATTTAGTTCCGCGTGCATATCATGGAATAGTAACGGTCAATCGTATGATTTATATTATCGGTGGATTTGATGGAATGGATCATTTCAATTCGTGTCGAATTTTTGACTCTCAACTATTTCAATGGAAAGAAATCGCTCCGATGAATGTTAAACGGTATTGTCGTCCGTTTCAATCTTAATAAATACAAAATCGTTTGTGTTAAAGATGCTATGTCAGTGTTGCGGTACACGATGGATTGATTTACGCGATGGTGAATTCGTTTGATAACTAGTTTAGGTTAAATTTCGGTATCAAATGGATTTAGGGTGGATTTGACGGTCATTTACGACAAAAATCAGCTGAAAGATATTCACCTGTATCGAATCAATGGCTTCTAATTCCATCAATGCATGCTCAGCGATCAGGTTTTCATCATGCCAAAGATTCTTTCTTAATTACATTCAACATTATGCATTTTTGATAGATGCGTCAGCAACTGTTCTTCAAGGTACATTTGATGAGTTAGTAGAATACCGTCATCTTCCATTGAACATAGATAGAATCTATATCTGCGGAGGCTTCAATGGTCAAGAATGTATGAATAGTGCTGAGTATTTCGATCCGAAGACAAATCAATGGACGATGATTGCGCCGATGCGTAATCGACGATCAGGTGTCGGAGTGATTGCCTATCACGATTGTATCTATGCACTGTCTGTACCGGTAATGATTGGTGTTGCTTTGTGATACGAGAGACTTTTTCAGGGGTGGATTTAATGGGTCGACACGAATGAATTCTGGTGAAAGATATAATCCTAAGACAAACACGTGGATGTCTGTGACAGATATGTACAATCCAAGAAGTAATTTTGCAGTCGAGGTATGTATTCTTCCTTGGCAAGCAATCAAATCTCTTTCGATGTTTTCATGTTAAGATAGTGGACGACTATCTATTTGTCATTGGTAACGTGACATTCATTGAATGAGTTTCTTCTGTTGATAAATGATTGCTTACAGGCGGTTTCAACGGTGTGACAACTATATTTAACGTCGAATGTTTCGATGACTTGACCGAAGAATGGTACGGTGGGATAGTTGGTTATTGTTAAAGCATCTTTTCTCTCTCGTTGCAAGGTACGATGCAGCTGATATGAATGTCTTCCGTTCAGCTTTATCCGCTTGTGTTCTCTCGGGTCTTGAGGATGTGCATAATTTAATTACGCTTGCCAGACAACAAATGATAGACGAACAAAACATCAAATGTTCTCACTTAGTCGAAGCAGATTCAGCACAAACCTCGATTGTTCCTGTCGGAACTTTATCGGCAGCTGTAGGCGCCTTATCAGCAGCACTCGATCATATAACAAGAAACAATACGTAAGAGAAACAAAAGATGTTCGACTTGACAGTCCTGTCATATTGATCGTCGTGTTTATTTTTCTCAGATAATTTTGTTGTCAATAAAAGAAAAAGACAAATCGAATTAGAAGTATTGCTATATTATCCGAATAAAAAGAGCAAGAAGCCGAAGAACACACAATACAAGGCAATTGCAATAAAACGAACAAGAACGGGTAGAATTGTGTATTAGTAGTGGAATCTTTGTCGACCACAGTATGTTAATTCTAGTCTATGAGATAAATAATTGAATTATATGTTTTTACTAAACGTCGAGTATTTGGTTTTTATCACAAACACAAGCTATGGAATGAAAAAATAAAAGCTACAGAGAAAAACATCGAGAGGGAATGAGATGCCACTGTTCGAGAATATATACATTTAGCTCGAGAAGTGTTTTTTTTCCAGGTTTTTAAGTAAATACTAAATGCGGTTGCGGTTAAAGAAAAAAGAAACGGAAATGTCTTTTTGACTTTTTCATAAGTGTCATTTTCTGAATATATCTATGCTTTGACAGTACGCTTCTTGCTGTCGTTATCTGATGATTTCGTTGTTGTTCGTACCAATCTAAAGGAGGAAAAGATATAAAGATCAATTTGTTAACAATCGCATACGGATCGTTTGCTTGATCTTGATCATCGTCGTCGGTAGCGGCTGCTCGTTTATTTGACTTTTGTCGCTTTTCGAAGATCAATATAATAGCGACGAGAACAACGACAATACCGACAATACCAAGGAATGGCCAAAGTGCTGCTAATCGATCTAATGTTTGCAAATAAAGAGATAAATCTTACAAAAAATATTCAAATCTTTCTACCTTTGACACGTAGTAAAACGCTAAATTTGACATCATTCAGTTCGCAACTATAATAACCCCGATGAATTTTCTTGACTTGCTCAATAACCAATTCATTATTTTCAATTTTGACGCCATCTGGTAAGTCATTGTACAAATGATGATCGGGACTGTATCTCCATTCCACAATATTTCCATTGCTGAGATTTTTCGGTTCAACTATGCATTTTAATGTGATTGATTGCTCTTCATTACGTCGAAGAGATCCGTGTGCAGAGTCTAATTTTTCATTTGCTCGATCTGTTTCTATTCCTTGTGGCGATGCTTTCACTATATTATGTTATTTATTCGTTTACTGCTGATGAAAGAGTGGTCAGAATCTACTTACATGCGATCTGGCCAAATCTACAAGCTGGTGGTTCTTCTTGACCGGCTTTCTTTGTTTTCACATACCATTGTTTCACATCCGCATCACTTCGTACTACAGAGAAAGGGAACATTTAGAACAAAACGAAAATCAGTCTGTGAACTCTTTCTTACCGAAAATCTTAATTGTTAAAGTCGATTCCCCTTCTTTATTGTCAACAGCATAATGACCGGGCTTTTCCTGACTTACAGGGAAACCATCTCTATACCACTCTTCAAATTCACCATCGCCAACACCTTGATATACACATGTTAACTTAAGAGAATGTTTCAAAACACCTTTGACATCAGCGGTAGTTGTTGGTTGTCCAACGTATTGCGCATTTAAATAGAGTATGCAATTTAGCGCTAGACAGAAAACAACAAGAATGAGAACATCAATCCAATCGGATATTGAATGATTTCAATCGTGGTGATAATTAAATTATGATATTTCGATCTGAGTAGCTCTCTAAATGTTAGTTTAGACCTGTATCTAACTGAGAATTATTCACAATCCAGAATACTATCAGATTCAATGAGGTTTTTCATACCTGTGAACAGTGCAAAAAACATCTGTGTAAATATTATTGAACAGGAATGATGATTGAATGGAAAAACAAAACATGAAGCTATTTGTTGTTGTTGTGTATTATTGTTTATTCTTTTGTTTTGCTCGATTAAATATCAAGCATATGTTGGAGAAGAATTATTCTTTTTTCGTTTCGTCTTGAAATTCATAAAAAATAATATTCAACTTTAGAAAAAACATCTTTTCCCTCATATGATTCGTTCAACGACCAACCAATCGGAAACGAGAGATGACTTGTTTTTTCATCTTCGTTTTTTTTCTCGCTCGTGTCGGTAAATAATAAGAACAGTACCTTTTTTTCGACACGACGGCAACGACCGGTATACTACACCGAATTAGTGCGCTTATCATGAATACATATGCTAGATTGCTGCTACGACTACAACCAAATGGTCGACAATTGATTCAACAGCAGCAACAGACTCTTCCAACAGTGAGATTCTTCGTATTCATAGATAGAACGTATGGAGTAATCGAATACCCTGTTTTACTTTTAAGGTCGTATCTACAATAAGAAAAGCTAGTAGTGGTGGAACACTCGAATATGATTCACCGAAAGCTTATAAACTTCATATGCTTGAACAAGGACCAAGTACTCATGTATCGTGCAATCGAGAAGAAGGTTTAGACTTTTATAAGAAGATGCAGGTCGTGCGTCGAATGGAAGCATCCGCTAATAACATGTATAAGTCGAAATTGATTCGAGGTTTTTGCCATCTCTATTCAGGACAAGTTCGTTTAAACTGTGGAGTAAAATCTTTGGCTAACTGTATTTCTGTAGGAAGCTGTTTGTGTCGGAATGAAAGCAGCTATGGATAAAAATGATTCATTGATCACTGCGTATCGCGCACATGGTTGGACTTATATGATGGGCGTGCCTGTCACGGGTGTCTTAGCAGAATTAACAGGTAGAAAGACCGGTTGTGCTGAAGGACGGGGTGGAAGTATGCATATGTATGCACCTAATTTCTATGGTGGTAACGGTATTGTTGGAGCTCAAGTACCTCTAGGCGCTGGCGTATGTATAAAGAGAGAAGTGAACGCTTCCAACTAACGTAGGTTCCTTTTCGAATTCTCTTAAGGTTGCTTTTGCCCATAAATATCGTGGAGAATCGAATGTTTGTATCGCTTTGTACGGTGATGGAGCTGCTAATCAAGGACAAGTCTTCGAAGCTTTTAATATGGCTAAATTATGGTCATTACCATGTATTTTTGTCTGCGAAAATAACGGCTATGGTATGGGTACGAGTACACAACGGGCAAGTGCAAATCCAAATTTCTATACTCGGTGTGAATATATTCCGGGTATATGGGTTGACGGTATGGATGTCCTTGCTGTACGCGAAGCCACAAGATTTGCACGAGACTGGTGTACGTCTGGAAAAGGTCCCATGATCATGGAAATGGCAACATATCGCTACTTTGGTCATTCAATGTCTGATCCTGGAACAAGGTAATTGAACATCGAATGAGATTGTTGTACTTTTTTTTATGTCGATCTGTTTATTTTATTTTAGTTACCGAACTCGTGAAGAAATTCAAGATGTTCGAAAAAGTCGTGATCCGATTACATCATTCCGAGAGAAAGTTGTTCAAGCTAATTTGGCTACTGAGGAAGAATTCAAAGTACGTCTATAAGCAATAACTTCGACTAACACTCATTGATCATTTCTCTTTTAGAATATTGATAACGAAGTGAAAAAGATCATTGAAGACGCCGAAAATCATGCCCAAAACGATCCGGAATTACATGTGGATGAACTTTACTCGCACGTATATTCGAATCCTCCACCTGGTTTCAAGATTCGCGGATGTGATAATTTTACATACAAAGACATCAACAAATAAACACTTCCTTTTTCATTGTCTCTTTTGAATCTCACACATAGATTGTCATTTGTGTTCGTTTTATTTATTTTCGCAACGGTCAAGTCATACAAAACATTGGATAGGTTAATATCTGTGTATTCTTTAGATTAACTGCAATGTCAGAATCTACATCTACCCAACCAGCCAAATCGTCTTCTTCATCGTGGTTCAGCAATTTCGATCTAAATAATCAATGGTCAACTATAAGTTCATCGATTGTTCAAGCAACGAACAAAGTAGGCGCTGTGGCAAGTACGATTGTTCAAAAATCACTACCACAACGACCCTCGACACCAGATGAGAATGAACAGTCTGATGTCGAACCGAATAAAGATTTCACTAGTAGGTGATCCGATACACTTCGCCAACTGTTGCTATCTCGATTTTCTTAGGTATTTTAACTGATCTAAGCTCGACTGTGGTCAAAAGTGCTCAGCAGTTGAAACAAGTAGTCGAAAAAAGTGCTATTCTAGGAACTTTGAGTAAAGAACACGCGAAATTTTTGAAAGATAAACGTATTCAACAACATCGTGAAGAATCAGCTGTTCCACCGTGGGTTGGTTACAAAGAAGAAGAAGAGATAAAGAAGCAAATTCTCGCTCTTTCTCAGGTTCGTTTTCATTTTCGGCTTTTTTCATCAATCAATCAAACTTATTCATTATTTAGAAACAATGCTTTTTCCTCCGGGAGCCACCACCTGGTGCTAATTATAATTTCGATATGGCGACTTACTATCCAGTTGCATTAGCCACTCTTGAAGCAGATGAGAATCTAAAACGAATGCGATTTGAACTCGTTCCAAAAAAGTAATATCCCTTTCGCTATTCTCGGTGCTCAATCAAACTAAAGAGATTTCTATTCAGAATCACGGAAGAAGCCTTCTGGCGCAACTATTTTTACCGAGTTAGTCTGATCAAACAATCGACTCAACTAAATACTCTAGCTAACGAGAAAGGTAGTTTGTTTTCTTCATTCTTTTCGCTTTTCAACTTTATTGACTATTCCAGACAAGTCTTATGAAACAACAGCTTCATCTAATTTCGATGGTAAACATAGAGTAGAACAGCTCGCGGATTTCATTTCTGTTTTTCTCCTAGGACATCGAACATCTGAATTGAGTGATGAACTCTTTGATGGAAATCAGGATTTTGTCAGTGAAGATTACGATACAACAGATATCAACATGGATGATATTCGCCGCGAAATCGAACAATCGAGTATTTCAAAGAAAAATTCCACTAAAACAAAATCGAGTAGTCCAGGTAAGATCCCATTAGCAAGATTTGTCTTTCATTTAAACGATTCGTTTGCTTTTCTTTTTCTCCGTAGATTTAGATGAACGAGAATGGGTTAAAGCACTAGATGATGAACTTGAGAATGTTTCTGCTGATCAACTGGAAAGTGTAACTGTTGAGGAGCTCGAAGCTCAAATCAATGAAGTTTTATCTGGCAAGGCTACATGAGAATAAAGTTTGATGATTATAATGAGATTTTCGTTTTTCTGTATACAGTGAATATAAGAATAAAGTCATTTGTTTTCTTTTTTTTGCTCTTGTATCTACGTCTATTTACAAACTATTCTTGGTTTCGAAAATAAAATTATTATGGTGTTATTATAGAAATATATCCATATCTGATTCGCATATTTGCCGTTTTAGACGAGAGATCGAGATGTCGAAGAGAAAACCTGGTTAGTAGAATTTGACAAACGAATAAATATTGACTTAGTTTGTTTTTCGTTTTCTTCGCAGCGACGACACGTGCGAACGGCCTTGCAAGTGTGTTAATATTTTTCGTCCGTTCTTTTCTTTTCGACGAAAACAGTTCCTTTTAGACGTGAAAATGGGCTCGAATACAAGTCGATCTAATGACGATACGGGTGAAATGATTTGATTAACTCTTAGACTAAAATTATCAGTTAAAACTTTGTCTTTAGAGACGACAAATCCTCCTAAACGGCGCCGAATCGAAAAAGCAAATGCCCCAGTAGCCCATGTTGAATACGATTCATTACAAGAATATGGATATCATTTTAAAAGTAAAATTTTGTCGTTGCCAGTCAAGATTGATATTTCTTGGAAATAATTAGATGACAAACTGGTTTCGATTGACACTAACGAACCGTTTAAATTCGATGTGTTTGAAGACAAGGAAGAGAATCAAAAACGATATGAAACAATAGGAAGATTAGTTGACAACGCTGTTTTCGATCTACTTGAAAGTAAATGTCAGTTGCAACGTGTAACAGTTCCGGTAGGTGAAATTATCTTACCAGAAGACATTTACTTTCAAATTCGTTTGAACAGATCGATGCGAAACGAAATGAAAAGACAAGTTTTATCTTTGTCAGCAAGGATTTATCAACGGCGAAATATCTAATGGTTATTATTCACGGTACTGGAGTTGTTCGGGCTGGTCAATGGTCTCGAAAGTAGCACATCATCATCTTGCTTCTTCATTGATCTGTATTCTTACGTTTTATAGATTAATCATCAATGAAGGTCTAGAAATTGGCTCTCAATTCGAATACATTCGACGAGCTCAAGCAACTGGGTATGCTGTGATTGTTACGAATACAAATTTAAATGAATTTCAACCATCTCGACATCTTCGTCATCGGTCAATACATCCTATTCGTGTAGAGTTGTTTACATCTTGATAGCCCACTTTCTAATATATGATGTTTCTCTATAGGGAAGTGGTTCTGCTGAAGAACACGGATGTTATGTATGGGAACATTTTGTCCGTCCAAGTCCTGCAAAACATATTTGTATTATGGCACATTCGTATGGAGGTGCTGTCGTACTTGAATTGGTCTGTGACGATCTTTATTTATGTATATTTTTACTGTTCATTGCGTTGTCAGGCTCATCAATTTCTCAAAGAATTCGATCAACGCGTTTTTGCTGTTGCATTGACAGATTCACCTATGACAATTTATGGACGACGTGTAAAGAAAAATGTTTTAAAGATGTTAAAAAAAGTATACCATGTTCGTTTGTTTGGATTGATTCAGCAAAATTTTATTTAATTAGAGAACAATTAATTGGGTTACCGATACTGAAGAAGTAGACACAGATCTGGGCGAATGTGACTGTTGTCTATTAAGATCAGCAGGTAATCCGTAAAATCAAATTGAAATTTGAACAAATAGTTTTATAAACCATTTAGGACACACGGTCCACGAATGGACATCTCACACGTCCATCGACGCGATCTTCAAATACTTTGCCGAACAACGTCGAACACTTGAAAAAAGTTAACCGATGTTTCCCATTGTGATACAAACTAGTTGAATGAACTTTTTCTCTTACCAATTGTCTTGTGTTTTGTGATAAATATTAATCTTTTCGGATTAGATGTACCTTTTACGTATATGACTTATCGACATAACAATAATTGCTTAACTTTTAGATGGTTAAATCCGCGAATAGATTATCGAGTTCTTCTCGTAGGCATTCTTGTCGATTTTGCTTCGTCGAATCAATGTGGATTAGCACCGGGTTTTCAATCACTTTACAGCATTTTACAAGCAACGAAAACCAAAATGGGTGCTCGGACATTACGTGCCAACCTAATGGAACCTTTGATCGGTAAAATCATCGTTTTCTCTGTGTTTTTATACACAATATGAAACCATTGTTAGATGTTACTTCAATTCAATATCGCCAAGATGCCGTGGAGAATTTGATTGATGATGAAAAACTGATGTTTCAAGTACAAACTATTCTTTTGCATTTCACGGATGTTGAACGTAAGATTATCAGATATTTTTGGCGACAATATTCTAATATTTTCTGTAGGGATCATCTTGGCATGCATCCAAGAAAATCCAAGTCGAACTGTTGCAGCAGCTGAAAAACGTATCACGATGATCAATCAACTTCGACGTATTCTTGATGTTTTACCAACGCTGCAACAGGCATTGGAGCAATCAACATCCGATCTTTTGAAAAACCTTTGTTCAGTAATTCATTTGTCTACATGCAAAACGCAGAGAAGATCAACTTTCGTTTATTAGACTTTGGGTGACCAACGTTTCCAGTTAATGTTGGATATCCTCAATTTACAGTTAACAACTGAACAAACAATTTCAAGTAATGGATTTCTTGGAGCAAAGATTCGACGCATTTTCGCCATACGAGTAACATCCTTTCAGAGTTGAATTCTGATTAATTGACATGAGATAGTTTTAGAGTGGCTTCGATGAACGACTGGATAGTTTACGTGCTGATGTTATTGTTGTTATCGATGAAGTAGAATGTGAGTGTTTACGATGAAGTCTGATTCCTTAAATGAAATATTTCTTTGGGTAGCGTTGGAGAAAGAATTTTCGGAACGTTTTAACATGCCTGTTCGATATAATTTAACAAACACCCGTGGCTTTTCGTTAGAAATCATGGGCGAATTCAAAGGTGTTCTACCCGCTAATGTCATTTCAGTAGCTAAACGACAAAAATCAACATTTATTACGACACTACAATTAGCTCATCTATCGGATCGATTCGAACTTTTATACAACGACATTTGTCTTTTAACTGATCAGTAAATATACATTTTCCTCACACAGTTGACATTATCTTCTATTTACCTAGACTTATTCTAATACTTTTTGCTAAAATTCGATCTCATTTCGGTTGTATGTATCGACTTGTCGAAGCGATTTCAATTATCGACATACTCCAATCGTTTGCCGAAGTTTCCAAAGCCCGTGATTATGTCCGACCCATGTTTGGTCCAAACACCAAAATTCTCAAAGGTCGCCATCCAGTCATCGATCTATTCGGTCAGCAAAAGCCTATCGCAAACGACATTGAATTGTATCCTGAGTTGAATGTTATTCTCGTTACGGGCCCAAATATGAGCGGGAAATCGACTTATCTTCGACAAATCGCACTTTTACAGGTTTTAGCACAGATTGGTAAGGAAATTCTTCGGAAAAAATTTGTCGATCGATCACTATGATTAGGTTGTTTTGTGCCAGCTGAGCAGGCGAGATTTCGGATTGTAAGAAGACAAAGAATCGGCCTTTGTTGTTACACTTAGTCTGATTGAATTTTTAGGTACATGAAATTTTTTCAAAAATTCGCCATCACGATAATTTATTCATGGGACAATCGACGTTTTCATCGGAAATTCACCATATTGCATTCATTCTCAATTGTATGACATCAAATTCAATGATTCTTCTCGATGAAGTAAATCGATTCTTTTATGTTATAAACTCATTCTCCTCTATTTCTAACAGATCTGCTCAAGTACATCAACAAACGAAGGTATTTTCCCCACTGAAGATCTCTTCTGATGGAAAATATTTTTTTTAAATTAGGTTTAGCATTAGCTACAAGTCTAACCGAAACATTGTGTCAGACCAAAGCATTTGTGATTATTTCCACTCATTTTCAACAATTAACGTCTATTGGGTATATCTATCGCAACGTTGCGAATTATCATTTTGATGTGATTTATAACGATAAACTATCGAGTGATGCAGAAAGTGATTCGACAAGTCACTCGCGTCGATTCCATCCACAAAGTGTCATCGATCAATTGAAGGAGCAAAACACGATCGTTTATTTGTACACACTTCGACCAGGAATCTGCAAAGATCTTCATTATGGTAACTAACAGGAACAAGATTAGAGAGAAAATAATGAAGTTCGAATATATAGGTATCGCGTTAGCATCGCAAATAGAAGATTTACAAACGGTTGTCGAATTAGCCAAATGCGTTGCGAAATATTACATTCGTAAAAAAGAGGTCGGTTTCTTCTGCACCAAATTAGTTTCATTACTGTCGAAAATTTCATTTCAGTCGATTGTGAACTACATGTCGAGTATTCCAAATCTATTGATGAAACGCATCATGATTATGAAAGGCTATTGCGATTTGATTTATGATTTCACGAATAGCACAATACAATTTGTTGAACAACAACGTATTTTTCTTGAAAACTTTCAAAAACGAATGTATCAATACTGGTCAGCATCCTCCTCAAATACTGACAGTGACGAAACTCGAATGGAATCAACTTCGTCGCCTAGTACAACTGAAGCTCATTAGAATTGTAAAATTAGATAGAAAGATTATTTATCTCAAATAAAAATGATCTATTTTGAAATGTAATTCTTGATAAGAGCACAAATCCAAGTCAAGCTTTCTGCTCGTTGATGGATACATTGAATACACGTATCAAATGACATTCTACTTCGCATATATTGCCCATATAAATCAAGTTTAGCAGTTATCGATATGTAAAGAGAGTAAACTGTGAATCGGATTACAGTTGCGTTCGAGGAGACAAGAGAAGGACAAGTATGTCTCCGTGGCAAGACTATCAAAAGTAAAACTAATCAATTAACTGATATCCTTCGACTAGTTTACGGCAAGTTTTCATATGTAGTAACAATAATAAATACAATCATATCCAGTTGAAAATATCTTAATTACATAGGGTTTTCTCGAAGGTTTTTCCACTTGAATGTTTTGCTAGAAGAGCTCGACTTTCTTCAGGCAATATGAAATAATCGTTTACCATTAACAAGACTCACTTTTTTATTTATAAACAATCAAAATTCTATTAACAGACTGAATCAATATTTTCTCCTGTTTTCAAACATAACTTCCTATGTTCTCTAAGTCTTTTCTAATCTCGCTTAGTAAATACCATATGTAATTACGTTCGTTATGGATCATTATAAACCACTAAAGTAAAGTACACTTGTTTATCAGTCATGTTAGAAGTGAATGTTTTTGGTGACAAAACTCTTCTTCGTCTCTTTCTTTCTTTTCTTCTAGTGAAGTGTTATAGTCAAGGTCATTTTCTTCTTCTTCTGTCCCTCTTCATTTGCCTTGAGTTATTATCATCATTCTGTTCAACACAATCGATTAGAGAAAGCAATACAAAGACACATCATAAAGGAATTCTGCTCGAGCTTGCTTCTTGTCTTCATCATCATATGGCTTATAGGAATGAATAACCAATCAGACATTCTAACAATAAGTCTCGAGGATAACACCTTAAATAACTAGTCGATTCGCTATTACAGCTTGTGGCAGGGTCAAACACGATAGTTGATGACTTGATAAGTGCTCTATAGAGATACATAATCGATGGATGTTTGTTTTGATTTCTTAACGTTAAAAAACAATCTATTAGATCTATTTACATTTCACTCATCGCCAGTATTATATACATTATATTCAATCCAGATAGAGAGATTCTGTACTTTGCAAGTCTTTGACAAAGTGTTATTCTATTGTGATATAGTACCATCTCCGAAACACTTGATCAACATTCAGATTAATCATTAATCAGTATATCTAATACTCGAACAATGGTTGGAAATAACTTCTATTGAGTATGACCATCTTACATGGCTCGGTACATGTTATATTTGTTTATCAAGCGTGTATAATATGATGAAGCTTCGTGGGTGGTCTGAAAATGTTCGTCTGCAACTCATTTACACCTTGACGAGTTTTCTTTCGCCTCTCCTTTTTTTTTGCCTGGCATCTCTATACATATAAATAACATCATCATCATTACCGTACTTGAGCTAGAACAACATCGACAAGGAGCTTTGAGATAGAGAGAGAGAAAAGGAAGAAAAAAGAAAACGATGGTCAATCAAACACGCGTTTGCCACTTGTATTGATTCAATTTACAAATCTTTTCTATTGGATAAATTGCTTCATCTTTAGCAGACTCATCTCTCGTCAATTATCTTAATATGTCCATACTTTTTACTCAACACATTCGTCTTGCGCACTTGATATCTCTCAACACTGTCTGTATATCTTCTTCGTTTTTTTTTTCATTCCATATCGGAGAGAATTCCTTTGTTTCTATAGAACGATATTGTACGTACAATGTTTACTGCGGCACCACATGCGAATAGAATCAATGACGAGAGGAGAGAAGAAGAGAGAGAAGAAAAGAAGAAATCAACTGCTTGTATCGTACGTAATCATTCGTGCTGTTGCAACTAGTAGCAATGTCGTGAGAAATTTTCTTTCTCATTTCTCTCCTGTTCGTTTAATCATCCATATTATCTTGATTAACCATCCGTATAAGAGTTAAAGATAAATTTAATGAACAAAAAGAAAGAGTTCACTCGTTTCTGACTTTTGAAATGTGCTCCAATTAGGATCTGTCGTCTTCTAACTTCATTAGAGTACGTTGCTTTCCAAGGTCGAAACGTGAACACCTCGCGTACCATTTCGCTTGTTCTACAAACCTCAACATTCATATGCGCAGATGTTTCATTGAATGTATGTCGTTTTATTTCTTTTTCAGATTTTTAACATGAGATGAACAATTGAATGCAATGCTTTTGTTTCTATTTATCTCTATTTATCTTTTTCCTTCAATATTGTCATCATCAAATACATATGTTCTTTCTGGCATACCAAATACGTACGTAGCGTTCGATTCTTGGCGTCCGTGTCTGACAGGTTACGTTCGTTTTGATATGAGAACGAATGCGAAAGATGGGACAATCGCGTATATTGACGATCGTGGTAAATTCGATTTTTTCTATTTGAAACTACTCGAAGGTAAACTTCGACTACTATTCAATCTGGGAAGCGATCGACAGGCTATCAATGTGAACATGAAGATCAATGACGATCAATGGCACACAATCTTAATAAGACGGAATGGGCAGAGTACGACGTTAAGTATCGATAATGGTTTCGTACAAAACTCGACTATCACGCATTCCGAAGACTTGTACTTTGGTGGCGCAGTTCATAATGAGTATGAAGCATCACCATTCTATTTCGGAGGTAAGATTATCATTGATCAGCATTGAGTAATATTGACAAGAGATATCCGTCATTGTCTTTTTTCGCTCGATGATGTCTGGAGATAGTTGTCTTTTGGAATTATTTTCGGATGAATGAAACAAGATTGATTAGTTTTTCTAATCGAGAAAATTAGCTATATTGACAAATAGAAAAACCTTGATCTATACGCAATTCCTCGTATGAAACCATAAGACTATCGAAATGATTAGCTTAATTTACATCTCTATCTCATCTGATAAATTTCATCGGAAAGAAGAACTTGATAAGAACATTCTTCGTTTATCTGAATACTTTCCACAAGATCGAATGACTTCATCTATGTGCCTTCATGTGTATGTGCGTGTGTGTGTGTGTGTTCTTTTCTCAGGTATTCCAGCAATATTGGAACGACCAAGTTCAGGAAATCTCTCATCATTTGATGTTTACATGCAACCACGTTTTCGAGGTCAACTGCGAAACATCATTTACAAAAATTGTACCAATCCGCATCTAATTCAACCCAATCAGATCGATATATCAGGTGGTGTGTCACTAATTCCAGATCGTTTCTGTACAGGGAAGAATTGTGGTAGTGGCGTTTGTTTAATCACCGAAAATAACTATGCTTGTCTTTGTGATGAAACGAATTTTCAAGGCAATCATTGCCAATACGAGCAGCCACCGAATGAATTAACATTTCACGGAAAACAATACTTGAAATACGACTTGTTCAATTCAATCTCGAGTAGAAATGAAATTCTGACGTTCGAATTTAAAACCAATCATTATAATGGTCTTCTCTTCCAATTAATTGACTCACAGATTTATATTAAGCTGAAACAGGGACAATTATTAATTGAATATCGGTTAAATAATAACTCGTGGTATGAGTCTTCAACAAAGGACCTTTCATTGATTGATAATCAATGGCATTATGTACAAATCAAACGAAAATCAGGACAAGTCACCATGCTAATTGATCAGTATTATATTCCATTAGAAAATGATTATTCTATTGATGAAATCTTTCATTTCAAAGAGATTTTTATCGCTGGGAATACGAATTTTCATTTGGAGAAATTCTACGGTTGTTTAAAAGATATTTCCATGACATTCAATGAAAATTTTACTATCGATCTAAATAAATCATCAACAAGTTTTCACGAATTTGGTTTCGAACGCAATCGCAGCTGTCAATCATTAATAAATCCCATTCAATTTCTCAGCCCTACATCGTTTATCTCCTTACAACTGACAGATCTTTCCCAACAAACGAACATCTCCTTCCGTTTCGAAGCCTATTCATCGAATAGCATCATTCTTTACGGTCAATCGAATCAATACTTTCTCGGATTAGATCTTATCGACGGATTTTTCTATTTAACAATCAATGTCAATGATAAGCAGCACAGACAAGAATTATTTCAACAACGGATCAACGATGGACAATCACATTATATCCAGTTAAATTTTAAACATTCACAAGGAGAAATGGACATCGAGATTACCATGGATTACAGACAGAACGCTAAATTATCAATTAAAGATACAGCAGCAAGAATGTTCGTAAGTTTATGTTTGACTTCTGCCAAAAGAAAGAGAGACACATCAATGATATTCCTGATGATGAACATTGTACTTCTTCTTTTTAGTTACAGACGTTAACTATCGGTGGTGTTAATCCTTCGTATCCACTGTTACCTACGAATTATTATTCGGGCATAATGCACCACGGTTTAGTTGGTTGTTTTTCTGATCTGGAAATCAATAATGTTTTGATAAATCTAACAAACTATATCAATCATATAAATATGAATCTTGCACCACGCAGTGGTCCTTGTTCGATAACTTCATTTAAAAAACGTCAATGTTTATGCGAACATCACGGTGAATGTCGACTGACTAGTGCAGGCATCTGGTCATGTGATTGCTCAAGAACAGGTTATACTGGTGATAGATGTGAACAACTTGCTTATCATATCGATCTCAATCAAACGCATACATATGAATACAATAGTCAGCTTCAATGGAGTGATCAACTCAATGACATTGCTTTTGGTTTACAGGTAGATCGATCCGTATCTGCTAGACGATCTTTTCCCTATGCACACGATTCTAGGCTGTACATGATGAAGTAAACTTTCTTCAAATTCGTCCATGTCGTCTATCATCGAAATGTGATTCGATCCAGTTTTCGATTCTCAATGGTCTTCTACATATCAGTTTCTATTCAATAAATCTAACAATTGAATATCCATTTCTCCTTGATAATCAATGGCATTCGATTCATCTACAACGGTTCGATCAGAAATTTCTCTTACATGTTGACAATCATATTACTCAACAACGAATTAGTGCTATGCAAACGAATTCAACACGGCCATCAACGATCTGGATTGCCTTCATGGGTAATAAACAAGTTCAAATCGAAGATTTGCGTTTGTATGATCAATCAATCTATTCGAAATTCTTGTTAAACCTACCTAATGAAGCTATCAAATTGAAAAATCGTTTATGGAAGCCGACGAATACGATTTCATTTAATGACGCAACGAATTCATACATTGAACTACAATTAAATGAGATTCTTTGTCAAGAATGTCGGTTGGACAGTATTCATTTTCAATTCCGTACCAAAGATACAAATGGATTACTCCTATTTGCCATGGTTCAAACTGAAGATTATAGAACCAAGTAAAATCTTTGATAGTTCGCTTGATAAAATCTGTAAAACATTCCTCATTGTTTTAGTTCTTTGTTAGACAATTCTGACTCCCGTCGCACTCAATATCTCGTCTTAAAACTCGTCAATGGTCAGCTCCATTTACTTATATTTGAACCGTCGTTATCAATGATCGACAGCGAGATCTATCAAATTCAATCGAAAATCTTTTTAAACAACAATTACTGGCATCATATATCCATCTATCGTGTTAGTGATCATCATTTCGAATTTCAAGTTGATTCGAACAAATACTACCTTCGTACGTCCATCGACTTCCTCGATAAGATCTATCTTGGTCGTTCGTACGAAATCGACTTTCTACGAAACTTACCGACCATCAAAGGTTGCTTTGCATCATTCACCATCAATAGTCAAACCGTCTATTTACGTGAATATATTAAGGCGGATTCACCCATACGTAATGACTGTTTTCTTGATTCTCAATGTCCGTTGCAACATTGTCGAAATACGGGAACTTGTCTAAATCGTATTCAATGTGATTGTCAACACACGAGTTTTCAAGGGCGACTCTGTACGAATTTCAAACTAGGTTATTCATTTAATAACCACACACCTGGCTTGATCTTTGATCAACCGTTTAATAAAGAAAAGGCGATTACGTTGTACAAACTCTCCTTTGGAATTATGACGAAAATGTCTCTGGCAGAGATTCTTCGTATTAATGATCAAATATCGATTGAATTATATCGCGGATATATTCGAATAAAACTCATCGGAAATGAATACTTAGTGAACACACGTATAATCAATGATGGCTTTTATCATTTAGTACAGATGGAATGTAATCTAACAGGTTATATGTCAATTGCTGTTGATAATAAAAAAACGATGAAACAACTGAATAACAAATTATCGTTCGATAGGCCATTGTTCTTACTAGTTGGTCAAAATCCATCGTTTAAATATCCATTTCAGGTATTTCACAGGCAGAAATGAAGCGATGTTCATCTTTTTTTTGTCGTATCTAGGGTGAACTCTATGGTCTTGAATCTGATATATATTCAATATTCGATTTGATTTCCCCAACATTCCATCGTATCTCATTCGCACCAGTTCGTAATCGAACTCTCAATTCATTATCATCCCCAATCCTTACTCCCACATTTCGTGCGCAAGATGAGTCCACTGACCATCCATCTTGCTCGTACCAATCCTATGACGATATTTGCATCGTTAATTCGGAGTCCAATTCGACTTTCTTAACTTATACAAACATATCAAATCAACCATCCGTTCCAAAACGAATCCCAACCCGATCGCCAGTCAGAACCTTCACAACGACGATTGCTTACGACGATCTAATGGAAAACAGCTCGAACTTAACTAATTTCAGTGATATTCCATCGGAGATCTTCTCAGAACGTGGACCTACACGTAGTCGATTTCGTGATCTATTTCATCAACGAAATCTTTGGTTTTTCCTTGTTCCTCTCCTATGTGGTAGTGTTCTTTGTATCATATTTTGTATCTGTGCTTTTATGAAATATCGTCGAAAAGATGCAGGTGTTTACGAACTTGAAGAAACTCAACGTTTTCGACCGTTGATCGTCGAAGTACCTCCATCGCCCGGTGAAAATATTCGCAGACTCATCGATTCAACAGATAACGCTCCATCAAAACAGAAGAATATCAAATCTCATCAACGACGCAAACGAAAGCAATCACCGTTACTAAATGTGGATGAACAACGCGAATTTTATATTTGAGTCTTTTTTTGTCGTTTGTTTTTTTACGAATATTTTTTTTGCTGTTGAACAAACTCGATAGAATAGATCAAACAATACTCTTATACCATCGAGAAGAAACGCCATCCGTCACCAGACACTAGCGGTCTCTATAAAAATACGAAGTAAGTTTACTCTTTCGGAGATATCGATTAAAGAATTAGCTTGGCATTCATGTTTAGAATAGCATCTATAGAAGCTCGAGCATATGCCTTTGAGAATATAAATTACACTTCTCAGTTTACATCGATGATTTCTCCTGAAAAATAAATAAGACTTTAAACCAATCGATCATTTCTGAACGAAAGAAAAACAATATTTTTTAACTACAGACATTATCGATCTTCTAATGATTGATTTCCATTCTGCTACGAAAGTGAAATAGACGTACTCTTATCATCGATGTCGCTGCTTGTTCATACTTACCCTTTATGACAATACGACAATCGAATTCTCATAACATATTTCAGATTTATTTTTATGTTAATTAGTACTATGTAATTAGTGCACACAACAGAACGTAAAGTATTTTAATAACAAGAGAACAAGATGGGTCAAACACTTTCCGGTAAGTTACAAAAAGAAATGAATGTGTAAATGTTTTTCTCTTTCAATCCTAGAACCTGTTACTTCAAAAGATTCGCAAAAGGTAGAAAATCACTTGTATTCAGTCGGAAGCAGTAGTATGCAAGGATGGCGTATCAGTAAGTTGAAACAAAAAGTTCGTTCTCGAAGAAATTCTTTCGATTTGTCTCGACAATTTAGATATGGAAGATGCTCATACACATATTCTAGCATTGCCTGAAGATAAAGGTTGCGCATTTCTAGCGGTCTACGATGGCCATGGCGGAGCCAAAGTTGCTCAATATTCATGCAAATATCTACATACACGTATCGCTAATCAACCAGAATTCAGTGCGAGATTCTCTTGTTCTTAGTTTCATTGATTGGATGAATATTTCTGTTTTAGAACAGGGAAATATTGAAGCGGCTATAAGAAAAGGTTTTATTGATTTCGATAGCGAAATGGCATCGGACGAAGAAATGCGAGAAGATCTGGCTGGAACAACGGCAATTTGCGTTGTAATCAAAGATAATAAATTATACTGTGGAAATGTTGGTGATAGTAGAGCAATTGCGTCTGTCAATGGAAATGTTGAAACTCTCTCAACCGATCATAAACCGAATAACGATGACGAAAGAAAACGTATCACAGCAGCTGGCGGCTGGGTAGAATTCAATCGTGTCAATGGTAAGATTTTATTTCGATATATTCCTTCATCGATGAATCATTTAGGAAATTTGGCTTTATCACGAGCACTTGGAGATTTCATTTTCAAACGAAACACCGATAAAAAAGCGGAAGAACAAGTTGTCACGGGTAAGATGACTTGTGAAGTTTTCATTCTGTATGACGTCTCTCACTTGCAGCGGCTCCCGATGTTGTCGTTAAAACAATCAATGAAAACTGGGAATTCATCTTAATTGCTTGTGATGGCATCTGGGATGTTCTTAGCAACGAAGAAGTTTTAAAATTTGTTCGGGCACGCATTGCTCAGCAAATGTCACCAGAAATGATCTGTGAAGAATTGATGACACGTTGCCTGGCGCCGAATTGTCAAATGGGCGGTCTTGGTTGTGATAATATGACGGTGGTCTTATGTCTTCTACTTCATGGTGAACCGTACTCAGTTTTAGCCAATAAATGTGCGAAGAATGTATCTAATGGGGATATATCACCAACGAAATGAACGTAAGAAGACGATGTTTCTTTCGAATTTTGAACTGAACTTCTTTTTTTTTGTTTAGTTCTTACATGAAATTAAATATTTGAACAATTTGACATGATCTTTTTTTCTTTTATTTTGATAATATTACTGTGTTCCATCATTTTAGAACAGTATTTCTCGTACTGTCTCGGTGACGAAATCAAAAAAGATGCGCGCGTTTTCTCTCTCTTTTTTCTTTCTTCTTCTTCTTCTTCTTCTCCTTTAAAGTATTTTCCTATGAAATTCACACATATTTATGGTGTAAATTTATCGGTATGCAAACAAACATTTCGAAGGAGCTGTCCGCGAACATTAGCTACCTTTTCCTCTCACTCTTTTTATAACTAGTTGATTCGATCTTCAAAAAAAACATGTTGACTTTATCTATTCTATACATATACGTGTGTTGCAGGTTCGTTGTCTTTGTTTGATAAAAATCGATATATATATATGAGCCGATAATGAGAATTTGCGAATGAATGGATTTCAAAAGACACGGTCGGATTTTCATCAGTGACGTACAACGAATTTATTGAATTATTCAACATTTCCCAATGGAATTCACGAAATGAACTTGTACTCAGTTTGATTCAATAATTAACTAAGATGTCGATTATTGTTGCAGACGATGATGAGTCATGACTGCAAGCATTAAACTTTGATGGGCGATTAGGAAACTTTGCGAACGTTCTTCAGACAAGAACGAGTCAGTTGTTTTTGCATGATTCGATGAGTGGAAGACTTCAGCGGGACAGTGATTGTGAAATTCAACCCGTTCCGAGATTTATTAATACTCGTGTCGGTTGTTGCCTCGGTTTTTTTATTATTCTGAATGATACTCATGAGTATACAAAACGAAAACAGTAACAACAACCGATAAATTTTCTTGTGAATAGGTCTCGAAAGAAAACAGATGGCAAAATAGGAGATCTTATTATTGTATTATTGTTTAATCTTCTTTCACTACGATTGTACCACGTACACGACCAGTACGACGGGCAGCAATAAGACCAACTTTGCGACCAGGTGGAGCGTAACGACTGACGGTAGATGGTTTACCAATGTGTTGATGGTTACCACCACCAAATGGATGGTCAACAGGCTAAAATAGAGATAATGGTATTTGCTTTGTCGTTGCTCTTTAACTTTGACACTTACGTTCATAGCAACACCACGAACTCGGGGCCATGATTTTCGTTTCGCTTTATATTTGTGATACGAACGGCCAGCCTTCAAGATTGGTTTATCAATACGACCACCACCGGCGACGATGCCTAGAAAAACAAATATTTCGACATTGTCCGTTGAGAGATGTATGCAATCAGTAAAAGCCTCTAGATATGTTTTGTTCGTCATTTAGGATATCAGAGATTATCATTCATCATTTTGCATACATTCGAAATGCTTGATACTTACCAACCATAGCACGATTGGTTGATGGTAAGGTTTTCTTGGCACCTGATGGTAATTTAACTTTTGTTTTGCCACCGTCAGGATTGTGTGAGACGATGGTTGCATAATTTCCTAAACAGAACCGTTCACTGTGGAGCAGATTGGGAAGCCAAAAAGCTCTTTACCTGATGCTTTGGCTAATTTTCCTCGATCACCAGTAGCTTGTTCGATTTGACAAACGATGGTACCTTCAGGCATTTGACCTAACGGCATTACGTTGCCAATTGTTAATGCGGCTATTGAAAATGACGAAATGAACGTTACAAAAATCATTTCCCAAAGAAATAAACATTCTTATACCTTTTTTTCCGCAGTAAATAAATTGACCGGTATACATGCCTTCGGCAGCAACCATGAGTTCTTTTCGTTTTTTGTATCGGTATGGATCACGGAAGTGTACAACAGCGAGTGGAGCACCACGGCCCGGATCGTGAATAATGTCCTGAAGAACTTAATTAGAACGTAAAAGAGAATTTGAAAGTTATTTACTTTGACGACACCACGAAGATAACCTTGTCGTTCGGCGTAATCCAAAGCTCTTAATTTAGCCGCACCTTTGCGATGAAAAGTACGAGCGCGGAAAATGGCCGATTTGCCTTTACGTTGTGCTAAGATGACTCGACCCATATTATCTAGAAGAGGAAAAGTTTCAACGAACGAGTTTACTAGTTGCAAATGATTCTGTTTTTCAAATGAAAATACACTATAACTGTAATAAGATGGACGGTCGCCATCGATTGGCGATACATTTGGGCCTCCATCGATAAATAAAACAAGACTATTCTTCAAAGAAAGAATTTTTTTCGACATTTATTCCATATTTTAATTTCTAAATTGAAATGCTCACTTCAAAAAATATTTCTTCACAATCAACAGAATTGAACACGAGCGCCACAATCGCGTAAGAAAACTCAAGAACCAATAGAAAACTGCCTATCTGTCGCTGACGTTCTGTTTAAATTTTAGTCACGAAATAGATAAGACAACGAACCACTAACCATTTTTGTCACTCGTTTAAAACATTTGCTTTTCTTTACTCGAAACAACAGCAAAGATTATTATCGAGAGATGACCCTTTTCTTCTTTTGCATTTTAGTTCCTTCTACTAGACCGCTTGAGAATGTTACAATCCCGTGGTATTACGGATTTGATTTCAGCTGAAAAAGAAGCTCAAGGGCGCATTGAAGAAGCGCGTAAACGCAAGAATAAACGTCTAAAAGAAGCACAAAACGAAGCGAAAACTGAAATTGAACACTTCAAAGGTGATCGTGATCAACGTTATAAAAGCTTAGAACAGCAAGTAGGTTTGATCGGATTCTCTATTTCTCTATCTACTCGTCTTTGTAGCAATTGGGTAATCGAAATCAAATGACCGAAGAATCGAATAGAACAACTCAAGTACAAATAGGCGATTTGAAAAATCAGTACGAAACCAGTAAAGAAGCGTTACTTGAGCGTATTCTCACCCTTGTCTGTGATATCAAGCCCGAATCGCATATCAATGTCCGGATTGACTAAGCTATGTTATCCTCTTCGAATATTTTCTTTTTATTATAAACCATTTCAACATTTAGTTTTTTCAATGTCTTTCATATTCTATTAATAAAATATATATATGTACCTTTTCTTCCTTATTGCTTGACTAAACTTTATACAAAAAAATAAATGACATGCTTTTATCTAATAAGATCAATAGCAAATGTTTCATCGCACACACCAGCTCTTCCTAAACCGCCATGAACAATTAACTGATCATTAGCATTAACCATACTATGACCTTGTCGTCCGAATTCGATTCGTCCTAGATTGTACCAATGTTCATGAGTATCGAGAGATACTACGAATAATTCATTGGATGGTTCGCGCAATCTGCCATCGAATGTTTCGCCGCCATAAACAATAGCTAAGTCCGAACCACACGGAATACTAGTGTGATCTTTACGAGTCGATGGTAGCTTTTTCATAGGTATTAGAACATTTGATTTAATCATTTCCTTCAGATCCGAATAGAGATGATTACATATCGATTGATTTTCGACTGGTAAACCAGTGTAACGTTGAATAAGATGATCAGCACGACCACCCATAATGTACATTGATGATCCATGCCCAATCAAAGTATGACCACTACGAGAAGCGACCCCAATAGGATATTGTTCCCATCTAGGAAAAAGATAAATCGTTATAAATTCATTGCATGAGAAAGTGATCCATACCGAAAGGCGCGCTTCGCTGGATCTCCGCGTAAGCAATAGGCATCCCCATGCTTACGCTGCATTCTCAAACTACCATCTCGACCGATAACAAGAATACCTTCATTGTGAGATTTGAATGGAATAACTGCATGATTGTTCAAGCCGCCATCACTAGGAAAACCTGGTGCATGCGCATAATGCCAAACAGCATTAGCAACATCGAAAATATACACATCTGCTTTTCGTTTCGATCCATCCCATCCACCAATCGTTACTATGTATTGACCATTGTTCATCGCCAAGCACCGGTGGTAAGAGAGGCTTGGAGAATCTGGAGTCGTGATTTCTGTCCAAGTATTATTCTGAAATTTGAACATGCGATTTGATGGTGCATGATCAGCACGTGTTCGCACTCCACCATGTATGTAGAAGACATCATCGATCACACAACTACCGAAGAAAGCCACAGGTGGACCATGTGCAATTACTCTTGCTTGCGCATGATAAGACGGAGAATTTGTATCAGTCGATAGACGTCGAGAATCGCTTACAGTATCATCGATAGAGTTTCTGCGGTGTTTATCTGCATTGAAAATTGTAACTGAGTAATAATTGTCGTGCGACGCTCGACGACTGGAAGACGCCATTTGAGTGAAGAAATCATGCAAAATTCAGTGGAGATATTTCGCTGCAAATCGCCTAGTTACAAGCTTTACTTTACTTTCCTATCTTATAACAATAGATGGTGCTCTCGACTGCACACATTAATATGTTTCAAATCACACTCGCAATTGATCAAGAGAAGTTTTCATTACATATAGCTTTCTTTTAATGAAAGCACATTTATAGATAGTCGAGTACAGACAAACAGATAAACAAAAAGAAAAACACCACCATCAAGACAATTAATAACAGCAGACAACATTGACTAAAAATACTTTCAATATGATTTCATCAAAAAGCTGTTGTTCCATTCCATCCATTGAGGAAATACTGTTGACTATCGACAATGACCGATGTGTGATGGTAAGGATGCTCTGGTTGATAGTTATTTGCCGACGAATAAAATTCAAGTTTATCAGATGAAAAATTCGTATCGTAGTTAATAAACGGTAAATGATGATGATGATCGTTATCCAAACGTAATCGTTTATTGTTGATCTCGTGTGTTGAGATTCGTTTTTGGTCGTAATAAACTGACTCGTCGGAATGATGGAACGGATGGGAGTAGTTACTGGTTGTTGCTGCTGTATATAGTGCAAAATTCGGATAGTTTGCTTGTGGAGTGTGTGAATAATAGTGCTCATCAGAGTTGTAGCCAATTGTGGATGGATAATCATCGATCGGAGTTGTCTGTAGATCAGTTTTCGTCGAAGAAAACTTACGCTGCTTAATCGATCGATTTATTTTGGCAAGTTTCGGACAACTACGATTTGATATTGATGAAGATGTAGAATTCAAACTCGTATTTGTCGATGAACACTTATCATTGTCGAGGGAATTGGTTGTGAGAATTTGATTCGAGCGCATGTAATCTGAATTTGACTTTTCGATTTGATCAATTGATAATTGTAGATGTTTAGCTTCGATGTCACTACAGTGAAATTTTCAATCAGATCAATAGAAACAAGAGTTCAAAGTAAAAACCAATCATACCTAAGTGCATAATTCACACTAACGATAACTTCCGGACGTGATGATCGATTATTATGAACAAGTGTTGCATAACTTTGCACTAAATTGACAAAGGCAAATGTTCCAAAAGCAAACACAATCAGAAAATACATACTCCATATCCAGCCACCATTTTTAGCAAGAAATCGATAATAGCGAGTGGTTACTTGTCCTTTGGTAAGTACTAAACAAAAAATACATTCTATTATAGACTCGTATGAAAGATATCAAAGCAGTTTCTCTCCTGCATAAATCAATCAATCGTCATGATACGTACACACTTGATGAGCCCATCGTAACGCCATTAAATCTTGCGTATGTACATAGTGATACAAGCTTCGATCGACTAGGTCTTGTGGTTCATATCCAGTTATTTGTAATACTCTACAAATGAAGCAAATTTGTCAATCAGTAAATCAGAAGGAATTGATCGTTTACTTACCGTGAATCCAAAAATAATAACTTCATATCTTGACCTGCTCGAAACATGAACATGTTCGAATGGAGACGAATTTCGGTTATTGAACAACTGGGTAATGAATATCCATATGCAACAAGGCCAACATTCTGATAACAACCCTCACTACTATTGATATTATTCGTTGGACCATAGCATGATAATGTATCCAAATTAAATTGTTTAACTTTCAAGTAACCTGAACAATGAATAACTTTGAAACCACTAGATGTTAAACCAGCATTTCGTTTTGGTAGAACACACTTCATTCGTATGAAAAACGAACGTTCGATTTCATATTCACTATTATTTACACAATAGGTGGGTATAGGTGCAGTAAGAACATTAGCCATTTCTTCATGATCGATTGGATGAATATATTCATAGATGGAATTTCCTGTCAATTCAACTTGTGATAAACCAAGATGGGTTGAGGCTGTTTCGGAAATATACATGATTTTGCCATCAGGACCAATAACAAACAAGAATCCATCGAGAATCTATTCAGTAGGAGAAAACGTTTTACTGGAATTTCATCGATTCGTGACTAACCTGTGTTAATTGCCCATTAATTTCACGTTCCATTGCTGTTTGGGATAATAATCTCGAGCCCCATGCAGTTCCAAGACCTGGAAGATAGCGAAATATTCGATTTCCATTTATAATCAGGTAAATAGCGGTAAGAAAAAGAAAAAGCTCATCATCTATGTGTGAATTTTCTCTTTTCAATATCTGATGCGTTACCGGGGAAAAAACATCCGGATTCATTTCAAACTGCTCGGATCAAAGCAGTGAGACAAGAAACTATTGGAACCAATATAATTTCTTCTTCATCATCGTCGTCGTCGTCTTTTCAATATCCAAACTTGTCATGCTCAGCAAACAAACCCTTGCCATTCTAATTGTTCCTCTTGCCCTCTCGAATTACACTTTTAATTTAATTAAAATGTATACATCCTTGTCGCTCTATTGCGCTTATCTAATCATATCTATTATTGAGTTTTGAATAAATAATTTCTTGAATTCGACAATTCGAATCACGAACAGATATTTTGATGTAATCATTCTGATTTAAAAGAATATTAGTCAGGATGTAAACATAAACAAAGCATGAAATCGATTGATCTCAGCTTTAGCATTCGAAACATTCTTTCTTCTTCTCTCTTTTTTTCATGCACTCTCCAATCGGCAAGCAAGATGAACGTTGTTTAGACAATATTTGAGCAATTCTTATGATATCAGTCATGGTGGAAAACGATCTCGAGCAAAATTTGATCGATGAATATGTTAAAAATCTCGAGTTTGTGTCAATGACATCATCATAGCGGGTGGATTCGTTCAGGATCATTAACGTACCTTCGGGTATGATTGCACGCATTTTAAGATAACTTGTCGTTAGGCGAATAACGGATGCTTTATCCAGTTGATCAGTGATTGCATGTGGTAGTGGTAAAAGTTTGGCCAATTCGAGGAATTCGGTGTTCTCCTTTTCACGTCGACTTCTTGCTGCATTCTTCGACTTTTCCTTCATGGCTTCGATTCTATGTAGAGAAAGAAACGAGACAAGTCAAATGATGAGCACAAGAACGAGCAACTAGTGAGAAAAGTAATCATTAATCACCGAAAAAAAAAGAAGAAGAAATTTCTAACTCACACGAATTTGTGAAAAAGAATTGAAAATTAGAAAAGGGTGTGAGGATAAGGTAACAAACACTAATCTATCCATTGTCTTCGTTGAACCACAGGAGGTGTTTTTCTTTCTCGCGCGACGCATCTCTTTACCTGTCACATCGAAACTACAGATGTGCTGATTATCCTGAAAAACGAATGAATTTCATGTCGACTGCCGCAAGAGAAGAAAACGAGATTTCATAGACAACGAGAGAGAGAGAGAGAAAAAGAATCATCAGGAAACAAATTAGCATTGTTAACTAAAAAAAAGGCTGGAGATATTTCTCAAATGCATCCATCTCATTTAACACGCACACATCAAATCTATTTTTATTTCAAAGAAGTACAATTTCTTCCTCTCTTGCACTAATTGATTCAATTTTACGAACGAAATTTAATGCTTGTTAAAATGAGACACGATGGAAACGACTTACTAAGAAAAGATACGGATTTTGTCTTGCGAGTGATTGGTAAATAAAATAACAACAGTTTATTCATGCGATGCACATGAAATGTCTCTCATTCATGGGTGAGAAGATTTTTTTTTATCTCAGACTGTTAGACTCGCATTTCTATTCGTTCGTTCATTCTCTCTTCTCTCCCCCGCTTTCTTCTCTGCAGTCGCGTTCATATTCAATCAGCCAACGACGCTGCATCCTTCTTTTTCTTTTTTTTTATTATTAAAGTCTACTTATGACGGGGAAAATTGATCGATCAAAATTTATCGTGACGACGTTTATGTTTTTCGGTACCATTTATGAAAGATCATACAAAGTGAGAGGTCTATATTGTACTCAAGTTCTCCAAGACGAAGTCTGCTCGGGAGCTCATCATTTGCTTTTGCTGAAAGGTAATCCAGTGAGTTTCTAGTAGAACGCATCACGAGCGTAGTTGATGTTTTCTTTAGGTCTAATATCTCTCTCACTTGAGCATGACGAAATCTCGTTAAGCAGAGATATAGACGAAGATGAATAGCTTGTTTGTCTGCTCTATCTCCCATGCAGTAGCATCTATTACTGCTTTTGATTGATTTCTACAAAGAGAATAATGTTAACTTTTCTCACATCAATCGAATCTATGTATCGGCAATGATGAATAAAGAAAGGAATTAGGGTGAGATTAACACGATGTACCGACAGGTTGAATTTGAAAACAAAACAAGCAGTAGTTCAATCTCTTAACAAACGAATTCGATTTTCATTCATTCATTCATTCTTTTTTCGATTCTAAACAGAATTACTTGGAAGACTTTGTGGTAGGAGCTACCTTTCAGTAACTTCTTTCCCTTTACTTTTGATTACAATGGATCAGGTATTTTGCATATGCTATCAAATCTTGTTGTTTTGACATTAACACATCAGAGAGTGTTTGCCAATTGAAAAACAGAGCTACCTGTATACAGATGACGGCGATGAAAAGTAAATATTAAGATTTCAATAAAAAAAAGACCATTGATCAATCGAGCTGGTCATAGATTAAGAAAAAGTCAACATAATTATTGCAGAGAAAATCTATATGAACGAAACGCGTGGCAGACAAAATATTTCTATTCAATATCTATCGTAAAAGGACACTCTATGGCTTTGAAATTTGCATGTGAAGCACTGTGAACAATACAACACGTTGAAACAATTATTTTTGATACTGAACTTAATTAGAAAAGAATAACAGAACGAGAATTTCAAAACTAGTTTCCTTATCTAAACAGGATTCTATGAAATCTAGGACAGGATATCATTTGAAAATTTGTGAGTTATGCGTTTTCGTAGTGATACACACAGCTGGAGTTGTTCGTGAATGAGATGTCGCTAATCGTTCTATCCGAATAGCTGACCTGTATCCTGAAGATGGATCCACATACTGGTCAACGTTGAGAATGGCTTCCATGTCGTCACCGTTTTGAGAACAGAAGTAAACTCGTGTATACAGTATCGAGTTTATCGATTTAAAAACTTAAAATAAGCTACATTCATAAACAATTGACTAGAGAAGAATACTCGCATTATTCCGAAGTCACGTTCTACTATTGTTCTTACTTCTCGAAACGTAATTAAAAGATCAGTCATCATTAAACGATTAAACTACTAGTACAAACTCAAACATCGAATAAAAGATCTTTAAATATGACTGATAAATACCTGTTTATACATCTTTGACGTATAAATCTTTCTAAACGGTCTGATAGTAGTTAAGACGCTTCCCTGAAAGATCCTACATTTATTTCCTCCGTGAAACAGTTTGGTGAAAAGAAAAACTTACGAATCTCAACTGTAAGTCGAATAAGCATAGAATATTTCTCGTTATCTGAGCACGAGCTTTACCTGTCAACGTCGTTGGCAACCATTGCTGTCTCGTCGCTAGTATGCATGTGATGAATAAACGTTCGACTGTCGTTATTTGTATCGATCATTGGTTTTTCGTGCTTCAGCGTAGAAATGGTCAGTGACAAGTTTGTTGTGTATAGCACATAGTCACATGATGATCGTATTCAGGTAAACAATCGTTGGTTGATTGCTCGTTTAACTAACTTGACAAAATAGTGTTGTCGACGAATCACGTTCGACAAAGTTCAACGTCCGTTCTCCTGTTTAACTTTTGTTTTGCCGCTAATGGAGAAAGAATAGAGAGTTATTATTCTCTCTTCCTCTCTCTCTCTCTCTCTTCTTCAGATAGAGAAAAAAGACTAATGACAATATTTAATCTCTTGCCAAAAGGAGGAGGAGTACACATTCAAACATAATGAACACAAAAGAGAAAGAGAAAAATAAAATCGATTTTCTACCAATCATATAAGAGTTGGTTGACCAATAAAACAAATATAAAGCTAGGAATCAATGAGAAAATAATTATGTTGAATTTCTTTTGAACAGATTTGATTTCATCTTTAGCTCACAATATAGTGATATCCAGTAAATATGACACCACAATAGTCGTACCATTGTCATTAAATGTTCATTCTTCGTTTGTTGATCGTACATGACAAATTCTTAATGTCTTTTGCTTACCTACCAAATGAAGAGAACATTAGAAAATTCTTAATTCTTTAGATGTTGAATGTGAAATGGGAAACTGTTTGCCAATCATTTACCTATGCCATCGCCTGTGCGATTTCTGCTACGATATGATATATGACACAAGCAGGATGTGGAAAGTTTAAACATCCGTTGTTTAGTGAAAAACATATCCCCGGAAGGCTAATATGGATAACACTTCTTCACACCTAGATATTATCAATTGTAATTATCATGAAAATAAGAAAAAGTCAACTTGAAATTTTGCTTTCCTAGTCATCGTTAGTTTTCATCTCGTTTGCAATGATTTAACAACAGAGAAAGCAATTTTATTATGTACTACAAATCGTTTTAACCATTTACAGAAGAATGACAAAATGGACAAATATCAACGCGAGCCATTTCATTTTCCAATGCTCGATGTTTACAAGCCGGACAAATCCAAAACGCATACTCAGTAATCGGTCGACCAGTCACAATACATGGTGGAAAACGCCAGTCACACGATGGACAATTGAGACTCCTAAATAAACAAGAAGTTTTCATCGCAATGGTCGAATGTTTATGTCATTACATACCAATCGTTGATTCGCTGGCTGCATTGTGGACATTGTCCTGAGAGTACAGGACGCTTGTCTTTTGGTTGCGAACTAAACAATTAATAATACTGGTAAAAGAGATCAAGTCTTAGGAGAAATAAGCTAACACACGCGAATAAACAAAAAAGAAAAAGAAAAATAAACAAGAAAACGTGAATCAAAGTGATCTACTAAAATATCCTTTGATTCCAACGACAAATGTAACAAGTATCGCCATAACAAAAACTCCGATAATCATGCCACCAAAGACATACGTCAAAATTAAATTGGTATGTAAGCGATTCGAACATCTTCTTGCTTCTTCTCTGTACACTTCATTGTTTTTCTTCAATAATTGTCGAATTTTGAACGATTGATATAAACAAACGATACCAGCGATCATCCAAAAGCAAGTTATACATGCAAATAGCGATGTTTTGAAATAGTCCTTGATCGGTGGTTCTTGAATGATGACATGATCATTTGTCGAAGGTTTTTGCTTATCAAAACAGTACGATCGAGCCGATTTCGGTGAGGAGTCCACGATTGGGACTCGATGTTCTTTGTTGTGATAAGTTCGATACGAATTCCATTCGAAAATATGATTTCTATTGGAATTTCGTACGTCGAGCGGTTGCTGATTAAAATCTTCCATTGTTAAATGGCAAAACGAACGTGACTTGTCGTACAATCTCTTCTTTTCAATACGAAAGAGAACAAAATAATAGAAGAAGATAACAACATTACGAAAGGTGCGAAGAAAGAACAGGAAAAGAAAATAACAGTACGATCGATCGAATCATTTTATTGCCTTTCGTTCTTTTACATACCTAAGAAAGATTTGAAAGGCCAACTTTTGATATTCTTTTCGATCTTCTTCACTGATAGATGGATCATCTTCGAGTTTGAGAAATGCTTTACTTGCAGTATTGAATGCTCCGCATGATGTTGCACAAAGTGCTAAAAATCAAATAAAAGAAAATGATTTTATCTCTAATGACAATTTCCTCCTTAAGGGAATCGAACTAGGGCGAAGAAAAACAGAACTAGATCTTTATCAATTACCTATAAGATTGTAAATAGTTTGAACAGGTAAAATATCCTCGTATTCGGTCAGTGCGAGTGCACATCGTAATGCTCCATCGGCGTTGTTAGCTTTGTATTGTTGTTGAGCGAGTATATAGAAATGATATGCTTCTGCGGGACGCCAAACATTATCGATCAATTGTGTATCAGATACACCACCAGAACCTGTTGTTTCTTCAGTTAATAAACCTTGTAGAGCTTCTGATGCCTGAATAAAAGCGTATTCTGATTTGGAAGCGAAACAAATGGAATAAAAGTGAACGTACTGAGATTGCTGCAGTCGATTTCTTTTCCTTTCGTGATGTTGTTTTCATTGCCGTACGATACTTTTCAATCAGTAATCCGCATAGAATATACATTTTCTTCTTCATCAACAATGAGTGATTTTCCTTGCTATGACTTTCTGCAATCTAAACGCAAATGATGTATTTGTCATTGAAGTATCGTTTGTCAATGACTTACTCCGTAGAGGATCTTCGCAGCATCGAGATAGTTCGCAGATTTTTTGTATAGTTCAATAGCGTCAAACGGTTTATTTTGACTAAGTAGAGTTTTAGCTTGGCGAACTAATAGGTTTTTCACATCGTTCATATTGTATTGACGAGCTAATTCGATGCCCATGTCCCATTGACTGAATTCAATACACATTTGAACCGCTTCTTGTATACGATTACACTAGATAATCGAAACGAAATTGTGGAAACTAGAATAGTATGAAAGTAATCTACTCGTTTATATGCGTTGACAGCTTGATCAGAGAGGCCAACTGTTGCAAATGTATCTCCGATAGGCTACAAAAAATAATGAGAAATAGGTTTCTGAGACAGGAGACTTACTTTGAGTAAAGGATCATTGTCTTGCAATGATTGACTCAGCTTTTGTAAAGCAACATAATCTTCAGTTAAAGCATAACAACGAAACGCTTGGGAATTATTTCCACTTTGTTCGTAGTATTTAGCTGCTGTCGCCCTGAAAGCAAATGGAATAATTTGGTCGGTATAATCAAAGAACCTAAAACGAACCATTGCTGACGATCGAAATAGAATTCGCCCAATTCGTTCCATGCTTCATTTTGCATCGCGTCACTTGCAACAGCACCTGATTGAAGAATTTGCACAACACGAAACCAATCGCCTAGTTTACGACGTAGTTGATACGCCAGGTCTCTACATATATAGATTTCGTTGTTATTGAAGAAAGAGCAACTTTCACATACTTTCGATCCATATCTATGTAGATTTTCTCGACTTCTTCTTCGCGTTTGAGAAACGCGGCAATTTCTGCACGTTTGAAATTCTCGCCCTGTTTCAAAAGAAAACAAATCGTTCTACTAAATAATTCTATTAGAATTTATTTACTTGAAATTGTTGTAAGCGTCGTAAGAATTGCAAACCATAATAATCATGAACTTTAACAAAAGCATGTTCTGCTATTTTGATATCTAAATGATTTAATGCTTCTTCTGCAAGTGCACGCCTAGTAATTCAACGCTTTGGTCAAACATTAATTCTCCTTCGAAAGCTTTTACCATAATTGTGGATGAGGATCTTTTTCGATCATATTGCTTACTTGTTCCAACGGCAGTTTTTCACAGGCCGCCTTCATCTCTCTCAGTAACTGAACGTGAAAAGAAAGTGAATATAATCCGTATGAACAAATACAAGCATTACTTTATTGTCGTAGATTGTTAAATATTCTGCTGATGGAGCTTGCACACCTCGTAGATGCATTTTCATGATCTCATCCAACATGACAACTTTCACTTGTAAATTGTTGTAATCGCAGACATAACCTGAACATGGTACAGCTTCTTCGGTTTCCGTTCCACGGACAAATGAGATCTTTGTTTTTTCCATGATTGCAAACGAATCCGGAAAGTCCTGGAAAAAGAATGATCAACTCGAATCCGTTGCATCAAGAAAAAAAAAGCTTACAGTCGCCCAAACAACGTTCCAAACATCGCTTTTCTTGAAATTGGTTATATCTTCTCGAGGCTCTTTACTTTCCATATCAATTAACATACAATTTCCACTTGTATCAATTACAGACATTAACCTATACAATAGAAATCTCAAAGGTTAATAATCAAAATTCTCAACTGTAGAGAAAACTTACGTTGCTATTGAATTCAAAGCAATTTTACTAATACGAAATTGACATTCGATTTTTTCCATCAAAGAACATGCAGGAAGCGAGTAGCGAAGAACAAGACCAGATAACCGAGCCTAAAACAAACGAATTAGAATTTATCATATTTTCATATGTTCGACACTTACGACAAAAAACCATTTATCTGATGCACATAAACTTGTAATCGGATCGTCCGTTTCCTGTAAATGAACATAAAAGACTAGATTTCATCACTCAATGCTCAGTACCATGCTGTCTACATTTGCCATTAAACTTAATTGAAGTTCATCGCCATGTCGAACCGTTCCCGGGTCATCAATTTGAATGAATCTACAACGACGATGTCTATCACATAGTTTCTCGAAGAACTTTACTTACCTTTCGAACGCTTGTTTCTTTGCCATTTGTGATCCAACAAAACCACCGATACCCCAGATGAAAATTAACGATTTTGCTGCAATAATAGCATAGCTCTGCGTGACACAAATATGTACCGGTTGAAATGGTACATATTTAGATTCAATAGTCACACCAATCGCGTTACATAGTAGAATAACATGTGTATCGGCGGCTGTACTGTTTATTGGCGGTGCTATATGTTCTACAAGTGCTCCTATACAGCAGTACGAACCATAACCACCAATACCGAGCAAATTTCGAACATATCGATAATGAACCTTAATTTGAAAAAATGTCAAAATCTTTCAATTCAAAACAGTACTCATTTACTTCGTTCGTTTTGGTATTCCAAAAAACAACGATATGTTCTGATCGGGTACATGTATAAAATGAATAGATAACTGTGTCTTGGATATAACACCACTGTAAATATGTTCAAACGTTTACATACATGAATAGAGAGAAGAAGAAAAACAAACTATACTTTGTAATCTAATCGACAATTAGCAAAATAGATGAAATTATCTATTGCAATGACGAGTCGAAGTGAATGAGCTTCCCATGCACAATCAGCAATACTTTTTCCTGTTACTTTCAATGAACGTAGATGCTAAGCATATTTGAAACAAGAATATTATTTTAAATTCAATTTACAGGTCAGTTTTGTTTACCTCTCCCCAAGGTGTGTAAAAGTTAATGAAATTATGTGTTTTGTCACCTGTGGTTTGACAACCAGCAACTGCTAACATGGAGCCGTTATCGTTCCATTTGACGGACACTACACGCATATCAACATCGAAAATGATTGGCGACGGATCATCTTCTCTGGTCATTAATTGCATTGCACCATTTTCATAACATATAACAAGACATTTGCTATTGGCAGACATTAGGCCACCACTTCCATCGTACCATTCGATACCAGCAATTTCAGCCGACGGAACACCTTCACGAATGCAGAAGATTTGTATCGGAGCCTAGCAAAACGAAACAGAGAAATATTAATGAGGAATTTTCTTCGTCGACGTACGATGTAGTTGAGTTTAAGATCATAGACTTGAATATCACCACGAACGCAGCCAAATACTAGAAGACGACTATCCGGCGACCACTAGAAATACTAAGAGTAATCAAGCCAATACAATTCAATGCGGTGGACATACTTCAACTTTCGCTAATTTGTTCTTTAAGCTTTTTCCAGATATTCGTGAACCTTCTACTGATCCGATGATGACATTTCCTAAACGTAACAAATGAACATATCTATTCATATAAGAAACACTTTTCATCTATTTACCATCCTCATGTGCAATGCAAATCATTTGTCCTCTAGAAACAGACAAATATTACAAACATATGCATTTTCTGTGATAAAACGAACGTCGAATTCCATTTCATATCGCAAATGCGATTCTTTGTTCGATTGTTCAGCATATCTTGAACGAATTCATTTTGTGGTCCATCCACCCACACAATAACTGTACCACTAATATCAGCTGTTGTTAACTTTCCAAATCGTTCATTCCATACAATACTAGATATGGCACTGGAATGACCTTCTAATGTTTGATTTTTTGTTAATTGTGCTTGACCAGCAACACCACGTGTCCGTGCATCTCCATCTGAATGAGTTCATTCAATCTTAACGAACATTTCTAGCAATTATACTCTTACTTTCAGGTATTTCCAATTTAAGAACTTTAACAAGACCGTCAGCACAACCAGCAGAGACATAGCCGTCTACAGCATTCCATCCACATTTGGTCACTGGCGTTTCGCCAGGCATAGCAATACGTTTAGCCAAATGAACAAACATGATCTAATTGAACAATAATCTAAGATAAAATTAATTGTACGAAGTCTTCGCCTCTTTTCTTCGACGCCATACAAATGGATAAATACGCTTCTGTATCTTGACAACGCTGTCTATCTTTCCTAATATTTGATTGGTGGTACAACTATCCAATGGAACAATACATAGAAGTATTCTGCTGAGGTGCATGTGTGGAGGGATCGTTTATTTTGTTTTTTTTCTTTACTTTCAATTTCAAACACAAGAGACATGCAGTATTGGCGTTTAGCTGGTTTAAAGTTCGTATTTTCTGTTGAATTTCCATTCGTATATTTGTATTTCGTAAATAGTTACATTCAATACTCGGCAGTGTGTGCGCGTACACTTCGTCGCTGTCTAAAATCCTCGGCAGCTAAAGAAGCTATGAAACGCGAAGAATCTTACGTTCGTGTCAACAAATGGCAAGGTGGAAAACTTACCGATCAACTCTATCCAGCTAGTAAGAGCATTGCTGCGATCTTTTCCCTTCCAATCAGCATATCATCGTATTATTTTGTTTATTTTTAGAAACGGAACAAGCTTCGTAAAAGCAAAGTCTGACAAATCATTCATATGGACTCTAATAGCACTTTTTTTCTTTCCCAGAGTTTACTATTCCTCTTATATTCGTTTTCTAAAATAGAAAAATAAACGTTTCCATTATTCCCGTGAAAATCAGACAGATTCTTGTTGTAGTGCATGAAAATACGCATGTATAGTAACAATAATGAAGAAAAGGAAGTGAGTGCTTCAGAAAGTATCCTTTTGTTTCATGTGCAGACCTCATCGATTAGAAATTAATTTCCTTAAAATGTTGTCACTTTGAAACTATCATTGTTTTACAATTGTAAATACAAAGCTTGCTGTTAATTATGATTGTAGAACGAAGAAACTTGTCTTGTTTGTAACAATGTTTCGGTGTATGTGTCGTAATACTGAAATGAAATGGCGCTGTTCGCTTTTCTTCAATGTAACAGATGTCAATTTTCTTTGTTCTTTCTCTTTCGAATGTAAATTTAGATAGTGAAGAGTGGTATTCTACACACTAATGGATTGTCTATTAATATTTCTTTCTCTAATTCTGAAATCGTTGCGTTTATTGAAACGTATCGTTTTGTTGTCTGCTGATAGACACTGATAAGAGACGAAAAGTTCATATGATAAAAACAGTGATTCATTTTGACTGATGGTAGTCGGTTGCAAAATAAAAATACACGAATCTTATCACTTCTATCTATGTCTCTGTCTCTTCTTTTTGTTTTATAAAAGTCATCGATATCTATTCTCATCTTAACCCATGACTACAACTGCATCGAATTCACCGGTAAGGCAATAGATATTGTCGTATATGTTAGTCAATCTATTTTATATAAATGTTCCAGATCAATGATCGATGCATCACATGTTTATCGTCATTTGGCATTCAAGTAGAACGAGTACCATGCAAATGTATAAATATTAAATGTGGTCGACAATTCTGTGCTCAGTGTATAAATCAAATCCAAGCCTATAACGGAAATGAACGACCGTTTCGATGTATGTACTGTTTACAAGACTATCCGAATAATTCCTTACCCGAAGAGAATCAACCGCTTATCGTCCAGCTATGGAATGAAATTAGAATGAAATACAATATTAAACATACACAGAATTTGTTGTTAAATTCATGCCATTGGTCGGATTTAAGCAACGATATTGATTGTAGACGACGACACTTAATGAATCTAATCACATTATATAAACGTTTCTGTGGCCGAACGCAGTATCTTTTCACTGCTGAAAATTTTGTCAATCAACTTACAGAACTTTTCCATAGTTTAAATGAAAACAGTGATAATCATCTACAGAAATGTAAAGATATGTACCAACAACTTATTTCGGCTATTGTTGTTAATGAGAATGATATTGGAGTAATGTACATTAACCTTTGTGAACGTTTACAGTTAGATATATCCGAAGCTGAATATTGCAGCATGTTCCCGAAGATTAACACAAAAATGAATGAATGGCTACATGAACAGGATTCAACAAAGGAATTTCAATCGAAAATCCTCGATTTATTTCAAGCAATGGAACAGGATCTCATCAATCAATGGAGAAATCCTTACTTAGCGACACGAACTAAAATTGGTGTGATCGGATTTACCGGTGTTGGGAAAAGTTCACTCATCAATTATCTACTTGGCATTAGATGCTTCGCTAATGATGATGCTGCACCCGTTTCGACAACAAGAAGTACTTATTTTCCATTACAATTTGATAAGCAAGAACCTTTACTATCTCCGTATGACCCACAGAAGAAGACCTTGGTGACTTTTATAGACATTCCAGGTGTCGACAAGGATAACTATTCGTTAAAGGATGTTGGAGACGAAGACGATGTTTATTTAGATGAAATCCGGAAAGCAGACTGTGATGTTTACATTCTTGTTTACAATGAAGCATTACATATTCAAGAAGAAGATTGGATAAGTTATATTGAGGAATGTTTGAAACGGCAATGTGTTCTCGTACGCTCCAAAGTGGATACTACATGCGTAACAACATCTAACATTGACATTGAACAATTACGTCTGAAGAACCGAATGAAGTCGCAACCTAATTTTTTGGTTGCGTGCGATCCTTCTTCAGATGTTTATGACATGATGTCGTTTGATATGCCGCTTTTAATGAAAGAACTAGGCCATCTAGCGTACGATACATGTTCGAACCGAATTCATGCGCTTGCTCATCGTACAATTGCACGTGCTATCAACATAATTTTCCGTCGCGGTTATGTGCTCAACGTGATGAGATATAAGATAGCTGCTGGGTTCGCATCTATAATACCGTTCGGTGATCAATTACCTCGTTATCTATCTCGTGAGAATATTCGTGACGTATTCGGTATTAATAATAATCTTTGGCAATATCTGGCACCATTCCATCTGATTGTTCGCAATTATCAGTTACAAACTTCAGCGTATAAAGAATATGTCGAAGTTCAACACATACAAACGAATTCGAAATTCGATTCGAAATGGGTCGGAAGGACAGCTGGGGCGGCGTTAATTGTTGGTGGTGGATTAGCAGATGACATTCTTCGAGTAGCAGCTCCAGCTGCCACTGTCCTATCAGGAGCTGCACGGACAGTATTCACAGTAGCTACCATCGGTATCGGTGCTGTTATTTCAGCCGGAGTTTCTGCTTGGTCAGCAGTCGATAGTGGTAAGCATATATTTAGCTATATCAATCGAGTCTGTGATGATACTATTATGATCGCTGATCCATTAATCGCAACAATCATAGAACGCGAACGAGAGAATACGTTCGGTCAAAATTAAATCTCGACTGTCACAGATGATGACAAAAACAATTAGATGTCATACTTAACATCAGCTGTATATGAAAAAAGATTATTTGAAAGAGAACGAGTTTTCTCAATAAATAAAAAATCATGTACCCGCCGATGTGTAAATAAAATACATCCGAGTCGAATGGACTGAAAACATTGTTCTCCATAAATAGATTCTGTCGAACGTACTGTTTCATGTGATAATGATGCCTGAATAAGTTAATAAGTGTGCGCGTATGATTTGTTGCAATTATCACAAAGAATATTCAATTGAAATGGAAGCTATTGTACACAATAGCATGATATTGTGAATAGCAAAAGAGCTTTGTCAAGATCGTATCTACAAAGGTACTGTCTCTGGGAACCTTCTCGACATGGACTGTATAACCTATTCACAATTTGAAGCGTACAAATAGAACAACTCAGACTATCTGTTTAATCGCAAAAAAGTAGAGTGCCACTGTTTTTCGTCAATGTACCTGTCGTGTTCAGTAATCCTATTGCTTCTACAGTTATGACGTCAGAGAATTCTTGTGAAAAAAGCGCAGCAAAGTTCCCACAGGAGCAATGTTAATATTTAATAGAGCGAAAAATTATGTTTGTTCTTCCAGACTCATTTTGAGTTTTATTCTAAAAAGTAACAATTGCCATAAGTAATATGACTATTGTTCTAAAAACTAGACAATCGAATTAACTTAATAGAAGCAATTTAACCGAATCTTTTTAACTCGTGCAAATTATTTATGACTTGTTATATTTATAGTTATTCTAGACAATTGTCTAATCAACGATTCATTTTGATACATGAACTGTATTCGCAAACATTCGAATGTACCCAAGATTTTGATATACGTTGGGATATGACTAAAGCTCGTAGTATGAGTGAATTTCATCAATCAATAAAGTCAAATATTGTAGCAAGACTATTCGATCAGGATCGACCTCGAAGCAATTTACCACTACTTTCCGATACTCACAACAAATTTCCGTTCAAACAACTGTCGAACGACAAGAAAAAACAACAGGAGGATGTAGCTGTATGTATCAGCAAATGAAGTATCGAGCTTGGAATACGAGACAAAACAGTGTGCTTATCTTCACAACTACGCTTGCAGAGAGAATTTCGAAAGATAAAGAAATGCAGTTATTCAAGACATTTGAATTGATGGATATCTATTAATTTGCTCTAAAGTGAGATTTTTCACACAATCAAAACACGTTTTGTTAAAAAAAAACAAACGAAAAGACACCATTTCATTTTCAATATTAAAAATGATTAACGCTAGTATCGGCTTTGCTTGGTCGATAGATTTCGATTGAATGAAATATTCGCTGAAGTTGGACATAGTAACCGTTTGAATGCTGTTCGAAATTCTACATTAAAAACAGTATAAATCAATGGATTGCATGCGCTATTCATGTAACCGAGCCAAAGAATCAATGTTGGCAACGGTTCTTTCAAATACGAATACACTTCGATGAAAGCTGATAGAATATATACGACAAAGAATGGCAGCCAACATAGGAGAAACACGCTGATGATAATACCAAGTGTTCGCGACAATCGACGTTCGCGTGTTAAGGAAATCTTTTGTCGTTCATTCATTAATGCTGCTAAGCTTTTTCCTTTGAAAAGACTTCGGCGTCCAATATCTTTAGAAGGCCGTACTGGTTTAGGCAATAAACCACTTGTTCGATCAGCTGAAAGTTCTTTTCGTAGAGAACCATTTTCAAGTTCGTTTTCTTCAATGACACATTGATGATATAACGGAACTGTTGATTCATAATTACCTACAAGAGAATGTGCTCGTTTTTGAAGAATTCAACAAATCGATATAATGAATAGAGTCAATGCCTGGTTTTCTCATATGAGAGTATAGTTAACTGTTTAGTTCTTTTGTTATTATCGAAAGATGGTTAATTGAGATGGGATAATTAGCAGATGATTCAATTTAAAGAGTATACAAGAAAAATGTCATGACATCTTTAACGAACATTATTGTTATTAACATGTTTATACGCAGGAACACGGAACTGCTTGAAAAAAAGGAGCTGTCTTTGAATGTATTCAGATGAGCGAAGATCTACAGATATCTTCTTCTAACAGTCAGGAGACGCGATTGAATAAGATATCTTTTTAATCAACTTCTTTTCAAATTATTCTACTTGAATCGCTGCACTATCATATAAAAATAAGCAGATTTATGCATAACAATACTTACTCATTGAAACGATTGTATTCGACGTACGCTTGATTACTTCGGGTGTGTGAATAGCCTTTGTTTGAGAATAAACCTGACGATTATTAGTCGGTGAGGATAGTATTTTTGACTCTGCCGTTTCGTCAGCATCATCAGTGCTCGGATTCTCTCCTCCGCTGCCATTGGATGTTAATGATTTGAACGATGCATCTGCAGTTCGACGTGGCTTTTTATGATGATGCCGACGATGATGTTGATGAGGATTATATTTGAGACTGTCGTTTATTGTTGACTTATTGCTCGGAGTTAGCGGATCTGGATTATTTCGACGCGTTGCGTTGGCTAATTTGGCTGCCGCTAAAAAAAGATAATCTCATTAAAACAGATTGTATGCGACAGAATAACCTCACCATTAGCTCGTTCACGAAATCGTTTTTTTGTTTCGATAAAAACATGAGCATAGACAATCGTCATAATCAGTGCCGGAATATAGAAAGATCCGCATGCTGAATAAATAACATACGCCGTATTTCTTGATAGATCACATTGTTGTAGATTATTAAAATTCTGTAGTTCATTTGAACCAAGAATGTTTGCTATGATTGGTGGGATAGATATAGTTGCTGATAAAAACCATACAAGCATGATCATGAAAAGAACACGTCGAATAGTTCGTTGACGAGCATATTGAATCGGATCACTTATGGCCCAATAACGATCAAGCTAAAGAACAAAATGAGAGCAGAAAATAATTTGTCAAGACTCTTACTGCAATTGCACAAAGATTTAATATCGATGATGTACACAGAAGTACATCTGACATGACGAATACTTGACAAAATATGTTACCAAATATCCATCGATTGAGTATATGGGTAACAATATGAAATGGCATGACCATAATCGCAAGAAGCATATCAGAAAAAGCAAGTGAAACAATAAAAAAGTTTTGTACAGTCCGTAGTGGCCGAAAAGTGAAGACAGATAGAATAACAAGAATGTTTCCACATATACATAGAACAACGATGCTCGAAAGAACAAACGCAACAGGTAGTGCTTTGATTAACGGCATTGGACGAATAGTAGATGATGATAATGTTGTCGAATTCATGGATGTTAATAAATTAAATGATGGAGATGATAAAACTGCCATATTCGAGTCACTTGATGGAATTAAATACCAGTCAATGTTACTAATATTCAATGGTACAAGAAGGTCGTTGACCGAATTCTCATTTGCTGGGTCAAAATCTGGTAAATACAGACTCTCAACTTCACTTTGATGAATAGAAATTGTCACTGGCAGATGCACTAGAAGCAAGAGATAGAAAGATGTTGTTTGTTTTTTTTTTCTATTTCTCTTTCTTCTTCTTTCTCTTCTCTCCTACGTTGAATGATGGTAGTCATCGACATTTTTTTTCTTTGTTAACTATTGTTAAAAATGTCTTCTAGATTTTCCAGTACGTTGTTGAAACAAATTTCTCTCGCACATTTCATGCAACAAGTAGCTTTTGATTTTCTAGGTGTCTGACTGTTATCGATCCAAGAAATGTAGATTTCGTTCGCAACGATGAATATCTAATGACCTGTTTGCATCAGATATATCGTTCTGACTAGTAGGGAAAAGAAGATTTTCTCATTCTCGTTCTCGAACGTACATCTTTCAATGGCGAATTAGACTATTTCCACAAAAGGAAAACGGGGTGAGGAGTCCCTGACTTTCGTTTCTGCAGACTGGTGAGCCGACGATTGTCGACTGGTTAAGCGCGAGTTCATGACGAAAGATCTTTCATTTCCGTATTTCTGTTGAACTCCTTGAAGTTTTTTGCACTGTTCGCATGATCTCGGTCAAGTCCTTGACATATCTCTCTTTTGTTTCTCCCATCTGTTCTTCAATTTCACATCATCGATTCATTCTATCGATCAAGACAACAAGAATAACCAATAACGAACAAGAAGCTTTACAGAAACAAAGCATTCCATCTTGATAAATGTCATTCAAATAAATAACAATCTTTTCTTCTCTCTATCATGCACGGCTTGTAGCTCGTCGTTCGGTTTTGAAGTCGATGAGATTTGTTGAACATGTGTGCATTGGGGAATTGAATAAAGTTGCTTAGCTAATCTAGTCGATCTTTCGTCTCGTTTGCTGTTCTAACTCAATAGATTGAAAAAGAAGGATTCTCCTTTTTTTCCCATATGTATTCATCTTGACATGAAAATCTTCGTGAGACACTGAGTTTACTTAATAAAAAAAAAGAACGCGAGCGGATATTTACAAAGAATGTGAAATAGGAAAAACATACTTTACATTTTAATTGATTTTAGTTCTCGAGTTTTATATATATGTTTATTTCCAATGTAACTCTGGCAAGACCAGTGTCAAAAAACAAAGGAAAGGAAAGAAATTATTTAAAAGAGAAAAACTCTGAATTCTTGCCCTATTTTCCTGCTGACGAACCAGCACCGGTATTGGCCTTTTCCAAAATCTATTTATTTGATAAGTGTCATTGGGAATGGGGTGAAAGGAATACTTCTATCCGAGAACGTGTCATTTAATATTTCGTATCATTCATTTAAGCACATACTATCACCTAAGGGTTTGTCTACATTAAATGTAGCGCAAATCGATGTCAATACATCCCTTTACTTTTGCCGTTTGACTCAATCAAGAAATGCAACCTAAATCGCTTATACTAAAACAGACTGAGTAATCAGGCAATGTTTCTTATTTAACGGGTCATATATATTCTCGAGTAGACGAACATACAAAAGCGATATAGGAAACAGACAGCAGTAAATTGCGACAAAGAAGAAATTAGTTTCTAATCGCACGAGCTAAGTGAAGTGAAGATCTATGATAATAACATAGCTTTTGTTTCATAAGTTCAACATGTTTTCTTCTCTTTCTCTCATCTAAGGGCATAAGATTTATGTCGACAGAGTATTAGCCGTTGTTTACACGATGTCAATAGGAGTTACAATTTGTTCAGTCGCACTTATCTATGCACCAATGATGAATAGGAATCTTTTTTTATTCTTTTCTTCCTCACCAGTTCACTTCAGATGAAATCATTGTTGTGCGTATGAAATCAACCTGAAGACAAGATCTAGCTGTTTCGTCTACTTTACCTAACGATTTCCAAACGAACAACAAATATAGTCGCAAGCAAATGAATATGAATACTATCCGCCATTCCGTTAACAAGGATTCTTTTGTTCTTCGTTCTATTTTTCTCTCAAAATCATTCTGTTAAAAGAAAAAGAATTCATTACGAGTATTAAATAGAAATATGAACTCGTCAAATAGACTTTTTTTTTCTTTTCTTTGACTTTTTTTCAAAAAAAAAAACTTACCTCCGACAAACTCCACGGAAATTAATGAAAACACTCCTATTCACAAACTTCTCATAGATTATCCCAGTATGATACATATTAGTCTGTCAACTGACGATGATTATTATACCCCACAAAGAAACATAATTACTATCTTGAATATGAATGCATTCTAGCGCAAAAAAAGAACACGTTTTTTCTTCGATACGCCAATTGATTAACTATAGTTTATCTTTGATTATAATAAAATAATATTTATTTACTGTAAAACGACATCGCAAAAGTGAAACTTACTGATTGTTTGCTTTCGTCGATAGGATTACCAGTTTGTTGGAGAAATTAGAGCAACTAATGCATTAGAAGACTTTGTCATGTTTATATGTAATCTAAATAATCGACAGAAACATTATATACATGTATAAAACAGAATGATTTGAAAAAAATGTAAATTCAACTGATGACAAATGAGTGTGTGTGTGCGTGCGCATTATGATTATTTCATGTTTCTACTTACATTATTGGATCGAACAGATCCTGTGCGTTTATTCAAAGTAGTTCGCGACATATTCGTGAGTATAATGGCGAAATTTGGATTAAATCTAATTCAACTATGAACAATAAAATAGACTGGATATTATCATTAGAGAGTGTATACATGAATTTAATAATATTTTCATAGACTAAGACTTTGATTAAATAACCAAGTCTGTTGAACTGAAATCCCTGCTGAATAGATTCCGTAACAAAGGAAGGATCTAACTTAGTAAGCAGATAGGAATGCATCTTTTCAGAATATTAATATTTTGAACTTCTATACATACTCTCACGAGGGTAAAAGAAGATTGTTTTCAGTTCGTCTTCTTTTCTTTTCTAAAACTCGGATAGTTCGTTATAGACGGATAGAAATGGCTAACATCTATATTCTTTGTTCGAAGAATTAATATAGCTAAAAGCAGATCTTTTCCCATTATGAAGTGAATAGTCCGTGATCGTCTAATAACATCATAAAAAAATCCTATCCGTGGTCTAGCTGTTTTTATACGCAGATGCCAGTACAAAAAAATAGACGGTCGGTTCCTCCCGCTAATCTTGTTTGTATACAGATCGAATTGTTCTCTTCTTACGTCTTCCTCTACGCGTTGCTCTCTTAACTAAAAGTTTGGATGCGAAAAGATTCTCCCATAGAAATGTTATCTGTGCTCAAGGTTCGTAATGTTTTCTTTGTTAATTCAAAGAAAATCACCGAATCTATCCATGATATACGCAACGGCTTTTTCAGTTGTCTAAACGAATAATATTATGAATAATTCCAATAAATTGTCAAATTCTTCTTCATTAATAAGCAAACGACATGTTTGTTTATTTGCTCGTTCGGTTCGCCCGGAACAAAAAAGAAAACTTAAACATACACACATACAGAGATAGTGTCTACCATCGCAGTTTTCTTATAATTATCTGTCTCATTTAGACTGAGAATCGAACGGTAGGGGATCAAAGACAGATGGATAGTTTAATAATCAGATAACGAAGTGAATTGACTTTCTAGTTTATTCTTATACACATGTTGTTTTCTTTTCAGTGCACGTACTACAGTAATTATAGATAACTTTGTCGATGTAATGTTCTGTCACACAATATCGCTCATTGATCTGTTTTCTTATTCTTTCTATCTGTCGTCATGATCAGTCTTTTTCGCCTTTTCTCTCTTTCTTTGTTGTCTTTTCATAAACTAGTTGTTAGCGTACAGGAAACATAAAACGACATTCCAATACGACACAAAGCAAATAAGATGATTTTTGAAAAATATATAAAGAATAAACATAATTGATTTGTTGTTATTCGGTCTGTGATGGCGTAGAATAGAGAATCTATGTGCATTGGAATATCACAGTTGATATTGCTCCTATACGTGACACGAATATCTGAAAAAATTAAATAAACATCAACACTTCTCAATGCTCAACTATGAAAAGTCGCTGAGTAAAAATTGATCTGTATTCATTTGGTTATCAAAGCACGTCAGTTAGTATCACTCATTAATCAAGACGACATCATCGTTATCACATTCGAGATAAGAACATTTCATTTGTATCGATTACAAGGACGTGTGCAATTTTCCAATGGATTATTTAAATTGAGATATTTGTAAACAAGAATTAATATCACATATACTTGACAGCGTGAGAGAACATCTAATGTCTCGTGAGAATCGGGAGCAAGAGTAAGTCGGTCTTTTTTCATCCTCATTCTTTTTAATCAAGAAAATTTATGAATACATCAAAATAAAAGTCAAATCCTCTTCGGAGAAGATTCAATTCTCTTGTTAGACATGTGTGCTTCTTACATATGTATGTAATCTTAATTCTCTCTCTCTGCAACAAAATTGTTTCGCGTACAAATCCTTGATCTTAATTTGTATTCTCCGAACTCATTTGTTACGGCTGTAAAAAGAAAGTGATGTGAAGAGAAAGTCGATTCAAGAAGCTACACATACTTATGATAGAATACGGGAGTGAATCAAAAGAAAGTCGAGAGATATGAGATGTTACAGTGGATTGCGAAAAATCATATGACGAGTTAATAAAAACTATATCACTATATATTGAGAAAATGATCGATAAGAGGAAACAACAATCAAGAAGAAGAAGAAAAAAAGAAGATGAATAAAAAATGAAGGATAGTAATTAAAGAACGGAACTAGTCAAGGTAAATGTGCATTAAAAAATGTGATGGAAATCAAATAGACGCTAAATTTTCGATCGCGAGCTCCTTTCAAGAGGATGAGAAGTCAAAACCAATCTACATATTATGTTCAATAATAGAAATTAAAAATTTCTTTTAATCAAAATCTGCACTGAGTTGTTCCCACTGTATGCAATATGTTGAAGTATGGGAAGATGTCGCTTTTTTAGTAATTGAGGTTGCTGTCAAGGTGATAGTCTACTTATGTCTATAATAAGTTTTGATTTTACATGCTCAATCAAACATCTGTGAAACAAATCCTGTAGCTATTCACATCTATTTACATTTACAATGTCCGATTCTGAAGGTGAAACATACGAAAAACAAGTCAAAATCGTGCTTGTGGGCGATGGAAGTTCCGGAAAAGTAAATTCATTTCTAGAAGACGCTTTCATCCATGTTTTTCTTCTAACAAATCTAGACTTCAATCTCGGAACGCTTTTCAAAAGATGCATTCAATCGCGATTATAATCAAACGTTAGGCATTGATTACTATCTAAAACGGATCAATCTCACACGTAATTTCAACTCTACGGATAAATTAATCGATTCTCATCTCACTTCACAGGTACATACAATGTAACATTAGCAGTCAATGATGTTGGCGGACAAACATTAGGTGGTGCAATGTTAGACAAATACATATTCGGAGTAGATGTAAAATATGAATATATAGCATTGAAACACATCTAGAATGTTTTTCTTTGTTTTTTTTAGATTGTCTTACTCGTTTATGATATAACAAACTTGCAAAGTTTTGAAAATCTTGAGGATTGGTATCACACTATAATAAAATATTGTGCCGGTCGAAAACCATTATTTGCGCTAGTTGGTAATAAAAGTAAGTAGAATTTTTGCAATACTATTCTCTAGAGTGTTTATAGTCACGAGAAGTGAATGAAAACGTTGTTTTCTTGTGATTACAGGAGATTAGCATAATTCTCAAAAAAGAAATAGGTCGATATGAAATAGTCATTCGATTGCGAAATTATTACTCGACCTGAAGAAATTTAATGTTAACACATTTTTAGGTGATTTGGAACATCTACGCGCGGTGAAACTTGAAAAACATCATCAATTTGTTAAAGAAAAAGATATATTATCATATTTTGTTTCGGCTAAAACAGGTGAATCAGTGGAGAACTTGTTTCGTCAAGTAACAGCGAATTTAATGCATGTTGTATTACCGAAGAATGATCAGGATGCGACGCGTATCATTAAAGCACCAATTATACGGCAAGAGTCTCACAATACCGCTCCACTGAAAACAACTCCTCCACAATCAACTCACACACGTACTTCAATTTGTAGCTTACAGTGAAGAGTCTATCGTTGTGAAATATATGTTGTGCAATGTTGCAATTAGTGAAATTTATATCAGTTCGATTTCTATTTTCAATAAATGTTATAAAGTAAAACAAAAAATGTTGACATACAGTTCGAGACGCTGAAGATAGCAAGGTTTTAAATAGGAATTCCTTTGAGTGTTGTTTCATACTTGAACACGTATAATCTAAAATGTACTTGTGAACTTATCACAAAGTTTCAGTACCCGTAAAAAGAAAAAGCTCAACGATTTACCAAACATGCGAGCATACAATACGTTTGTGCTATGATTTCGCGAGATTTGGGTACATCGATGTAAAGGAACGAGCGATGAGGCAAGACAGTGGGATCTCTAACATGTGATCATTTCTTTTGATATGAATAATTGTATTTTTATAACATGTCTTTGTATAAGAGCTTTGGTAATGTGATAGAGTGCTATGGCACTTGTATGCCGTGTCTTTCTACTCGTATAAGAAGAAAGTTCTTTGAAGATAGAATGGAATGAACATGAACGTACTGATATGACGAAAAGATCCATTGCGATAGTTCTTATGTTACTGGGCACGACTCTTTGAGCTTTGCAAAGCTGTTCGAAGGAACCGGTCAATGTGACATCTTCTGTTTGAGCTGATATTCTGCTCACAGATGTTGCTCGTAGAACAAGTGAGAACTCCATGAATGATTTTTTCCCATGCTCTATTTTTGTTGAGATAATATTATTTTAAGATATGGGGAACAGTTCACCCTTGTCGTGCAACATGTCGGAAATTTTCACAATAAACAACTTTCATTGAGAGATTCATCCGAATAAAGCTTTAAATCTAAATGTGAAAAGAAGTTTTTTTCCAATATCTCTGAGGATTATCGCAAGGATGAGATTTTTCATATCTCAAAATTACATTATCTCAACAGAAACACAGGATGTGGAAGAATCGCTTTTTAGTTTAACTCATTCTATGAACTATGTCTTTGAGCAAAGTATCATCTCAGATAAGAGATACCATCTTAGATGGTTTTTTCGTGATGACAAAAGAAGATTGAGAGAGAGAGGATTGTTGGTTTTCAGAAATCCTGATTTTTAACAAAACAGATCTTTGGAAAAGTATTGGTCGTGGGTACTATGATTCTTGGATTCAACATGATCAATTATCTCTAGTTGATCGAGCTTTAGCTCGAAAGCTATTTGACAGTTGGTAACCGTTCAAATGCATCAAAGTACTATCAATGTTATCTCAAATGCCATTTGGGATGTGTCCATCAAACTTACATATTCAAACAGTTTCGAAATAAGCAAAGACATTCATTAAAACGATACATCTTCACTTTTTGAGAGTGTCAAGTAAATAGGTTAAAATATCATTGATACAAGGAGTCAGTTATAAATCGACGATCAATCGGAAGACAAATCAAAACGATAAAAACATGACGATTTTGTGTCGTAACTTCCTTTCAGGAACTTTCCTAGATCGCGTACAAGTAGTGAGATAATAGTACAGCTCAGAATGTCTGGCCTGTTTGGCTGCTCCATTGGTCTATTGATGATGCTTATTCAAACGAGATATCAGAATTCTGTTATGAATATGAGTTCACTAGTGGAACTATTTTAAAGAATCTAATAAGCTAATGAATGTATGTACGTTCGATTGATCTATTTCGTTGTTGGTGAATGATAAACTTAGTACAGACGCGAAAGCAGAACATTAAACTATTCTTTGCATCTTGTTAACTCGTCGATATATACGACTAGCGCTCTAAATTTTCAGTAATCACAATTCAAAACGAATGAAATATACGTCTTTTTATTCATTAGAAATCAAACGTAACATTTTGAAGAAAACTCTGATAGACATCTATCTCAGCTTGACGTCTTTTGCTGTGCGGGAATGCATCAACACCGTTAATGAAATTGAATATGAGAAAGCGATTTGAGATAGATTCCATTGCATGCTAGTCATCATCATCGGAAGAAACACAGCAAGAAATCAGCGCCGGTGATGACACCATTTACACCTGCGTCCGTATAGATAATAGCAGCAGGTCTAATCGTTTTGTATGACGTCGGGAACACATATTCTCAATCTCATTGTATAGGCCAAATCGAATTAAGCAATGAATTTCAACAAAGAATGACATACGTCAAAACTTGAAGACAGACGTGCTTGCCTTCTCTTAAAGAAAAACGGATAATGATTGATCCACACCTCATGTAGCATTTAAAATATGTGCGAAATACACCGATATAAAAGTGTACTTGAATAACTGACATCGAGTGTTCATTTTGTTTACGACAAAGTTGACAGTAAGAAGCAATCGTAATTATTTGGATTTTGACATTCGAAAGAAATAAGTGAGCAAAACAAACTACAAGCCACAACTATGAAATTCTATTTTGAAACTCAAATATTCAAAAGCAAGCATTTTGAAATTATAAATTCACTGGGAAAAAAGTTGAGAACATTTCTCTTAGGACCATTAAATAGACATCCGTTATCTGTACATTTAGATCAAAATATTCTATTGTCGTACGATATTATACAAATCATACTCTCTCAATCAATTAGTAATCAAAAATTGACAGAAACATTTCATACAAAAGATTTTTTTCTCCTTCTCTCTTCTCATACGAGAACGAGCCAATCGACACTGGCGATATACACTTATCAACTGACATATTTCATTAGACATTCGATGAATCAAAAGATACGATAAAGTAGTAGAAGAGAAAAATCAATGACGTAAAAACCATTCGACCGTACAAGTAGATCATTACTGATAATTAACATTAAACGAAATGAATACGTGATAATTGACCTTTGCATCTATCTCATTGGTATTCGCATTCGTATCTTTTGCTATTCTCCGACCAATGAGGAGTTTTACTTATACTAATTATGTCCTCACCAATGAAAATCATGTTTCTTTTCTCTTCGGATAGATTAGAATAATTTGTTCGTCAGTATAGCACATCAATGAAGACAGAATGTTTGTTATGAAGCAAATGACATACAAATATTTTGTTTTTTCTCTTTTCTGAAAGAAAAAAAAAAAGAAGAAAAAAAAAGAAAACGAGAGAAATAGAATAGATCATTTTCTTATCAATCAACTTTGTTTCCCACATGCAGAAAGAATCGATTAACATAACAAACTATCCAATGTTATTAGCTGCACAACAACAACTTTATGATTATGCGGTACGTTTACGTTTCAATGGCTCAATACCATCAGATATACACTCATTCTATGCTCTACAACATCGATTCGGACAAGAACCTAAGCCATCCTATTCCTACATTGGACTTATTGCAATGGCAATTTTAAGCTCCCCTGAACAGCAACTAGTCCTATCAGATATTTATCAATGGATACTGGATCATTACCCATATTTTCGTACGAGAGGTTCCGGATGGAGAAATTCGATTCGGCATAATCTGTCTTTGAACGATTGTTTTGTTAAAGCTGGCCGGTCAGCCAATGGAAAGGGACATTACTGGAGTATACACCCGGCAAATCTAGCCGATTTTCTCAGTGGAGATTTTCGAAGACGCCGAGCTCAGAGACGAGTTCGGAAAAGTATGGGATTATCCGCAGCCGAAGACGAAGATGAAGACGACGATGATACAGAAGATTTGTTACCAACGAACGGCACACCATATCATGTAGAGTCGTAAGTAGAACGATGACGAAAAGTCGAGATTATACTGTAAACTGATCTTGTTTTCTCGAATCGTCTTATCGGTGAAAGAAACGCATTAGCGATTATCACTCGATAATCACTAATCATCATCATTGACAATTGCAATTCAGATAAAAATCAATGAGAATTATTCTTTCTTTTTGCTTAGATGTTCATACCGTTTTCACATTAATCCGCAAATTTCTTTCTTTCTAGCTCTTTAGCAAAACTTCCATCAGAAAAACTTCGCACTGATGTAAATAATTTGTCGTTTTCATCTTCTACTAACAGTACAAATGTTTCCAATGATTTGCTGCGACGCTATTTCAATGATCTACAAAGTATGACCATATCTTCATCATCATCGCCGTCAACTCATCCAACGTCTCTACATCAAAATTCTCTAAAACAAACGCAACGAAAGCGTTGTTTCGATGTAGATAGTCTATTAGCACCTGATGAACCACGCTCAATTAAACGACACAAGTCTCATTGCGATAGGAATGAAACTATCGGCAGTCCATATTCCAAATCAGATGGTTCAACAGATACAGAAACATCCAGCTGAACGTTTTTGTACAAATTTTATTTCTTATCTTATTCATTAATAATAAAATAGTTTTTCTTCTTGTTCGAAGATCATCTTCAGTCATATCATACATTCGTACTCTAGATGTTTATGTCATACACAAATTCATGTCGTTTATTCGTTTTGTTATAGAGCAGAAAGAAAAATAACGCTTAAGAAAGAAAAAACAACTCAATATTGAATCACCAGATATGTGAGGAACGTTTGTAATCATTTTTGTCGTGTCCTTGTTGTCTTGTGTAGGTAAAATATGAGATTTTCGAAGACTAGGAAGAATAGACAAAACAGAAAAAGAAGAGAGACGGTCTTTCACCGGTAAAACAGAGCATGGGATGTATGCACATATATATATGATCATTGTTTACTGTTGTATTGATTCGATGTAGAAAGCCTCATTTTCGTGTTAATCTCGATGGTGCCTCGAATGGATTCAGGCGACGATTCATATAATCATTCTCATTATTGTTCATTTGTAATGGACGTTTTGCTCTTGATAAGGCCGAATTTTCACTTAATAATTGTTCTTGTCGTTTGCTAAGTATTTTCTCTCCGGGAATATTGATTGGATTCAAATTACGTCCATAACGTGTTTCAATTTCATCAGAATTCATCATTGGAAACGGATTTTGAAAACTATTTGTCATGGATGATGGCATGATGAAATCAGGTTCGTAGTCAGTTGGAGGAGTTGTAGGAATTGGTCGGGCAGTATTTTGTGGAGCACGTCCGTTTGTTTGAGCAGGAAGGTTTCCCATTTGGGGAAATTGAACTTCTTCACGGATGAGCTCTGGCAGATAGTATTGATTATTTTCTTCATCGTAACGAGCTTGTTCAATGATTTTATCAAGATTACTATAATTACAATTACGTTGCATAACTTGACTCATCTTGTCGAGCATCGTGCGATAGAGAAGTAAGCGTTTTTCTTGTTCACGAATGACACTCAAGTATCCTTCGCGTTCACTTTGAAACTCATGTTGTAAATCTTCGTTATCGCTTTTCAAACGTCTATTTTCTATCTGTTGTTCATCGAGTTTTTTGCATGTAAAATGAAGCTAGAACGAAACATTGTAAGTAAGTTGTTGTCTTATCAATTTATGAATAACTGACCTCCTCTTGAGCATTATCAAACACTCTCATCATAGCATCATCATCGTCCGCATTCATAGCACTACCAAATTTTTTACGTTGTTCTCGTTTCTCCTTCATTTTCTTTAACTTCTCTTCACGCTTTCTCTTTCGTGCATCATTATCTGCATCTTCACCACCGATGAATTTATTCTCTAATTCATGCAAACGTTCGATTTTTTCACTTTCATCCATCGGTTTCGAGGGTGTGGATACATCATCAACATTCGCATCAACATTCGGCCTTTGCTTTAATATACCACCTTTTTTCTTCGGTTTGTTTCTATCATTGCCCGTTGTTGATTGTTCGCCTAAGAATTAAAAAAATAAATCATTAAAAGACAATATTTGGTCGATTTTACCTCCTTCTCCTCCTCCTGTAGTTTGTTTATTACTCAATGCATCAAGATCGTTATCATATTGCTTTTTTAGGTTATTGTATTGTCGTTGTAGTTCTTCTTTGGTCAGACGTTCACTGTCACATTGTCGGCGTACTTCCGAAACCTCACGTTCGAATTCAGCGCGTAGTCTTTCCTTTTCTCGTTCAATTTCGTCGTCTCGATCGAATTGAGATCTCTAGAGAAAATAACATTTTCACAGATGTTTTCTCTTGTACGATGATTCATAGAATCAATAGGAACTCTTATAAATGTCAGCTTTTTAATAATTAACTATAGGTTTCTATGAGCTAAACAAACTTACACTATCACTGGTTAGATATGATTGATTTGCACGAGGATTTCCTGAATTGAGAAGTTCTTGCTTCAACCGATTGATTTCCTCTTGTAGTAATTTCATTTGAGTATCACGAGGATCTTCATTAATGTGCGGCTTATTCTTAATATTCTTCGCTCGATTTGCATCTGAAAAAAAAAATCAGTAGTTCTTCTTTACAAAACAAGTCTCTGAACTTACATCTCAATGTTGAAAGTGTTTCTTCATAGTTGTCATGAGCTGGACTTATGGCAGCAACCTACGACGAATAAACATTGACAGATTCCACTTAAAACAACAGTTCTTTCCTTACCATCAGTGTTTTCGTATTTCCACCAAGTGAATCTTGCAGCATACGTGTTAATTTTGAATCTCGATATGGAATATGTTTCGAACGACCATCTACCAATGCCGATATGACGTTACCCAAAGCACTTAGCGATAGATTGATACGAGTAGCTTCGCGTAAGCGTTCACCTTCAGCCTCTAGAATCAAAGATGACAACACAATAGAAATATAGCAATTGAAGCCGTTGGATAGTTACGTGTTTTCGATTGTCGTTCACTTCCAGCTAAGTCAACAAGATTGAGTTTACCTGCACGAATATGATCTTTCCCATCAAGTTCACTTCTTGTGCAAACTTCACTGACAATGGTAAATATTGAATGCGATCGAGATGAATCTTTATTCATTAACGTAGCACCTGTCGCTCGATTTCGATTTCCCTTTTCCATCAAACGCTCACAATCGCTAACATTTGTGCATTGATGCCATGTCAAATTTTGGACATGAACACCTTTGTCAGGATACTCCTTTTTGTATTTGAAAAAGAAATAAAACAAACAATAAATGACAAGGACAAAGCATATTTACCTTCAAATCAAGTGTTGCTTTAACATCTTTACTGAGTAAATCGCGAATATTTTCGTTGTAGATTTCCAGATATGAGGCACGAATTAAATACTTTGCACCAGTCGCTACAGATGATGCTTCAAATATATGCTAAAATGATATTTAATAATCTATGTTTAGCAGTTGTATATATAAATGCCTTTACTTCAAACGATCGAGGAATGACACCACGCTGTAGTGATCCCGGTGTATTTATGCCTTGCATAGTAAAAGATTTCCCACACCTAACGAATCAAGAATATATGCAAATTGACTTGTACTCAATCAATCGCGACTTACCCTGTTTGACCATAAGCAAAAACAGTTGCATTATAGCCTTCGAGTACCTAAAACAGACAAGAATGTACATTTGTTTTACTCTTGTTTCGATTGCTTATTCCAACATACGCTTTCAACGAGAGGAAAAACTGATTCAGCATAAAGATTCTCTGTGATAGAATCTTCAGCATACACTGCATCAAAAGTAAATTGCTTTGGTGGTTCGTTTGACTGTTCAATATTCTCTAATAAGACTTGATTGATTTTCGTATTCATTGAAATAATCGTCTGAAACCGAATCATTTGTTTTTCGTTATACGCAACTTCCTAGTGCCGAAATTTATCTTACTTGGCAATTTAGATCTAGTTCTCGTTGGTTCATCGGCCTACATCTGACAATAACTCGAACGGTTTCAGCATTAGCCATTACTGTGAAGCTCTTGAGTCAATCTAAAAACGGTATAATAGAGATTTGAACGTCGAGAAAGAACGAACAAATACTGATACACTGTCACGTTATAATTTATGCGATGTGCTTCACTTAATATCGAGTGTTTTTTAATAGAATAAAACTATTAAGACAGAGAGAAACGCAAGGAAGAAAAACCATGAGTATGGTTGTTGCTATTCGAGATGCAACAATTGCCTTTTCTGCGATGAAAGAGGACGCTATTGTGCAAAATAAAGTAAACATTCGAAAAAGAAGCTTCTTACACTTAGTATAAAAAGTTTTTATTGAATCATCGGTGAATTTCTTCGATCAGATGTTAAGAACAACAATCCAATGTTGACAAAAAACAACAAAGTGAAGACTGAAGATATGATAACAGTTACACTTGAGGTTTTCGAATGATAGTCATTGTCATGCAGTAGTAAATTCTACATTTTCTTCGTCAATGTCATCAAGTTTCAAGCAGCTATAAAAAGATTTTGAATTCTGTATTTTTATTTCGAAGAATGATTCATCATGTGTTGAATTTCTTCTGTCTTCCGTTTATTATCAATGATCATCTTTCTGTTCATTAAAGTTCATCAAGCAACATAAATGATAAAATAAAAATGAAGGATACATGTATGTATGGTTTTTAACGAGACTTCTACAAAGAGAATGTCTTTTATCACAAAAGAAATCGACGTCAAAAACGATTATAACGACTAAGTTTTGTTCTCCAAAGATGTACGAACGGAATATGATGTTACGATATAGCAAAAGAAGAAAGAAAATAATTTACATCGATATAATACTTTCTAAAGGAAAGAAACGATGTTGTGCATTTGGTTGTTTTCTGTTTGATGATAATGAAAGTGATAGAAGTTCGGAAGTGAAGAAGAATGAAGAAAAACGAATCAATGAATATGTTGTAGGTAAAAAATAGGATAAGATTTTAACAGTCAGGATCAACATTACTGTTGTGAATGCCACATGGAATTATGATGCGTACGTTGTTGTTGATGATAGTTTCGATTGTTACTACTACCGTATGAAGCACCAGTTCGATTATCCTTTGAAAAATTCAAAATGTTCGTTTGGATTTTTATACGAATGAACATTTTCATAAATACTTACACGATTATCAACCGAAGGATAAGTCATTGATCGATCCTGATGTGACGTATAATACGTTGGCACTGTGTATAGAAAGGGATTGATATAGAAAGCTGTTGCTGGACTAGTGGCTGCCAATGGAGCTCCCTGAGGGAATGTAGCTGCATTTGCAGATAATTTGCTTGTCATCAGAGTATCTTTTGTAGGTTGCGATGAATTAGCTGCTTGCCCATAATGCGCATGAGTTTCTTTATCGTATGAATACTGATCTACATGCGAAGAAAGACTATAAAATACTCTTATACGGAAGGGATGCGAACCGAATTTTGCTGGTTGAATCTGGGCAGATTGATACGGTTGTTGTGCAGGATATGTCTGTATGTAATCTAGGAAGAAATAGAACACATAATTGATTTTATATGACTAAGATGAATAGGAGCTTACTGGTTGGTGGATATGCGGGATATTGCTCGAATCCGGCAGAAGACCATGGATCTACAGATGTTGTTATGACTGGATAAAGCTAAGAAAAGGAACAATGTGATGCAATTGGGATTGTTTGAAACGGAAATGGTTCGAGTTTCTTACTGCAGGCGCATATTGATAAGGTCCTACAAGAAATTGTTGTGGTGGTAATGGGTAAGATGCTTGCGGAGGATAATTTCCTGGTTGTACCATTGGTGATTTAGACATCGCTTTAAAATTTGAAGGTTGTTGACTCCAATTAGGCGCTACTTGAGAATATTCTCCAGCGATTGGCCTAAAATGAGTAAAACAAACATGTGATGTCGTGTAAAGATATAAACTTCTCACTGAAAACCAGTAGCTGTATTGTAAGGTGTGAAGGCGGATGAGTTTCCGCCTGAAATATTGCTTCCGTTAGATAGAGATGATTGAAGAATATTTGGCATGAATGGATTATTGATTTGAGCAGTCGGCGAAGTATATTCCGAAGCGTTTGGTGTTGATGTTGGTGGTAAATGTGCTGCATCAGGCAGGGATGATGATGAAGGTGGTATTGGTAGCGATGTTTCCTGTTGCTGTTGTTCACTTAAATGATCAGATAAATGAGAAGTTCCTTCTAGAGGTACACCCGCTGTGTTATTCGACTAAAACAGATGAAAAGAAAAAGATTTTGAAGCAAATAAAAACGTTCACTGCATTACGGTTATATCAATTGATATTGATGAAGCTGAAAGTCGATTGGCAGTTTCATGTAATTCCCTATCGATTTCATTCGTTGTTGAGCGATTGCTATAACTCGATGATAGATTCATTTCGACACTGAAAATATATACATAAAAATGAACCATTATGAATGTATTCTAGCTTATATATAATATCATTCCGCCCTTTGCAATCTACAGCTGTAGATATTGTTGAGTTTTTCTATAGAGGAAGATCTCAAAAGAAACAACATACTCCGATTTATGGCCATGATCTTGGACGCTTGGAACAGATGATAGCTGTTGACTGTCTAATGCTCTGACTAATACAGAGCTATTGGACGGAGTAATTGTCATCGGTATGGAATCATTCCATTGAACATCACCAAATTGAATGTCAATCGGTTCTGTCGAGAATTGAACAGTTGGATGCATTGATACCGGTCGTTGTGGAATCGATGATGGCATTGGACGTTTTGTAGTCGATGAAATCGTTGGCTTTTGGCTATTGTCAAATGTTAATGACTGTGTTGCGCCACCAGTGAAATCATATTCGTCCGCTGACGACGACGATGATGACGATGACGCTACGGATGTGATCTCTTCTTTTGGCTTTGAAGATGGAATTATTTCACTCGGGTTTACTTGTGTTGACAATGATTTGTTAGCTGTATTGGTATTGGAATAATTACTACGCGCTGGATAACGTGAGTTCGTTGGAATCGAATGATTGCGACCGGGATCATTGCCTATTGGAGATAGACAAAGGTTAAGATGTGATAGGAAGAAATGAAAACACAAAAAAAAGTATTTACCACGTCGTCCAGCATTTGTACGCATTGATGAGTTTTGATAAGATTCTTGTCGTGGTCGTCCGCCAACAGCAGCAGTACTATTATTTCCACGAACTGATGAAGTTGGAGAAGCACGCTGTGATATTGCTCGTTCACTCTCGTTTTGCGTACTTCCATTAGATATTGGTTCGACAACATGATTGCTATTGTGATTTTTCTTTTTATTGTTATGTTTCGCTGTTTGCCAACCGCCATCCTATCCAAATAGAAACTCTGTTGAATCAAAAAGTTTAGTCCACAATTAGTTTTACCTCAAAATCGCCAGCTTTGATTCTAGCTATGGTATTCTGTACGTTATAATCACATTCATGGTGAATAACTGCAATTAAATCAGGATCAATATCTTTACATACTTCTTGGATCTAAAAGAAACATTGAATTCGAGACAAGCTTTCATATCATTTCGCTTTTACTATCGATATGTGCTCCTTAATAGTGCCATCATCGAGTTTTTCCGGACGTAATCGAGCAAGAGGTGTTTGACCGATGCCATAAATCCTTGATAGCTAAAAGAATTCATTTAAATAAGTTACAGATCGATTGTTCGCACAACTTACATCAGATCGACTATTAACTCTCTCCTCGTTCAATGTTGATGAAAAACTTGCCATAATTAACAGTTAAATATGAATAAATATGTGAAATTCTCAAATAATATCATTATAAATAACTGATCATTTCATCTGAAAAAACAAGGCAAATATTCAATTATGTCATTTGTTTTGATTCAGTTTATCCTTTGAAAATCAGAAGGAAAAAAACAGAACGATAGAACCTTCGGAACAAGAATTTTTCTATTCAAGAAAAAATGTATCAACGAAGAAATCGTCCATTGGTAATCTCTGGACAGCCAATGAGAAACACGCAGCACAGTAATGCACTTTGTCTCGATTGTAATCACAAAATGGTCAAGGGTATTCAAACAATAGAAATGATTCTGGCATGAAGCCAAAAGGAGATATCAAAACGGACGACGAAAGAGCAATGAAAATTTGGTTGAACATCTTCATTGTTGTGTTTCTCTTGACGTTTTTTAGATCGAATCCTATCCTATGGATATCAATCATTCAATCGGCACAAAAATGCCGAGTCAAGAACATTTGAATTTTATCAATAAATTAAATGATGCGAAAATTCCTCGACAAAGTCAATTGATTTCCAATCGTTTGTTTATGAAAAATTTTCCTCGCGAAGTAAATTATCACTGCTGGATCTTCGTCTGATCTCTTCCATTGTTTTTTCTAGACAACCAGTGCAGAAATTGAGCGATGCTTTCAAACATTCGGTCCTGTACATGATGTGAAAATAATTGCCAAAGAAAATACGTAAGAATACTAATGTGATATCAAACGAATTTCCCATCAATTGTTTTTTCTTTTAGACACTTTGCATTCATTTCGTTTGTCAATGATCATACTGCGTTAGATGTTCTGCGGCAGCATGCAATCGTTCCGATTACATTTCAGAATTGTCCGATTATTTTAGCACCTGCTTACAAAAAGAACAATGTTCTTGCATCGACAAGTAAGACTCGGATGATGAGCTGGAAGATGTTTGAACCTGCATTTTCATGTTCGCGTCAGATATTACTTTCATTCATTATCATTTTCTTTGAATAACTAATTTTGAAAGACAAGACTGAAACTTGAAAATCATATTCGTGTAAGTTTATTAGGAACAGTTAGAGTGGACGGTTAGTTGTTGCAACGGCGCTGACATTTAGTGGATTAACTAAGCACCGACGTGTTGACAAGCATGAAAAATTATATTAATAGCTTTTTCACTGATAAATGTGGAATGAAAACGTAATTGATTGTTTTTTTTTGTTTCTCTAGGCCCTTCGTCTTATTATCCTACAAATGGTTCGACTATGACACCACCTCCTACACCTTCTCGAGCAGGAGGAGTCAGTGGAACAGGTCAACAGTCATCAACGCCATTCAATCAACAGCAGCAGCAACCAATGTCAGTTCCCCAACAAATATATCCTCCATTGTTTTTTCCCGTACAAGCTAATGTATGTTTTCTCACTATTCTTTTATCTCTCTTCGAATCTGCTTTATTCAGATGCCATTTGTACCCATGACTGGTACTTATTTAGTACCACAAGGCGCACCACCTCCGGTAATAATATTTTCCTAATCAAGTTTTTATTAAGAATATTTTAATTTGTTTAGCAACTACCACCTTCTTTCTACCCGACATTCTATACTCACGGTGCTGTGCATCAAACAGGTGGACAGTTAATCAACGGAGTATGCTGCTTACTTAATCTTCTTCAAGCATATGTTATTTTCTTTTTAGCATGCCTATATACCACCACCCTACGTGTATTCCATGGGTCCACTGCCTGTTCCGGAACAATATCAGCCAACCACATCAAAAAGTGATGTGTCGATGACCAACGAATATTGATTTTGATTGCATATGTTTTTTCTTCTTCCGGCCTTGCTACAATTCTTTTTGCTAGTATTTTTTGCTCAGGTCTCTTTTGTTAACGAATGTTTCCAAAGAGATTAAACTTCGAAGTCGATCTCGTGCTCTTTCATCGGTATCGGCGTGTATGTCTTCTCTGAATGTGTGTGTGTGTATGTATGTATGTACATCTCTCGATGGTACTTCTTCTACCGGTGTACTATCAAGCACATATAATGTGAACTTTCTTTTCTTCTCTTCGATTATTTGTGTATACATCGTGATATATCTTGTTTCTCTTCGTCTTCTCTATTTTTTTCTCTTTCTCTCTTCATCTTCTCCATGTCAGATGGTCAATACTCAGAAACAGCTCTACCGGTTACTTTTTTCTGTCAGATATAAACATACGGTGCCATGATTTTTCTCTTTTATTTCCTTCCACATACGTCTACTTTTCTTCTATGCCGTCGTCTGTAATAAACATAAAAAAAGTTCAGTCAGGTGTTCGTATTGACTCATCTATTTGATAAAGCGTGCAAGAAAAGTAAAAGAAAATATTTGTAAATTTTGTCATTGACAAATCCGAGAAATAGTCGATCCGTTGAGTGCAAATTGCACAGTTGGCCTATTTCATACGTGTAGACAGCGAGAGCATATTTTTAAAGTTTGTCTAACGAGCAGTCTTTCTATGAATTAAATTAATAATTACATAGTGCTAAAAAAAACAAAGAATTGATTTTGACAGGGTGGGTACATTTTTCTGTTATCTATTTTAGATTTGTTCCTCCGCCGAATGTTTCTGAACATGAGAATTAAATACATAGGTAAGATTATATGACTCTTCTATATCTTGTCTGCGTTTTTTTTCCACCCACATGAAACTCGTCGTAATCTAAAAAAAGGTCTTATCTCGATTGTCGCGTCTTTTGCAGACAGATCTTGTATTTAGGTTTTCTGAAATTGAGAACGTTGTCCTGTAGAAGATTAGAACAAAGAGACGTTATGAATATAAGGAGCCATATCAGTAGAGAATGTGTTAATTCTAACAGGATTCATTGTTTCTAAAACCATTTCTTCCAGATAATAAAGAAAGGATATTTGCATTAGATTTACTTAAACGAAAGACTAATAACTGTCATTGCAAATTTGAATTATTATTTTAATCACACACGTATGAATACCTCGAAGTATTAACTAATACTTCTTTTCTTCAATTTTTTTTCTTTCCCTTCTACTTCATCATCATTGTTACATCATAGTCTAGACGATGTCGATGGCAGCGACAGAGACGGTTAGTTACATAGTTTTTATTTAGTCTGTCTGACTAGAAAGATATATATGTATGTGTGTGCATATGCATACTGAATCAACGAATTGATGATGAAAGAAGTGTAGTCAACTTTATAACCCTTGTTCCGATAATTGTTATTTTTATTCGATGACTTTTAATACAATGCAATTGTAAAGAACGAAGTCTCATTTCTCTGTCATAGTACTTAACCAAAAAAAAAGATATACAAATGCTATTTTATCGCAGGTTGGGATTTGACAGTCAACTGTCTACGCATCATTCTTTTTTATTCTTCTAAGAACTAGAATTTGCGTGACAGTATCTTTATTAATGTGCAAAGCAGACGACAGCGAAAAAAAGAAGAACTCATATGTCACGTAATTAAGTAAGAAGTATTTTTAGTTTGTCAGCAAACAAAGCGACTATCCTTGAAGACGTTATTTAAAAGAATATATATTGACTAAAAGGTATACGGTGAGTAATTTGTTATCAACCCGCTTTTTCGGTAAATTCTCATATAAAGCGTTCAGAAGTCTGATGACGATAAGTATGAGAAGAATAATATTAATAAAACATTCATGGTAGACTCTCGGAAGAATATTTTATACTTATCTGTATTTATATTTAAACTTTGTCAGTTCTTCGTGAAAAGAATTCTTAGCCTACAAAAATTTGACCTACTTACAGACGAATACTAATACGATGTAGGGATAAATAACTGCCTAGACCAACAGTTTCCAGCAGACAAGCACACGAACAGATTATTCTATTAATGATTGACTTGCTTTTGAGACCAACAACGAATACTTACAAGGACATTGTCTGTCTGTCTGCTTGTCTATCTGTCTTGTTATCGTTTTCATTCAGAGACTGACAAATAGATCAGTCGACAGTCGTGTTATTTTTTATTGTTATTGTCTTGAAACAAAACAACATTACTGTTCTGTTGTTCGCCGATCAGAACTCGAAAAAGCAATCGATTGATCCGCTCGCACAACGTGATGACCTTCACTTTTCTTTTGCTTCATTATTCGCACAAGACTAGAGACAAATACCTGACAAAACACTTCGATTATGACTAATATTAAAGAAACATCAAATACATCTAGTATTTACACGTACTTTCATAAGTAAAACACGTATTTTGATGTTTATTAACAAATAAACACCTTCAGACGGACGACGCACTTATTCGCCCTTATAGTTTTCGTCGTTTAATGTACTAGAATATGCGAGCGCTAAGGACATATCGTGTTCTCTTTTCCTGTAGAACTTGTCCAATCGTGCTGACAAATAATTTTTAGTAAGATTCGTTATGAATGTTTAACACGTTAGAGAATAAAATGTGTTTTGTTGAAGCTTTGCGTAGATTCCTCTTTTTTCTCGTTTCTGTTTTAGAAACCATTGGTCGTAGATTTAGTCGACGTTTTCAGTCTGGTGTGTTTTGTTGATAACGGAAATAGACATGACGAGACGCACTTAACAGTACGCTGAAAGAGAGAAAGATGTTGATGATTAGACATTATATCATCGCAGACAGACGGCAAGCACAAGAAGAAGAAAAAAACGCGAACGAGTCGAGAAAGAAAAATTAAGAGCAGCAGACACACAGAACGTAAAGAAAAATGACGGCGGCCAGACATAAAGCTACTAAGGACAGAAATAGAACGAAGAAAAATAAGAAAAGTGCCACTGTCTCATCGTTGCTTATTTCCTTTTGATTTGCTACTCGTCGTCTTCGCTTTCACAGTTAGTCACTCAGTTAGTTCATGTCTAGAATCCCTCGATAACTCTTCACTGAAAAGAACCTATTCGTCGAACATAGGTAGACATAAATTGTCTTGGAACTTAATTACTCGTCGAAACTATTGCCGTGCTCGACATTCACACTATCGTCGATGACGACTAGACAAATGCATGCTCTCGGAAGCATGGCTTCAGCTCTATAACAGTCGAATGAACATTTTTGCCATTAACATATATATCTCGTTGAAATTCAGTAGTCTGTTTCTGTTTTAGATTGTCGGTGTTGGTGTCTGAGCATGTAACAAAATTTTTATATTTTCTTGAAATATTTTTCTTCAACTCCAAGCAAGTTTATATCTGAAACTAGTCGATGTTGGATCGTTTATTTCAAGCAAGCATTGGTTCATTGTTGTCGTCGCTATTAGTTGTGTTATCAGCATGACTGCTACTGGAACGTTGATGATCAAAGATCGATTGCCTACAAATACGAAAGTTCAGTCAGCACTTACACAAAAATATCAACGACGTCATCGACAGCAACAAGCTCATTCATTACAACGTAAGTAGAGATGCGATATTACATTTAGGTCAAAAGTGTTATGACAGAAAAATATTAGAGACATGTGTTAAATATTGACCGAATTGCATATTTGTTGTCCTTTTCTATTTGTTAATCAATGTGTAAATCTCAGTAGACCATAATTAAGAGTATGTCCGAAGAGCTTTGCATAATGGATTTCAGAGTCTACTAGCCTACGCTACCCTTTTTCAGTGTGAAAGTAGGCAGCAAAATCTTGTCTTTTTCATTTGCCGGCTCTTTTGAATCAATAAGATAACGAATGTAACATTGAGGTGAGATAGGTAAAAGATATACACTTGAATAGTTAGCAGATGTCGGAAAGCACTTGTTGAGGTGAACAAATGAACAGCGCAAATCATTTAAATCAAGGATGAATCCATTTCCAAACTAGGCTAGGTCTGTGAATGATTAATATTATCTCTAAAACGAAAAGAAAAGAAAAGAGGTATTTCTCTTCTGAGTGAGCTTGACTTTAGAAATTTATTTGTCATCAATCATTTCTTTTTCTTTTAGCTATTCAAATAAATAACAAACAAAATCAGTCTACTATGTCGAATACTTTCATTCGTGAACTTGATCTTAAAATGCAACAAGTCAGAGAATACAATCTAATCACACATGGTTATTGTAATGAAAATTTTCAATATCCTGTTCATGTTCGTCGTAGTCATGATGGAGAAAAATTACCACGAACAGTATCCAAACATTCTCGATCGGAGAGTCGAACAGCTCATACTCATCTATCCAATCCGACTATTTTGACCTCCTCGTCCTATGAAAACCGAACGAAAACTAAACAGAAAGATGCAGCCGCCAGACAATTATCCAATGACGAACGTCAAACAACATTAGTCACTCCACCAAATAAAACTGTTAATGATATTAATCCCTCATTAAATTGTGATCGATACCATTCGCATAGAAAATCGTCATCGTCATCTACAACGTCCTCTCCAATACTTACAACTGTGAGACCACACTCAATCGCTGGCCTTTCCCTCCCAAGCACAACTACAACAGATGATCAGCAGAGGAACTCTCTATCACATTCATCTCAATCTTTGTTAAATCAATCCCAATCAAGCAGAACCTTAACACAGAGATTTCTTTCTAAACTCTTCCATTATCCATCCAAATCTTGATATCTAATTTGTTCTTAGTTGTTTTTCTTCAATCATTGCTTTTGTACACGATAACAGTGCTTTTGCTTTTAGAGTAATTGAGCGATGATCTCAAATCTATCTCACTCATTCTCTCTATACATATATATATATATACATATATATATATATACATATATAAATATATCTGTGTGTGTGCGTGTGTTTATGTATAATTACTGTTGTTTCGTAAGTCGAGTTTCATAACGGCGTGAAACAGTATCGATTATCCATCTTGTTGTTTGGCTTGATGTATTTTGTTTTTCTTTTCTTCTTCTTCTTCTTCTTCTTCTTCTTTTTTTCTTTCTTCTTCCATGTTCTAACTGTTTTGCGTATTATTGAATTAATTTTTTTCGTGTTTGTTGCTCACGATTTCATAAAAACAAACATACAACAGAGAAGAAGCACACTTAATGAACAAACCAGTATATATATATCAATTCCTCAATTCATTGAAACAGAAAACTATTCAAACATGCCGATACGGATCACATCGAATCGTTTTACCCATGGGCAGATTGTGTTTTCTCTCAGAAACATTATCGTTGAATACACCATATAGAAAGAACATTAGGCCGGGCAGATTTTCACATGCGATACAAGTCCATTGCGTTTACAGGTATATTATTCATAGCAAATCGATAATTAATATGCGCATTCGAAATGACACATACCGTGCGTTAAGCCAACCCTTAGATGTTGAGTTTCAATAATTAACTCATTTTTCTTCTTGTGTCACAGCTGTCTTAAACATCACGTACGTCTAAATCATCTATATTTTAAATATTATACATATACATGAAAGATTAAACAAGTGTTGAAAGTTCATCAGTCTTCGCGAGATCGATTTCATCGTCACACACATGCGTCGCATCGACAGTATGGTAGATCGATGCGTTTATGCCACCATATTTACCACTGAGATGAACGTTCTGCCATAAGGAAACATATGTTAACAGTGTCATCAGAATAAAAAGCAAACCAAACCCTAAGACACTCAATGAAATAATAGCTGGTATTAATGACATATTTAATAAGATGAATATGCACATAACTAAAAGTTTTGGAAGTTAATGAAGTTGTTACTAGTGAATTAATCTTACCGAGAATAAATGCTGGAATTGATGCGTAGAAACTACAGATAGCAATAAAACGTGCAGTTGATGAACTGAAGAGACAGCTGAAAAATCAACGAAAGGAAAATTTAACGATGGAATCATATCGATCTTACCGAGGTGAATCATTTCTACTCGATACAATATTACAACCTAGATAAATTTCAATGCTAAAAATCAACACGCAAAAACAATTGAGAACGACAATTAATAAACAAATAACAGTCGCGAATTCACGTAATGTACGATCATAAGTTGGAAGAAGCAAACTTGAAACTGTATCTATAGATGACAATGCATATATTGACTTTGATGTTGTATTAGTTGCGAGAAGCAATTGCGAAATCATATCTGCGCTATTTGATGAATTGAATTTCAGAATGAGATGCATCGTCGATATGGCGATTAATATTAAACATGCGGAAACAAAACACATGAAACACAAACTAAGAATATTGGCACCTTTTTGTGATGGAAGAACGCGACGTCGTTCAGTACTGAGCATTGGTATGGTCGGGTCGGATGATGAATCTCGTTGCCGACTTAGATCGGTTATGTTGACTCGTTCGTGTCCGATTGAGACTTTATAAGATGAATTATAAGCTGCAGTTGGTAAACGATTTAAGAGTTGATTTTGTCGAGATTGAATACTTGGCTCCGATTGACTCAATGTTGTTTGCCAATTCATATCGAAATCGAGTGGCGGTGGTGGTAATGGAGGGACGGGCGATGATGAAGATGTCTGATCGAAAAGTTGACTAATAAAATATCAAAAAAAAAAGAACGATGACAAATAATGTCTTTTAGTTGTAAAAAGTTTCAAGTGTACCTGTCATCACTGTTCGGCTTCCCCATCACTCACTAGTCGCAATTGTATTTACTCAATATGGCATCTCACTCCAATTCTGACACTTTCATTCGTTTAACAATACGAGTAAGAGAAAGAAAAACGATTTTGTTATGTAGTGGATCCGGCGCGACGCAATACAATCGCCTCACAGTAGGAATATTGATGATGATTATGAACAACTTTCAATACACACAACCATCAATTAGACGACGAATAATATTCCCTGAAAGAATATATACATATATGAAATTATCAAGAAGAATTGTTTCTATTCTATTGTACGCGTTCCCTCAACCTTTGATAAGTGAAAATGATTACAACCAATTACAAGAACGATGCTATGATTATCTTTGAAAATGGTCGATATTCAGTCGACGACATTAGCATCTTTATGGCTTCTATTTATTTATAAATCGAACGAGAGAAGAACAGGAAAAAAGAGAAAAGAAATGAGAGTTGATTTATAAATACGATCAACTGATTAGGTCATCACACGAACTTTTCTCGTCTATAAATGTATATATTTGTTCAATTCATACTCAATACATTGTACTCTTCTTATCGCTATATGTTAATCAAAAGAAACATCAAGGTTAAAATACCTCAGTTCCTATTGTAAATACGTTACAACTGTACATATATCAATGAAGTACTTCAATTTAATTGTAACTAATCGTAGTGTATAGGCTGTACCTTTCTTTTGCCAATCATACGTGTGGAAAGAGAATCGATTGATAAATAATTATAGGAATCACCATATGACAAGATGGTATCGATTCTAATAATGACTACTTATTAAAATATGTTGAATAGTGTTCTCTATTGAAATAAGTGGAAACGATTCAATGACAATAGCAAGTTAACATGTTCAGTGCATAGAATTTTCTTTCATTTTCTTCGTCTCTTCAAATCATTACAACTAGATTGATATTGAATAAGAAGAAGAAAAAAGTGTCAATGAATGGCATTTGTGAACAATAGAAATCTCTATCAAATGTCTTTATTTATGTAATAGACTGAAGTAAATTCTATGACTTTTGACTGACATGATCGAATAGTGAAACAGTACTTGTTGATATAAAAGAAAAACGAATAATGATCCAATGAAAACCAACCCTAATGTTATCCTTTGTTAATTGAATATCTCAACTCGTATGCTATAGATTGATGAACGATGAATTGTCTCTTAAGATTCGACAGATTACACATTTCTTTCGCAAATCGTCAACATTTTTCTGTACAGGCCCTTATCATTGACAAAACAGATATAGACTTGGTTTTAAACGAAGTTGTATCTTATGGTTCTGTTTTTCTCTTTCTCTGTCTTGTCTTCTCTCTCTGGTAAGCCTATTATTCAAAGCATTTCATAAGATATGCTAATGAACGAAGAAATCAGATTTAGGAACGTTATATTGCTCTCTTGTTCGTCATCACCATCCGGACTCATATGCGTGACTATTCGATTGTTACTCTCTTGTCAACAGTTTTTCTTCTTTCTCCTTTTTCCTCAGTTGCCAAAGACAAATAAATAATGGTATCATAGAAAAGCATCCATTGTCATTGACCTTCTCTTTAACGTTCAACAGGACAAACGGAACGAACATCGATATTAAGTTAATCCGACATGTTCAATAATCAGTCGATACATCTTTTTGAACTGAGTGCTCAATTACGATTAGCGATTGATACAAAAAGAAGAAAAAGCTCCATCGATCTGATTTTCGCATCGAATTGCAAATGTTTTGATAATCACAGAGAAAAGAAAAGGAAAGATTCGATTCCCCGATGTCTTCGCATATTTTGCCTTCTCTCTAAATGTGACAATTGTTCAAAAAAAGATCTGAGATGGAACGGCAAAGAAGATGATCAGAGGAGAGAGAAGGAAAAGACTAGATTAAATATACGAGAGATAAAGAAGACGTTTTGTTGTACTCTGATGTTCACTAGACTTTTCGAAATCAATCTATTTAAGTCGTTGACGCGCAACTATCGTACTCTATTCATGAGCTTTTGTTCCATAGAATCAGCTATTGATTGATCAATGTATGTTAAAGAACCTTTTTTTTTTATTAGTTACTAAATCAAGACTGAGATACTTCATGTCATTACTTCGCTATTCATAGTCATTTGTAACATAAATGCTGTGCTAGACAGAGAGAAAAGCGATTGAAGGATGCACTTAACTAATGATTATATCATCGATCACTTTTTTTTTCTCGAAATCTATTTTAGTTAATCATGATCTTCGACAAGATAATCATTTGATTCGCTGTTGTTTTTGTTTTCGAACAGTTTACTCGTCAAAAAACTATGTATGAACGAACGGTAAGTGTCGCCGATAAGAATGGACTACAATTCCATTGTTTTTCGCGAGTTTACACCCGAATCACTACATCGTATTGAACGTTATCGACAAGAGGAAGCCGAACGTCTTGCTTCCGATCGATTGCAACGCCAAACAATACATGAAGACGACACTGAACAATATAAATCAATGAAAAGGTTATCAAAAAATGAACAGTCGAGTTTCAAAGATAAACCTAATAAAGAATTAGCTGTTGGACAAACTTTGCCAAGATCCTTACAAACCAAATTTCCTGCAGAATTAATCGGAAAACCTATTGAAGAGATTGATTGGTATTACCGAACCGAATATGTATGTATACGAACAAATTCCTCCTCATCATTTGACTGCTTTGACCATTCGAAGGTATTCGTGGTGGTTAATCGAAATAAAACAATCTTTCGATTCAGTTCATCATCAGCTTGTTTCCTTTTTTCTCCATACAACTGTTTGCGTCAAGTAGCAATTCGCATATTAACACATTCATTATTTAGTACATTCGTTATGCTTACAATCTTAACCAATTGCATATTTATGACTTTAAAAAATGTACCTGAGACGTACGAGTAAGTGTTTTTGTTTGAGTCCGATAGACATATTTGCAGCGAATCACTAGATATATATTTACATTCATATATACGTTGGAAGCGTTAACTAAATGTATAGCGCGCGGCTTTATCCTTGAAAAATTTACTTTTCTACGAGATCCTTGGAATTGGTTGGATTTTATTGTAATTACTTTAGCGTAAGTCAATGATACTGATGTATTTGATTATGTTAACTTCTTTGTTCTCCATTAGTTATATCACAGTGATCTTTCCTTTGGGAAATGTATCTGTACTTCGAACGTTTCGAGTGCTACGAGCCTTGAAAACAGTGGCTGTTGTTCCAGGTAGATAAAATTTGGATGAATAGCAAATGATGAATTGGTTACTTGTTTCTGACCAACTTTTCTAGGTTTAAAACCGATTGTCGATGCGTTAATTCAATCTCTGATTTGTCTACGTGATGTGATTGTCTTATCAAGTTTTATTCTATCCATCTTTGCCCTGGTTCGATTATTTCTATGATTATCTGAATGAATAATTGAACGCATATTTCTCCGACTAGGTTGGCTTGCAATTATATATGGGTGTTCTGCGACAGAAATGTGTACCTACTTATGAATCATTCTTGAATAATTCTAATTTTACGACCGTTGATTCGAATATGACATTTGGTGGCTATTTACTTGAAATGCAAAATGGAAGTATGTGTCGTCAGAGATGTTCTTTCGTTTCGAATAACGCAATATTTTTCTAGCGTATTGGTATCATGAAGATGAGGTACCTGTAGTTTGCGGAAATGCTACTGGCAGTCGACGATGTCCGCCGGGTTACGTTTGTATAAAAGATTTAGGGAAAAAGTAAGTTATGTCTTTGATTCACCCCAGTATCATTAGACTCATTGTTCTCTCATAGTCCGGATCATGGTTATACTAGGTAAACATTCGCTTATCATTCGATTTGAATGACACGGTGTTGGCTTGTTTAGTTTTGATAGTTATGGTTGGGCAATGCTTTCTTGTTTTCGATTGATGACGCAGGATTATTGGGAAAGTCTTTATCAATTGGTACGAGGAAATTTTCGAACTTCTGAAAGAGTTCTATTCGAGAGTGGGGTACATTTAGGTGCTGTCAGCAGCTGGTCGTTATCATTTTTTCTATTTCGTTGCCGTCATCTTTTTCGGTTCATTCTATTTGGTCAACTTAATCTTGGCGATCGTCTCGATGTCGTATCAAGAACAACAAAAGAAAGTCAATGCTGAAAAACTTGAGCGTGAACGAAGAAAGGTTGAGGACGAACTTGAACAGCAGAATGACGATACAGAAAAAATCTCCGATTACGATCAATTGTTAGACGATAAACATCTCTTCGAAAATACATTAGTATTTGAAAACTCCAATCGACAACCATCTTTGTCAAGTCTTTCGATTGAATACGATCAAAATCATTTAGTAAGAAATATCTAGTTGTACGTAAATAAACTCTCTTCCTTTCTTTTCCAAGAAATATGAACTACGACAAAAGCAATCAATTCAAACATCATCACTCCTGTTCGAAAATGGTAGCTGTACGATGTCAAAACCAATAACAACATTCGAAGAGTATCATAGTTTCGATACGACAATACCGTTTCTTGATGAAACACAGCGAAGTTCGATTAATACGAAGAATTACGAAACCTTGTCCAGACAACGAACAAGAAATTGGTCGTACACCTCCGACCAAGACAATCCGGATGGTCAATCAACTATAACAGTAATGATCTTCGTTTTTCGAAAACGAATTACACTTTTCAATTCGTCGAATCGTCGAGGACAGATGATCACAATCATATATATGCAAATATACTTAATATGTAGATTAGTTAGGGAATTGAAATCTCAACAGATTGAATAGAATCATTGATCAAAAAGTCAAATCATTCCAGGAGTTGATTAGCATATATCTCATCTAAAATTGTCAGATTTTCAACAACAGAAATCTCTTTTGATTTCAGCTCTGTCAACCAAGACCGTACATCAAGTACGCACCTATCGATCATACACTGGGCAATGCCGAAAGTGATACAACAAGTATTCACTCGAAAAGTATGTCAAACATATGTTATCTAGATCGATTTTGTCTTTTAACTAGGAATATCTCACGCACATAGACATACATATATGTTACAAATTTTCTCACCTAGTTTCAGTAGATATTATATGATTTTCTACGTGCCCAAACCCATTTACATTTTAGAGTAAGACTGAAAAATCAAGAAAGAAAAGCATTCCATTATTATCTTTTCACATAATCCCCATTTGACCTTGTACACTCTTGCATTGCACACAAACGTCGACAAGACATATGTATAGTTGACTTTCACTTTCTTATTTTTTTGCATGATTGTAGTTTTGTATATGTTTGTTTCCATTTCGTTACTTATCTAGAAAAACACACTGTGCTGCTCAAGGTCAATCATCATACCGATGACCAAGACAGTCCGCGTGTTCAGTGTCGTCTACTTTTAACTGCAAATGAGCATGCACGGCAGTTGCAACGTCATCCTAAGAAACGTGTGAACGTCGTCATTTCAGATATGGACACAAGTAATGCATGCGATCGACCAATGATGAAGTTTCTTTGGAATACCTGTTTCGAATGGAATTTCGCTTCACCTGCATTTCGAAAATTTCAAGTAAATCGATTCGTGAGAATGTTTCGCATATTTCAATTGTTTTTCTTTCCTTAGGCTTTGGTAGCATTTTTTATCCTGGATGCATTCGTTGATTTATTTATTACGATCTGTATTATATTAAACACATTCTTCATGGCACTTGATCAGCCCGGTCAAAGTGAAAAGATGGCATCGCTATTAGCAACGGGAAACTACATTTTCACAGGAATATTTACCGGTGAAGCAATCTTAAAAATCATTGCTAAATCGCCAGCAAACTATTTGAAGGATGGATGGAATGTTTTCGATTTGTTTATCGTCACATTGAGTCTTGTTGAATTAGGTTTGGCAAATATCAAGGGACTTAGCGTTTTACGATCATTTCGTTTAGTAAGTTTTCGGAATACGAAAATTTCCTCTCCGAAGTTTTTTCATTTTTAGTTACGAGTATTTAAATTGGCCAAATCATGGCCAACATTGAATCGACTTATGTCAATTATTGGCAAAACGATAGGAGCTTTAGGAAATTTAACGTTAGTTGTTGTGATTATCATTTTTATCTTTGCTGTTATGGGCATGCAGGTAAATTCAAACGCATGAAGTGTTTTGTTCGATATTTTCGTATCATCGTGTAGCTATTCGGTCCCAATTATGCAAAAGAGTTTGCAAAAGATATGCCACGCTGGAATTTTGTTGACTTCTTTCATGCATTTATGTAAGTTTTATTGGAATGTTGGAGATGGAACAGTGAATCTATTTTTCAAGGATCGTATTTCGTGTCCTATGTGGAGAATGGATTGAATCAATGTGGACATGTTTATCGTGTGCTGGATGGCCTTGCATACCATTTTTTCTTTTCACATTCGTCATTGGAAATCTTGTGGTATGTAGAATTTGTCTAGAATATGTGTGATTTTTCTTGATAAATTTTACTGAATGACATTCGTAGGTGTTGAATCTGTTTTTGGCTCTTTTGCTGGCATCGTTTAGTTCAAGTGTTCTTGCCGAACGAGAAAAAGACGATGATGACAATAAGGTTGGCGAAGCGATCGATCGCATTCAACGATGTTTTCGTTTTTTGTTACACCTAATTGTACAATTGTTTTGTGGACAAAAACAGGACAGTTCGAAGATTAGCGAAAGTAACACTACTGAAACAATCTATTTCAATCAAGTTCGTTCAGTCACTAGATTTTTTCTATCCTCAATTCATTACGTATTTCATATTTATTTTTAGTCTCTGGCTGGCACAGATCATCTAATGAACAGTCTTTCTTTCCCCACATCGTCTGATATCGAAAATGCTAAAGATAATCCCAATGGTTTATCTAATCCCCCCTACGGTATAGCCCGACCATCAGAAGATATCGAAATGAAATCTTTGAAGAATTCAACTACGAACGACAATCTGACTGCACTTACGCCATTGACTTATCAATACCTTCATATGCCACCGGATTGTTGTCCAAGGCTCATTTCTAAACATTTTGAATTTTGTAAAGATTTCATTCCTGAAACTGTTCAGCGACATTGGACTTTCCTTCGCAGCCGAGCTCACCGCTTAGTAGAGCATCGTTTCTTTGAATGGCTGATCATCGCTAGTATTCTAGCAAGTAGCACTACACTAGTAAGTCCTTTTCGCAAAAAACGCATTACATTTAGTGAAACTTCTTTGGTCATAGGCATTAGAAGATATCAATACACGACAACAACCGAAATTGTTTGCAGTATTGCACTTTTTTGATAAAGTCTTCACGATTATATTTACCGCTGAACTAGTTTTGAAATGGTTTGCGTATGGAATTAAGAATTATTTTACCAACGGTTGGAATTGGCTTGATTTTCTCATTGTTGTTGTTAGTGTTCTTGGAACCTTGCTTGATGCATTGGGCGTGGCCGATATTCCCGCATTTAAATCAATGAGAACATTAAGAGCGCTGAGACCCTTAAAAGCACTTTCACGGTTTGAAGGAATTCGAGTATGTGAAATCTTCCTTCTACTTTAAGCTTGATTCGTGTTTGATAATTTAGGTGGTTGTTAATGCATTAATTGGTGCGATACCGTCCATTTTTAATGTTTTACTCGTATGTCTTGTCTTTTGGTTGATCTTTTCTATCATGGGCGTACAATTATTTGGTGGAAAATTCTATAAATGTGTCTACGTCGATACGCATGATCGAGTGGATATCTCGGAAAATGTGACCAATAAAGCAGACTGTTTACAAAAGAATTTTACATGGGAGAATTCTCGTGTTAATTTCGATAATGTTATCAATGGTTATCTAGCCTTGTTTCAAGTGGTAAGTTGAAAACTGATTTTGTCAGAACAAGAAGTAGAAGAATTCTTCTTCTCAGGCAACATTCAAAGGATGGATTGAAATCATGGCTGATGCAGCCGACGCAAAAGAGGTATCTAACTGTTTCTCGTCTTGTCACTTAGCAAATTTTTCGCATTTAGCCTGATGTTCAACCTGAGCATGAAGCAAATGTTTATATACTTGTTTACTTCGTGCTATTCATCATCTTTGGCTCGTTTTTTACACTGAATCTTTTTATCGGTGTTGTCATTGATAATTTTAATCAACAAAAACGAAAAGTAATCGATCAAGTATTTAAGTTCTCTGTAAACTTGTTTTTGTTATTTTAGTTAGGTGACGGCGGTTCGATCGAAATGTTTATGACTGACGATCAAAAGAAATACTATAATGCTATGAAAAAAATTGGAAATAAAAAGCCCACCAAAGCATTACCTAGACCTCGAGTAAGAAATCTTACCAAAAAAAAAGAGCCCACCGATCAACTTCATTTTTCGATATTCTAGTTTCCCATTGCGAGATTCTTCTTCGATCTGACAACAAACCAAAAGTTCGATATCTTCATAATGATGTGTATATTTCTCAACATGATTTGTATGTGTTTGGAATACGACGGACAGAGTGATGCTTATGGTCGAGTATTGGGTTATATCAACAATTTTTTCGTTGCTATGTAAGTGTAACTTTCTCACATACGATTCGACCGTAATTTCCGTTTGACATATAACTAGATTTACGATTGAATGTGGTATGAAATTATTCGCATTGCATTACAAATATTTTACAATTCCATGGAATGTCTTTGATTTTATTATTGTCATCGCATCTATTCTGGGTATGATTTGATATTTTTCTCAAAGAGAATTTGATAACAAAAAACACTGAAGTACTTGTTTAGTGACAGTTTTTGAAAAAGGTTTGCCTTCTTTCTTGCCTACTATATCTTTTTATTTACATTTATTGCTTATTCTTTCTACGCTCTCGCAGAAAAAAAACCCAAATCTATGAGTTTGTGTTTCGTTTAGGTCAAGCATTGGGTAAATTAATGGAAAATTTCTTAGTTCAACCAACTGTATTACGTATTGTGCGTGTCGCACGTGTTGGTCGAGTTTTACGTTTAGTTAAAGGTTAGTAAAACGTCTCTGTCAAAACGTGTTCATTATCGGAAAATGTATTTTCAGGAGCAAAAGGAATCCGAACATTACTTTTTGCCTTGGCAGTATCAATGCCGGCTTTATTCAATATTGGTCTTCTTCTTTTCCTTATTATGTTTATTTATTCAATATTTGGTATGTCATTTTTTTCTTACGTTAGAAAATCTGCAGGTGTTACAGAAATATTCAATTTTGAAACGTTTCCTAATTCATTGATTATTCTCTTTCAAATGTGTACGACCGCTGGATGGTCGGGTGTTCTGCAAGCATTAACAAATGATAAACCACCTGATTGTGATCCTTCACTCAAATCACCATCACACCGAGGTGATTGCGGCAGTACTGCTATAGCCGTTCCGTTTTTAGTCACGTATTTAATTATCAGTTCTCTCGTCGTGGTAAGAGCTAGTTTATGATTTCACTCTTGTTAGTCAATCCCTTTGATCTAGGTTAATATGTATATCGCCGTTATACTTGAAAACTTCTCTCAAGCTCAAGAAGATGTACAACAGGTAACTGTGAAACATTGTTTAAATTAGAAGAAAATTTCGATTGCACTTTTCAGGGGTTGACTGATGATGATTATGATATGTATTACGAAAAATGGCAATATTTGGATCCATCAGGTTCACAATTTATTCGTTACGATCAGTTGTCTGATTTTGTCGACGGATTAGAACCACCACTGCGTATCCCAAAACCAAATCAATTATTACTTGTCGCGATGGATTTACCCATATGTGGAGACGATCGGATGCATTGCGTTGATATACTTGATGGCCTAACGAAATACTTTCTCGGAACATTGAACGTATCAGAGATTGGTGCAGGTGCCAATGCTCCCATTGATATAAAAAAAGATCGTCCAAAAGATTACCGACCTATTACAACGACTTTACAACGTCGACGAGAAATTTATTTAAGTCGCATTGGTGTTCGAGGATTTCGAAATAATGTTGAACGATGTCGTGTACAACGACAGAGTCGTGAACCAATTCTCGAACGAGTTACGATCGATGAATTGTTCGAATTAGATGACTTAGGAACGCCGGTATCAACTGTATCGCGTCGAAGTAAGGCTCAACCAGGAGATTCAACACCGAATATTGTTATCAAACAAGAACATGAAAGAACTCTTTCTGATACATCATCGATCTGCTCACTCGGTAGAAAATCATTTTGTTAATGCAATGATCTAAACAACAAATTATTTATGGGATCTTATTCTTTGCTTTTCTCTTTCTCTTAGACTAGGCTTGTTTGTGATATAATAAAGAAAAACATATTCTATACAGATATTTACATCTGATGAATGGTACTACTTGAGATCTGGCAAATAATGAGTTTCCTCGCAATTGTGTGATACATACTTTTGTTCTTCAGTTAACATTGATCGTTCTCCAGAGAATTTCGATCAACGGATTTGTTGATGCAAAAAATTCATTTCAATGTTATAAAACAGATTCTTTCATTGTGTTGATCAAGGTTATGTAATAGAGACATTGATGAAAGAATCTCTCGAGACATCGTCTGTTCATCTTATTCATTGAAACTGATCGAAAGTGTTTCAGTTATTCTTATTATTATTAATTCATATTCACGGTCAAAGCAGATGGCCAAGAACTTTTCCGCGAGTTTCTAAATATCGTGTCATGCTCGATCGAATGACATTAAATGAATCGAAACGAAGAAGATATGTTCATTAGAACATTTAATCTTCCGAAGAACAGAATTATGAATGTACACTATGAAAAGCTAATCGATTCAATTAATTTTCAATTCTAATGTTTGATTTACACGCAAATTCTCTATCAAAACGTTGTCATCGACCATCACACTCATGCTTGCTTTGTTCATCGGTATATTGAGATGATAAATGACTTCTTTTTTTTTCTATTTAACTTGATATTATCCATAGGAGTGATCCACCTACATTCAAAGTGTAATAATTCACTTTTCGATGTGTGAAAAATATGCCTTTCTCTTTTAACGAAATTCAACTGACAGCCGACATATAATCATTAGAGAATGCGAAAAGATGAAAAGAACACCCATACACCATTCTTCAGGTGTGTAATCGTCATTATTATCATTGATGGTGATGATGATCAGACATACGTGTGCGTGTATGTCTATAAATGAGAACGATATGCATCATTTTCAGTTAACTTTCTCTCTTGCATGGATGTAATCTGATATCTGTATACGTTTGTAAACATTGATTTGAAATCGACGGAAAGGTTGGATTAAGAAAGAAAAACGTTTCGTTGTAATGATTGAAAGTAATATGAAACATATTCAAAGTAGTTTCTTCTTTCCTTCCCATTTTTCTCTCTCATCAAGTGTCTATGTACATATAGAAATGGTATTAGTGAAGGTAAATTGAACCACAAGCACATCGAATGATTTGTATCTATCTTAGCTTCTTTTAGATGTCATGTATGCAAATTTGCGCATATGTACACACAGATTTCTCTTTCGTTTACTCATCCTTCATGCATTATTTGACACGTAGTGTTTTAATAATATTAGATTTTTCTTCTCCCTCTCTCTCTCTCTCTCATTCAAAGGTGTGAAAGAGAAATGAAATGAATAAGATCAATATGTACTAATTGTTATTTTTGGTATCTATATTTATAAATTTCAATATATGATCTCATTAGATAAAGAGATTCTATCGCAATAAAATGAGACTTCGTCGGTGTTGCTCTTTCACCAAGTATGAACAACAAGCACATCCACACGTTCGTAGTGATGTAATAAGGATGATTTTTCCTTTTTCAATGTGCACGCACATTCTATTAGACAAGAATATCAAGAATCTCAAGAGAATCGATAAGAAATATTTTGTCTGTTTGTTTATTTACTGACAATAAACGGCTTTTTCTTCGTCTTATCAAAAATCGTCTTGACACTGTATCAAAAAGAAGATAATTATCCGGTCATGACCCTCGAACTTGAAAGAGAAGACCTATTTCAAATTTTATTATATTCATGGAATAATGATGACACTAATGACGATTAACATTTTAAAGAAGACAGGTATTTGATTGAAATCGATGGAGTTATGAAACACGCATCATCATCATCATCATAAATGATGACTAGCCCAAGCGTCTATATACTTTTCTGCCCTTTCCCTCTCGAGAGTCATTTGCCTGATGGTCAACAATCATGCCGAGATTTAACCTGATGGAATGATAGTTCATCTCTATTTATCCATTCACACTTTCTTGCATGAATTCATACAATTATTAATGAATACTAACAAGGCGTTTCCCATGAATAGGTTTTCTTTTTCTCACTTGCTCTTGTTTCCATTTGCAGGTGTAATCGCGTGTTCTACTTGATGAACATATGCGCATACACACATCTATTGTGTCGTTGAAATGAACGGCTCAGATTGATCTAATTGATCGTATATACATTTTCTCATTAGGACATCATACTGTGCCAAGATAATTACGCCTTTTCTCCTTCTTTCTTTCTTAAAGACAGATGAGATTCGACAATTTGACTGTCAATGCTGGTGCTGGTGAATGTAGTAAAAGAATTAGCTCGTTCAAATATGAAATCATCGTTCAGGGACCATTGAAAGTGAAGTTCAAGTACAAAGTACAAAACTGACAAGTCACTCGAGAATAATGCGCGGCATTGACTTTGACCTGGAGTCGAATATTCGATGTTGAAAGTAATCGTGGACAAATCTATCATTAGTCGTTTCATAGATTTTCATCAAAGATTCATGCATAGGCAAACGGTTTGCCTTGTTTGGACGGCATATGAAAATCATTTGACATTTGCACCATGTAGATAACGATCGTAGACATGCGCAGATGATACTTATTTTCATTTTTAATTGAAAGTTCCAAACAATATCATAAAACCTTATCTAAATGTATCTTAAACATGAAAACACAACAAAAACAATTCATTAGGCGTTTCGTTTTTGACGTTCTATCTGTCGTGTTTTACCCATGACTAATAAACAGAATGCAACATAATCAACTCTACTTCCATATCATATACCGTGCATAAGTGATGTTTTTAAAGAATCAATCAGAGTAATCAGATTTCCCATGAATATGTCGAGTAGAAAACATTTCTTCGAAAGAGAAGTTCTTCAACATAATGACCAGTAGTAATATTGGTTTTGTTTTGAATATGTTACTTCCGCTTGAAGTTCCAATCTGTCATATGAATAAGTGCACTTAAACAATTTCTTAAACGTGCTCATATAATTATCGAACAATGCCAAAGAAGGTAATCTATCACTTTCTTCTTGTGTGTCTCTCATTCTATTGCTGTCAACCATTGGGCGTTAACGAGAGAAAGAGAAGAGAGAAAGCGAGAGCAACAGACAGACGGACACGGAGAGGAGAGAGAGAGAGAGAGAACGCGTACATATAAATCTTTCTCATTCTTGTTCTTCTCGTTGTCTGTTCATTCAGCATCGTTTCGCAATGATCATGCATCTATCCACCATACTTTTCCTACTACTACCAACATTGATTCAATCTCGTCAACAAGAAATCTCTTTGAACGAAGAAACACCTATCGGAACTGTCATCTTCGATCTAAATACTCTCTCGTCATCATCTATCACATATCAATTACTTGAAAGTTCATCTTTACTTGCTTTCAATTCTTCAACAAATCTCATATCCATAGCGAAACGCATCGATCGAGATACTCTATGTCCAAACGACGAAACATGCTCGAAATGTCAACTAACGATTAAATTCTACGATATGTTTTACTATGACATACTTTTACTTGTGTTCAATATCAATGATATCAACGATAATCCGCCAATCTTTAGTTCAAATACTTATTCCATATCTTTAACGGAAAATAATATACCTGGAATCAAAATTCGCTTATCAAAAGCTGAAGATATTGACTGTGCGAGTAATGGTGTACAATTGTATGAACTTACGTACGTTCTTCATGGCCATGTAATGATTTCATCGATAAATCTTCTTCTAAAACATCAAAATCATACAAAAAACCAACCATTCTATTTATTGTATGATTCCAACGCAGATCTGTACCTTGTCGTCAATCAAACTCTTGATCGCGAAGCACAGAATGAATACATATTTACCATAACAGCAAATGATTATTCTCATACCGTCTCATCCAAGTTAACTCTAACAGTTCTCGATGTTAATGATCATATTGCTCGCTTCTCTCAATCAGTTTATTCTGTTAATATATCGTATTCCGCCACACCCGGAACCATTCTATTGAAACTAACAGCCCATGATCCTGATTTAGAACAAAATGCTCGTATTTATTATTCTCTATTGAGTATTGATGGTTCAGCGAATAAAAATGATCTTTTTCAAATTAATTCACATACAGGTGAATTACGTCTCGTTTCCAATTTAACTCATCTTGAATCGAAACGTATTTTCAAATTAATTGTTGGTGCATCGGATGGTTCGAACAATGCCATTCCCGCATTAACAACTGTATATATCAACATTATTCAACAATCGATTATAACAATAACATTCGGTTCAAATCGAGTCTCTTCAAATGGTTCAGAAGTTTTCATTCAAGAGAATTTACCTAATTCAACATTTATTGCTTATATAACATCTGATAAAGCTCTCCAAATATTCCCCGAAGGTAATCATCAAGGCTTTTACATACAAAAGCTGTCTGATAATTCAATAACTCTATTAACCGATCGAAGCTACGATCGAGAATTGAAATCGTTTTACAATGTTTCAATACGCAGTGGAGACAATGAACGATCATTTCGAATTCTTGTCACCGATATCAATGATTGTCAGCCGACATGGAATAGTTCTTTGTTGAATATTAACATTGAACCGTATTTAATGGTTTTAACATTGAATGCCACTGATTACGACGAAGGTCAAAATGGCAAAGTTGGTTATCGTAAAAAAGGTTCTGTCTGGCCGAAATGGGTCGATTTAGTTGAAAATCGATTAGTTATTAATTGTACAAATCAAACCGATAGTACATGTTGGAATGAGTTNAATGATTGTCAGCCGACATGGAATAGTTCTTTGTTGAATATTAACATTGAACCGTATTTAATGGTTTTAACATTGAATGCCACTGATTATGACGAAGGTCAAAATGGCAAAGTTGGTTATCGTAAAAAAGGTTCTGTCTGGCCGAAATGGGTCGATTTAGTTGAAAATCGATTAGTTATTAATTGTACAAATCAAACCGATAGTACATGTTGGAATGAGTTATTGAATGAAGAAGTCTATATTGATGTCGAAGCGTTCGATTACGGTCAACCGGAATTATCATCGGTTGTCAAGATACGCTTATATCGCAATTCCGCTCGATTGATGTTCATGAAATATGAATATTTCATTATTAGTATGGCAAGTTTATTGGGCATTCTGTTCGTCTTATCGATGATATGTACATGCATCTGTTGTCGACGAAAACGAACGAAGAAGAATATCGAAATCATGGATGATAATAGTACAAAACAAAAGATCATTCAGACATCATCATCGGAACAAAGTTCATCGGCTGGTTCGCTTTACGGATCAGAAAAATCGGATAATATTACACTCGAAACAGCGACCAGTTGTCATCTAGTAAGTGAACGCAATCGATCTTCATCATCTTTTATTGTTCTCATACAATTTTTAATTAGGATATGTTCTTGTTCTCTCCGAAACGTGCAGCAACAATGACCGACTCGCCATATCCATATACATTTCTGAATAAATCAACAAACCAGGCAGATAACTTGACCAACAAGTTATTTCATTCTATACAGAACGATCTTTCGCTGTTAACTGACTCCAAACAAGACGTTTTGGCTAATCGTGGTACCTATGTGTAATTGTTATTTTTATTTATTTTTCTTATGTAAATAGAAGAAGACAGAAGGAGAGAGAGAGGGAGTGAGACGCAGACTCGTTGTTCTTTTATTTGATGTTGTAAGATTTGTGCTCTTTTTGATTTGTAATGTAATAAGGCTTGATATGGTGATAATTTCTCGAAGAACTGCGTTTATACTAATATAAATATTTATAAGAAGAATTACATCAGTTAGTTTTCAAAAGGGTCATGGCATCTGTTTGGCATTTAATATGTTTTCGTTTCTCATCGATAGTCTTTTTTTATTTCTTCTTTTCTCTACTTGATGAAATTCGAGAGAATCTGTCTATCTAGACTCATTTGAATATATACATGTGCACACGCCTAGCCCTGAAAATGACGGATGAGCATTGAACGACAGACATCAATTCTGCTCTATCGATTATCTTGACATAGTCTGGCTAACAATAATAGATATATCTTGCTAGAGAAGAAAGTGTTATTGCGTAAAGAAAAACATACATAGAGATTTTCTTTCGGTAAACTAACCGATTACTCAAGATATACACATGTATATCTGACATTCCTTTCTTCTTAGGTCAAAAGAAATCATTTCTAGTCATGCTGAGTTTTCCTCTTCTCGCCGAACTATAATCAATCGTTACTGTTGATAATAAATTTCATGAATCACAAACTATTTATTTTCCGCATCATGCTTGAATAGCAAAGCGTGTGTGTATATATATTCTCATGTCATGGGAAGATATGCCTCATGCTGTTCCTAATTGTTCAGTTTGAAAATCTTTGACAACGATATATCAATGTTCCATCTTTTTCTTCTTCTACCGACAAGTTGGCACGCACCATTATCTCATCAGACTGACCATTCATTCACGTGCTTCGACACTTTCTTCCGATTAGATTCACCCCTACAGCATTCTTCTCAATAGACATCAAGTGAATGGTGATCTTATTGGCATCTGTCCGCACTTTTTCCTTCTCGTGCGTTGTTATTTCGAGAAACCTCCAACTGAGATCTGATTAAATGAGCATACCAACAGCTGCATAATCAAATGTTGTTAATAGGAATCTACAATTTGATTATACGCGTAGCTCATGAAACGAAAGAAAATAAAATAAAGAGAGCTAACATCCGTTTCGATATACACATGAGACCATAGGAATATTTTCTATGATGATCAATTAGACAGCAAGACCAAAGAATGTTCTTCCTTTCTAATGGACAACGAGTGTTGTATAGTTCGAGGGCAACAAATGTTGTCTTCAGATATGATCGTCGAAGAAAAAAAAANTACAATTTGATTATACGCGTAGCTCATGAAACGAAAGAAAATAAAATAAAGAGAGCTAACATCCGTTTCGATATACACATGAGACCATAGGAATATTTTCTATGATGATCAATTAGACAGCAAGACCAAAGAATGTTCTTCCTTTCTAATGGACAACGAGTGTTGTATAGTTCGAGGGCAACAAATGTTGTCTTCAGATATGATCGTCGAAGAAAAAAAAAACGTACGAGTGAAATTGTCATTAACTAAACTTTGATGATCGCCTTTAGGCAAAGCAAACTTCACCGGAATTCTAATCTTCTTTTGACTCGAGTGATGTCTACGAGATAGGATGAACTGGAAAAAAGAAACGCGATGGTAATTAGTTGTAATTAGCTAGAAATGTTCGTTGTTTAATCAGTTGTCCGACTCGACGCACATCTGCGCATTTATAAGAAGAAAATAAATGTTAGATATTCACTTGTTGGCTAATATCTTGTCACATTTACGAAAGGCATATAAAATAACTTCAAAGCCAGTCGATTGTGTAATCGGCAAATTGAATTCTTTCTACTTCACGGCGTCAATATATGAGAGTATCGATGTCTTGGAGAGAACGACAAGTAATTTGAATAATCAACAATGTGTATGTGTCGATTGATGATTAAAGAGACGACTACTTGTTTAATCCACTTTGAAATCTGAAGGCAACATGAAAAATATGAGAAACAAACTCTCATCAAACATAATCTGATCTGATTGCATGTTTATAATGAATTTTCTAACGAATCCAATCGTGTCCATTATCTCTCAATCAATCTCGATAAACAAATGAGATCATTTGAATATGATGTGTATTTTTGTCTCTCAATACTGATTTGACCGATTAGAAAAAAATGGTATGCAATAAAAATGTTGATTATCTGATCTAATCATTTATTATTCTCTCTATGTAACACTTCATTTGATGAAGTGAGTAACGGTCAAACGAGTGTGAAAATTATCGATGAACAATTCCGATGAGGTGAATTTATTGAAGTGTTTAATCGGTGGTACTTACAACGTCATCTCCTAGCGAGAGGATAGAACATCAGGTCAATCGTCTGTCATTCTTATAACATCGTTATGACAAAGAAGAACCTATGGAGAAATCCACTCAAATCGATAGAAAAAGCGACCACATGTTGTGATAAGATGTTCTTTGATCCGTATATCGAAATAAGTGTGTAAAATTTAAGAAAACATCAGAAAAGACATTGTTATCGGACATAAATATTTGATGTTTGCATCCTTTTTTTTTCTTCGATTTGTAAATTATATAACCGTATCTACAGACAAATTCGAATTTATACCAATTACTAGAATTCAATTCTTGATTAAGTTCGTTACGCAATGGAAGAAACGAATGCTCAATTACACATAGAAGATATCAATAACATACTTCGATAGGTACGAACAGGTGATTCGCATTTGTTATTGATATAGATGTTATTATTTTGAGTTTAAGTAATCAGATGCATTTTATTCCTCGAAAATCTATATCTACAGTAAAAATTCAGTTTCTTGTTGAGTAGATTATAATTTAGAAATTGCTCCTTGAATGCCGATGTTGATTCCGACTTGTTGACATTGTTCTCGTTGTTTACTTTGTATGTCGTACAAAGGATTGGAATGGTTGAAATGTATTAAAGTAATCTTATGTTCCAGTCCTTTGAATTTTTCCAACGTTTGAAGGACAGTTGGATGTGGAATTTCATCAATTTTTCGATTGGGTAATTCGTCGGCACTGAAAAATGTTGCATCAAGGTACGCTTGGTCAACAGATTGCACTATGTCTGTAGGTGAGAGACCATGTTCATTTGACCAACCACGATCCCAACTATCAACATCTGGACAGAAGAAGATTGTTCGTGTTGGACCACGAATGAAATAACCAACGGCATCACTGAATTCAGCTCGATGTGGAACGAGTTGAGATCTAATATGCAGATTTGATGATAATTGAACTTCTACTTGCGGTACAAGTGGATTTAAAACAAAGTTTCCTATTTCGATATAGGTGGACCAAGGTTGATTGTTTCGGAAAAATTGACAGACGCTTTCAGTGCCATAGATCTATATGATAACGAATGGATTACCACTGAGTACCAAGGATGTTGACCTACTTTTAAACCTTTCCAATCCATTGTCTCACGTCCGAACTGAAATAGACCGATATAATGTCTGAAAACGTAAGTAATAAAAAAGTGTGAAAACAAATTTCATCTACTCGTACCCCATGTGTAAATGAGTTAAAAAGACGCCTTCTAATTTAAATGATCTCTCCGGTTCAAAATGGTTTTGTAACATTGAATATTGATTTCGAGCATCTGGCGAACAATCAACGAGCCATACTTGATTTGTTGTTCGATCGATGATAGCTAAGCTGACTGTGTATTGTTGCGGTAGAAGTCCACGATGAACTAAACTACAGTTTTTACATTGACATCGTATTTGTGGCATACCACCATCTTGAGCAATACCTAATAGAAGTATTTCAGCTTTATTTCCTGTCATAAGTACTTCAAGCAATACGATAGTTGTATGACTTACAAAATGATGATTACATTTTACCTCGATTTCAATACAAATCGTAGAGAATAGATAGAATAATCTTAAATTCTCTAGAGGTCGTTAGTTTTCAAATATTTACAATTGGTTAAATATGCAACTTATCGTCTCAACTTAGACTCTCAACACACACACAACACACAACATTATCATCATCAACAAAAACTTCAATGAGATAATGAAATGAGAACTTTATCTATTTCTTCGAACGAATTGATCATCTTCAAATCTTTGTAGATAACACTGGATTATTCAGATATTCTATCTATGGCAGCAATACGTCCACCAAGCGGTCCACAGTTTCCAGACAGAATGTCTAACCCAGTAAGATCTAAAGAATCTTTTTCCTTCAAATAGTTCGCTTACTTTCCTTCATATGCAGATATTTCCGCCAAATACTCATCCAGTACAAAATGGATTACCTGCTCCTGTTTTTCCACCAAGTTCGAATACATCATCTGCTCGATTTCCTCCACATGCATATCAGCCAAATTCATCGAATTTCTCTCCAATGACACAATATCAACCAACATCAATGAATCAGCATACATCAAGTCAGACTCCGCCTCTGCCAACATCGAATTTCTATCAGACACCAGCAAATCCAGCTCCTCCATTACTTACATCGTCATCATCGAATGCATACCCTACAGCCACAGCAACCACATACAATCCGTCTCCGCAACCAACCGTTCGACCAATGTACCCTTCACCTGCATCTGCCTATCGTCCTCAAATACAACCGCTACAACCTATGCCGCAGATACCAAATCCCAATATCCAACCACCTTCAAGTCATCCTTTTCCACAGTACGGTGCCGTTCCAAACCCAATGGCTATTCCTCAATCCCATATTCCATCACCAACCATGTATCCTGGTCAACAGTCACAACCGGTGACTTATGGAATGGGTGGTAATATGAATAATATGATGGGTCAGCCAACGAATACTATTAATGGTTCTTACTCAGTTAGTCATTTTCTCATAAGGTCAATTTTGAATCACGTTTTTATTTTAGAACAATAACAACTATATAATTGATTTGCTCAAAGAGAAAACTGTCATTAGTCCATTCGCTGATGATACGCTCATATCACCATTATTAAATGAAGACACTAAGCAAATGAACTGTAATCCAGAGTAAGTTGTAATTAGATTTTCTTTTGAGTCTTGTGAATTCAATATGAAACTGCCATTCTTTTGCACTCTACAGAGTCATGCGATGTAGTCTTAACGTGATTCCACAAACTAAAGATTTGCTCAATAAAAGTCGGCTTCCACTTGGTATCCTAATTCATCCATTCAAAGATCTTGATGTATGACATTTCTATATTCTGTGACAACTCTAGTTGAGGTGTATTTTTCTCATAGAGTCTAAGTGTTATTCAAGGCTCGAAAATAATCCGATGTGATGGATGTAAAAGTTATATCAATCCATTCGTAACATTTCTTGATAATACACGATGGCGTTGTAGTATCTGCTTTCGTATGAATGATTGTAAGTTTTTTGTCAATCAGTTCATTCCTCTTTCATGTCTTTCACTTATATATAGTACCACAAGAATTTCTGTTCGATCCTGTTTCGAAAACATATGGTGATCCAAGTCGACGACCAGAAGTTCGTTTTGGTACGGTTGAATACACGGCTACATCTGATTACATGGTAAAATCTACACAAATCGAATTACTTTTTATGAACGATTTCACATGTAGGCTAGACCACCTCAACCAGCAATGTATCTATTTCTGCTTGATGTGTCTCACAATGCTGTGCAAACAGGTCAATTTACTGTCAATTTCCGATTTTCATATCTATTAAAGAAATGTTTAGGTTATCTTCAATCGTTTTGTGAGATACTATTTGAGAACTTGAGTAGCCTACCAGGTGATGCGCGTACAAAAATTGGCTTTTTAACATACGATAGTCGAATTCATTTCTATGATCTATCTGATCGACACAATGGCACATTTCGCATAATGATTGTGCCAGATTTAGAAAATATTGAGAGCAAATTAGACGAAGTTCTTCCTGTACCTGATGGTATCATGGTCAATTTAAGTGAATGTCGAACAATAATCGAATCGTTTCTTGATCAATTACCAAAAGTTTATCAAAATAATCATGAAACAGATTCCGCATTGGGCACATCCCTTTTAATCGCTGAAAAACTACTTCACCAGACAGGTGGTCGAATAACAGTTTTTCAAACACGCCTCCCAAATATAAATCCAGGCGCTCTCAATGAACAAACAGGAAAAGAACCAACAGTACTCACGCCAACATCCGATTTTTACAAGAAACTTTCATTAGATTATGCTTCACAACAAATTGCCTGTGATCTATTTCTGCTCAATAGTCATTATATTGACTTGACAACGTTAAGTATGTGGAATACTTTGATTGATATGATAGAGCAAGTAAAATTACTTTTTCTAGGTTGTATATCGAAATATTCCGGTGGTGAAGTCAAGTATTATCCAAACTTTCACGCAACACATTCACCCGATCAAGTTGAACGCTTTGAAAATGATTTAAGGCGTTATTTACAACGGAAGATCGGTTTCGAGGCTGTAATGCGTTTACGATCGCCTCCAGGTTTATCTTTATAGGCATTGATTTTCTAGAGCTTCTAGTTTTTCTTTTAATTTTAGCTCTTTCAATTCAAACCTTCTATGGTAATGGTTTTGTTCGATCGGTGGATCTACTTGTTTTACCAAATATAAACCCCGATGCTGCATTTGGTATGCAAGTTGCCATCGAAGATTCTCTAGCCCAATATAAATCAGTTACATTTCAAGTTGCGCTTCTTTATACGTCTAGCAAAGGTAACAGGACATCGTCATATAACAAAAATCCATTATAATCCAATTAGGTGAGAGACGTATCCGAGTGCATACACTATCGCTACCAGTTAGTGCTGCGTTAAAAGATATCTGTTCAAATGCTGATCAAGAAGCGATGGTTGCGTTGATTGCAAAAATGGGTAAACTAAATTCTTCATCCTAAATGTCAATGTGATTTCGTTTGGTGTAATTAAGCGGCTGATCGATCAACAACATCGTCCATTCAAGAAGCACGCGAAGGAATGACTAATGTTGCTTGTGATGTCATCAAAGCAACCATGTCTGTTGACTCGTCGAATCGAACTGGCTCACTATATGTACCACATGCGATACGGCTTCTACCGTTATACATGCTCAGTATGATAAAATCAGTAAGAAAGCTAACGATTCAATTGTCCCAAATTTATCTCTTGATTTTATTTAGACCGCATTTCGAACCGGTAGTTCAATCAAAGCAGATGAACGAGCATACTATATAGATTTATGTAAAACGTTACCAACGAAATATTTAATGCAAATATTCTATCCAGACCTCTATCCGATTCATACCATTGAGGACCAGGTACGAGTAGTGGCATTCCTATTTTGTTTTCGTTATACTTCAGATTTTTTAGAGTCGAATCGTTCAAGATGGTGAAGATGAATTGTATATACCAGCACGTGCTCATCTATCCTTTCAGTATATTGATGCTCATGGTGCTTATATATTGGATACAAATGAATACATATACATTTATATTGGCAGAGCAATTAGTGATCATTTCGTTCAGAGTGTTTTCAACATGCCCACCTTCTCATCATTACCTTTTGATGCGGTAAATAGTACAAATTCAAACAAATGTGATTAACACTTTTCCATATTCTTTCATCTTAGTACTCATTGCCAGAAATCGACAATCCATTGTCAATTAAGATTCATAACTTCCTCACTTATCTAATACAAAATCGGCCCAATGGTGTTCCCGTACACGTTATGAGGTTTGTATCTTTGTCTCAGGAAAACAATGGAACGAGATCACTGTTTTTTTTCTTTGCTATCTTTAGGGAAGATTCACCAAATCGCCATCTCTTCACACGTCACATGGTAGATGACAGATCAGAATCAAGCATGTCTTATGTAGAATTCTTACGTTACATTCAAGAACAGATTAGAAAATGAATTGGTGTTTAGTTATATTTATTGTTCATCTTTTTACTTTCATTCTGCCATTTAGTCGTTTTTATTTCTGTTATTGTTGCCAGATGTTCAAGATGTATGTTGATGTTGAGACTTTTTCTAGACAATAAAAAGTCTGTTTTGGCCTGTTTTGAACAACAACTCTAAACATAGCTCAACGCTTTTACTTGTTTTCTATTCGTTGTATGACGATTGATCTAATATATTTAATAAACTTCACTAACTTGTATTGTGAATCCAATGAATGGTATTGTCTTCACACAAACAGTCATAATAAAGCCGATCAAAATAAATGTTAACGCATGCTGCACCCTCACTCTCGAGTTACATCTGGAAAGTATGTTCTGAGTGTCTGAAAGCTTTCACAAGCAAATGCAGCCAAGGAAATACTCGAATTCGGAGCTAGTATATACTACGTCAAATTCACATGTATTTTCCCGGACAAGCAATATCGTCAAATAAATGAATTATTTCTACTAAAACAACTTTCAAGTAAAGAATCAATAATTTACACATCGAATTGTTTATTTATTCTGTTGAATTATTTTTGTAGTTTGATATTCTAAATAAAATAAATATCAATGCCATTAACTTAATTCAATCGAAGTACAAAGTGAGTCAAAGCTAAACATAGAGAAAATCTTCGGCGTAAAAAACTCCAGTATCCGCTCGAAATAGTCGCATGTTGGGTGTTCGTAGAGTATGCAATTCAAATTCATAGAGTCTGTTTCTGGTCTTCCACATTCACCAATAAATAAAGTGAAATTATTTGGTTCATTAATAAAAATAAGTATGAATTTTGGTAGAATTCGATCATGACAACGTACTTGGATGGTCTCCAATCGAGGAAGACGTTCGACGATCGTATAAGTAATATTTATTATGTTGGGTGTATCACCTGTTATTTTAAAAAATTAGTTGGCGAAGACTGCATACGAATGAAACATTTTGTTTTAAAAAAGACAAAAAAAAAGAAAAAAGTTGTTGGATCATAAATTATCACTTTTGCCGCATCCATTCAGATGTTTGTTGATCATAATCTGAAAGGATTAAATCGATTCCGAATAAGAAATGAAAAAATATTTTTTACTTTTAACTTTGATAATCACACAGACAGCTGGTAAACGAATTGTCACCGGTACGTTACTGAGGGTACAAACATAATTATCGTTGTTGATAACGTAAAAACCAAATTTGATGAATTGGTCGTTTTCAGTTGGAGGATGTGTTCCTTTATTGACATAAAAAGACACTGGAATACAATTCACGTGTACATTGAAGATTGCTCCTTCTATAAAATCTCCTGTTTAAACATCTGAAACAAGTCGACGGTCAAGAACACGAAAAGATCTTTCTCTTTGACGTTCTTCATTGAAACGAATGAAGAAAGCATACTGTGTTAGAGTTTGCACATCCATCTGGCAATTTGAAAAAGTCATTTTGTTATTTAATCCGTTGAGTCCCGGCGACTTATATATACGTCCAATCGCGGTTATTGAACAAAGGTGCTCATGGTATATTTTTCGAACATCTTGTCTTTTAATAGCAGATGTTAAGCGAGCACCATCCTTGTTTCTTTGCTTTCGACTTATTAGTTTTACATATGTATGTTGCATGCTCGTTTGTGGATCCCATGATATTCGAAGTGATATATGGTATTCTTGTCTTGATGGTGATGTTCCTCTATGAATTGCTTCAAAGACTATCCTGCAAAGATGAACTAATAATAGATTTTTGTCACAAGAATACTTCTTCTTCGTCAAAGAACAAAGGTTGTATTAAAAAGTTTTCCGAAAAAAAAACTTCGAGTTTTGCACAAAAAAAGCCGGGACTGAAAGCGTTAAAGAGGTTGAAAATCCAGAAACTATGGATCCAAATCAGTTCCAATCTCTTTTCGTACGCGAAAGAAAAGCTAACATTGGATTTGTTCGAAGAGGATCTCTACAGCAGACTATTTCAACATTTTAGAACAAAATAAAGGTTTAGACTGATTGCTTTTTATGGTCGGACGAAAAGAGAAAACACAAAAGGTCGACAATTTTAAATGTCAAACTAGATATCGCCAGCACATGTCATACACGTATAACTTGAATTTAACTTTCGAGTTTGACACTACTGTTTTGCTGTAGACAGATCAATAGCTTATCTGAAAAATAAGGACAAAAAACAATCTGTCTAATAATTGAATTCTACTTGAATTAGGTGGTTAAGGATGAACAATTGATTCATCAATAAAAAAATTGCAAAAAAAAACAGAAAAAAAACGCACACAGAAGTTCTTCGTTATGTACCTGAAATAAGCAAGCGTAAAAACAGTTCGTTGTGTGCGTTTGTTTTCTTATGTTGTTTTATTTTCTTATGTTGTTTTACAGTAAAAAATATGTTCTAAGTGGTAAACTGCGGCGTTGGCCGAGAAAAAAAGCGTGCATATAAATGATAAGCGTTTTTTACGTATTTTGGATTCTGTTTCTCTTGTGTACTGATTGTGTCCATATCTTTTGCATCGAAATTAAAAAATTTAAATAAAGTTTGCAGCTTTTGACAGATGGTATCTTTTACACTTATATGCACCCAGGTTATTATGGCACGGTCGGTTCCGGTCGGTTAGGTTCGTTTTCCGGCCATTTCCTTGCCGCCGGATTCCGGCCGGATGTTCAAACGTAGGTTCCAGTCATTTCCCGACCGTTTCCTGCAAACTTCGAGCTGAAAACGGCCAGAAACTGATCGGACATTTCCTGTGCAAATCCGGCGGCAAGGAACCTGCCGGAACTTGCTGGAATCGAGAAGATCTGTACCGGAACCGACTCAGATTTCAACGGATCCAGTCGCCGGAATGATCGACCTGGGCAGGTGTATATGTGACAGCACATTAGATTCATTAAAATAGCAATAACTTGGTAAAAGATTAATAGTGGTGATCAAGCTGGCTATAACTTGAATATAACGAAATAGACCATAAGTAGGTTGGAAAATACCATGCCGTATGTGTTCTAGCGTTGTCGACAATAGTATCAGCTGAGAGCATTTTAAAATTTCCAGTGAAAGCAACTTGGCAGATATCCATATCATATGGCTACTGCAATCTTATAAGTCAATTGTACTACAAATTTTCGTAAATTAGTTGCACTGTAAGCTAACTATTATTGGCGCTTCAATAATTCATCTTTGTCAGGTATAACGTCCAGCAGCACGAAAATCTTGGTATGATATGCATAACATATGTTTTTGATAATATTGTATTTGATATGTGATGAACTACTAAAGGGAGCGGTCAATTGCATGAGCGTACCTCTGCGTAAAGGATGAATATACACGGAGTACTATATTGTTATAACGAAAATGAGAACGGAATATCTTTTGTTTCCTATATCGCTATTCAATATCGGATATTTTATGTCCTCCGAAATATGTTCGACGCCAAGTACTTTGATTTGTTGTGTACTTATTTTCAAGATTAGTTTTTTTTGTCGTGCGTTTAATAGCATATATCCATATCTTTCCTTAAAACATTTTAAGGTTGGTATGCTAGATCGACGCGTATTCTTGGCTTAAATTATGCATAGTAGAACCATTGATGTTTTAATATTTAAGATTTTCCCCATTTATTCTGTCATGTATTGATACTATCTAAAATCAGTATAACAATATACTAAAAGATGATACATTAAACTGACAAGAAATTATGCGTTCAACTACGACCACATGAAACTAATACATTTAAACAGAAAAATTGACTCGTACTGCGTGGAAATGAGATTAGATATTTTCTACTAACGATTTCATTCGTTTATCTACATGAACACATATTCACAGCCTCTATATTGAACTTCGATTCAAGTAGATACCCCACGTCCACTTACACGAAAAAGAAACAAAAATGAAGGAAAAAAGTAGAGTAGCACAATTTATACTGTCTGATTACAGAAAATAATGTAATACCTTGCGTGCGCTGTCACATATACGATGAAAGTATTAAAAATACTTATCAATAACTTACTGGGCAAATGCTTAGTAGTAATACAAGAAGGCAGCTCTCGGTGGTTTATGTAATAGGATAAAAATATTGATATTGATATTCTTTTCAATCAACGAGAAGGTGTGTTGATCTTGTACAAATACACAGGTGGTACTCGATGCGAAGATATAAAATATATGGTCTAAACGGTTTTCTTTTTCATTTTTGAGTGCAAAAAACAATGATTTCATTTTTTATACTCACTTATGTGTTTTATTCATTATACTCGTTCACACTCACTGTAAAAGGCGACACGTGTGACACCTACAATCATCCTCAGTATGGTGTTGGACAATGTATCAATGAAACTCTATGTCCCAATGCTCTGTACATGAGCGGTTTATGCGAATCAAAACCAACTGATATCAAATGTTGCTTTTCGCTAGAGCCACCAAAAGAAGAATTTCGCGCTGCTTGGATCGCCACCGTAGCTAATATTGATTGGCCATCGTCAAGAACTGCAACACCAGCCCAACAACAGACTGAATTAATCAATATTCTCAATACTATTCAAACACTAAATATGAATGCTGTAGTCTTTCAGGTAAGTCGAAGCCTACTAATCGGTCCACTTGGTTTCACTGTTGTTTTCTTTTTTCTTTCTAAATACAGGTACGACCAGTGGGTGATGCATTGTATGCTTCAACGTTGGAACCGTGGAGCTTTTATTTGACGGGCACGCACGGTAAAGCCCCATCACCATTATGGGATCCATTGACATTCATTGTCAATGAAGCACATAAACGCAATATTGAAGTACACGCCTGGATAAATCCATACCGTGGTCGAATGTCAGGTGCAACATATGAATTTGCATCTAACCATATGGCTAAACGATTTCCAAAGTATGCCTACACATATAATAATTATATATGGATGGATCCAGGTGCAGCTGAGGTCCAACAGTTCATTGTCAATGTAACTGAAGACATCGTTCGTCGATATGCTGTGGATGGTATTCATATGGATGATTATTTCTATCCCTATAGTGATGGAACAGATTTTCCAGATGCTTCAACATATACTGCATACCAACAATCCGGTGGCAAATTGAATAAAAGTGACTGGCGTCGTTCAAGTGTAAATACACTAGTACAAACCATGTACACACGAATGCATGCCATTCGACCAAAGGTTAAATTCGGCATATCACCGTTTGGTATTTATAAGAATGGTGTACCGGCTGGTATAACAGGTCTTTCATCCTTTGACAGTTTATATTGTGATACGAAAATGTGGCTAGAACAAGGACTAGTTGATTATATGACACCTCAGCTCTACTGGCAGATTGATCCGCCAGCACAATCTTATTCCGCTCTTTTGAATTGGTGGATACAACAATCAGCCAAAGGTCGACATGTCTATCCAGGCAATGCAGTTTACCGAATTCTTCCAACTGGTCATAACTGGCCAGTGAATGAAATTGTCCGTCAAATCAATATCACTCGTTCAATGCGTGATCGCTTAGCACTCGGCAACGTATTTTACTCGGTAAAACAAATTATGCAAAACGTTAAAGGTATTCAAGCTGAACTTGCTAAACTTTATACACAAAAGGCCATCATTCCAAAGATGAGTTGGTTATAAACGAGTGTGAATGCTATTGACTATTTTATTACTTTCATCATTCCAATCCAAATAAATACTGCTCAATTTCATACTGAACTGCTTGATAAAATAAATCAATAGTGCAATATTTGTTTTGTATGAAACCACTTGAAATCAAGTTATATCTTCGTCACATTTAGTGAGAAAAAAATAGTGACGGATATTTCGTTTTGAATAGTATTCGATCCTCGGTCATCATCATGATAATTCTTCTTCAAAATGATCGCAATTTTCGTCAAAACGTCATTTGTCCTCTGAAATAAAACTCCAGATTACCATCTAATTGACATATTTATTGATTAACAAGAAAAATGAAGTGTTCGACATAGTTTATATCGCTCTCTTCCACCTTCAAAGGAAAAGTTCTTCTACGTTATTAGCTTTTTACTTATTTGTCAAACAAATGCTTCTAAAGGTGATCATCGGAGAAGTTCTTATGGGCTCATAGGAACTACTAATAAAATAAACTCAATAACCTATTTTGTCAATAAAACAACTTCGAAACTAAGTTTAGATCGTATCAACCAAAATGATGTCAGATTCTATACTTACTCCAAGACCTTAGCTAATATTGGTCATGTTCTTAACTTTGTCTACCAGTAGAACTGGAATTTTCATGCTAATGACGTATGACAAGTGATCATTTATGTTAATGTGTGCATTTAGTAAATGACATATCGATTTAAGTCGGAAACAGTCGTAATTACACAAGCTAAGCAAAATGAAAAAAAAAACGTTTAGTTTGATATTCTTTCGTAATTTACACATTCTTCAACGTGTCCAGTTCGTTCGTCTTCAACAGGTGTGCCAAGAACTCAGGTTGATGTTGAGCGCCCTCTTTTCTGTTGAAGAGGTAAAGTGTCATTTCAATACAATGGCGAAAAAAGTCTATATAGCTTATCTGAACCCGACGTGTCGCATTTCTTTGAGTGTCGTGAGTAATCAACAACTTGTATACCTTTGTATTGATAGAACAAAAAAAAAAGAAAAGATATAAGATTGAATTAGTAATTGAAAACAAAGAAAAGTGAAGCTGTAGAAATCGTGAATAAGAGACAAAATTCAGCCATTGTTCTGTTTAAATACTAATAGATCTGTTTGTCAATCTGACATTCAAATTTGAAGATAGAGTGAGGGATGCCCAAGCATTTTTGTTGTTATTTTGTTTCTCCTTTAAGATTTCAAAATGAGTGAAGAAATCAAAGATAATGAAGATATTCACTCCGACAAACCCAATCAAGACGGCGATGAAGATGACAATCAAAAAGTATCTCTGAATGATCCTGACGAAGAGAATGAACCATCTCTTGCGACACCCAACGACCATGAAACACCGTCGTTAGCATCTTTCTCGGATGTAATTGTCGAAAAACAAGATGAATCACCAGTCATCGTAGAAGAAAGTCATCACCAAAATCTCCTACAAATCATCGTCGATAAATCTAATAAAGATGCAAGTTCAACTATATTGAACACGGTAGAAAAAGCAATCTTCGTCTCGTTCATGTCAACCTTGATCTTCTTTTTTTAGCTCGTAGACGGTGATTTCGATGTAGATAAGAATTATATTATTCAAAAGCCACAAAATCTTTACGAACTATTTTCTATTTTCAATCAAATGTCTCCATCGTTACAAGCTGAAATTCTTAGTGTTTTGATTGGTATTATGCGAAAGAGCGAACGGAATTTGTTAGCTTGCATCGATGCTAAAATTTACAAGAAAGTGTTCGAATTATTGGATGATATTGAAAATGACGTTGTGGCCAATCTGTTGGTGGATATCTTGACTGTGTTAACATCATTGACGATTAATGTTAATGAACTGAAGCTTCTTTTACGCTATTTGAAAACCGAGAATAATACTTGGGTACGAAGGAAAGCTATTTTTACCTTTCGTCTTATCATTTGTTTATTTTTAGAAAAAGCATGCTGTGAAATTGTTAAATATCTTCAAACACCTTCCATATCGACATGGACCCGATGAATTTTTTAACTTTCCTGGCCGGAATGGTTCCGGTTTAGTATTACCACCGATCAAAACATGGCCGTATCAAAATGGTTTTACTATCACAACATGGTTTCGAATCGATCCGGTTGCTAATGGTGTGATGGAAAAGGAAAAACCTTATTTGTATTGGTTTTGTACATCAAAAGGACATGGTTACACTGCGCATTTTGTTGGTAATTGCTTGGTCATATCCTATTCGAAGTTAAAAGAGAAGAATTTTCAACATTGTATCCAATACGAATTCAAACCACGTGAAGTAAGTTGTTCGATCGATCTTCCTCTGGAATTTTTGTATTGTGATTTCCTAGTGGTATATGATAACGCTGGCACATCAATATCAACGTTGGGGTAAAAGTAGTGTTCAGTGTCATATCAATGGTCAACAAGTGTCCGTGGCTTATTTTCCGTGGAGCATTGAAAGTGGCGATGTATTCGATAAATGTTATGTTGGTTGTACGCCTGATCGCAATGATTTAACAAGTTTTTCCGGACAACTGTCAACGTTCTATCTGTTCAGTCTATACTTAGAACCAATGATTGTTCAGGGTCTTTTCAAATTAGGACCTGCATATAAAAATTTGTTTAAATTTGAAAACGAAAGTGCACATATTTTGACCGAAGCACAACGTAAAGCTATGTATGATGGGAAGCTGATGAGTTCAATCGTATTTAGTTACAATCCAACTGCATGCGAGGAGAAACTTGTTTTTCAAGCTGGTCCGAAAAGCAATGTTTCTCATTTTGTTCATAATGCTCATGCACAAATGTTAAGTCATGTTCGATCTGTTGTGACTCATTCCATTTATTCAACATTTCATTCCATTGGTGGTGTCCAAGTCATTTTTCCGCTGTTTGATCAACTGGATGATCAACAAATGAATGGTTCGATTAATTACAATATTTGCTCAGTTTTAATTCTCACTCTTTGTGAATTAATTGAACGTTCATACACGATTCAACATCAAATGCTTAGTTCAAAAGGCTTTCTCACTATTGGTTATTATCTAGAAAAGGTAAAGCAACTTATTCGAAAGAATTCTGCGTCACCTATAGTGTGAAGTCGAATAGATAGCTTAATTTATCTACATATATCATGTTTCAGGACGATTACCTGAACATGAAAGGTTATTAATCTTAATGTGACAGCTAACTTTTTCTTTCTTCTGCTAATCCACATATACAGCTAAAAATAGTCTCGATTATCTCTATATTCGCAGATGACAGATTAAATAAATCTAAGTAATGAAGGACTACACTTCTGTTTTTTTTTCGTAATTGGTTAAAGTTCAATCGAAATATAATGTAATTTACTGAATCGTTTTATTTCTGCATTTCTAGTCATCGAAAGAACATATCAACATGGAAGTATTGAATGCTTTGATATCTTTAACAACATTCTTCTTAAAAATTCATAGTAAAAACAGTCCATTGTTGTTGAAACAACTGTTTGTGCATATCTTTTTTAATCCGTCCATTTGGATATACTGCTCCGTTGACGTAAGTGTTTGCCTATTTCAATACGCGTACATTTTCGATAAGACTCTTTAGGTACAAATGCGCTTGTATACTTATTTAGCAACTGAATTCGTCACTTACAATGAAATCTATCATTCCATTCAGCCAATAAGTGGAATTATTCAAACATTGCATACATTAAAGTATTTCTACTGGATTGTCAATCCAAGTTATCAGGCAAAAGCCGTCGATAATAATCGACCGACACGCGAACAAATCGTCGAACTGAGAAGTTACATGCTTTTATACATGAAACAGTTAGTTATCAGCAGTCCGGGTACACAAGAAGAAGAACTTCATGCTATTCTCAACTATCTTCATACTGTACATGAAGTAAGCGAAGTGAATCTTCTTCGATCGGCCTAATATATCTATTTTTGTTCTATCAAGGATGAAAATTTAATCGATGTCTTAGACATGGCTGTTAATTTGATGTCAGAACATCCGAAAACAATGGTACCTGCGTTTGATCGTCGGCAAGGTTTAAGGTAAATTTATTGATGAAGATATTTTGCTGCTTTTTTAACTAATGAATTTCAACCCATTCTAGAACGGTTTTCAAGTTGATTGGGAATAATAGTGAAGCAACACGTTTACAAGCTTTAAAATTGTTTGGATTCTTCCTTCAACGCAGTACAGTCAAGTACGAGCGAATGTTTCCGACAAGTAATAATCTATCTAATTTCCTTTTAACTTCTAGACGAAAAACAGAGGCTATGCAACCGTACAATCTATTTTCAATACTAGCTGATCGTTTATTGTTGAATCCGAATGGTTTTACCATGTCAACGTACAACATTCTATTCGAAGTAACACACTTTTTATCCATTTCAATTTAATTGGCAAGTTTCTTTCGCTTTGAATAGATACTAGTCGAGAGAGTCAGCGGACCTATTGTTGAAAGACGATCTGCAGAGATCACTAGCGAGTGGAAAATTGAAAATCCAGGTGAGAGGAAAATATTTGAGAAAAACACAGCTAAGAAATGTTGGATTTTAGCGATGATCAAAGTGATTGCAACGTTACTTCGAAATTCACCGGATAATATTCATTTATACGATATAAAATCTCGTTTTCTCGACGATATGATTTTACTATCGTCGTCAAGTCGAGAAAATCGAAGGTAACATTGAATAATCACTCGAATAATTGTACGATTGATAATTCTCTTTCAAAGAATCATTCTGCAAATGTCTGTTTGGCAAGAATATCTCATTGGTTTGGCTTATATTTATCCAGCCAATAATCGGCAAACGGAAGTGACTGAACGTGTTTTTGAATTATTGAAAATTCTATTACATCATGCAATTAAACTTGAGTTTGGCGGATGGAGAGTGTGGATTGACACGCTTGCAATTTTACATGGACGAGTAAGATGTCGAAAAAGTCTTGGTTATTCCATCGAATCAATTGTGTGTAGGTAACCAAAGAGGACTACTATCGAAAAGTTAACAAA